AGTGAATAATATTTAAATTTAAATAAGAAAAGGGTTTTTTAGATATTTTATATTTAGAACATTTAAAATAAATATTTAAATTATTTGAAAATATTTAGAATATAAAATAAATTAATATATTAAATTATTATATAAAAGAATTATATTATTATAAATTAAACTTAAATAATAAAAAATTAAGATATTATAAACTATAAATTTATTTATAAGATTAAAAATTTACAAAATAATAGATTTAAATTTATTTATAAAATTAAAAATTTATTAAATAATTATTTTAAATTTATCTATAAGATTAAAAGTTTATTAAAGAATTATTTATAAGTTTATCATAAACTTTATGGTTTATTAAAAAAAAAAAAAATTGTTTATTTTTATGATAAAACTATTTTGTTTTACTAAATTGTAGAATTTTAAAAATTAAGTTTAAATTGTTCTATTGATAGATTTAAGTTTATTTAAAATCTTGAAAAACTATTTTGTTCTGTGGTTTGGAGTGAAGTGGTTGCGGATTAGCTGCTCCACGGTAACACACTAATATATACAATAATAACTAAAATAAATAACAATTTTAAATCAAAATAAAATAAATTTAATACTTATCTATATAATTTATATTAAAGAATTTGCTTTTATTATTATAAACCAAGTATTTATAATAAATTTTAATAAAAAAACTGTCTATTAAGGAGTTCGGATATATGTTATCTCTGCTTCCTGGGCGGCTCTTCAGCAGAATTGATATTGATGGGGTTTGGCCAGTCGATATAGCTCTCCAGTCTAGAGTTACGTCGGCCGGGTAGTACGTGATCCCTTTCCGACTGCGACGAACATTCCGTTATTTTGAGGCCGAGGGTCTCCCTGTCATTCCACTATAGCGACGACTTTTCCGCTATATTTGGAAGCTATCGTCACCGATTCGTCCCATCTTGCCCTTTATCCGCTGTTTTAGTTTTTACTTTTCTTATTCTTTTTAGATTTTGTTTTGGGGCCGAGATTTTGCGAGGCCAGGTTTTTCAACTTTTGTTTTTAAGTTTGCATGTTTATTTTCTTTTGAATTTTGCTTTTTTTTTTTTTTATATACTTATAAGAATTTAATTATTTAATATAAGATATATTAAATGTAGTTATTACATAAAAAAATAAATAAAAAATTAATTTAATATATAGTTATAGCCACGGCTAATTTGGAAAGGTGTAATTATAAGCCGAATCGTTTCGAGCTTAACGTCGGTCTCTATCGGAAAAATGGAGAGAGGGCGGTCTAGGAAATAAATACTGGACATATTAGTGCTTTATATATTAGAAGGAGAGCGTTTACCGGTGCCCAGACTTTTATGAACAAATTGGAGACCTTATAATTTTGCTAAAAACTTCGCTGTGGGTTGGAATGTCTACGGTTTAATGCCTCCTCAACAGGGAAAGAATACATGTAGCAAGATTGCGAAAAAATGAATTCCCCAGGTTTAATAGCAAAAATACAAGCAAATCCTACGAACATACTTCCTTAAGCTAACGTACCTACCTTCTGCTTGGTGTGCCTATACCAACCCCAATTCGTGCCTAAGCGATTTAAGTCTATATTTCGACAAAATGATTAAAGTAAAGTATTAAAAGGTAAAAACAAGATACTAATATCAAGTTAAAACAATAAATTCATCTAAGCTATATTAATCAATTTTGCGCACTCGCCCAATTTATTCGATCAAGGATATACATGAACCACCAGCTTTCCAAACTTTCTTTACACCAGAAGCAATCGTGCGACCATTGTGAGAGAACGCTATAGCCCGGATCCAATTACTATGTCCTTCGAGGGTCTGCAACATGGCTCCCCAACTCCTTTTGACCCCAGGCTGTTTCTTCGTCATCCGTTCGAACATGTTTTTCGCTATATCCGAACCCTGGTATATCCAACCCCACTTTACTCTATCCAAAACTTTATCAGGCGGGACCCCTGAGTATTTCTGGACCCAGTGTAGTTTGAATAGCCCTTTTACAATACTCAACTCCGGTGAGAAGAGAACAGCTGAGGAATGTGTTTGCACTGGCGCCTTGTTGATTAACCACTTGTTTTGAAGGGTGAACCGTTTTATATCCCGCAAGAGCTTGGTAAAATTTTCCCCATTCACAACCTATTAAAACCGCTTTAGATATATCTTTCTAGCTTTCCAAGTATTTGATGGAAACGTACTTGCATCGACCTTGGATTGCAGATTCACAAACATATAAATAATCTCGAAGGCGCCACCCAAGAGGCTCATGACGTCAAGCCAATGAATAAAATGTTCCCGAAGGAAAATATGCACTTGATCGTTATCCGCAATACACTTCCCACTCTTTACTACATGGTCCCGCTCCTTTATGGGCATTTCTTTCGAACGGGCTAACCCCGAATTTAGAAGCTCGGTTACCGTCAGCTTCTCCAGCTTCATGGACTAAAAGCCACAATCCGTCGCCCTTCGCAGATAGAGGAGTTGGCTTATCGTTGTAATCAGACATCTTCGGAACTCCCGGTGGTCAGCTGCGCAGTATTGTCCATAAAACCCAGAGTATGCTAGTAGCACCGGTAAATACGTAGGCATATGTCGATATATACATATATATATATGAAAAAGTCTTACCATAAAGTGCAATGCGTAACTGATACGGCTTTCGTCAACTTATTTAGCTTATTCTGTTCCAGAATAAACAGATAATGTAGCTGGTATTGTTACCCTGTGAAGTTAACTAGACCAGGGAGCCCGCAAATATCGCGATGGTGAAATCAAGTCATGGTATTCACTGAGTAAATTTGCAACAGGATATATCGATAGAATAGGGTAGCTGTGATGCCTTATGTAATTATATTGGTATTCCAGAGGGAGCTCGGGGGCGATCCTGTCGTATCCAACTAAATTTACACTGACGGGGAAACAAAATACAGGGATGAATCCCAAGCGAGGGAAGGAAGAATGTAGAAGGAGGCCGAATCATTAAAAACTTGATGCATCCACAACGCGCAACGCGACGGATAGAAAAACGTAGATGCGCGCCAGCTGCTGACTCGGCACCCTCTTCGTGCTGTTGCAGTATTTTTATCCATATCAGCATATATATATTTGAATCTTCCTCGTTCCAGCGAGGTACACCCCCCGTGCCGTTAGTGAATTACCGCGATACCGAACGTTACTTACAAAATAGCAAACATTGCATATTTGTAGTACGTAGTTGTGCTAGTTTCGTAGAGGTGTTATGCATTTTATGTCCTGCGGTAGCGGGTGCGTCATCTATAGTCTCGGACATCATTTACTGAACTTCGTACTAAGGTACCTAACGCACATGGAAACGCACCCGCTATTTTCTTAGCCCGCGCTACGTAATCGTAATTACGCGTATACGTATGTAGTATAGTCCGGCATGATTATATTTATATGTTATAGGCACCTAGACCTCTAAATTCTGTAAACATGTAAAGTTTACATTAATTGCACTCGTACTCGTAGTACACGCCGAAGCGCCTATTTATTGATATGGCGTCGACGTCGAATCTCAAGGGTATTCATGAGTTCGCCGCTGAAGTTCATGCCATTGCATTAATTATATTATGGCCATTTACGTGGCATATTGTGGGCACGCTCCGCTAGAAAGGCTAGTCGGCTTAAGCTGAGGCTTCGGGGGCCAAACCGTCATATGTCATATTGGATGAACGGGGAAGCTAAATTTTTGGTCGCTGGGCGGTCACGTGTTGAAATCATGATGGCTGTGGTATCGATGGAAATAGCGCAGGAGCCAATCAAGACGAAGGATGCTTGGAAATTCCCGCCTTGGCATATTTGGTGTCACAGCCCAGAAACCTCTGAATCAATCAATGTTCTCAGATGCTTTGATGGCTAAATAGTAGAATTGCGATCACATCTCCACAGTCTCAGATGGTCCAGTGGTCAAGATTTCCGCCTGTCATGTGATCACGCGTTCACTGCTCGCGGACGACCGGGGTTCGATTCCCCGTCTGAGAGTTCTTTTTGTACATTTTTGTACTTTTGCTCCTTTGATCTAAGGGCGCTCGAGATCAAAACTTTTTTACAAACCAAACCTTCCTATCTACAACAACTTTAACACAAAATGAACCCACCTACAAACCGTCCAACCTGAAGACCAGTCAAGTCACTGTGCAAGTCATTTATAGACTAACCAGCCTGTGAACCAGCCTATGAATTACATGCAATCTTTAGCTAGAATTTTGGTGATATTAGTGCCCTGCTGCAGTTAAAAATTTGTGGATTCCAAGTTAGTGATCTAAGCAAAGGGTTATGAATCCGTGGATAACTCTCCAAACCGGTGGGTATTTATGCAAAATGGCTAAAGAGTAGAAACTCTCCGTTTAGGTCGGAATATATTAATATGTATCAAAAACGGGATTCCTATTTCCCCACTTTGAGATTAGTGGAATGTAACCAAGCATTGGTTGTAATTTAAGCTTTTACAACTGGACTCGACTTTATCTTATGATTATATCCATGTTTACCTGCATTCTGTATATAGCAAGGGAACCTACATAAAGCATTAGTTTTTGAGATACTAATAGATATTTATTGGTTTTACGTAGCTAGTTAGCCCAACGTCCTCAAGCAGCATCTTCTTTCGGGTTTCTACCTAAGTATGGTGAGCCCAAATAGACGACCGGGACTACAATTTTGAACCTCAGCGCAAAAAAGGCGGGCTTCCAACAAAAAGAAACAAAACTTGAAAGGCAGAAAGTATAATAACCGAAACTTCGGGGAATGGTAGGTTTTTGGGGGCTGTAAAACCGAAAAAGTTGCTAGTCTGTTGGTGTTGACGTTGGGTCCATAATTGTTCGACTAGGTGCGGGTCTGAAGATCATATGCATATGCGCATATATATATATGTGGAAGCCTGTGGGGTAGCATAATCGACGCCCTAAACTTGCAACTTCTATCCCTCAACCCCCACTAACTAAACTTCTGATTATAGGATCTGGCCCAATAGCGAAGAGTGCGTTCTGACAAATTTGTTTGGAGAAACTCGATCGTTTCTCAATCTTCGAGCGTCAGCATGGCCAAAACGTGATTTTTCATCGCTCAGCAAAAGAATTTGGTTCGAGACTCATATGCATAAACGACTTAGAGCCCGATGCCCGAGGTCCTTAGCAACGGAGCTGTAAAACTTCGCTTCGGTAGCTCTATTACACGTAGTAATCATAAAAGATATTATATGTACTGGCCTGATTAACTATAATAGCGCATCATTGGTTTCGCGGGGCAGGTTTAGACAAAGTGGGCTTCTTGGTCGCAGGTCCAAAGCAGTCCACAGGCCCAATGCATTCGAAGCACTATATTGTAAGACGGTATCAAAACTCGTCGTCATAACTATGATGTGGATCGAAGTGCTTGATATTTGATATCAAGGACTTATATAACCGTATGTGTGTGGCTGCAAAATCTAAGGGCTTGAGAGTCTCTCGAGATCTCGAGTGCTCGGTGAAAGATCACAGCGGGCTAAAGGATCTCCAGTAAAACAATAGAGTTGTGTTGGCCGACCTTTTAACTCTCAGTCGATAGATTGCGTTGCCTTTTTCTAAGATTCTTAAAGGCTTTTTGTGATGATTAATGCTAGCGCCAATGCAACCGGCTTCATCACACGCCAAAAGTTCTCAAGGCTATCGTACCTATAAGTAAGTAGGTATTCGTGGTTCAGAGTGAAGGCGGGCGGATGAGCACACCTTAAGCTCTCATTCAATCAAATTTTCTAGTATATGTTTAAAATTTGCCCTATCCCTGATAGATACCCAATGATTGCTTTTTCCTTACGAACGAGGCTGGCTAGCGATGAACCACAAAAGTTATAGATGCGACACCAAAGTGCACAGATGCAGTACTAGTAGAACACATTTGCAATACCAATTCTCCTGCTTCACGGTGTTAAACCCTCCTCTTGCTATAATATATTTTGGAAAGTTTCCTCGTCAAGAAAATCCAAAAAAAAAACCTTTCTTAGGTCCGAGAATAGCTAAGTACACGAATGTGCGATAGCCGGCCAGTCATGACGTCAGAATATTTTTGTGTGTAGGTTTGAGTTTCGAGACTAGAGATCTCTGATTCACATGGCAAGGGAGAAGAAGGTATTAAATAATTCTACTGGGCAAAAGCAGATTTCTCCGAACGCTTTTGTATAGTCGTCTTGTGAATCCAAGTAACAGATGGTGTTGGTGGGAGTTGATAGGGATTTATTCAGCGGGTGTCGATACACACCAGAACCTAGCAGGATCTTGCAGGGCCTTGCAGGATCTGGTGGGGCTTCGTAGAATCAGGCCGGATCTGGCAGAATCTGAAAAGGGTTTAGGCCTTGGGACGTGCGTTGCTGACAGGTGGGCGGAAATATTGGTTCAGTACCGGCTGCTAGTTATAGCTATCAACCACAAGAATGTAGAAATATAAAGCTAGTAGGTAGGTACTTATGCATTCGACTTAAATCTATACCACACAACAGAAGTGGTCCGTATCACAAATCTATTTATCCCACAAAAGAAATGTTCCACCAACAATTTACAAGTCGGGTCCAGTTTTCTTGGTCTGGTAAACAAAATATTGGGTCTGGTTTTTCTGTATCTTTGTGTTGTTTCTGGCAACGCGAGACCAGCTTTTCTCACATCTCGTCACACCACATATCTTTGTTTATATCTATATTTAATGATAGATTCTGATTTTAGGGAAAGAAGTTGACTGTTAGCGTCTAGACTGCTTAAAGGTTATGATTGTCCTCAGCAGCGAAATACAGAACGCTTCGGCGAAAATGCCGAGGCCTTTATATCTCAAGCATCGCACAAACAGATCTAAGTTACAATCCTCATCCCTACAAATGAACTTACATCCTTCAATCGGACGTTAGTAATTCGTATATCCAATAATGTTGGAGTGCTTGCGTATAATAGCGCCCACGCAACAGGGTTAACAATGGTGGAATTCAATGCAAAGGATAAACGAAGGCCACCTATTTATAGAACGTTCGAGCTGACGATTACGTGGACTTAAAACAGCGGCATAATACCACCGACCGCTTGTGGTTCTACAGCGCCTGTTACAGCGCCGCCGAACTATCGTGTGAAGATGTCCGACTTCAGAACAAAGCGTAGATATGATAGGGAAGCAGTCCGCAAACCACATAATATAGTGGCGGTATGAACTGCGCCTTCCAACTTGGCGCACCCCGAGACAGAACCCAAAAGCAGACTACAAACTGCAAAAGACAAAGAAAAAGAAAAGATATTCCTACACCGTCATCTTTGGTAGAGGAAACCAAACAACAAGCAGAGAAGCTAAAGTTGACCATTTGCAGCCTCGCCAGCTGCAAAGTAACAAGTCTGCAATTTGCAATCCCGTCTTAATTCGACCCGACCAAAAGAGGATGCAAACTACTTGTCAATCCAATTAAGAGAGATTCTACCTTGAGCGTTGACGTCGGCGCCTTCGCGCAGCAGCAGCTCGACAGTTTTGTCATGGCCTCTGGACGACGCCGCCTGGAGCGCATTACCATATTCTCCGCCTTGGGCGTTGACGTCGGCGCCTTCGCGCAGCAGCAGCTCGACAGTTTTGTCATGGCCTCTGGACGATGCCGCCTGGAGCGCATTGCCGTAGAATCCACCTTGGGCGTTGACTTCAGCGCCTTTACCCAGCAGTAGCTTGACAGTTTTTTCATGGCCTCCGAACGATGCCGCCTGGAGCGCATTACCGTAGGATCCACCTTGGGCGTTGACTTCAGCGCCTTTACCCAGCAGTAGCTCGACAGTTTTTTCATGGCCTCTGGACGATGCCGCCTGGAGCGCATTACCATATTCTCCGCCTTGGGCGTTGACGTCTGCGCCTTCGCCCAGCAGCAGCTCGACAGTTTTTTCATGGCCTTCGGACGACGCCCCCTGGAGCGCATTACCGTATTTTCCATCTCGGGCGTTAACGTCGGCGCCTTGACTTAGTAAGTAGTTCACCGTATTTGTCAGGCCTCCAAATGATGCGTAGTATAACGCCGAAACTCTTTTCTCTCTCGTCCATTCTCCGCTTTTCCAATGCCCATCTGGGCTATAAAGATTGTAGCAGTTTCTATATAGGCATCTTTTGGTGTCGAAAAATCTTTTTATGAAATCTCGCAATGTTTGGTTCTCGTTTTCGGCTACGGCGGCGAATCTTATCCAATACCTCGCACAATACAGTACGAAAGGAAAGGTCTCCGTGAGTGGCTTGGTCGGGAGGTCGACATCTAAATGCAGCAAATACGCAAGACAAACTTTTGCCATTGATGCTTTAGCTTGGACTTCCCGAAAGTGCTGCGCTATATAATCTATAGCACGGTCTGATGTTAGATATTCCTTGACTGAAAAATGCGCCAACTGGAGATCTGTAGTTTTGTTATTCGTGTCGTTCGAATTTCCCTTTTTGGTGACCGCAACCACCAAACTAGAACAGTAACACAAAATCTCGCTATGGTCGGGCATTCTGTATTTTGGATCAAAGTATGAGTCCCCTTCCGTATCGATATCTACCGCGATCATGTCAACGGCCTCCTCGATCCTTAATGGCCTCTCAGAGTATGTCAAAAATTGAAGTATTCTGATAGCAGGCTGCTCGTGTTCCTCAGGGATTTTTCGCAAGATTCTTTCGTAGGTTTCGTCCAAAGTTTTCGGGAGGGAGTTGAGAGCTTTGCAGACCTGAAAATAGTCGAGGCAGTTTTCCAGAACGTCGAGCTGGCATGCGGCCCATCTAAACCTGACAACTCTTAGTATTTCTTACACCCAATGAGTCTATCAATACGTAAATCTTACATCCCATTTGCATTTCCCCCAAGTACGGTCTCAATCTCATTTTGAATTTCCGGGCGCGATCGCCACCGCTTAAGGCCGTCACCCTCTCTGACTCTCGAGTGAACGTATGCACGTAAATCATCGGTAACTAGACCGCTCTGGATGGGCACCATATAGTCGGTATGGGTAAACTTCAGTACTTCAGATTCAATATCCCTTTCTTGCCGACTTGTCGCAAGAAGGTGGACGTTCCCATGCTCCGAGTTCATTAGAAGCCCTTCTATCCACGATAATAATTTCTTCCTTTCTTCCTTGCTACATTCGTCAAGCGCATCTAAAACGAGCCAAATTTCCCCAACCGACCCCACCATGCGCACGAAAGTCTCGCAAAGTGACTGACAGGTTGGTTGCTGGCGTCCGTCATTGCACGAGGAATAAAGGCGGTCTAGTTGCGAAAAATCCCCCTGTCGATTGCAGAGCTGATCAATAAGGGTACGAATCATTTTCTCAAATGTTTGTTTGTCTCCATCAATAAAGTCGAAGAAAAAGTAGAGAGGCCGATAGGGCGAGAGATCCTCGATAATAGCTGAGCTAAGAATAGTCTTACCACAGCCAGCGATGCCGTAAAGCCACAGAAAGGAGCTTTGTCGCGTTTTCCATTCCTTGAAAGTGTCACCCCCTAGAAACCAACCGCCTGTGGCTTTGTGACGTTGCTGGAGAGCTTTGTCGTAGTTTACTGAAGGATCTGGGGGCGATAGCCAACGGTATAGCTCTATTTGCCTTTGCTGGGATCTGAGATGCTTGACATTATCCCCCACACCTTGGACATTGGTATAGATTTCGTTTACTCTTCCCTCAACTTCAAATTTGGTTAGCAGAGTAATCCATAAAGTGCGCTAAACACTAACTAACCCGCAGGGAGAATATCAAGAATCTTCTTCTCAACCTCCACCTTATTAGGAGCAATTTTGTAGAGAAGGTCCCTGGCGTATGCAGCCGCTGCCATTGCCGCGTATCCTTGCCATTCCTTATTCTTGTGGGAATCTGAGTAGTCGCATACACCGCGAATAATCAAACAAGGAAAATGGTTCATTAATCCTGCCGCTTCCATTTCAAAACAGAGAATATCCTCTTTCGCCGCCAGTCTATCCCGGAAAGTAGCGTCTTTTACTAATTGGTTTGCGGAAGCAATCCGGCCATAGTGAATTGCAGGGTTCTCCTCGTGGTCAGCCCGTTTGTCCCGTGGTACCAATACTGAAGGATTATCGCCACAGACGGTTGCGCAGTCTGATTCGTCCTCCGGGTGGTGGGTTATTTTGGGTAGGTATAATCTATCGCTGCTTTGGTCCGGCCGCTTATATTTCCGCTGCAATTTTGTATTCTTCTCGAGAACGTCCTGGATGGCCTGTTCAATTTGGTGGCCTTCCATCTCATATTGGGCCTTAAGCCCAGTTATTGCGGTTCGCAGAAGTGTCGGTGGATTGTCCAGGTGCCTTGTTGGCTGAAGTTCCTGGTCTTGTAGTTTTTTACCAAAGTCGTACTGAAGCACAGCTGCCTTCCCGTCTCCAGAAGCAACGCTAACCACAATATCACCTAAACGAATATCATGCTTTAAGCTAGGCGCACCCCCGCCGACGCCGACCATTAGGCCGATTCTAATATTCGGAAAACTACGAAGCATGTCCGTCGCAACACTTGCTGCGGATGATGTACCATATTCTCCATCTGGCAAGACCGCAACTACAACATTGTGTTTTCCAACCCTGCCCAATGTATAATGGTTGTTGTCATTGGGGGGGACATAGTCTGGTTCTCCACGGTTTTCGTCTAGAAAAGCTTTTGCAGCGACATACTCGGTTAGTATGGCGCAGATCCAGCCAACAGTATATTCCGTAGGGTTGCGTGCGCTAGCAGGAACTAGTTCCTCTGAACGATGTCTGTCTGCCTTCGCTCTCTTCGGTTCGCGGGCCATAACTCCTCCATCACTGCCGATATTTCGTTTTCTATTCGACATTTTTAAATGGTTGTTGTGGGTGGTTAATAAATGTGTAGATTGGGGTTGGTGGATATGGGCTTTCTTTGAGGCGAAAAAATGTCGTGGCCGTGTCGACAATCCTTCACGGTCCAGAAGCTGACAGCCTCGCAACAGAAAGAGGGGTAGCACATAAATAGCCAATCATGAAACACCACCTAGCGCCGTCATTATGATCTTCCCATCTGCTCTCCCATACGCATCCCCATCCAGTTCTTGGAAATCATTCTTTGAATGCATGTTTGATTGATGATAAAACTAGTGTCAGAATCCAAGGTCAACGCCACAGGTAGTGGCTGACTTAACGCCGCGCACGTGACCTCAAGGTCCCACAGGGATCAAGAACTCATCGAGCAAGTGAAAACTTTTCAAAAGGTCATATGCTCATATACTAGCATGAGTAGCCAGGGACCAAAGAGATTTTTTAGAGAGAATAAGCCAAGTCCGGCATCTTCGACAACTAGTTCCAAGGAACATTTGTGTTGTACTCTGAGGCTCTCAAACCGAAAGGTCTAAAGGGAGTATTTTTGTGCTATGTTCCTATTGCGGCCATGCGCGGGAAAAGCTCGATCAAATAGCATGGATGTTAAAACCCCCGTGATTTACAACCGCGGGTTCATTTTCGCACTAACAAATTCTAAGCACAGCTGTGAATTAATCATTAGCGGAATTGGTGTTACGAATACGCCCCATATTACAACTGCTAGGACATTGGTGCGAGGAACACATTTTTTTTGTAGTTGTGCTAACCATTTTGGTTACAACTTTGTGTTGCCTGACCAGTTTTGGTTCATGTTTGCCAGTCTCAGAACCAAACTATATTGGTGTTCATGTTTGCATCCTTGTATCCAAAAATACACCACAACCAATGCAAATCTGTGACCCAGGAAAACGTACATTGATACAACAAGACCACATGGATACGGATTTCTGGTCTCAAAACACATCATCATCATGATGTGAGATTCACACCGTAGACGGTTCAGTTGTCAAGATTTCCGCCTGTCACTCCAAATCAGAGCATCCTCTGTACTAATTAATGGGTGCTCGCGGACGACCGGGGTTCGATTCCCCGTCTGAGAGAACACTTTTTTTTTTGGTTTGCTTGGAACACCCAGTCCATTTTTGGAACCCAGTCCATTTTCGTTCCCGCACTCCAACCCTGCCTGACAGGGATCTATTCTCCAACATTTTCAACAACACGCCAGAACAAAAACCGAGACGACAATAACGGCGTACAAAGCACAGCTCTGTTTCAAGATTAGAAGCCAAAATATCATATCAGATCCGAATATGGTTTCGGGCTGTGATTGACTACGGTAATATGAAGGCGCCTCGCTCCTGTTTGAATCGGGCTAATTCCCCGACTATCCTTTTTCTTCTACTACAAATTCAGCATGCAATACCTTATAAAATTATTGTTATTCAAAAGTGAATGGTACTATGAGGGAGAGAACTTGTAAATTCGATAGAGAAAGAAGAGAGCTATCATACACCTCTGAGGCCGTCTTAAATACACAATTGGGTTACACAGGGCATGAAGCCATATCACTGTCACGTGCCGCTAGTCACGTGAGTCCCTGCGCCTCAGACATGCGGCATGAGCTACGCCTCATGTCGGGTCGGATATAAGCTAACTTGTGGCGGCGTTAACTCCGGCTCATGTAGGTAGCCTCAACAGATATGTTATAAAATGCGAAATCAGCTGATTGAATTTAGGTGATCCGCTGGCCACACAAATCCTCGCGAAGAAAGTTAAATCCCTCCTTCCAGTCGGGCATTAGGCACCTCATGGAATAGCTAGCCTTTACAGAATAGTCGTTCAACCGGAACGTATATTTAAAGAGGCTTCAGAGGCATAGAATAGCTCTCCATCAAATCTACAGCTCCCCTCCTTTATATTACCTTTTCATCCTTTAATGGTGTTGATCTCACTCACGTTCCCACTCTTCTTACCCTACGCCTCAAATATCTTTCTTTCCATACTCCCACATCTTTAGAAGGTCCCGGAGAAGCGGGGAATTTATAGATTTCGGAAGGCAGACAGACCACAGGGAAACTCGATCGGAACCAGAAGTTTTCTGAATTTGCTAGCGGACCCCGGTACTACCCGCCTCCAAACCGCTTGTTGACGAGGCCTGGAGGTAGTTGATTTTAGATCCGAGATGGAAGCCGATGCCAAGCAAGAAGCCCTACGGTAACAAAATGCAACAAACCGCCCTGCTTGGCGACGCCCTGTTGCCCTTCACTAAAAAGTTAAGCAGTGCGGTGCTACTATTTAGCTAAACCCTCTAAGGTCGCTCTCCTTGCGTGTTCCAGCTTGGGTGTAATGTAAGCCGACACAAACTCCGGTGGTGACGGTAATAGTACTAGCTGTGCTAGTTTTGCTTAGGATTTGGCCACACTTAGACTGTTCTTGGCAGGTAACACAACTGTTACCAGGATATGGTAAGGGGGAAGACTTGTGAATTTGATGATGAGTTAGCTACGCCTCTATATATGCAACGTTGCTGACTTAACTCACTCTCCATAGATCCATATCGATATTGACAGACAAAGATAATAACTTGGAAACTGTTTTGTACACCTATTGTGCTATTGTGGTAAAATGTGTTAACACCGTTGTATTTTAGCCCTGAATGTTTTTTTCTTTGAATATTTCCCCTCAACAAAGAACGCGAACGCCCAAACCCCAAACTGTCCTTCAGCCAGATATCATACCAATGTCGCAGGATCAATATTGGAAAACGATACTCCAAGCAGGATCAAGTACAGACCTGTCTCAAGCTCACGAGTATGTAGACGAACCCGAATCCGAACAAGTCCTCGATACAATTCCAGCTTTAGCCAAATCATACATACAACACGATCGCATTCATACGGCTCTAGGAATCCCGACCAAAGATCTTCACCATAATATGATTCTAGAGAAGTACCCAAACTGGCCTAGTGACGCTTCCACCAATGCATCTTAGACAGTTGTGTTGGTAGGAACAGAACCAAGCCCGTCTTACTAGCTTTACAATAGCCTACTAATATATATCATATAGGATGTTGTCAAAGAAAATTTGGAGTTATATTGTAACAATGTGGTTCAAGACAAGAAACTACTTCAATAAGATTTATCACTTTACAGGGATTTATGGTCTCATCAATTGCCGTTACTTAAAAAAGCGATTGTCAAAGATATATTATCAAATCTCCGAGCAAAAGGATATGGTGATATTACAAATAGACTAAGCAGATGCGATCAAGATTGGGCTATCAAAGACCTGTTACAGCAAAAACTAAGGACATCAAAAAAGAAAGAGAGGGAGAAACAAAGGACAGCGCAAGACCCAAATCCGCAGGAATCTAATAGCTCGAGAAGTAAATAGTCAGCAGCAATCCCTTGATCCAAACACAGAAGTAAAATTCCTTAAGTTTTAATGCCTAATATATCAACCAGCCCACAAAGAGTATTTTACAACATCAAAGCTTAAACAGATCTACTCTAGTATTTTTCAATATCAACTCTAGTTTAATTACCAACCCCCAAAGTTCCTGCATGACATGCACATGTGCACACACTAAGTCTGTTAGAAAGCTCCTCTACATAGGTGAAAATTTCTGCGGCGTTCTCCCCTATGATACTCAGAATCCACTCATATTGCGGTACTTCATCATCTCAGCTGATATTCTTCCCTCGCAAAAGACTATTAACTATAGCCCAAATCAAATATGCGGTCTGCCCAACCTGGCTACAAAGGAGCTATAGAAATTAATAGCAGTTAAGTCAGCACTATCTTACCTAATTTAGAGATTGAAGGGAGATTTATCGTATGATAGGGTTTAACACCGTTAGTTTGGGGTACTGTTGACCCCAAGCCGTTGTTGTGATTTCGTAGTAGCCAGATTTTAGTTCAATTATCCCAGTGGAGTGGAATTCTTTAGAATTGAACGCCGAAGACATTTCTTCACTACTAACCAGAGATATATCTAGTACAGGAGAGGGAGCCAATATAATTGATAGGATGGGAAGAGTTTCGCAATATTATAACTTACAGCGGTTCGTGAGAGCAGAAGATAATGATCGTACGTAAAGATGGAGCTCTTCGGGGTCGAGATGATAATATTTCGGATATATAGTGTTTATACCTTAAGGGACGGATCTAATTTAAATATTTATAGATCTTAGGAATACAGGCTAGGTATTTATACTCCAGAAACAGCAGGTCTCTATGTCAGCTGGCCGGCATTACGGATTCCCACCGTCCGCAGAACTTCGAGTCCGAGCCCATGCGCTGTGGATCACATCTCAGATCAAAGCTTCCAATGTGACTTGTAAAATGTCCTTGCTGCTGTAATTAATAATGGAGCATCTTTACCTGGTACTCCTTCACCTGGCCGTTATGCCCCGAGTACTGTGACTTTAGAGGTTCGAAGTTGTGGATAGTCGCTTCTCCTTATGTAGTATCGAATTTAATCCGCGTTAAATAATCGTTGAATCGAATGAATGACCCCGATTTGTTTGCCCCAAGCACGAAAAGAAACTAATCGACGGTGGTGTGCTTGGGCTGCAACCCGACATATATGTATGCAACCCCCCCAACAAGTTCTTCCCCTTGCGGTCTTACCTGTTCATATTTTCCACCCACTGTAGGATACGTCTATTTAAGCTCAAATTTCAACAAGACTTTAATGATCGTACCCTCTACCTCCTTATATACTCTTTACTATAACTAACATCAAAAATCAATATACCGCTAATATGGATCCGCAAGAAGTCGTCGAACTCGCTAGAATCCGTCATAATTTCGCCTGCGGTATGGTTGGATTGATGTCCAAGGGAAAATACCCTGAAAACGTTCTTTTGGACCTGCTCACTAGCCACCCTATCGAAGGATTAGTCCTGGATATCCACCAATGCCTCAATTTGCTCTCCGAATTCAAACAATTCGCACTTCAGAAGTACGGGAATTCGCCAAACAATCCTATCAAGCAGTTTTGCCCGTCATTCCAGGACGTGCATTTCACTCGGGTGCATGGAACGGAATTCAACACCCAATGATCTTTTCAACTCTACCGTTAGCGCGTTAGAAATTACACGTGGAACCGGGAATATTTGGGCATGGAGGAGCATCTGGTGACAATCTCGCAGTCATGTGCTGGACTATATAGAATTTGTTTTGGGGGTATATGTACATCCGGTTTACGAATCAAAGCCTAACGGCCTTAAAATCACTTTGGCGTCTTGCAATCCCAATTAGGAGAATGGCAATCGAGCAGCTTGTTAAATTGATCACTGATAGTAACTAGAATTCCAGCAAGTCTCCCCGTTCTCACCATCCAGCAGAATTCCATGATCTTCATCCGGTAGAGGGTCTTCGATAATTTTTCAAAGCTGTGACCCTCCTTTAAGATGCGCACAATAATCACATAGAGTGCGGCGGACTGAATATATAGTACGACGTACCTTTAGCGGCCTCCGTTATTATCGATGCACTGCTACATGGAGGCTATTTTCCGGGCCGGCTAGCTCATTTGCGCCAGTCAATCTAATTGCCACGCTTACCTGATCGTACCGAAGCAGTCGATAGGCGATATTTTTCTTCATTGCGTATGGGTTAGGTTACTACAGTCCAGTCTTCTCCGCTACGGAGCGCCGCCCTTCAAATCTAACTCGCTTTCCCGCCCCATAGTGCAGTTCAGTACTTAGAGATGTTACTAAGAATACACCAACGAGTATATCTTGAAACCTGAAATCTTAAACCACTATTTTTGAGTCATCTGGTGTAAGTCTAAAAAGAGTCATTAATATATTGTCGCGGGGGTATTTGAAGATATTTCCAACTCTATAAAATGCAAAAGCGAACCGTAGCCTTGTCTTGTAAATCCGTGAGCGGGCCAGATCCGCACATCGGGCGAATTGGTGGCTGAAACCCCTTGCGTTCGGTACGGGACAAGCGATGCGGTCTCAAAACATCTTAAAAAACTCCAACTGGGCTCATCGATGGGCTATTCGGCAGGGCCTAATATGTTTTCACAACATTTTCAAAACTGAAGGGATTGAATGGAACATCCAAAACAAGGTTTTGGAAGGACCGGCACGGGGCAGGGGTGTAAATGCCCGCCTTATGATAGGATGGAAGATGAGTAGGGAAGGAAGAGAGGCCGGAGGAATCCAGTAAGATATAGATAGAGATCTACAGGAGATCTCTAACACCTTACGCTTTTGAATCTTCCTAGAAACTTGAATGCGCCGGAAGAAAATTCCCTCAGCTAGAACCTTCAAAAATATACGAATGTCTTAAAAGATGGCAGCAGCCAAGCCCTCGCTTCAAGGCGTTGGCCCAAGAAATCGGTGACGCTTCCGATAATACTGGAAGCCTTCGAGCTAGATGGAGCAAGCAGGTTGCGGGATAGAAGACGCTTGCAGCTTCCGGATCGGTACCACAACCAAGAGAGTTAGAGACTACTATTTCGAAAAGTTTTCGCCGTCAAGCATCTGGGCACAGCTATCGGTGCATCAAGAATCAACAGCAGAAGGTATCACCATTAATGAGGCGGAACACGGGTTTTAGGATTGTAGAAGCTAGTAAATATCGTCTAAAGAGCCCAACCATCCTATGCAGCGTGATGGAAGCTTCGAAGGCTCTCGATTCCGTGATCAACCTGGTTGGGTTAAGCTCCTTTATGCGAGTTGCATTCGACAAAGTGGACGGTAAGGATATTTCTAGAGCGGGCGGATCCGAGTTCGATTTTCACATTGAAGAGGAACCAGAGTCAGTCAAAGGAAAGGCAGAGACTCGACTCCCTGTAATAGAGGTAGTAGTGGTTAACTAGATTGGATGATAATATCGTGGCCGAGTTGTCGGTCATAAACAGGATAACGAGGCACAAGAACTACCGTTACGCTGCACTGGAAGATGGTTGCCTGTGGCCCCTAAATTTTCTCAACTCTGTTTTCTTTATAAGATCTTATCGTCGGTATCTCTATAGCCCTTAGTGTGAACCTTCGATTTCGAAAAATTAGGAATTCAATATATTTTGGTTAAGCTTCTAGCCTTGAATTTGTTTTTAAGATCTACAGCTACTTGGCTGGGGCATAGGAGCTGCTTATGAGCGCCTAAGTTACTCCTGGCTTCATCGATTTTTCTTTAAATGGAATCTATACCTACAACATATCAACTAACACTTGAAGTCCTTTGTATTCGCAGACTCGGAATACAGGCTTAGATAAAACCGTAGGCCCTATAGCCTCGATGTAATTGAGTCATTTTAGAAATATTTGAGCTCTGGAGGTTCGGGTAAAGCTTGTGGGCAGTATACAAGGTATAAGATACAACAGGCTCAGGGCTCTTTAAATTCAAATCTGGGTAAATAACCTGATTATATAAGGGCTTGTAGGTAATAGTGGCATAGACTAATTTGGCGACATTGGTTGTAAGAAAAGAAATATTGGGGGAATCGTGGGTCCCGGAAGTTCCTCGGGAGGTTCCGAGGCTAGTAAGCCTCAAACGCGTATCAATGAAACCGATAACTACGGGCTCCTCGAAAGTATGAGAATTCGGCGCATGAAGGCTATCGAAGAATCGGAATGAAAGGCAAGGTTGCTCTTCATCATTTTGCTTCGAAAAAAGTGAAATTGCAATAGGATAAAGCTTCAGGTGCTTATAAATTTTGAAATTTTACTACCTCTGGTTTCGGCCCTCCGAACCATAGTCCAGTTCTATCCTAATGTCTTCGCTATCCGTCTTAAGAGATAAGAGCTTTTGCCGATTTACTTTAGCCATCATAAGGTCCTAGAGAGTGTGCAGTTTTTCCTCTATTTCTAAAATTAATGGAATTTATACAGGATCTAGTTAGCGGTATTTGTTTTATAATTTCTATAATGATACAAACTTGAGCCAGGTTGAAAAATTAAGGATTAAAATCAATTTCCCGTATAAAGGCTTTATGAGCACATTGGATAGCTTCCTTTTTTCGTGATAGATCCATATTATAAGAGTTAATCTATAGTCTAATATCTATAAATTCTTCCTGTTTGAAATACAATTTTCTGAGATGTCCTAATAATGACCTATGCGTAGTAGTGGGGATTCTTTTAATATAGAACCTACAGTAATACCCATCTGCTGTAGCGTCATATTCAAACCATAGGTCTTTGGGGTCTTCAATTAAATGTTGATTAATAATATATTCAGTGAATTCTTTGTATTAATATTTTTTCCATACTTTTCTATAATTCTTATGAAGGCCACCTCTGTATTTATACCCTCCGGTAAGGCCACAACCACAGGATTTCATATGCTGAGCAAGTATATCAAAGTTATTGAATCGAAGAATATGACCCTCACTATCAAAATGCAGTACACAGGGAGGGCGCAGGCGCTGTTTCTTATTTTTGGAGCTTGCCCTTTTTTGTATCTTCATTGGGCGTAACATATTTGCAAGATAAGATTCGTGTTGCCTTGTAGTGCGGAACCTACACAGACTACAAATTTTAGTTGTTAGGAGAAGGTGATCATAAAGACAAGGAAAATGCGGAGTATTTTCGCAGGAACATGCATGATTTGTGTTGGCAGACCGTTAATCTGGCTGGAGGATTGGTTCAAAAGTATAATGTTCTTGCAAGGTGTGTTTAGGTATTTGACTTGATGATATCGTGAGCTAGCCTGGGGTATTATGGATTTGATGCTGCTACAATGGTTAGATTCGTTATAAGCTAAGTACCTATATGTGCTTATGTATTTGGGGTAAAGTACATGAGTATATATTCTAAATAAGTAAGAAAGTTTACTTAAAATGGTATAGTAGCAGGCAATAAATTTTACTAACTTCTACGTGGTTTTAATTACTATCAGAAATTTCTAAACTTTATCCACTTACTAAAAGACCTCTCTTGTTATTATCCCTCGCAGATTTGTTGGATCCATGGCCATGGTATCCCTGGTGAACACTTTTAGAACAATTCAGTCTTGGCCAACGAGACCAGTCTCGGCACAAATTCTACTTGATGTCAGAATATGAGAAGGTCAACGCCACACACGTGACCATGAGGTTTCACAAGTGAGCACGGAGCTCACCTCGAAGGAACTCTCTGAGAAAAACTCTGCTCTGAGAACATGTATATAGATATATAAGGACCGAAGGACGCCTTTCGACCAAGAGAGAACTTAGAGAATCAATCAAGTAATCGAATATTACAACACAGCCTGGCCAAGAAATCCAACAAACTCCAACGCTCATATCTCTTACCTGCTAGGAGCACTTAAACATGTTTGTGTTTAATAATTCTAAGCTATACGCATACGGGTGCCCATTCAGTATGCAAGAGCTTTGCAACACATGAATAGCTGTATTTGACTGCACTTGACTGACTAGTGGTTGAGTCACCGAAATGTTTCCAGTTTAAACATTTTCGTTGGTAACCTTCGACACGTTCTCTGAGCATGGAAATCGTCGCACGCGTTCGTTTGCACATGTGCCCCCTCTCCCGGCGTATCATATACGTAGGCGCAGATCGAATGTAGCTCTCAGTTAGCCAAGACGGCATATCATAGAGTATAAGCTCGTAGATCAGAACAAATATCTCAAAACTACGCAAGAACACCTTGGCACGATTAATGGGACAAGCGCCATACCCAGACTTCATAGGTTATGTAATATTCATTCGAAACTTTTGTCTTTACTTTCACCTTATTTGTCCACTTTCTACATTTAACACCTCTGTGAGGATATCCGGACAGCAGTTTGGTATCAACTTGCCGGATAATTCGACTCCGCACTTTCGAAGATACATGCATTCATGGATACTGCCCCACAGACCTTACCTTTGGTGGCCGGGGGGCCTGATTCGGGCACTAAATACGTATTTCGAAATCAAAACCGGGTCAGCAAAGTACCCAGCTACAGTAAACATGCCATAAAAATTCGCAAAATGCGCCGAATAACATACACCACCGGGTCAACTGATATCGGGAGACGATTGCATTCATCGCATTCGAGATCTTCTCAAGCACAGACAAATGCCCGTAGTACTTCTTTTAAAGCTTCCGACGGTGGTAACGACGACCGTGAGGATCATGTCCAACCATTTCATAGTAGGGAGGCTGCGAGGGTAGTCTTGGATTCAGGAAGTTATCAATCTAGGCCAGAGCCGGAGCCAAGGCGCCGGTGGGAGCCAATCCGTTCAGCGTCTCCAGCCGCAGTTATTTGGAATGAGCACCTCGATTCCACGATGAGATACTTAACCCGGAAGGGTATTAAGTGGACTGCCTTACATCTGGGTCTTTTGAATCAAAAGGTTACCATTGCAGTTTTGTACGAAGACAGCGGGCCATGGGATAGAGAAGTGGTTGAACGAGAACTTCGATATTTCTACTTTCCACACCAAATCTTTACCGACATGGTATTTTCTCAGGCGAGGGTAAACAAAGGGGCTGCATTGGGAGCTTCTGAGTATAGCGACAGACAGTCTTGTGGGGCAGGCGTCGGTGTAAGGGGTGTGTCTTGGTCCGCTGGAACCGTCGGCGGATACTTCGAATCAGAGACTGGGGAATTGTATGGTCTTACTTGTCACCATGTTCTACTGCCAACGAAGACGCATCCAAATTCGAATGATGATAGGTCTGGATTTAGTGTAACAAAAGGTTAGCGCAACCGAACTTTGGCTCTACTATCGAATGCACATCAATATCGGCTCCTAACTCCTTTTTAGGATACCCAGAATATCTTGATACAGTCGGTCTCCATCATTCAGCATTTAAGCCAGAGGATGGCGCCATCGAAGTCGTCCAGCCGCCATGTGTGGACCATTTCGATACTCTTTTAGAGTTGCAAGCACTGATCAAAAACGCCGAAGAAGGGTTGAGGACCCTGAAAGCCAAATACGAAGTACTGGGTATCCCAGTTCCGAAAAACAAAGCAGAAAGTTGGCAAGCCATCATCAAGGACTCGTATAGACAATTGGCAGCAACTCAACTGTATAACCGGACTTTCGGTACTGTTATTTCTAGCTCAGGATATAAGATTAACCTGGAGACAAAAGGTTCAATCGATTGGGGGCTGTTCGAGATCTCTCGGAGTAGAAGCGTCTGGAACATGGTAAGTCTAGAAAATTTTGAGTCCTAGTGAGAAAAACACTTCGGAGGTGATAACTCTTTAACCGAGTCTATCAATCAGCCGTACTTAAACCTAGGGTGCATCCTATAACGTTCAAATTGCATTCCAACATTGAACTTGTTTGACGAATTCATGATAGATTCCAGGTGTCGATGCTGAAAGGCGACGAGGCTCATGGGACGGTCTATCGAGAAGCCGAATTGCCTTCAATGGTATTGCCGACCCCATGGAGAACGAAAGTGTCTTCAAAATCGGGAGGAAAACGGGACCAACGTTTGGCATAATCAATGGGGTCAGAGACGGTGTCAATCTAAAAGAGAATTTGGGGGAGACTAAAGAGTGGTGCGTAGTTGGTACGAACGGAACGGACTTTTCCGCAGCTGGTGACTCAGGGAGCCTGGTTTTTAACCAGAAATTTCAAGTTATTGGAATAGTTACGGCGGGCTGTGATTCCATGAGGGGACTGACATACATGACTCCAATCAAGTTGGTGCTACATGATATACTAAAAACGACTGGGATAAAGATCAAATTTTGGGACAATTTGTGAAGGGAGAGATACAACAAGGTCGACAGGGAATGCAGACTTAAGTTATAATTACTAGCGACTACCCAAGCTAGTTAGTACTTACCCACTTAATTTTCGATTGTAGGGTAAATTTGGATAGACACAACAGAGGAGATACGAGTCCTCGGGCTACGGCACCCAACGAAACGGCCGTTGTTTATCGGTTAATTACAGGTTGTCGCTCTAGCACCCCCGACGCATTCATTAGATATCGAAAGAAAAATAAATATCACTCTTTTGTGGAATTGCATCTTCGCTACAATTGCAAGCGTAACTGGTAATCACATACATACATTTCCGTATTATATACAGGTACCCGTCAAGCAATCGTAGAAGAGTTAAATTGCGACGGAGAGCGCGAAACAGAATTACTATTAAGATCATTCATATAGCCGTATGGTCTGGGTGATATGTACCTACCGTCCAATCCGACCATTATTTATCCGATTATTTCCAGCTGTTGAATCCATGTTTTCCCGAGTATTCATGATTAAGATCTTTACTACCGTAACCTTAGACCCCGGACCCCGGACCCCGGCCCAGCTTAGGGGCACTGATTTTGATATTCTTGGTTTATGAGAAACCCGACTGTAGTCGGAATCAACCTCCAGGAAATCAAGGCCACCTTCCCTAGCAAAATCAACAAACTCCCATCCGTCTATCAAAACACCACCACCTGTCGCCACACCGAAGACGACTAAACCGGCTGTACAGACCTCTGCGGCCTACCCGGTAAAATCTAATATTTCTGCAGTGATACTTTGGCTCAGCTCGAGGCCCGATTCGGTCTTGACAGTAAGTCGGAGATGTCCACAAGCAAGGACATTATAAGCTTCGGTATACAGCCGACCGCTACAATGACACCCCGCCACTTCTTACTTTCTACTCTAGGGATACTTGTGGCACGTCAGACCGCTCGTGTGATAAAAACAGCCCCATCATTAACGACGTCGACTAACCAGGCCTAAATCGCGATCAGCTTTAATATAGGGACATATATCTCTAGAGCCGGTCATGAATTTACCCCCAGCAGCATGCCGTAATCCATCCATCTTCCTCCGGATCATATACCCGCTGCGGCCAACCGAGAATAACCCCAGCTGTGTCAAACATAACTGATGCGGTATCAAAGAAATTACCTGTCCTTTCTGATACTTGTGTGAGCTGCAAAGGCTTAAAGCGGGAATGCATCATTCCCTTTCCGAAGGCCGTTCTAGAAGTAACACCTTTGAATTTAGCCTCGGAACCTTGTCTCGCGAATCCCATTCCTGCTGGAACCCTTGATCTACCATCGCTTTTGACAAGACTCATCCCGCCAGATGGGGTTCGCGGCATCTAGTAAAATACCTATAGCCGTAATGCGTGAAAGAAGGGAGAGAAGCGTCATTCCTAGGGGCAGTCCATAAGCCGAAAGATCTTGAGCCAACGAACTATCCCCGCTCACGCTCCCGTTTTCAATGCATTGTGCGAATGAGTTACCATTCAATCTGCCGCCAAGTTTTCGTGGCCTACATCCTCCGACAGTTTTCATCAACAGCGTCTTTGGGATAGTGGTGATGAGCCCCAAGAGATTAAAGAGGCTCAAATCTCGCCCACTGGTAATAAGCTTCAATAATTGGGAGAATATGAGTGGTTCGATGGTATATTGCCCTAGAACTTATACTGAACTGATACCCAGTCGTATAATTCTAATGAAAGTGTCGACAACGCTTTCCAGTGTACTTCGAGCGAAATCAATGGCATCCCCGGTTATTTTGGCCAGGAAACTCGCCAAACTGGGTATGGATGGAAGCTAAAGAACTAGAGCAATTTTTTGATTGCACCAGTAGCAATCTCCTCGGCGTCCCTTATTTCGCTAAGTAAATCGTCCCAGATCCCCTTGATAGTAGCGGCATCGCCATCTAGAGATACTTTATGGCATCAACATCTAAACTTCGAAAAGAGATATATACGCTGACAGTGGTAGATTTGAGCTTATCTGGAGGTGTGGCCATTGTGGCATTGGCAAAACATTCGTTGTGCTCCAGCTGATAGCCGACCCAGTTAAAGGCGACAGACGTATTTGAAGCAGAGGAGCCCCCTTGGGTAGTGGGTTCTGATCCTGCTATGCTAACCGTCTCGTTGCTTGTCAAGTCCCCAATCGAACTCTTTAGTTTATCTTTCGCGGTTTCAAAGAATGAATTAGTCAGTTCTTCAGCATCCTCTATCTTCTTGTCAGCGTAATCAAGCCCTGAGGTGATGATGGCAACAACGCTGTCAGAGGTCTCAAGGATATCGTTCCAGTTAAAAAAAATCCAATAAATTCGATAATCTTATCGAGGGCAACTTTAACCTTTTTCAACGCCCAAGTTACTCCGCGGGCGATTTCTGATGCCGTAGTGAGAGCGAAATTACAGACTTCACTGCCAACTGTGACAGCCGTTTGTACGGCCTCTTAGCAACTTTTTTGACGGCAGATTTTACTGCCTCTTTGACTGCATCAGCAATGGTTTCAACTAATTCCTCTGCCTTTTTGATAGCCTCGTCAACAATATCTCTTATCTTGTGGGTGATAACTTCTCCCGCTTCCTCGGCTGCTTTAACAGCAGCATCGACAGCATCGGCGACGTCATCACTAATCTGCCTCGCTGTATCAACAACCTGGTCAACTGTGCCTTTCACTGCTTCTTCGGCATTTTCTATTTGTAGAAATGAAAATGTCAATAATCACATAGTAGTCTTCGTGGGTCGAAGTTGAAAAGCAGGTGCAAGTCTCCCTGCAGGGGAGCTTACCAACTGTGTGGACTGTCCAATCTTCAGCGTCGTCCACTTTATCTTCCACCCAGTTCCGGGCATCCGGCGAGCCTCCAGTGATATCACCCTAGCCAAAAGAGTCGATGTCTATTACCGTGTCTAGCCGCTTTTAGGTGGGCGCTGAAGCGCATTGCTTCCTGGGTTCTTAAGGTCCGCGCATGTCCCGGGAGACACCGAAGAATCGATCAACGATGCACCCGTTTGTGTTTTAGCAGCTAGCAAATCATCACCGGATTGAAACTTCGACAATTTAGCCATAGGTTTTGCGGCCGGATCAATTGGCGAACTATTCACTATTATTTGCGCACGCGGATTTGAAGCTAGCGCGAGCGGTAGCTACAATTTCGATAGATCAATTTTGTGTTGAACGCTGGAAGCCTTTTTTGTTTGGATGAGCTTTAGCGATGCTGTAGACAAGAATTGTTCTGCGACCACGTTTATAGTACTAGTGATACAGCTAGCCCCCTCTAGTACTTCAGGATCTAGTAGGCCAGACGATCGTTACTCGTAACCCAATAGCCAACATCGCACACCCAAAATTTGGTTCCAGGACTGAGCCAACAGCATGCAGTATGGAGGAGGGTTGGATACCAACACCATAGAACAAAAAGGTTCCGTTCGCCAACCGCTCAAAAATTTATTCTATGCATTCAACTCGGCTGAGAGTCGACAATGCCAACCCAGGCAGAAAAAAAGATTGTAGTCTTGCTATCGGAGCCGAATCGTGGCTACGAGATTGTGAAATTGTTAGTATCCGAAATTGTGACTTCTAAAATTGTCTCGGGCGAGACAGAATTACGGCGCGCCATAGAGACCAGGCATGGTCAAAACTCAATTTGCGACAACCTTCACAACACAAAATTTAGTGAAGCTCAAAATTTCCCGTCGTTTTCCCGAACCAACCCGGTTTGGTTTCGAGACTGGTCGTTTTCTTGGCCAGTAAATCCGTTACGGCCACACAGGAAAGCCTTCGAGCCTGAATTAGAACCAGAAGGATCAAAACTACAAATATGTTCTACCGCGGGACTGGCCGACAAACATTTTGGTACAACACCATTCGGTACTATGAGTGCTCTAGTGAGAACAACATTTATCAATCTTGTGATCAACTAAGACTGAACATTTATGTCTTGCAGTACTGTTTGCTGCCTGTATCCCCAACAATACAAACTTGTTGCATCAAACCTGACGAATTCGTTAGATCAAATATGTTCTTGATGCGCCACAAATATGTTCTTGAGATACTACAAAAAGCCACTGGCAGTCCACTTGTCAAGATTTCCGCCTGTCAAGCCACAATGTGGCTAACGGCTCGCGGACGACCGGGGTTCGATTCCCCGTCTGAGAGTCTTCTTTTTTGCATTTTTTTTCTCTGGCAAACCAACAAGGAAAAACCCTGTACCCTAGCCTCGAATCCAGGCGCTCGAGGCGGAGCCTGTGCCCAGACTTTTACTCAGACCAGGATATTTTTGTTTGTCTCCCAAACATGACTATTTTCGACCCTTGCACCTCCAGATCTGTGACCTTCGTGATGCCTGGAACAAAGCTTAGGTCGTCTCCCCAAGCTTGAGGTGTGGAACTGGTTACGGTATCATATCAGGCCTGACAACAGTCAAGTTTGCATACGCTGCGTTGTGATTGCTTCGTGAGGGCTTCTCCGAGATTGTTCGGGATTCTTCTTCACAATACTACTTTTCGTATAAAAGTACCGAACTTATGCCTGGCACTAAGCTAAGTAGAAAGCCAAGAACCAATGCCAAAAAGTGTTTTCTTTTGATTATGCAGAATACGCTGCTGCACGCCAAAATATCAACCACGGGCACGGGTGTTCATATATAACAGAGGTTTTAAAACGTTTTATCGACTCATCAGCAATGACCTGAATTCCTACGCCCCGGAAGTCAAGGATCCGGGCTGTATTGTATATAACGCCAGAAGCTTGCCAGTGAGAAAGGCTATTAACGACAATTCAAATATTTAACGTTGCGATCTACGTAACGAACCATTTAAAATTTAAAACGTTTACACAACTATGGAAACGCCAGACAGACTGAGGACCATATTTGGACGCCCCATCATTCCTAATGAAGGGTTGTACCCTCACCCAACGGGGAGCTTCGCAAGGCCCCTTTTCTATCGCGAACAGTATCTCCGCAAATTTTCCGCGTCTTTCCGCGAGGAAGATGATTGGACAATAAAGATCACAGATCGCAGTTTTGTAGCGAATAAATTGAGGGAGGCTGCATCCGCAGATGGCGTTCTGCCGATATCCGGCAAACAGATTCACGTCTGGGATAAGGAAGACATAAATTTCATATACAAAGAATTGATGGAAAAATATAAGCCCTATGACGACGAACATAAAGAGACCCGGATCCGACCAAGCATCGATGGAGTTTGGAGGGTAGATGGATTTTGTGACGAGAATTCGAGGGGAGAGCTTATTAAAGGTTAGAGACTATTACACATTGTCATCCGCACCAATCCGTTGAGTATATATAGTGCTAAAGAAACCATAGCGGCTGTTACCCTTGAAAATAGCCCCCAGAAGAAATGGCATCCAGAGTCCAATCAACAACTTTTGGATCTTGTCCACCCATCGTGGTGGCCAATCGTTTACGGCCGTACAAGAACGATTGAAGGGGAGACCGTTTATCCACCGAAAATTCCTGGGAATGGCTACGGGAGAGAAAATAGCGAGTTTGATTATTCTACAAAATTCTGTTGGCTTCCTTCCGAATTCGAAATATCAGAGAACGGCAAGACTAGAATAGCATCTTATATCAACAACCTTGCCCTACCAGACCAAAACATCTTCTACCCGATTCTAGAAGACATATTTTCGAAATTTGTCCCTTTATTTAATCATGTTCTCGCTGATCTACGTCGCTACTTTCACGATTTTCAAAGAGTAGACTACCTGAATTATAAGGAATCCGACTCTGGGAAATCCGTGCCAGAAAATACCTATAAAGAATCGTTGAAGATGCTCCTTGCACAATTCGAAGAAGGCGAGGAGTTAACGGTCGATATAAAAAAAGAACTTAAAATATTTCCCAGGCTATTCAGAAGTCTTGCTATTTCTGCTCCGTTCACCAATAGACAAGTGCATATTACCAATAATGGAAAGACTGTCGGAACGGGCTGGGAGCCGCCATCTACAAAGCTTCTAGACTTTGTAAAGCTTCAAGGAACTACGGCAAGAGTGATCGTCAAAATGGCTACGATTATCTTAACTCCGGAGAAGCCAAAGTGGGAAGGGGGTCCGTGGCATGTGGAGGCGCTTAAGGTATTTCCTAAAACAAACTATTCAAGCGGATAAGTCTAACTATCCTTAGAATGAAAGGATTGTTGCAACCGGGATTTATTACTACGACCAAGAGAACATAACACCTTCCTCACTAGCTTTCCGCCGCGCACTCAAGAACATAGGCATCGATGGGCCTAAAAGAGAACATAAGGACAGAGAAAGGGACATATCAGAGATGTACAACACGAAGGTCAAGATGGATAGTCCTGCCTCCCAAGAAATTGGGAGCATCCCTACTAAGGTGAGGAACACGGCCAAAATATATTACAAGGATATTATGTTCGGCGAAAAGACGATCACTAATATGTAACAGGAGAATCGTGCCATTGTATTTCCAAATATCTTCCAACATCGAATTGAGCCCTTCGAGTTGGTCGACAACACAAGAAATGGCTATCGCAGGATCCTAGCGTTCTTTTTATGTGATCCGACTACTGAGGAACATAAGGTAAGATAATGGAGATGAGATTTTAAGAGTAGTAACATTGACATTGATATTGATATATCGAGTAGATCCCCACTACGAAAACAATACCTCCACAACAACCAGATGTTCAGGAGGCTATTATAAACATGCTTTGCAAAACCGGAGCTGGTAAACTACCTTTAGAACTGTTCCAGATAGTCACAAAGGATCTACCTCCAGCCATCTCTCTAGAGGAAGCTCAGAAGTACAAGGAGGAATTGACAGAAGAGCGTACGAAATTCCGTGAGAATAGCCGGGCAGTGAATGGGCAGCTAGTTGAATTGTGTAAGCTCCAATATCTTCTACATTGCCCAAATTTGACTACCAAAGCTTACATTAAATATATTCATGAAGCCCGGTGCGCAGATTAGTCTAAGGGATCGGATAGCACCACCTTTTCGCCCCGAAATACTGCAAAGGCTCCTGGGGTATCGGACACAGCTAATGGACGACGATCGCAAGCTCGTAGTAAATAAATAGTGGCGGAGAGTCTGAACGTTAGCAGGATTATGGCTTGCGGACAATACGATTTTATATAGTAAGGAAAGACCAAAAAAGGTGGCTACTAGAATAGAAAAAGACTGGTCAAGCTCGGGCTCAAGGCTAATACAACCGTTCAAGGGGAAGGAAAGGGCATACATCCAGGCGATGGAAGGTACACAGGGAGCGCAAAATCAGTAGATATTTAATTCTAGTTCATCTTTGTACAGACATGTAAGTGTCAATGGTTTTTTCAATCCAACAAACGTTTAAACGACATTTGAAAGAAAAGAGTGAGGTATTGAGAGCACAGATCCGTACCACATAAGCAAGGGTTGGTCGTCAAGATTTCCGCCTGTCAAGCCACGATGTGGCTGCTGCTAGCGTACGACCGAGGCTCTTTCTTTGTAGAGTGTTGACACCACAACAATTTAGTTAGACACAACAACGAAATGCCGAGTAGTCGATATCGCTATTAAGGACATTCAATCGAATACACACCATTATCACTGAGCTGTGTATTGTTACTCGGGATAGGAGCCCGCTAGCGGCTTCTACACTAAAAAATGACTCAACCCCCTAGAATTTGATTCAACAAAGCAAGGAACGCGAAGGCGAATTAGTATCTCTGTTTGGGGGTATCTTTTTCCCGCCGAGCAAAACAGAGCTGATATATTTTGTGGAGAGAGAAAACAAAAAAGTAGGGCCGGAATAATGGAGGTCTAGCTAAACCGAGCACATTCGAGGTCGCATACTACACTACTCTGCTCAATTAGTCTAAACGTGCTATAAGAGAGCTCTTCGACGAGGAACTGAAGTCTATTTTACTTGATAACTACATTTTGAAGGAACGTCCTAGGTAACTTACCATTAGAGTAATTTTTCCCTCTTAGGATCCTTTAAGAGGAGTTTCATAAGCTACGGGTAATTTTCCCGCATTATATGTATAATGCCCTGATCACCATCAACCGTGATCTGACGCGGGGCCGGCAGCTGCAGGTGGCCTATTCTGAATTTTTTTGGAAATCTTCTCGCATACTGGAAAGAAATAGGGTAGACGCGAGGAGGTGTCGATAAAGGCGCCAGCTCGAGGCCAACTAAGCCATCGCGCGGGCCTGTCCGCCGGTAAATACTACTGACGAAAGTATCTAAGTTGATGCAGCATATCCAAATTAGCAATTTCGCTTCGGCAAGTACCACTTCATAGTTTCACTTTTCGTCTTAGAATATAAACATACCGCTATTCCGACGCTTCTGAGGCCGTATATTTGGTAGAGAAGCCAGCAGCTTACGCCTCGGGCTAGCGTAGGAGTTGTGTCCTCGCCCTCGCTTCTTCCCCTCGGATGAAAAACAAGTCGCTCTATTCTTTCGTATCAGTCTTTATCCTCGGCTTGGTGGTAAGGAATTGTGAGGTTCGCGAAACAGGCCTGCAGGCCTGGAAACCCGAAGGGCTGGAGCTCTACTGCGACAGTTACGCGACTGCCGACTTGATTCGGATCCATGCGATAGTCGCATTAAAGATGCCTTGCTCTACTGCGATCAAACCGACTCGACTGGCAGGCGCGATCGTGGGAGGAATGGGAGCTGCAGGATAGGGATTAATGGGGCTGCTGGAGGAGGGTCCGGATGTTGGGTGTCAGCACCCAAGGGGTTCAGGTGTAATATTACTCGTTAGATCCTTCTTCCTGATACGCGTCGCGGGCCATCGTAACTACCGCTCAGAGGTGCACCGGTGGCTTGTCGCTAATTATTATTCTTCTTGCCTCAATCCAACCCTCAATCGGAAGTAGCAGTGATGGTGATGATGATGGCGATGACGATGGCGATGATCGTGGTGATGGCGGCGACGATGGTAATGACGGCGACGATAATAGTGGCGATAACGATGATGGGGACGGTGAAGACAGCTCTAGTTGGGAAGCAAATGAAAATTGAAAATAGAAGCTGGGACGGAGGTGCCACGTGAGGGTAATAAGGTCTTAAGAGTGGCGAAGATTGTGGCGATACTAAGAGCCACAGCGATGAAAATAGTGATTTTTCTCTGAGATTGCAGCTTATAAACTAAGTACCTAGGTAGTTACTATGTCATATAGACGCTGAGTTCTCCGTAGATCCGCTTCTGGTGGTACTATTTTTAATATATTAATATCATACAATTTAGATTTACCAATTGTCCCAAGACCTTCTTTCTTATACCCTGAGCATACTGAGGTTATGCCCCCTTCCTTCTACCATATTAAGCTGAGCAAGTGCATTCTCTAGTTAACACGGGCGGCGACTTTGGATACACAGAACATGCTTTATGATCATTTTTCAGCTGATTTAGAGCATAGTGATCATATTTATATAACCTGCAGAATAATGAAGGATTAAGTCAGCTGCTACTCTTATGGGTATCCCATAATACTGGTCTCGTAAACATTGGCGATCGATCAATGGTATTACCACGACGATTTTCATATTACACGAACCTGGGCCGGATCACCTCTCCGCGGCAAATATTTTGATACATGGCCAGGCGGGCTCCAATAGCAACGATTTAGCTTGTCGAGATTCATTAGCAGTATCCCGACTTCGGATAATATGATGTTCTGGAGGGGTACGGATCTAGATATACGGTTCGAGTTCAGCACTGCTTCTGAAGGGGTCTCACGCGATACCAAAAACGGCAAAAGCCGAAAGGGGACATGTAACAATTCCAACAAAACAGGAATCGCACGTCTGCGTTGCGGGCTGGCAGAAGTTGTACCATATTCACTCGGCCGGGAAGTATATGACACTAGTATCAACGACTGTTGAAGGTTGGCAGCTACTACCGACAATCATCAAGCTCGCAAACCGGCCTCCGCGGATACTAAGAGCGCATATAGTACGTAGTTACCGAGATAGGTCTTCACCAACGAGACCAGTCTTCACTGTTTCGCTCTTGATGTGTGCCGTTGTGAGCTTAAGGCGCTGGTCGAGACCGAACTTCGTGTTGTCCGGTATATGAGAACAAACGAGACCAGTGGATCTTCACAGCCGTTCACAAATGCCGTTGTACTGTTTTGGACAACAACAAATTCTTTTTACGGTCCGTTCAGGGGTTTTGTGAAGCGAAGCTTTGGCCAGAATGCGGTAGAATAGAGAAATCAGCCTTGCGTCGGACGGACTATGGTGTGTTGAGCCGAACCCCGCAGGAACATACAGGTATAGCACCACTTATGACCCGGGCCTTATTTGGTTCCATGGTTGAATCAAATTGTTAAAAGTTTGGAGCCGGGTGGAACTGCGGATGCAACAATTGCAATCCCAGAAAACCTTTATTATAATTAAAATATTATTTGCGTATGCAGAATTCCGGAAACATCGGCTTTCGAACCGGCGGTATGCTTTGCAATGTTTAGTACATACCTATATACGTATACGGCGTAGGGTAACGGTAATCGAAATCCGGTTAAACAAGTCTTCAGGAACCATTCACGCCGACCAACCTACAGCTAATAGCACGGAGTATTTACACCTTGGCAAGTTTAAACAAGCTTCCCAAGCTGATCTTAGCTCTGCTTGGTGTCGACTAACCCGTTAGACGGGTTTTACCGACCCCAATATCCTTGTCCTGACTAGACATCAAGGCTGTTGGAACTCATATTTCCGTCAAGTAATTGACTCGAGGTACAAGGCTTCTCGATCGTGACATCAATATATTCTAGAATAGCCTTCGGCTCAAAGTACTGTCGTCCCGACCGTCATAACCATCATAGCTAAGTAGATCCAGGCATGGACATCGTCGATATTACAACTCAACCCCGTATAACTATCTTGTTGGCCCGGGAATTCGGCAACGGGAGGCCTGAGTACAAATATCTTAGTGAAACTATTATGATATCCCGGGATGGTTTTACGTATAGCTAATTCTTCATGGACTTTATCTATATAAACCTCGAGCACTACGATCGAACGTGAATGAGATTCGACTAGTTCTCTATTCAAACATATAAAGCTGCCACCTCAAACAGTTCATTCGTATATAAAATAACCCACAATGTGGTCAAGACCGGTCAAACCTTTTCTTTTTGTCTTAAATCTGGGAGCCGTGCTAGTCACCGCTGGTCCGTGCGACATCTATGCTGCTGGGAACACGCCCTGTGTTGCAGCGCACGCAACTACTCGTGCCCTCTACAGCGCATACACAGGCGCGCTGTACCAAGTCAAGCGTGCAAAAGATAATGCGGTTACCGATATTAAACCAACCTCCGCCGGTGGCCCCGCAGACTCCGCAGCGCAAGACTCCTTCTGCTCTGGCACGACTTGCCTTATTTCCATCATCTATGATCAGTCTGGTCGCAACAACCATCTGACTCAAGCCCCACCGGGTGGGTTTAAAGGCCCAGCGGCTGGCGGTTACGATAATTTGGCGAGCGCCACAGCTGCCCCAGTCTACCTCAACGGTCGCAAGGTCTACGGAGTATTCGTGGCCCCCGGAACTGGTTATCGTAATAACAAAGCCACGGGCACTGCGAAGGGCGACCAGGCACAAGGTATCTATGCCGTGCTGGACGGAACCCATTACAACGGCGGGTGCTGTTTTGATTACGGCAACGCTGAGATTAGCAGCACCGATACTGGCAATGGACATATGGAAACCATATACTTCGGAAACAACAAAGTCTGGGGAACTGGTGCGGGCAGTGGTCCTTGGATCATGGCCGATCTTGAGAACGGTCTCTTTTCAGGTGTCAATGTGGGGAACAACGCTGGAAACCCATCCATAACCTGGCGGTTTGTTACCGCTATTGTGAAAGGAACGGCGAATTTATGGGCCATTAAGGGCGGCGACTCCACATCCGGCTCACTGTCAACTATTTACAGTGGAAAGCGACCAAATGCGAACGGATACAACCCAATGAGCAAAGAGGGGGCTATCATCCTCGGAATTGGTGGCGATAATAGTAATGGTGCTGCCGGAACATTCTACGAAGGCGTGATGACATCCGGATACCCCACCGATGCTACCGAAAACTCGGTTCAGGCCGATATAGTTGCCGCTAGATACTCCACCACCGGGGGCGGCACCGGCACCACTACGAGCGCTGTTCGTACCACCACGAGTGCCGGGGGTAGTAGTGGATCTTGCTCTTCCCTTTACGGACAGTGTGGGGGTATTGGATGGACTGGCCCCACCTGCTGCTCATCGAGTACTTGCACATACTCTAATCCATACTACTCGCAGTGCCTCTAAGCGGTGTATCTGTTATGCTAGCCTTAGGCATAGTACCTGTTTTTCCAACCCGAAAGAGTGATTTACATGATATCCAAGCAGAGAAATTTATTATCAATGTAATCTTGTACCTCTAAGCTGCAGATACATGCATGTGAACATAGAAAGTCGCGTAGCTAAGTATCCGCTAGTGATATCAAGTCGATGAGCTCACTCCTAGCTAAACTGGCTTCCGCAAACTTGGCATCTCTCCTTTCCAGACAAAAATACTGCACGTTTAAATTTAGAATATCGGGCCTCTACTTTGCTGTTGTCTATCTATGAAAGACTTGGTCTGGAGGCAAGACGGGTGCGAGTTCAGACAAGACTAAAAACATTTGATTATATCTGCTTAAGTATCTAAAATACTCTTTTTAATTTTGAGAGCGCGGAAAATATGTTTTTACCAACAATTAGTCTAAATAATCCTAAATATTATTTTCTTCCCAATATAGCCCGAGGTGTAGTCCCGGGATTGTTGAACTTGGTTTAATAGCCAAGTTGTCTTTCTTGATTAAATTAGTACCTAATATAAGCGTATTCGGGGCAAATAGAGTGGAAACTCCTTCCAGCCAGCATCTTCCGCCCGTTTTTAATTCAATAGTGCAAATGTTGTTGATAGTATAGCAATTTCACACGTAGGCCGTGAGATGATCTGGAAACGTTTTATTCTATGACCCTCTTCTATGGGGGCTGCTAGAAAAGATCCGAGTTTTAATGGGGGTTTTCCTATTAGAAGGCAGCAGTAGAGCAGATAATGCCGTTCTGATCAGATATTAATGCGAATGCGACGAGGCTTCCCCCAGCAACACGCCTCGGTGGACCTATTATTTGCTTCGCTCTATACCAAGGGCGAAGTACGGCCATTAAATTAGAAAAATTATTTGCCAGTTTCGAGAGATTACGTCGCCTTTGTCAGTGTACTACCAGGTATCATATCAACGAGCAAGCCAAAGAGTTGGCGAGGGCCGACATCTGCTGAAACAGCAGGTATATTATATAGCTGCATGCCAGAAGCATCGCACTCGCGGACCGGCTCGATTAACCAAAATTTTGCGAAACCCTGCCTAGCCGATGCATGATTAAGGCGAGGCGGTAGTGTCTTGGATACACTCTATACGGGCATATTCCGTGCATCAGTTTGCTTTCTCAAAACGGCAGGCGGAATTGCTTACGCCCGCGGTCGAGTATCTCTCTAAGCAAATATGATATTGCTATTCGTCGCTGTCGCCCATCGATAGGTTTAATAAATTTTATTTTTCAAACTTATTCAACACTAATCTTTGTTTGAAAGGTTTAATACAAAACCTTGACTAGCAATTAGACTAAGTCTTCGTGTTATATTTAATAGCTATACGCCCTGGTCGTGCAAAGCACACATACAGTGTCGTTTTTTCGATAAACTTGTCGGTGTGTCCCACCCTGGAGTTTTTTTGGGCGGCGCTGGACACGAGACAACAACATATAATTATATATTATATAGCTTATATGTTGCCGGCTGATCACTTCGATGTTTCAAGGAGCTTTCTACCTAGTCTCATATTGCAGACGCGGTCCACACTTTTTGTGGAGTCTACCCAACGTCTTGCATGCTTATACAGACATAATCTCCTATATCCTAGGTAGGAAACCCAGCTAGGTATGGGGAAGGGCCCGTAATTCTTTTAATTGGATGGAGGAGTCAAGTTGCGCAGTTTTGGCTTTCTGAAATGACAAAAGGCAAAGAAGATAAGAGGCATACTGGATTATTAGCTAAAAGGCTTCGCTTGCTTTAAATTAAAATATTGCAAAGTATATAAATTGAACAGACTTCTGCTGCTGAGACCCTAAGCGCACGTAGACTGCAGTACTGTTGACCAACTTGAAGCCGCTTTCGATCGTTTGGACTTTGGTTTAATACTATACGTTCTATTTAACATATTTGCCATCTCGTTGCGAAGATATTACGTTGCTCCTTACCCACTGTGCTCCCTATATCGTCGAACATGCACATTTACACGGGCAAAGTCACCAACGGGGACGCGGAAGCCTCAGGAGAAGTGGATGCTATTCTCTTACTAGCGGATGCATTCAGACCAAACAATAATGGATTTATCTTCTACTACCCAGGGCAATTCGCAGCTCCAGGGGGTGGGCAGAGCGCTTTCCACGCGGGAAATTATGCCGTGTTGGAAATAAACCCGAACGATAAAACGCTCGTCAAGAAAGCTACATACAAAGCAGACGGCGCTGACCTGACGTTGACAAAATCGAACGAATCTGATGACGAGATCTTTGTGACGCTGAATGCCGGGGACACCAAAGATCTTACCATTTCTCTAAAACTTCTTCAAGTCATCGATCGGCCTGCAAACGCAGAGCACACCTCGACTTATACCGGGTTAATCTCCGGAAAGAATGGAGATAATCACATAATCTATTTGTCTATCCCAGAGAAAGGGGCGGCAGAGAAATACCTATCTCTCTTCAAGTTTCACCTCGGACGCGAGACCATCGTGGAACGACTATTACTGGAATTGTCGGATGATAGGAATATGAGAAAGGACGAGAACAGCTCTATTGAGATATGCGCACGCAACGGTCAATATCATCTTCGTGCGCAATTGCAAGACGGAAAACCGGATGCATTATCTCTGCGGCTCCAAAAGGGAGGTGTCACTCAACATCTATCAGATGCGGTGACTTTGATACGACACAATGTATTCGATGCACCTTTGATCATTCCAACCATCCTCACCCTTGAAAACGATGCCTGTCAAGCAGCCATGTATTATGTGGCGAATAAACCTATGCACGACTCTGAAGCAGCTATCAATATGACGACGGATATCGTTGCATTAGCTAAAGAAGGAGCCGAAGCCGTGCCAGGTGTGGGAGCCCTTACCTCACCCTACGATTTGTGGAAAGCCTCTATAAAATTCTGGTTCGACGGGATCAAGATAGCCCAAAAATACCTCGGGGATTTGCCGACGACCGGGTTTATCTCGCCAGGAGCAAGCAAGACGTTTTGGGATATCGACCAGAACTTTACAACTGGCGCCACGCTTAGGATTACTATCCCCACATTCAAGCCTACTGGCGATGACGACTATAAATACCCTTACATTCTTTATACCTGGTACCAGAAAGACTTCATCAACTACGAGACTTACATTGGCAACGTAAAAATCAACGACTTTTTCGAGGCACAAGGTGACTGGGGCGGCCACAATCTCAGACTTCGCTCGGAACCGAAGGCACTTTCCCAACGTCAGATCGCCGATGGCTGGACTACAGGGATTTTTAAATTTCCCCTTGTCCAGCAAAAGTATGCACAAAACTATCATGCATTTAGAGTACCAAACCTTCGATTACACCCTGATTACGCCGAGGATGTGGATACAAACTCAAAGGATTCCTGGATTAACGATGCATTCTTGGACACGGTTAACGGGAAGCTGTTTCGAAAACCTTTCGATCCTAATAACAGCTTGAATATAGAATCGGGTACCTGTATTGGTTTTTTAAGTCGAAAAGATTCCGCCTTTGTAAGAGGAAATGCGATGGATTGGTCACCAACATCTACAGTGATGCCAACCTCAAGCCCCGGTGTGATCGTTTCCTTTATCGAGAATTTTGAACCAGTACCCGAGGATCGGAAAACGGAGACAGCCACAGATTATAATAAACGGCGTGCAATGACATTCTCCCGTAAATTGATTATTCTCGCAAACGCTGGCCTAGAGGCGGAGGATCCAAGCGATACAAGCTTGACCGTTGAATTCGATACCCCATTAGAAAATCCATTGGGTGACACAAAGGGCGATGATCCCAAGGAATATTTCAAAGATCTCAAAGCCGCTCTCATAGCCGGTTTGAAGGAGTCAAAAGATGACATATACAACTACCAGAAAAGTTTTTGGGCATATGACTTTCAGGTAGCCGATTTTGAGAAACAGTCCGGAAAAATGCGTGGTTGGCTATTTAAGGCTCGCCTAAAGGAGGCTGAGAGGTACCGAGGGCCAATTAATATCGTGCGCAAAGAGGATGGTTCTTTTGTCGTCTTCATGGTTGAACATGCGTCCCCTATCGAGTTTTCCGACTTCCGGGATAAACAAGATATCACGGACCCTTAATTTACTCTTAGCGGAGCTACCAACTGAGAGATGACTTGAATGTGCATAATGAATTCAAGCAGTAAAAGCCCCGGCGCTGTGCCGATTTTCCAGGTCACCTTGTCAAGACAATAGATTTCTGAGATGAGCCCGAACAATAGATTTAAAAACTCTCCCCCAACATCCGTTCTCAAAGACAGGCAAAAGTATTTGGATGAAACGGTTAGCGAGGTTACCATAGTTACGTATATATCGAAATACCAAGCTAATGATTTTTTCTCTATAATTCGATTGGGAATGCTTATCCATTACCCTTAAATCTGCCGGTAATACTAGTCATTGGGTACTTCTGTATACAAATATATCATAGCCTATCAATTTTCTGCTGATCAGCACGCGGACTGACAGTGGGTCTGTACAAGTCATTTAGAGGTCCGGCCGAGCAAGCCGGACATGTTGGGGGAACTCTAACCCACATGTTTAGTTTAGAAGGTTGGGACATTAATGAAAATAATAGCATTATGCATGTGTTATATCGTAGCCGCACCACAGCGTATCTATGATATCCACGCAAGAATAATAAAGAAAAAGACAGGGAGTACGGCCATATATTGATGCATATTGATTTCCTCCCATGTAGGTTAAAGTTTTGAAGGTTTGAAGATCTTCTGCTAGGCCTTGGGTTCCGATTGCGATCTTAATGCAGATACCCGGCCGCATGTTTGGCGAGCATGTGCGTGTGAGTAAATTAATACTTCCTACTATAGAATTCGCCGACCGTTTATTATCACCAATTGAAGAACAAGCAGTTATCAAAATATTCCGTTAAATTTTGACAGGAGTTGGTGGGGTCGTTTATTTTGCCAATTGATTTATTATTAATTAAATAGTTAGATTTTATGAACTTGAAAGTATGCGTATCTGGAGTAAATGAGAAATCGTGCGTGCTCTTGGTCTATAGGCCACTGGGTCGAATTTTAGACCTGTAGCGCGTCGGAGTTGTGTAAAAATAAACAGGGAAATATGCCTCCACATAGTGAAGTTCCTTCGGTAATAATCGCTACCGGTAACGAGTTTTCCATTAAGCATTCCTCTAGGTTTAGCCGTTAATTATATAAATATATTTCTGCACATCGAATCCGGCCTCTTTTGTGGCAATTGTCTCTCCCATGAAGTATTTGCCTGCAATCCAAACCCTGTCCATCAATAATTTAGCCAGACACCACCCATTACCCATCCATGACCTCAGAATAAAAGGTGAGAGAAATGAGGAAGTAAGTTCCACTAGAATCATAGTTTTATTAAGGGGATGATTCAAACAGCCGACCTTGGATTGGATTCAGAATGTCGTGGGAACAATTCAATTTCATTAAAATGACTTCTTAATATTACACAAGATCTCAGACAATAGTTTATATGTAAAACCCTAAGATCTATATAAAGGTCTTGGGGGGAAAAAAAGCCGTTATAGATTTGATTCATATATATACGAAAGCGTTGTATTTCCGTGATTTGGTATACTAGCAAAATACTATTTTTGAAAACAGAAAAGCGGCTGTGTTCATCTCTCACCCAAAGAAGGCAGGGAAAGTCTTTTTGTTCCATGTAGATGTATATTCAACAGCATTGTAATACACTATAGAATCTAGATGCAGTTTATCTGATCTAGCTCCGAACACACGCACGATATGAGTTGTGTCATAGGCAAAGTCAGGTTTGGAAGAATCAATTGTTACAGTAAATTTAATAATTATAATTAGGTAAAATTATTGTCTTTGTGTGTATAATGGGTCCAACCTTAATGTGCACGTGTATAGCACTAGTTAGAACGGCTGCCCTACTTCGACGATGAGTATCTCTTATGTTCGGCGCACAATTGAAATAGGCTTGTGAAACAACTTAGACCTAATATGAACAGCGGCTACAGACTTGGACCGGGAAGCTAGACTGCTTTTAGCTGGAAGCTTTCCTTCTTTATATAAGGGCCACCCGTGGTATATGTAAAGTCAGCCCCATATATCCGCATGAGGTAATCCGCCGGATTCGAGCCAGCAAATCCAAAATCGACGACGGGAGAGGTAGTTCCCTCGCCCTGACAAGTGAAGATGTTGTCATCAGGGTTGATTTTGCAAAGAACCGGGAAGTGATCTGCTGGGAGGGAAACGGGGTTTCCATCGCTTAAAACTTTGAAAAACCGTTGGTTATTCGCATTTGTCGACTTCTTGACGGTAAGGAGCCCGCTATTCTTGCAAGTAATCCTCCTACCATCGGGATCCGCAGGCTGTGAAGCCGACCCACCGATGGGGGAAGGAGGAGCCGGAAAGCTAGGTTTACGGTCAGGGTGAATGATGAAATCAACAGCCTGGGCCAAGGGCGTAGGCTTGATGAAGACTGTATCAGGGGCGGTCGAAGTGCCAACATAAGACCCAGCGAAAGAGGCTCCAGTAAACTGTAGCTTGAAGGAGGTTGCTATGACCCAGCTCAGCGGCGTAAATGTCGTGATAGCAGTTGTGACAGTGTAGGTGGTTATATGCGTCGACGTAGTTTCTCTTTGGGTTGCTACTGTGAAGCCCTTGCACGAGCAAGCGTGGGAGAATCTCGATGCTGGTGACCTAGCAGTTCCCTTTGAAGTAAAATGGACGCATGCGGCGGCGGCATACGTTGGCAGACTGGTGGGAGTGATAGTTATCTCGGTGGCCAGGGGTGGTGATGTTGGGACCAAGCCGTCTGGGATTGGGTTCGGTGGGGCGGGGTCATCCCGCTTTACTTTGCCAAAGGCACGGCGCCTTCGCTTCTGTGTGGGGGCAGGAGCCCCATAGGGATAAGAAATCGACGAAGTCTCAGTGGGGAGCTCCGGCGCCGGGTCCCCTAGTTTAATAGTAGCTGTACGGGTCTCGGCGGTAGTGGTTGTCGTCGACGTTGTCTTTTCCCATGATGTTTGAGAGCTTCATGAAGGTTTCCCGGTTAGTAATCGGGATTCAATCGTTAAATATGCTTAAATAGCCCCCAAAAAGGCTAAAGACTTACACAACAGGAGTAACAGTTGCAGAAAGGAACGAGCTGCAGTCCGATGCGGTAGGTCGATTTGTGAATGCAGACGCGATCACCGCTAAATTTGTAAGAGATATGGTTAGCATCGTATCGACAGGCTAAAGAGAACCATTGTATTAGGCGGACATACCTCGAACACAGTTGTTTTCAGGACAGTCATCAGCCTGAGCGCCGGCGGCGGCCAAAAGGCCAACGAGCGAGATTGCGTACTTCATAATGTCAAGAAGAGGTTGGTTTTTCGATTGGTTTAAGCTTAGATTCCGTGTTATAGTCAAGATGCGTGAAGCGCAATGATGAATATCTTATCCTACGGCCGGGTTGGGCCATTATTTATAAAATTTGGAATACGGTGACCTAGTGTCTGCCTAGGCTTATCACTATACAGTGTTAGCGCGAGCTCGATCAGGGAGAATAGGGAGAAAAAAGATATCATGGAATCCGTTCCTGCTAAAATTCTAAGTTACACTGAGCCTGCATTTCATTTTTTTTGTTTTGCTGCTCTTGATATGCACGGGTGGGCCTTGGGAGGATTAAGTTTTGTGGTTTAGGCTAGCGGCTCTTATGTGGCTTAAGCCACGCATGGCCGGAATAGGCTGCGACTGCGATGCGGCACATCAGTTGCGCGGGACTTGAGGCATATAAGTGTGGAGTATGATGGAGAGACCGAACACTGGTTTGTGTATATTATGATATCGACATATATGGCCTGGATGTCCGAATACTTACTGAGGGCTTACCTAGTTCCTTTTTTTATTAACATCTCGTTTTCCAATCCCAAACCTTGGCCTTGACAGGCTGTGCAGGTACCTTGTCCAGGAACAAGTTTCGTGTTAAGAATAATAGGATTGGTAGTACTTTGGTAGTTGACTGATTGGTTATCTAACTAAGTTCTAAGCTACGTACAGGAGCTATTATTAATCAATCCATCCTTTGTGATCTGTTAGAGAAGGCAGCCTCGAGACCAGGCGCTTGAGAAGGTAAAATACCACAAAGTGTTGTGCGGTGTGCGGCACAGAGCTAAAGACCAGCTGGCCAGTACGACCCTTTCGCGAACGCAAACCCCTGGGCTAGCCCCATATAGGCCATCTAGTCCGGGCTCTCGTCAATATTAACCGTCATTTTTTTGTATATTAAATCTTTTGTCTAAACTATAAAAAGCAGTTTAGAGCTTGAAGATTCTAATTATCAATAGCTATTCTTTGGTGTGTTGTCAGAGTATTGCACGAATAGGGGCATCTTCACTCCAAAAAACTGGGCTGCTGTGTGCAACAGAAGAACCCCGTTAGATTCGACCTAATATTCCGAATTCCACGCCACGCGGTTCTCGTAACGTTCAGCAGTGGAGCTGAAGGTGGTAACTATTTACAGGTCAAATGGCGGGCTAGGCCCCTGCTTAGTCTTTTGCCATCATGTTGATCGCTCTATATCCGCTAAGAGCAAATTGCCCCTACACACACGGGTATATTTCGCCATAAGCTGCAAGCCCATTTTTGCTGTCACAAATTCTCGCGAGTTTAGTCACAAACGTTTTAGCCCACTCGTTTGCTATTATGTACTTGTAGTTATCAGCTTCGTGGAACGCCGTATGGCGGACTATGCCCAGTCGGCAATAGTTATGAATTGTCATGCCGCCTTGGTTTCTAAGAGATTTCGCCCTTCTTAAAGGCGCCCGCCCGCGCAACGCCTGGGAAGGCAAATTGCGCGTCTTAAAAGCTACAATCTCCGCTTGCTGTTCTCAAGTCGCTATAGTATATCAGTTTACGTAATTAATAGGAGGGTTAGCACTTCGGCATGGCGGCGCCCTAACATTGAAGGTGGAAGGCATGTTCCGTTCTCAAGAATAGATACATTTGCATGGCCTCGAGGCTAGTACATGCCACGTTCGCCATGTTCTCGTAACAGTCAAATGAAGTCAAGTCGCTATTAATTAATCCTGGTGTTACTATCGTAATTCTATGTAACCCCTCTAGGAAATCTAGTATGGAAACCTGTATTAAAGCAAAAGCGTTTAGATTGTTTCGAAAATATACAATATTACGTAATTAAGTTTGAAGAATGAAAGTACTCTTCCCTTTTAAAAAGACAAGGCTGCTAGCGCTGTGAATGTTTTCAGGGATTTGGTTATAATATGGGTAGCTAAGGTCCTTCCCATAATATTCCAAATCTGAACCCGAAGCGTCCTAGCTGGATAATCCATTGACCACAAATGTGATAGGGTGGAAATCAGCCGCATCTTCCACTATTACAGTACTCTATCTCAGGGGAACTATTTCCTTAATGCGACGGATGCTAGTTAATGCCCATAGAGAGGCATAATACTACATAGCTGTGCGACGTGGTACGAACCCACTGGCGTGATTGTTCTTAACGGGCTTGTTTCCTCTTCAGATCCTAATATTAATACCCGTCTGATTATGATTTCAAGGTGTCTAGCCTAGTATATTTTGATAATTAGCTTCTAATATCCAGAAATATAGTCTGACGCGAGAACAGTGGCAGGATTGCTACGCTTCGCGTTTGCCTACCCATTTCTTCTATAGCTTCGCTAACACTAGTTAGAGCCTAGTAGACATGAAATTTCCTAGAACGAATATGCACTACCCATTTTGGCTAGCACTAAACCAGGCAACATGTGCTCGCCGTCAAGATGACACTTTGACAGCGAACTCCGAGACCATTCGGGCTCCGCAAATTTTACTATTCTAGCTAGGAAGACGTACAACAGGCTGCGACTCCATATACATCGCTTATTTTATCTCCATAAATCCTCTTTGCATGTGGATCAGAACCTTGATTGCAGCTTCTTGTTATTTCTTTTTCCTTTTCCCGGTTTTTTTTTATATAAATATCCGCCTGGATGCGAGGGAGGCGTATCGCAAATAAGCTGAAGGATTTTGTTATGAGGTTAGAGCCCCACCCCTGGCGCTAAATTAGTGAGTCTAGAGCCCCACTAGGCCGCTGAATTGATTCTGGAAGGATATGCGGCAAACGGCACACTAGCGGCAACAATCGTGCATATGGAATGGGTAACGAAATATGCATCCCGTTCGAGGTCTAGAGATAATCTCGTTCCCAGGTCTAGAGACATCTAATTTGATTTACTCAAAATTGAGTTTGGGGAACCCGTAGGGGGGTGGCAAAATTAGATCTTTCAGAAAACCAGTAATACAATTGTTACATTGCGAGCCCAGATTTGGCACGCAAATTAAGAAGGTTTGGCTACGTCGGTCTTTATGTCGAACGTGGGAATTCCAGAACTATACAAAATATGAAGCGCGTCAGCCTTGTGAAAATTTTTAGGTCGTTTTCAATGGCTGAGTGGTGTTATCCACTCAGACTGTCTGATCCGTCGGGACGCATCACCAAACCAAATCTGGTGGAATTAGGATGTATATGATTTCGCGAGGTCCAGGATGCATCCTAATTTGGCCTCAGTCGCCGCCCCGAAGCCCCGCTTTAACCAAGTTTATTTTTATTGGTTGATTAGGACTCTTCTTCCATGGCCAGGGATATCCCAACACAAAAGCTTAAAGGTCCGTTATGAAGCTGGGAATATCCCAGGTTTAGCACGAGATTGCAGGCTAACCAGTGCTGAGACTAGCTGACTAGATCTGTTACACAAACCATTAAGCTACAACACAACAACGCATACTGCCAGCCTCAAAGTGTGGGATTTTCGTAGTCTAGGTGACCCTTCTTGTGTTGGTATCCAGCTGAGGAAACAGGTCCTACTTGGCGCAACAAACACTATTTGTCAGCCTCGCCACGACACTCGACACGATCATGCACGATACCCCTACCTCTACCCTCACCTTTACCTTTATCGCCGCAACCCCGATACGCCTATGGCATTCCTAAGGCGTATAAATAATGAACTTAAAGCTCTACCTTAATGTAAATATGTCACCGTTTACGCTTGCCTTTGAGGATTCTCTCCATGTTGTGACATGACCGAAATGCCTTATTTGCGCCGACCGAATCAATCAATCATCCGTGAATGGAACTTTCAGAGCTGGGGCTTAGTCGTGCACGATGAACCAAGCTAGTCTAGTTGTTTAGACGGGTGCTGAACACACCAAAACGAATTGAAGCGGGCATAAAAAAGATATTTTAATAACTCACATTTACGCCTTTACTACTGATCTGCTATTGTTCAGGACGACTAGTACCGATTTTACTTGAAAAGTCATTATATTCGGTGCTTGTGTGCGTTGTCGGTGATCATGGTTGTATAACGTGAAGTGCAGCGCATATATATAATGGCGAGACTTGGATCAAATACCGTTTAAAAGGATTTTTTGTACTGTATAGATAAAAAGACGAACTATACACTGCAAATATTGCAAATAACAGCGACTAAAATAAAACATAACTATTCCGATCGATGCGGGCGGGGTATGTACGTGAGATGGCTATTGAGCCACCGTGTATGCGAGGCTATTTGTGGCAAATTTCATATAGATGCCAAAACTGAGAGCGGAGAGCGGAGAGTATTTGAATGTTCGATTTTTAAACATGAGGGTACCAGGTATCCAGGTAGTAGCGTTTAGGGCGGCCGCACTGCCGGAACCTTGTGGTGTCATGTCTCGGATTTCTAACGCTGCCGCGCTTATTCAAGAGACCATTGACTAACTCAACTTAACTATTGAACAATATATGTATAGTGGGCCATAGAGAACATACTACATGTTAGGGCTCTAGATTTTGCGAAGTCTGGTTTGAGACAAGTTCTAGATAGGTTCGATTAATAACTGGCCTATATATATCTTGTAGTGGATAGTCTCGGCCTATTATGATATAGGTTAGTTTCGTATTGCAGACGCGGTCCACACTTTGGGTATAGGTAATGTAAAAGGATTCATAAGCCCCTCCTACAGGTATTTATAAGTATTTACTCCCACGTGGAGGGTGTTTCGCTCGAATGTAGGTTTGAACGAGGTTTGAACTCTTTAGGCTGTATCACTCGAACTATATTCGGTAATCACCTTAGTTGAGAGCTTCAATCGTTCTTGCTGTTAATAAAATAAAATAAAATCGGAACTAGGTTTGACCTGGATAAATGTTTCCTGCGGGCTGGGTTCTCTCGAAAATATCAGTAGAGCGTAAAAACTACTATTTAGATATTTTATTAAGTGCAAAGAAATACAACCATGAGCCCAACTAGTTCCTTGATGGGATGTGCCCAGCCTCAGCCGTGCCTCTCGAGCCTAGTACTAGTACTAGTACTAGAGAACGCCGCCTATTCCAACGGTTAACAAGAGAAAAAAAGAAGACGACAATAGGAAGCCTTATAATCTTATTTCCGAGTTGTCCTGGTCGGCGTTAGGATGTGCCGCAGTTTTGCATGTAAGTGCAGGGATGGTTTTCCCAGCAAGATCGTGTATGCGATAATCATTCAGCCTCGTAGTTAGGAACGAGCGAGCGGGGTCGCCTAAATAATATGATGACGAACATCCTGTTATCCCGCCTGTCGCTCCAACAGAATTCTCAAACGCATGATTACTTCTCTCTCCTCCTCCTATTTTATTCATAAAAAGCGATGGGTCGCCGGCTTGATAAAGACGACTACACCATCGCGTGGATATGCGCACTAGACGTCGAAGTCACCGCAGCGGTCGCAATCCTTGACAAACAACACAACCCACAACCTCAAGATGAAGCAGATAAAAACGCGTATATACTGGGTGAGGTTGGGGATTACAACATAGTAATCGCATGCCTACAAGCCGGGAGTTATGGCACCACGTCAGCAGCGGTAGCTGTGACTGGATTATGCCGGAGTTTTCCATCGGTAACTGCTTGCTTGATGGTCGGAATCGGAGGCGGGGCACCGTTTCTGCCACAACGAGATATTAGACTCGGAGATATAGTTGTCAGCGAACCCGTCGCGGGTGTAGGACTTGGAGGAGTCGGTGGGGTTTTGCAATATGACTTTGGGAAAACGGTTGAGGATGGCAGGTTCGTTCATACGGGAGTGCTAAACAAACCACCGGAGCTGTTCCTTACGACTTTGACGAAACTGAAGGCTGAATATCCGGAGAAGATATTCAGCAAGAATATCATTGATAAAATTTTGAAAAGAGAGTCGACAGCTCCAAAGTTCGCTCGTCCTCCTGATGATAGCGATCGGCTTTTTCAATCGGAGTATGCTCACCCTGACAAGGATGTCTCCTGCGATAAGTGCAACGTTAGCGACGTGGTCCAAAGACCCCTTCGTGCGAGGTATCAATCGGAACCATACCTTCACTATGGGTTGATTGCGTCTGGAAACCAGGTTATGAAAGATAGTATCACCAGAGATAAACTAACTAAGGATACCGGAGTCCTATGCTTTGAAATGGAAGCTGCCGGACTGATGGATAAGCTCCCCTCCCTCGTCATTAGAGGCATTTGCGACTACTCGGATAGTCACAAGAATAAGATATGGCAGCCATACGCAGCCCTCGCGGCCGCTGCTTTTGCAAGGGAATTGTTAACTCGACTCCCGCATAGGGGTATGAACAAACTGATCAAAGTCGAATTACTTTGGTCGATGTCCTTTCGCTAACGGCGTTCTGCGGGAAATAGAAAAAAAGGAGAGAATACGAGCTGTAAAATGCGAAATTAAGTTACAAAGAGCTGAAGAGGCTGCATACGGGAGTGCCGCGGATCAGTACGAACCGGAGTGCTTGCAAGGAACTAGAACCGACCTATTGGAACAAATCACGCAATGGGTAGAGGACCCGAGTGGAAAATGCATATTCTGGATGAGTGGGATGGCTGGTACTGGAAAATCTACGATTTCAAGGACAGTGGCGAGGTCGCTTCAAGCTCGTCATCAATTAGGGGCTAGCTTTTTCTTCAGGAGAGGCGAAGCTGATCGCAGTACTGGGAGACTCTTTTTCACTACAATTGCCTATCAGTTAGCGAACCATTTGACCAAGCTGGGGTCATCAATCGTGAAAGCAGTTGAGGACGATCCCGGAATCTCGGGTAAGAACTTCGCGGAACAATTCGACAAACTCATCTTTAGACCTCTCGCCGGGTTGGAGCCCGTTTCGGATAATTCGAGGGAAACTATCGTCCTGCTAATCGATGCTCTGGATGAATGCCAACGAAAAGTGGACATACCGATTATTATTCGCCTTCTCGCCCTTTTACCGGAAATACAAGGGATTAAGGTTAGAGTGTTCCTGACAAGTAGGCCGGAACTACCTATACGTCCCGCATTCAAGAAGTTACCGGGAGGCACATATGATGACTTGATTCTTCACGAAGTTCCGAAGATCAAAGAGGACATCTCAACTTTTTTGCGTTATGAACTCGCAAATATAGCCGCCGACAGCGACCGGGATTTGGAACTCGGCTGGCCAGGGGAAGAAAGACTCCAAAAACTGGTGGAGATGGCTGCCCCGTTATTCATCTACGCCGCGACCTTGTGCCGTTTTATTGGGGATGAAAACTGGGATCCCGAACAACGAATCAAAGTGCTTGTCAGATACTTTGAGTCCCAAAATTCGCGCCGTGTGAGCTCGAGAAAGGGGACTAATAGCGATAAAAAGGCCTGGCAGAGGTCGCAACTTGATGCAACCTACCTCCCGATCCTCGAGCAACTAAACGTTGGAGATTCGGCCGAAAGAGAGAAGGTGGCAGCAGAGTTCAAAGATATTGTTGGCACCATTATTAACCTAGCAAGCCCATTATCAGTTCCGTCCCTGGCGCGTCTCATATTTGTTGAAGAGTCCACAATTGATTCCAGGCTTAGGCATCTACACTCTGTACTCGATATACCAAAAGACCGCTATGGTGCAGTGCGGACTTTTCATCTATCCTTTCGGGACTTTCTTGTGAACCCCGAACTCGAGGGCAGGAACGAGTTCTGGGTAGATGTCAAGGAGGCGCACAGAAAGATCGCTAGCAAGTGCATAGATCTAATGTCCGGCTGCGGGAAGCATCGTTCGCCCGGTTCGTGGGGCGGGCTAAACAAATGGGGTCTAAGGGAAAACATCTGCCGTATCAAGTCACCTGCCACACCGAAGCCCGACATAGATAAAAATGTTATTGAACAAAGCCTACCTCCAGAGCTCCAATACGCATGTCGTTATTGGGTATACCATCTTAAAGAAAGTGGGGACTCCATTGATGACAATAGCCAAACGTATACCTTTCTGCGAAAGCATCTTCTTCATTGGCTTGAGGCAACGAGTCTTTTAGATAATATGGTCAATGTTATAGATACAATTGACACCCTAACTTTAATCATAGGTGTAAGTCCCCTGTGTTTCTCCCTGTACTTTTGGGAATCTAATAATAGGTCTTGTTTTAGGGAAACGATGGGAACAATTTATCCGAGTTGCTTTATGATGTCAAAAGATTTACGCTCCAGAGCTACTTTATCATCGAAAAAGCGCCCTTACAGGTTTATTGTTCGGCGATATTATTCACCCCGGAAAGCAGCGCCGTGAGAAGGCTTTTTGGCTCGCAAAAGCTGATTCGGCGGGTGTGGGAAATTTCTTGGGTGAATTCTGAATGGAGCGCTTTGCTTCAAAGGTTGGGGGGTCATACTAGCTGGGTGTGCGATGTTATGTTTTCGCCCGATGGCCAAACCCTGGTGTCGGCATCTCGTGATGGGTCTATTAAGCTCTGGGACCCTGCTACTGGAAGGCTGCTGCAAAAACTAGAAGGACATGTTTCCGTTCGAGCTGTGGCATTCTCGCTTGATGGTAAAACAATTGCATCGGGGCTTGACGATAAGACTGTTAGGCTGTGGAGTGCAGGTACTGGTAGACCGATAGGAATTCTGGAGGGGCATGAAGATTCAGTTCGCCGCCTGGCCTTTTCGCCTAGCGGCACAGTTCTTGCGTCGGTATCTGATGACAAGTCTATCATACTATGGGATACCGAAAGCGGCGAGATGTTGCAGAGACTGGAGGGACATACAAAAGCAGTTAACGGCGTAGCATTTTCGCCTGATGGATCGTTGATGGCGTCGGCATCGGATGATAAGACTATTAAGCTGTGGGACGCACGCGACAATATGCTGCTGCGCACACTATCGGGGCATGAGGGAGAGATATACTCTGTAGTATTCTCACCCGATAGCCAGATTTTAGCATCTGCATCTGAAGACAAAGCAATTGGATTATGGGACACAGCTACCGGTAACCAGCTAAAATGGTTGAAAGGACATTTAGACGAGGTTAATACGGTGGCATTTTCTCCTGATGGTAGATTTTTAGTATCTGGATCTCAGGATGGGATGATCATTTTATGGAACACGGATAGCAGAGAGCTATTTCAGATACTAAGGGGGCATTCAGACTATGTTTGGGCTATAACGTTCTCCCCCAACGGAAGGATGTTGGCATCGGCATCTGCTGATCGCACCATCGGGTTGTGGGATGCTAGTATTTGCGCTGGCAGACAGTTGGATGGACAAGCACAGGCAGGGAATTCGGGTCCAGTCACAGCTCTAGCATTGTGTTCAAGCGGTAAAACTCTTGCATCTGCGATCGAAAAGGGGGAAGTCGCGGAGGTCGGGCTATGGGATGTGGGTACCAAGACGCAGCTGCGAACGCTAAATTGTGATTGGCGGGTGACAAAAGTGGAATTTTCGGCCGACGGTAAGACTTTAGCATTAGCGGGTGGAGCTGAGGGAGAGGAATCCGAAATGAGTCTCTGGGATATCAGTCCCAAGCGTGAGAGTCCACATTGGATGCTGGATATGGACAGTTTCAATATATGGAAGACAACCACGCCATGGCGATTGGAGGGACACACTGAAGTAATCAATACACTGACCTTTTCTCCGGACGGCAAGGTTTTGGCATCGGCGTCTGATGACAAAACTGTCGGGCTATGGGACGCCAGCACCCTAAAGAAAGGACTATGGGATTTGCGAAGCCCAAATACTAGAAAACCGCTCTGCCTACTAGAGGGACACACTCGATGGGTCTATTCCGTATCTTTCTCGCCTGACAATAAGATCCTGGCGTCGTGTTCTCATGATCAGACCATCAGGCTTTGGGATATCGATACAGATCCTGGAAAAATTCAATCGCAATGTACCAGCTTACGGCAAGTGCTAAAAGGGCACACTCGTTTGGTCTGCGCCGTGGTGTTCTCATCGGACGGCAAGATCCTTGCTTCAGCTTCTGAGGATGAAACTGTTAGGCTGTGGGACGTGGTTACTGGGGCATTACTGCAGACCATTGCCAGGGACAGCGTAAATCTGTCTCTAGCAAATGATGGTATACGTAGTTGCTATGTCAATGTGGGAAAACACTCGTTTGCTTTTGGGTCTGGTGCCCCGCTTCTCGTTGACCACGGGGACTACCGAAACATACCTTTGTACGACGGGGAATGGTTAACTCTGGGAAAGGAGAGGCTTGTCTGGCTTCCACACACTCATAGATCAAATCGGTATGTCTCCACCGGTAGCCTACTTGCTCTTGGTTTGAGTTTGAATTCTGGTGCTGTCTGGTGCATTGACGTTCAACTCCTTTTTGATTTGCTTCCTTTGTAACAATCGAGAACCGGTCCTCGCCCTCTTTAGCACGGTTGCATTGAACACCATATAATCATTATTTAATATAGCCGTACCGATTAGGCGCATTTAAGAATGTGGGAAAACCAAATACGTGTATGTTAATCATACGAAATTCAATACCCCGTTTGTGATTGTGCAAAACCAAACCAGGAGTGTCTTGATGAGATTCATAAGTCCATAAACGAAGAGATCACGCTTGAGAAATCCGAAGGAATTGATCCTTCAGTTTCATATCGCGAGCTATACCGGTATACCCTTGCATTTATTGCATCTTCACGCTACGATGCCACTGCACTCCTCTGTCGTACTGCGTGTGTAATATAATGTGGAATTCTAAACTTGGTCATATTGTCATTCTTCCGGTTATACTCGCAGAGACTTATCATCGACGTTTGCTGATCGATTTCAGGTTTTCGTATTTAGAATCTAGGTTAGGTCCACATATTCTTAGCAAGTTGAGTTCGCAAACCATGTGCCACAATTAAGACAGTTATTCTCAGCACCCGGCCCGGCCGTCCGTAAATATCGGCGCCATACATGCATGTATGGTCAATTAAGTCTGCAAGGCCAAGTACTTAAGTATAGTTTGGGGGAATCGCAAGCCTATAGGCCCCTAGATCAACGCTAGAAGACAAAGACTTTGAGAAAGGGTCTCAAGAATGAAAAATGGTGCAGAGAGATCCCTGAAACGACCCACACAGGTGCGCTGACATACAGACGTGGAGTTCTCTAACTGGAAGTACTCTCACAAGGAAATGCCCTGGACTAGTAGAATCTAACGGAGCTAGTTTCCCGCGTAGAACCCGTTGATAAGAATGTATTTCCAGCGTGTATTCTCCTAGCCCGGAGGGTACCGAGTTGAATTTTGATTCTCTCGGAATCTTATACAGGGTGTTCCGGTATGATACTTACAGCTTCAGCAGCTCAAATATGTGGTATGTACCGATCGATGGCAAAAAATCTCAATTTTGGGCCAGCTCGCAAAATTAAAACCAATTGATACGTTAAGATAATTTAATAACTTCAAAAATTTTCGGGGGCCATAGCTAGCCACGTGGGTTCCCGGACATTTCGGCCCATCTTGCTCGGAGGCTGTGCAGGAGGCGGTGCCCGTAATCGATTGCTTCCGTCCGATATCCAGCATAACACGATTGTAAGGCCGATCATATGAGCGTATATATAAGCTTTGCTCGCTAAACTACAATCCTCGCTTAATTAACCTTGCAGAAAAGAAAACACTTGAATGAATGCTGAAGTACTGTTGAACCTCAGCCACCACTTTATTACGCGTCCGAAGATGAAAATTACAAGGCTATTGACTAGGGAAGGTGAGAAGAAATCTCCTTCTAGGGAGGTGCGTGCCTATGATTGGTATAGCGGTTGCTTCAGCATGCATATGGCCTTGGAAAGCATGGAAAAATTAGCTTCTCAGGTTTTTGAGATCCAGTATATCACTAATCACGGTTTGGCGGGTAAACCCCTGTTCTCGGCTACGGTCGACCACGTTTGAAGAAATGCACGGACAGAACTTGCAGCTTGTTTTCCCCATGAGGCAATACAAATCACACCGATCGAATTTCAACAATCAAAATTTAAGCCGCGAAGGATTTTTCGAAAGGTCCCGTGGTGAAGAAGTGGCCTTTGATATCACGCTCCCAATTAGTATTTAATGTTTGGTATATATTCGATGTGCATTTATTACGCGAGTACGGTGACCCTGTAACTGCAGATATATGTCAGTCTTGCAATTGCGCAAATATACCAATTCAATTGATAGCTCGAAGTCTTCAAGATAGACCCTAGACTGTTGTAGCATAATCTCAGATACCTGATATAATTCCTTTCACTCTTTGAATCAGCCGGGTAGTGAAACCCAGTTTTAGCTACCGCGGTATGCGGGATATAAGCTTACCACGGAATCCACGTTACATTAAACACTTGTGAGGTCATACAGCTCTACGGATCCTTCGCAAAGTCAATCAAGGAATTCAATATTGCGCGGAATGATAACAGGGTTTTTTATGATCCTAGCAATTATTTGATCGCATCGACGAGCTTCACAAACTCATGCCCACAGAAAACTTTGACGGGAGCGCTGGCATAGGATCGGTGAATCGTGAATTTCCGCCGTAGTGCTAAGCTCAATCCACACCGCACATGTGAAATGTCAAGCTTGCAGCCAATGGGGCCTTCAGAGAAATATAACGGGTTACAAAAGTATATAAGGATAACTCTTCACCGCAGAGGATCTTTTCAAAATCATCCATCATTCGGAACATCAAGAACAACGGATACAGAACTCCCACCGATTTCTCTTAATTGACATTTCTCATTATAATCCTCCAAAATATTTCTTCATCAGAACAATAATCGTTCAAAATCAGGCATAATGCAATTCCTCTCAAAGATCATCTTGATTGGCCTCGGCCTCACTGGCATTTCCAATGCCCTTCCAGCCCCCACTGAGACTGGCTCATCGCCCGCTCTCAGAACTGGCTACGTACGGCCCATGTGCACTATCCCGTTACCACCGGCGGTATCCCGCTAACCCCTATTTATATTATAGTTGGCACCTCCGCCAGGTCTCGATACCTCTAAGCACAAAACTCCACCAAAGGGATTTGTCCCACCAAAGGTTGTCGTGGATGTCTCCCCAGCGGATAAGGCTAGCCTCCAAAAGCGTCAATCCGACCCATACGTCCACGTCGTTCTCTGCGATAATTGGTACTTCGGAGGTCAATGTGATGACTATACCATCAGCCCAAACGGACAACCTTGGATTTTGAGCTGGTTCGGAAACATGAACGATCGCACCAGCAGCTTTAAGGTCTACACCAATGGTAATCCGGGCAAAGTTTGCCAATTGGTAGGTTTTAAGTACTCCCTAGCAGTTATTGTGGGAAATGTATTTGAGTTAATTAAGCTAATCGATTTGGGTCCGTTGATGATAGTATCTTGATTATTATTATGATTCTTACGGTAATTTGAAGTGTTCTGGATCCTTTTTCGAGGTTGGCGCTACGACTTATAACTGGGGATATAATGATGCGTTGCAAGGAGGTTTGAATGATGCTATCAGCTGTGGTCTCTGCTGGAGCTATTAATTTACTCCAGTGCGAGACATGGAGGGATTTGAGTTGAAGACGACGTTCCAATGAGAATTTACAATACACCAGATTGACCTATCCGCGCGAAATGAGATTCCTGTTACCTAAATACCACGCTCTTTATATATAGATATCTAAAATCAAATCAAGTATGTCGGGGCTAAGAATATCTACAATTTCGTTGTAGGTAAAAACCTTAGCTACCGCACCTGATTACACAATACCCAAGTACGTAGATTTAAGCAGAACTCCTTCTTTCTCGTTGGGAGTCGTGGTCTCGATTTAGAGAGGTTCCACTGAACACAATAATCCCCACGAAAAGATGCAGAATGGTTTTCTATTCTGCACCAGTTTCTTGTGTCTCCTGCCAATCTTGTTTCAACTCGTCGAACCCAGCAAGCTCAGCCTTTTGCTCTGTAGGGCTTCCACTCCGACAAAACCCCAAGTCAAGGGCTGTTACACGTGAACGGTCCTTTGAAATCGCAAAATTTTCAAGTCTTATATCGTCATGAATTGCGCCAGATTTATGAAAAGTGATGATGGCTTTGCTTGCTTTAACCTAAAAACTCTCGTCAACGTTTTCTTCCGACACTGTCTCCCCACAGTCCTTTAGAACAAGGAACTTGAGGAATTTCCATGAGACCCTGCAGCGTAGAGTCGTGGGATGTGTTCACCTTGAAGGAATTTGAGGCGTGTATACTCAATGTCAGAACTTCAGGATTGGCCCTTTGGCTTTGAAAACGGGCTTGAGGGTTTGGGGGGGGGGGGCTTAGGGATAAGGTGGGTTTGAATATGTACTTCGTGTTGTCTCATACAGACGACACCAGCTTCAATGTTCAGGGGGCTCTGGCTGCTAGAAAAGGCTTACGCTTGAATTTCGGCATTGGCGAGGTCTATTTTGGAATTTATGGTGATATCATAAACTTTGAAGAAGGCTGTTGTATTGTAGTATATCACCGCCAGTATTCGGTTTCGAAAATGAGTTTCGCTTAAAAAGCGGGGCCAGCTATGTTATAGAATTGAATCTGTAACATGTTGAATTCCATAACGAAGCAAAACTTTGGGTTAGTCAGCAGGCTATTTAGTAGATAGGCTAACTAACTAGTTGGTAGGTTAGTTTGTAGGCACTTTGACGATTAGTTAGACTCGTAGACAAACTAGTAAAGTATCAAGAACCAAGCTAGTAACTACTAGTACGAGTAGATACTAACTAGTAGCAGTTAGTACGTACTTTAACGAATAAACAAACCAATCAACAAACAACAAACTTTAAACAGGCTGGTGACTACCTAACTACTTAAGTACTTCCTAAACAAGCTGATAAATAAGCCAGTTAATTGAACGTGCTCAAAACAGGAGCCTACCTACTACTTCATCGATTGGAACCTAACCTAGGTACCAGCCTGGCTACTGAGGCGATCGGCTAATTAGAAAGCGGTGGCAAAAGAGCCTTAGGTTGATCGCTAATCGGCTACGGGCGAGCGCACGGAGATATAACTTATAAACGCAGTAAACCTACTTAAGGATGTCCAACAGCGAGATCTATTGGACTATGCATTACTGTGCTGTGTTAACTCACTAAAATCCAAGTCGGGGCTGGGAATCTACCCTTAATCTTTATAATTTACAAACCGATGTTTTCTCTTATTATATTTCGTCGAACTGTACTGCATATAATTAGCCGAAAAGTAATTCTCGTTATTTTGCCGGGGTCTCCAATTCGTACTCTACAGCTAGACGTGGGCAATATTCATCATGATTCGTAGAGAAATGCCTTTTAGCGGTAGAAAGAGACCCTCCCCCTGCCGATTGGTTGAATGGCCATTATAAGTACAATCATGGGCTCATAACCCGGCCGTTATTGGTAAAGTGAAATCACGGATCGCTAGCTAAAGTTCCACGCAGAACCCATCTAAATAGTTCCTAGTTTTGCTATATACAGGAGGGAGACCACGCGCCATCGAATTAAAGGCAGAACTCCTGCTTGGTTTAACTCTTGTAAACCTGCAAAGACAAGATTATAAAATCAGAATTATCAGTCTCCCCGGATATAATTGTTATGGATAGTGAGGATGTCCGGATATAATTATTGTTATTAGGGACGTTAGTTTCATAGATAACCGAGCATGTTACAGAAATTATAGGGTGGAAAGAGCTACCCCAAAAAAGAAAACGAAGAGAATGTTGAGGGGAGTAACTTTTAAACCATTGGCGGTGTTTATTACTCTATCCGTACTAGCTGGAGGGGCTGACGTCTGGATGGAATTGGGAGTGCTGATCGGAAATAATGTAGTCTGGGGGTCCGAAGTCTGTACCGTCTTCGGGCTTTTAGACGAAGGAGGATAATTTCTTGAACAAAAGCCGAGAAGAGCCCCGAAAGGTGAAGCTTTGGTGGGATCGGAGTCAAAGATGTAGTCGTAGCAAGCTTTGGTAATTTCATCGGTGTTGCCGCCGAAGCACAAGAGATGAGCGACTGAGTCCCAGTTGCTTAAGACTAAGGAGCCTTGGAGGCTAGTATGGATATCATTGCACTCTATAGAATCGAGAACGTCGCCATCTGGGTAACGTGCATCGGGCTGAATAGCAGATGTAGCGTTTTTGGGAATGCTGCCAACGTTGGACAGAGCGCAGTGCGCTCGGAATGCTTCGAGCACGTGGATATCTGTCTGAGGGAGGACTTTGGCAGCGTCTTTGATACACCCGGTAGAATCCTCGCTAAAATTGGCGCTGCAAAGGCATCCAGAAAACCGACCCGGGATGAGAAACATTGTGTACCGTTCGTTTGGAGTACAACTTTGGATGAGCTCAGTGGCGCGAGTGCAGGATTCGGGAATCGTATTTGCGGAAACCACCGCAGCGAGGATAGTTGTAAAAAGGAGCTTCCATATCTGCATGTTGGTGAAAATATCTTAATAGACTGAAAGAGTGTGCGGAACAGCCAATCTAAAAAAATAAAGCATCTCAGGTAAAATGAGAATCAAAGCCAAGGTCGGCTCCCCATGTCGTACCTTTATACTATTCCCATGAACAATGGGATTGTCGACACTCTTCTACATAGAATTCTTACAGGGCGCTCCATGGTACACGCGTTTGTAGTTCTCCGAAGCAATAGCCCTCCTTCCGAAACGGTAAGGTGTAGTTCGAGCAAGTGAAACAACAATTTCCTGATACAACCAACTACTCGAAATGTATATGGATGTTTCAGAGTTTTTACTATAATGGGTTAAGGTTGTTTCGATATATGCCGATCATAATTCTCATAAAATCCTAGGGATGGGTATCTCGTGGTTGCCGATGGCCATATGGTATTGTTCAACAATCCCATCGTGCTGTAAATCACGCCCAATGCGTCATGACCACTCAACACAATCTAGGTACCGAACCTCCACATTTATGATTTTCCGAGCAAGAATACCCAGAACTTATTTTGGATACTTATTGGCACTTATCGCATAGCAGCATCTTTGGGCTAGTCACGTTTGTTTCCCAAACAGTGCTCTGGACCGGGGCTATCTTTAGGTTAAGATAGTTTTACAGGTTTCCAATCTCCTAGTGAGTGCCGTGAGGATTGGGAAGACGTTGGAATTCAATATTCAAGAGCCAAAGTCCGTTGATTCATTTTCACGAAACCGCTGCCCGAGTAGGCTTAGGCCAGTGATCTAAGAAAGCCTTTGTACAAGCCGCCGCGGTTGCTGCTGCGTAATTCTGCCATTTCTTACTTTTGTGGCTATCAGCGTAATCGCAAACCCCCTTGATAACCAAGCATGGTAAGTTGTCCCATACGCCCGCTCCCTCCATCTCAAACGCAATTACGTCTTCCTTTGCCGCAATTTCATCCCTTTCAGAGCCGGATTTCATTACCGTATCCCCCGATGCAATTAGTCTGAAATGGATTGCAGGTATGTGCGCACCGGATTGGCTAGTATTGTCTAGCCGGGCCCGAGAGACCCGTTTGCCTCTATCGCATCCAAGGTCATTACAGCTTAGATGCACCGCTGCCTCGCATACCGGATCGTTTATCTGGTTATGATTGCCGCATATCTGGCAATCTGACTGAGTCTGATGTTTATGTCGATAATGCGGTTCGAACAGCTTGTCCTCAAGTACCCCGGGATAAGAGGCTAGCTCACCGAATTCATCTTCTAAAGCTGAAAGGTAATGAGCGGTTCTTTCCTGGAGCCTTTTCCTATTTCTTTGAGCTCGTAACTTAGACAAGAGTGATCTTATTTCGGCATTGTTGCGACCTAGGGTGTCTAGCATAGATTGTTTCCTCACGGATTTATCAGGGTACTCCCTCTTGAGGTCATGCTGAACGATTCCAAGACTAATTACCACATCCCCAAGCACAATTTCCTCACGGTCTTTTGTGAAAGGTACGCCACCGCATACACCAACGACAAACCCCAGTTTGATTCCTTCGAAGCTAGATCGACAATGAGCTGCTGCGCTTGCTGCTGCAGCGTTTCCCATTCCCGGCATATGGGCCAAAACAACATTGTGATGTCCAATAACTCCTGTAGAGTATGCGTTTGGGTCCGTTGAAGCTTTACCGTAGACATCCCTGTCGGCATCCCACCGCACATCGAACAAGCTCTCGACGGCGTTGGCCTCCAAAGGTAAAGCACATATTATAGCGATTTCGAAGCCGCGCCTATCGGCTGGCTGTACGGGAGCGTTTTCCAATGCCTTGGATATGGAGGCTATCCTAGGCACAGGGCATTCCTCCTTTTGGTCTACCTCAAACCTAACTTTTGCTTTTTTGGCTGATGTTCTGCCGCTGGGATTGGCAGGTACAAAGTCGTCTGTGCGCCGGCAGTTATGAACTTTCGACCCACCTGACATTCCCAGCTGGTCATACTTGGAAGATATTGGGTATTAATGCTCCTCCTCGTCGTTCCGTGGTCGTTTTTTTTGCGTTGCTTGTTGCGTTTGGGGGTGAATGCCGTTGATAATGGGAGAAATAACCTCCCTGGCAGCGGCTATTGCGTCGAACTTTTGCTCTCGATTGGCTCTGAGACGAATATGCCGCCGGTATATTTTTCGGAATACTAAACAATCCCGAACCGCTTTTAAGTAGGGTCCATTTCCGATGTTCTTATATATTTCCCGGTCAGTAGCATCCACTGATGCATGATGGTGTCTCATCATGCCGGAACCCACATTTGATCTCCAGCAACAGCTTTGCTAGTAGCTGGAAGCTCGCATCTTCGAGGGCTATATCTGGCTCCAGAGGCTCGATCGGACTTGTGCAGACTTCATTGGCATGGCGAGGAGAGGGATATTTGCATAGCGCGTAAGGTGTATTCCGCATGCATTCTCCGGACGGGTCAGCTAGAAGATATATTGTCTCCGGATCTCAACACTTGATGAAGCGGCCAAATGCCAAAGATAATGTTAAACTTGACACGAGTGTCGCTGCGAGGACCAATTTCTCAGTTTCAGTAAATCGGGTTCCATCGTAACAAAAAATCCACGGGTTAAAGGCCGCTTTCTCCAGAAGCTTTCTCAGTGTCTGCGACGGCTGTTTACCTGGGTACCTTTCCTCATCGTCACTGCAACGTACGCTAATATTATCGCTAGAAACAACAAAATATAGCCTGACACCAATGCCTGTGTAGTGTCTATTTCGTCGCAAATGCTTCCCGTAACCGGGTATATGTCATGGCCATTTACGTTTCTATAGATTAGTCAGCGCTACGGCATAACGGCGTGTCTCTAAGTGTGTACTAGGTTGTGTATGTACTCACATCGATGGAATAGATTCTAGCAGGCCTTCCGACCAGCGTGATGAGGCACGGCAGTTAGAGAGAAATAGGTCTAAGCTCGAATCCTGGAAACTTAACGGTGATGCAGCTGAAGCCAACCCAGGAAGCTGTAGCAAAACTTCGTGTCCCTGGCAGTCAGACGAACCATCAAATCGCGAAATGAGCACACCGAGCCCCTCAAAAACCTGTGCGACGTGGGAAAGCGGGTAGCGCGTATCGGAGCTACCTAGCGGTGTCTCCCTAGTTTGAAAACAGATACCTGCCACCGGGGATTGCGTAAGATAGTCGAAGAAATCGTTAAAGCTGTCGATTTCTTTCTTATCCTTTTCAGGTGATTCACCTAGGAATAATTTTAGCCCCCTCCCGATACCATTACGAATTCGCAATTCGTGTTAGCTAAGTAGTCGAGAAGAGCATCGAATCGGTAGTCGAAGATCTCAGGACACCAATGTGCCAATAGAGGTGAGTTTGTGAGGCAAACGAATAGTGTGCGAATAAATATTTGGAGATGGTGGGCCTTTCAGTCCCTAAGCTAGGCCCTGCGCTAGGAACTAAGTACCTTCTATTTATCAACTTAAAAAACTGTAAATCGTAAACTTATACACTAGCTTATGGGTTAACTTAAGGATCAATTTATGAACGAGCTTAGCCACACACTTGCTTCAGTCATCCTAATGCTATTGGCGCTTCCACGTTACACTTAGTCTTTGGAGTGATACATACTAACGCCCATAAATTACACGGTCGAACCTGAACACTACACTCTGATAAAACGATAAGAATGTATGATTTTTTATTACTACAACTAAATGTTAAACGATGGTTTAAAGGTAAGGGAAGCGCGAGTGGGCGATATCGCGGCGGGGGTTCGGTAACTGGTGTTCTCTCTGCACTCCCGCCCTTTTATTCAACACACTTAACAAACAAACGGAATACATGTACAAGTTGGCCTAGTAATCTAGCCTAGAGATCAGGCGCAGATAAAAGGCAGGCTAGTGATATATGCAAGTACGATATCATATCGTCAACATGCAGCCTCGGGGACCCACCTACGGCAACACAACTGGTCCCGAGCCTACAATACAGCAACGCAAACATAGTATTTTAGCCAGAGGGCTTCACATTTCGATCCAATCGCAGGATTCCAGCTATAAAGTTGCTGGAAAGTAATTTTGAACCTCGTCTGGATGTTTGCGCAGCTATCGTCGCCTTGAACATATCTGAAGGTTTTGCAGTTCTTTGTCATACCGGTTTGGATCGGAGTGGGTGTCGTGACGCCGTTCCCTGTCGTAGTGGGCTTCTTCGAGGTGGTGGTAGTTTTCTTCGTGGTAGTCGTTGTAGCCATACCGATTAACCTGACGCAAATATAGTACTGAGCCCAGAGACCTGTGCAATCGCTCTTGATTGCTGGGTTCCAGGACACCAGTTGGGCCTGAGTAATGCCGTACTGGGATATTATAGCGGGACAAGTGTCACCGCTCTTCACTAGTTTGAAGTCTTTGCAGTTTTTTACCATGCCGGTCTGAATTGGCGATGGAGTTGATACGCCATTCCCAGTGGTTGTGGCCTTTGTGGTGGTCGTGGTAGACTTAGTAGTTGTGGGTGTTACGGTCGTAGTACCGACACAGATCTATATATTTGTTAGCGCCCTTGCAACGATTATGGGACAGGTGCCGTTTAATACATAGACGCTAGCCCAAATGCCACTGCAGTCGCTCTTAATAGACGCGTTCCAGGCGAACAACTGAGCTAGTGTAGCCCCAGTTTTGCTGGTAATCACAGCGCAGGTATCGCCAGAATTTACAAAATACCTGACAACTTAAGTTAGTTACTTCTTATTACAAAGCCTGCGCAGACATATGTATGATTTTCGATGCTAATAGCATGGACCCGGTATGAGAACGTACCATTTGTTACAGTTAGAGACCATCTGTGGCTGAGTAGGGGTGGGGGTGTTGATGCCGTTTCCAGTGGTAGTTGTCACTGGAGGTTTTGAAGTCGTGGTAGGAGGAGTCCATCCCTTGATCCTTGTGCAGAGCTGTAGAATCCAGGGGGTTAATACTAAACGGGCTTCAAAGTTTATCGATGGGTGTTGTAATATCTCTGGGGCTACCTACATAAGTTCCAACCCATAAGTTCGAACAATCGCTGGAAATCGCCGGATTCCAAGAGAAAAGAAGTGGGACTGTCAACCCGGAGTATCTAGAGGTGAAAGTTCCGCAAGAGTCCCCAGAATTAACCAGATCCCATCGATCACAAAGAGTAGTCTGACCACTCTGCGTTGGTCCTGGGGCGCCCGGTGTTGTTGATATCGCCGTGGTTGACTTGGTGGTAGTGGTCGTGGTCGTCGTGGTCGTTGGAGCTGGTTCGTTCGCTGCCTCTACGCAATACGCATTTCCCGTGACTACGGTACACGGGGACCCAACTGAGGGATTCTATAGGATTTGGTCAGTCTATCAAAATTGCATATTATCACCCCGACAATCTAATGTTTCTGACGGACGTGGCAGCGGGAAAGCTTTGTTACACGCACCCATCTAAGGAACTGAGCAGACGTAATACCCCAGGAGGAGTATATATCAGCGCAGGTTACATCGTCTTCCCCCAGCGTGTAGTATGTACAATATTGGGTTGTACCAGAAGCAGTTGGACCTGGGGGGGCCTCTTGACGCTTATAATAAGCAGCGCCTCCATATGCTTCGACAAGAAGGAAGGAAGCAGCGCTTATCAAGACTGTTAATGTTTTCCGCATTTCGTCTTTATAAAATAGAAAATATGTAGATATATATATATAGATAATGGTGGGAAGGGTAAAGCTGCCCGGATTTGACTCTGATACTCGGAGCGGGGATTCTGCACTTGTAAGCTTCTAATCTAGAGCGTATAGAATGATCTATTAAATTAAGGGCCAGAGATTCCATAGCATTTATACAGTTTGCAATCATTATGTTGTAGCTCTGCGGGCCATCTGATGTAGAGGCAGTGCCTATTTAGTATTGCATATTGTGATACGATACAATGTGATGTTCTTGCCGGTGCTAAATTGCAACAGGGAAATTGCGTTGTCTACCAAACCCTTCGTGGCACAGCACCACAGGATCCTATCGGGCAAAGCCGGGGCCGTGCCACGCGATCGCTCCGGTAAAAATTAAAATATCCTGATCGAACCAGGTGCAAATTGTAACGATACGTTGATTAACAGCTGATTAAAGTTTCGGCTGGTATTTCACCTTCCACGATTGTTTCATACGTCAGATTCATCGCGTCCGCGAGGAAATATCGTCCCGGTGAGATAGATATCCGGGAATATAACGTCAATTGATCAAGGGTATGCAATGTAACGGGAATCTGCATAAAGGCGCAGCGTTCCCCTCCTGCCTCAACCTTAATCAAACTTCAAGGTACGATGTGTAACCTCGTAAACCGGGCAACGCCGCGCGAATTCTAGACAATTATTGGCAGCTTGGCCACAGTCATAGATCAACGCAGTTAATAGAACTCGCAGTAGGACCTAAACCCACGTCATGGCGTTTGCGAATGCCAGGCTGCAAGAAGAGCATGACCCTAGAATGCCTTTGCATAATGCGATACTGGGTTTCGATTGGTATTATCAGGTATATTAGTCACCGCCATGGTTCTGGAGGCCCCAAAAAGACCATCCACAGATTATTAATTCGAATACTAATGATATTACCTGAACGTCAAGGCTAAATTGAACGCGGGATCTTCTCAATTCTCTGAGAAGCTTTATCGGGAATTCGCCCTCGAGTATATCAGACTAGGTCATGACGGCCGCCGGGTATCTAAGCCCCCACACGAAAAATACCTCTTACAGAATTCAAATCTAACCAGTTTGCCACCTAACTTAACAGCCATATGTATTACGTGCAAGACAATCGGCGCGACGGATTAGCGAAATCGTTCCGGCGAGGCGTTGTGCCAAAGAAGAGGGCCTACACATCGTTCCAAGGGTTCCTGTGACGCTCTATACTAATCGAGAGCGTTATTGTTGCCTCAGCTCTGGGAATTTTGGATCTGAGTTTCTCTTCTTTCGGACCTGGTTCGGCGATGACGATCATTCATCCGAAGATTCTGACAAGTTATACGAAGAATTTATTTCAGGCTGGAAGAATGCTTGGACGGACGAGGAGTTTATCATTGATCAACGATATTGCTTTACCGACAGCTCGTATTCTGACGTGCCAACCGCATGCATGCGTTCCGAGGCTCACACTTCCGAGGAGTGGCTTTTAACTCGTCTCCCCGATGAACTAGGTGGGATGGACATCGATGATGATCAATATACGGAGGCTGATCTATACGAGGAAGAAAGCATATGCTTGGTTATAGCAGACCGAGAGGCAATTATTAATGGTTGGTTACTAATTTCTGCGGTCAATCACAAAGGGTGTGTTACCGGTAGATGGAGACTGCCGGCTGGAGACTTTGCCGCGTCACTGATTTCGAGGCGTTTTGCTATCCCAGAGTCGATGAGTGAATCAATATACTACAGAGGATTTGGTGACGTAACGGAGCCTGATATTCATAGTTCAGGTGGTGTTATGTTCGATGTATCTGACCCGCCTGGTTTGTGGTGGGATGCTCTGGACCGAAGGGGTTTCACGCGCAAGCGCCCATCGGAGAAAGTTCCATTAGGGTTTCTTAGGAAATAGTACAGAGCATCGAGACACGACCTGATTTGCATTAAATGTATTTGGATAGATTCCATTCTGTTAGTTTTCCAACAATCTAGTTCTATCTAGTATCACGATGTTATACGATTATCTCGGATCAGGTAGATATGTTTGCTACACTAAAGATATGGTGCAGAGCGCAATAGGCTTCGATGGTAACTAGTTAGAAGACGGTATGAGCCCACAAAAATCACAGCCCCTAAAATTGAAATGACATGAATCCCGAACTATTCGAAGTTGTAGACTTGATAAGATCGTTTTTTCGCGGTGCCGTGAGATTACCCATTTATCCAAACGCAATAGGCGTTGCCGGTGACTAGATTCGTGCAACTTGAGTCCACTCCTCGGTTTAGTTGTAGAAACCTTCCAAGTATTATTCCATACAGCGTTGCAATTGACGCACATGTATCTCCTATCCACCGTTTCGTCAGAATGTGCTGCCAATGCATAAAGTATACGATCGGAAGGGGCTCCCGTGTGGATAGAACTTTGAAGGTTATGTAGCGGGTAGACTTACCAGCTCGACGGACGTGCCATTGAATGCACTTATTAGACGCGCCAGACTGCGTAGGAGCGGGAGGCGGAATAAAGGTCACACGACTGTAGCTCGTCGTTGCCGTTGTTACAACTTCGCGGATACCAACGCAATACGCCATGCCGGCCACCATGTTGGTACACTGTGAATTTAGAGACCTATTCCATTCGAATAACCTAGCCATCGTTATTCCAGCGCCTTCAACCATTGCATTACAGCCCTGGCCGCTGACAGCAACTCGCCATTGATTACATAACTCTGTGGTTCCAGAGTTCGTAGGAGCTGGAGGCTTCGCTGGGTCTGCAGTTTCTGTTACAATGGTTGGATAGCAACTTGCAGGAATTGTTGTCGGGGATGGTAATACCGGAGTTGAGAGTGTGATTGTGCAGAACTTGTTCCAGTGCCTAGATAGACATACTTCTGGGAGATCTTCCTTCCCGAGCCGATATTGGTTGTCGGGAAGTATTTCACCTTCGTAGAGTCCAAAGGGGCAATATTTACCGCGGTCGCTGACCGCTTGAAGAATGGACGCCGGGACTGTAGCGTTTACCGTAGTTTTTGTTGGCACTGGAAGGGGATCGCTCCAAAATGCACTTGTGGCCGCAGTAACTGAAGCTGGTGGTGCTTGGCTCCAAGATCCTATAGAAGATACTGAAGATGTTGAGGACCCACTACCCGTTGGAGTCACCACAGGTGGCATCGTAAATTTAGTCGTAGTATCCGGAGGCGACAGGCATATATATTTGTTGATCATGTATTTAAGGTTTGCACAGTCCATCCCAATAGTGGGATTCCAACTTCTGAACATATTCTCCGTAACATTGTATCCAATAGCTTGTAAGAAACTAGAGCAAGTATCCGTAGCAGAGACCTTCTGAAGAAAGCATGGTGATACATTGTCAAGGCAAAGAATCTTTCCAGTTGGAAAGGTAGTATTGTGATTCAATGGTAAATTATTGTATTGAAGCAGACGGTCAGTGGGCACCTTCTTGAGAATGGCCACTGACTCGGGTGTGTCAGTTGCTGCTGGCTTATACGTTTGGATGCATGGTGGTCTAGTTCCATCAGTTAGTGGCATTTTGGGAGAGATAAATTTAAGGATTCTAGACCCACATGCTGATAACGGCTGTCGAAGTTGAAGAAACAGATGATATCGAAGGAGTATATGTCAAAGGATACACCGTGGAGGCTACAGAACAAGACTTTAAAAGCGAAGAAAAAGATGAAGCGTTTCGAAGATGGTAGTCGTATGGGTTATTTAGCTGCTTCTGAAGTCTCATGAGATTGCATTTGCTGCATTCTTGAGCAGTTGTAATATTTACGAGTTGTGGCTTGCAATATGTCCCAGAACTAAAATGAAAATCATTAGAGTGGGATCATAGAAAATTGAATTTCTGGCTGGAGACTCACTCTTGAAGGCAAACAAGATCGAAATTATACAATGGACGGCCCGCCATCAGGAGGGGCTGTATAATGACTTTGGAAGTCCCGATAGTAGTCGGATACTGGGTATTCCCACATCTCGTTGTGGCATTACCGACCATATAGCTGAGGTTCACCCGACAAGCTGAAGTACAGAGCGCATTCAAATTGGTATTTGGAACATCATCAGGTGGTAACATGAAGATATTCGGGCATTGCGTAATGTTAGTAGCGAGTGTAGCGCGGCAGGACGCACTGATGCTAGTTGGGAGAGTAGCTGGAATTGGGATGACCTGAAGGGCAGCAAATGCTAACGAAGCCGAAAATACAATGGTTGAAAAGGATGGAACCTTCATAGCTAGAAGCTGTTCAGTGTATCAACTCTGGTGGAAAATCCAAAGAAAGGTTTTTTTTTGGAAAGTATCACCAAGGGCCGGGAGGAGTGAGGTTTGATTCTTCTGCGCTGGATTGAGCTCTGGGAGTTTGATCCTCCGTAGCTAGTGCAGGTTTATCTTGATATCCGGTCTTTATTCCTTCCGAGTCTTTTACAAAATATCTTACGGAACAAACGGCGACGGGTTTCACTCACACGTGTAAACAGTTAGACGGTATGCTATCAGAACAGAACGTGGGCAAGCCAGGCCTTGCTATAGTGCCAAGGCTTGAGATTGATATTGATGGGATAGTTCTACCCATTCGACGTACGAGCTCCGAATGCAAATCATCAGTTGATGTTTAAACGATCTGTGCCTAGTACCGGTTACACGAGGTCAATGCTACATTACACATTATCCACGATCCCACAACTTGAAACATAGTAAATATTTGATATTGCATAGTCAGGATCGCTATTGCATACGCAGAGCATATGGCAAAGTTCCCGGGGTCGCTCAATTGCTCAACACGAGGTTTCATTGTGGACGTGGTCGCGCGGCACAGCGTGGCTTCGCGAATACGATTATCTCAAAGGCGATTATCTACAACAAATTTTTAACCAACCATGAAATTAATATATCCGCTGTGGCAGGAATTCTCCGAGGCCTGGAGTAGGCAGCCTGTGCAACAAAAACCCCTTATCTTCGATTGTGAATACTCTTCCTTGAAAATTCGAGGCCGTGCGTTAATCTCGCGCATTGCCTCAAGCTTTAAACGGACCCCCCACAAAGGACATCTTCTACTGATATGATCTTCGTTACACACCCATGCATCTGGATTTGAGTTGGCTGAGTTCTGCATACGAAGGTATGGCACAGCCGCACAAAATGGGGGAAAGCTTCGAACCCCAGAGGGAACGACTTGTCCAGCCAGAGCCCATGTGGTATGGGGTTTTGTGAGTGATATAAACTGTTGGACTCTGGAATAATAGATAAAGACTACTAGAGCGTTCGTATCGAGGCAAGGCCCGTTATCGTGTTGCCAATTATCGCGGGTGTTCTATGGCACTTTCTATAGTGGTATAACAAACTTTTATCTTGTTTTGGCAAGATGGTATCTCATCGCTGCCACCTTTTCTTCCTACTTCTCCTACTAAATACTTTTATTCTACCATCTTTTGCTCAACAGAGCGGATTATATTGTGATATCGATAACCCATGTGAGATCGGATGCTGTTCGAAGTTTGGATCGTGCGGTTTCGGTCCTAGTTGGTGCGGTCCCCAAAACTGCGTCAATAACTGTAATGCAAAAGCAGAATGCGGCGAGTATGCCGCGAGGCCGGGACAAAACTGCCCTCTAAACGTCTGCTGTTCGAAATGGGGTTTTTGTGGTGAGTATCAAGTTCACTCAAGCTGGATTAATCTGGGTCTTCGCTCTAATAAAGCATTCAATCGATTAGGTGTGACATCTGAATTTTGCAACAGCGACTGCCAGTCCAATTGCAAAGCTCCGAGGTTAGTCGTGGATTCGTCACATAATATTACAAGTATGAATCGCTGATATGGGTCATTCATATTTCATATAGCCCACCCCAGTGCGGTGTAAGCGACTCTTCTTGGACAAAGCGCCGTATTGGCTACTATGAGACATGGAAGGCCGCTTCGGACTGCGATGGCTTTCCACCGGAAAAGATACCATCGCAAGCATTCACACATATAAACGTTGCTTTTGCGGAAATATCTGCAGATTTCAAATTGACATTCAATGATCTCCCTCTTATCGGGCGAATTGGAAGACTGAAAGCCAGGAGCCCTGCTCTGAATATCTTTATCAGTGTAGGCGGTTGGGGCTTTTCAGACCCGGGCCCAACCCAAACGAGATGGTCGGACATGGCGTCGACAAGCGCTTCTCGAGCCGTATTCATCAGGAGCGTTATGGACTTCCTTGAACTTGCTGATTTCGACGGAGTTGACTTAGGTATGCGCCAAGTCTCACTCCTTTCGTATCGAGTGTTTGCTAACTTGGCTTACTAGATTGGGAGTACCCGGGAGCCGATGATAGAGGGGGAAAGTCAGCGGATTTCGAAAATTATGTTTCTCTCGTAAGAGAGATGAGGATTGCATTTTCTATGCGTAATCCAGGATGGGGTGGGTTTCTTTCAATTAGCATCGCAGTGCTTTCCAAAATCTAGAGGCTAACAGTATTTAAGATATTACTATGGCCATACCTACAAGTTATTGGTACCTCAGACATTTTGACGTCAAGGGCCTGCAAAGTCATTTATCATGGTATGTCCTCTAGTCTTAAATCTTCAGAGTTCAAGAATCTTGGAAGCGCCTTATTACTAATAATATCTCTATTGTTGATATCAAGGTTCAACCTCATGTCCTACGATCTCCACGGACTCTGGTAAATTCATTTCAATTGCCTTTGGATCTAGTAAAATGTAACTATTCTAATAAGTGATACTCTGTAATAGGGATGCAGAAAATCCTTATATCGGTCCATATGTATACGGGCACACCAACCTTACCGAGATTGGAGCGGCACTCGACCTCCTTCTGCGGAACGATGTCAAGATGCAAAATGTTGTGATGGGTATGGGATTCTACGGAAGGAGCTATACCTTATCTGATATCTCGTGCTATAAGCCTGGCTGTGTGTTCCTTGATGGCGGCGTTCCTGGCGAATGTTCCAAGACATCTGGTGTCCTAACTTATCGAGGTTCGCTCGACTCTTTATCCCTTACAATTAATATGGTGCTACTGTCATCGCCAAGATGAACCTAAATTTCACTGAGAATTATTGCTGACGAGCTACACGAATAGAAATCCAAGCCCGGAAACATCGCTTAAACGACCTCCGCGAGTACTATGATGGTGACGAGACAGGAGTCAAATACATGGTATACGACGGCGACCAGTGGATCTCCTACGACGACGAAGATACGTTTGAAGCAAAAAGAAAGTTCATGAGTAAAAATTGTATGGGGGGTGTTATGATTTGGGCTATAGATCAAGATACCGAAGACTTCAGCGCATTGAGTGCTCTCATCGGGGAGGATTTCCTTGGAAGTGGGCTATTAGACGGTGGCCCACTTACCAATCGTGAAAAGAAACTGATACGTCGAGAGTTTAGTGGCTTTACCGGAGATGACTGCTACATCACCCGACAGTGCACCGGGATAGGTGTACTTGATAATGCATTCAACACTTGCAAAGCCGGCTATGTTGCAATTGAGAGGGTACATAGTCCTCCCTTTGACACCTCTGACCCCCTTAGTCAGGAGAATATGCCATGTAGCTTTGGTCAATATAAGTCCATTTGCTGCAATGTGGAAAGTCCGCCACAAAGTTGTATCTGGAAGGGCGGTCCAGGCCCAATGACTCCAGCCTCATGCTTCGGAGGGAAAGGTGATGCAACATGTGGGCAGAACCAGTACGAATTGACCACCGATTCACACACCGACTCTTTTGGTCTTTTACCTTGCGCAAACGGGAAACGTTCTCTATGTTGCGATAAGAGCCCAGCGCTGAATCAATGCCACTGGACCGATTGTATCCCCATTGAACAAACTGTCGACCCTAGCGTTAACCTCTGCAATCGAGGAAGACCCCCAAACGGCTTCGGAAAGGTTTATACTACTTGGCGCGGCGATCAAGACAATGGTGCTCGTTGCCCTGATTGGAGTGCCCGGATATTCTGCTGTCCGGCGAAGAATACATATCGCAACTGCCAATGGAAGCCGACCTCGATGAATTCAAATTCGGATTCTATCAACCCGTCTTCTACTGCCGTTCAATTCGGCTCTATGGCACAATGTTACGATAGGTTGTGCCCGGACACACAATTAACAATTACTAGAGCGCAACTCCCAGAGAGGATGCCAAATTATTTAGCTGCTTGCTACCCATACGATGCAACCATAAAGCATAAATATTGCTGCGATCCTCCATGGGATGAGAACTTACCAGTCGACCCTAAATATCTCTGGGCAAACCCCTCAGGCGAGGAAAACTTATACTCTTATCAAGAGAACTATGGGAATAATGACCACAGAGGGTGGCCTGGGGATACGGACCCCGGTGATGATCCTTATGGGTTCATCATGTTAGACGGACCTGAAGATGCTCTGCAATCTCAATTCCCTGACGATTTCGAAATAATTCATAAGGACGATGCCGACCCTGCGAAACTCAAGAAAAGAAGTTCTCTGCTCACAGAGGATAAAGAAACCTTAGATAACACATTTACGCACGAAGAGAGTACCCACCTAGTTTATTGTAAGGTCGGCCGTACGGATAGCTGCAAGAGGATCTTTAAAAATGCTGCCGCTGATACCATTATCAAACTACCGAACCACATTGGCTCTGGTCCATTTGCGCGAGTAGTGTCTATGGAGGAGGTCATAGACGAGGATATTCCAGCACATCACAAGATGAAACGTTCGAATGAAAACAACAACCATACAATATACAAGTTGACTTTTGATTATGCGTTTCACCTGATCAAGCGAGATACCACGGTTCACATGCGCATGGATTATACAAATCTCGTTCGCTATTGGGATGAAATTACCGATGAACCTGGACCTTCTAAAAAAAAACGTTGGTGGGGTCCTTTCGGAGAATGGCTTCAGCGATTGAATACTGTGGAAGGGAAAGACGTTGGAAAACTGCCCATGCACTACGAGAAAAGCATGTTACTATATCGATCCCAAAAGGGTTGTCCGAGAGGGAAGAGTCTCTTGCGGGCTAGTCTTGACATAACAGCAAATGTGAAGTTCGATATGAATGCGAGGTGGGCATACTACTTAACTGGTACAATCGTTCCTCTGAAGTTAGATGAGACCTATGCATACTTCTGTCAGTAAATTCCCCTGAGATTTTATTATGTCACCCGTTGGTCCCGCTTAACCTAATAATCAACTTACGTCCGATATAGCGGTTGCGCCCGACGCCGAACTGAGCCTGGAGATCCTGGGAAACGCTGAACTTAAGTACCCAGAGAAAAGAGTTAAGATTATTGACACCTTATCGTACCCGGGACTTTCAGTAAAGGGAATTGCCGCGGTGGGGCCAACACTAGATTTGTGGGGCTCAATGGCAGGCAAGTTGACGATATCAGGGTAAACCACTCTCTAATTGGGAACATCCAGAGAATCATATTGGGCTAATCTCATAAATATCAAAAGAAAGCTTAAGGCTGGGACGAAGATAAAACTCCCTCAGTACGAGATGTACTATCCCATGGATCAAACTGCTGCGCCATATGAGAAGGTATACAGGCCTACCCAGTCAACCTTGAATTGGAAGTGAGGCTAACGTTTCATCAGTTTGGGATGGACGCCCAACAGGTCCAACGTGCCGAAGGTATATTTACAGATCGTCACAAACAGCCAGACTCAATTGTGCACCGACCAAAGCAATAACATGATATTCTATAGGAATTACTCCCTTACTAGAGGCTGGTGTATCGGCGGAAGCGGATCTTGACAGTAAGATCTCATGAGACGCAACGGATTTAAAGGCTTATAGCTAAGATTGATGGGAATAGTTTCATTAGTACCCGAGATCAATCTCGGAATTCAATTCGGCCTCAAAGGAGGCACAAAGATCGTAGATGCGCAAGTAGGACACAACATTAACGAATTTCTGCGTCATACTAGGCCTAGCTAACTACAAATTATTCAGATTGTCGGATTTATGAATAATACCGTGAACTTTAACTTAAAAGTGCAGGCACAGGGCGGTATTGGAAGTGGTGGCTCCGCTTCATATGACTTCGTGGTCAGCTACTTTTATAACTTTGGTGGGTTCCAGTCTATTTTGTGCAATTACAATACGATTCTGACATTAATCTATCTTAACCTAGGGTTTGGGGGACGTGCAAGGTGAGGAACTATTGCTAAAAAAATTTAGAATCGCATTTCGTAACTCAAAAGACACAACGGGACGCTAATCCACTATTTACTGAGCAGCTTCATTGGTTTTTTCAACTGGGTTATGAGAGGTATGTGATAGCGAGATGTCAAGTTACTACGCAAACTAAATAGAATTATAAATTTAGCGCGGCAACTATTCCCCGGACGAGGGAAGCAAGTTATTCTCTATGAAAAACACGGCGTTGGTTAACCACATGAACTCTGCATCTATGATAGGTTTATAGACTAATACCTAACTCTAATTTAGGCTATCTCAACGCCACAGAGTAGGAGATCACTACCTGAACCAATCGAGAACGCCACATTTGGGATCTTAGATGGTGTAGGAACGGACTTCTTAGGAAAGCGAGACCTTGTAAAGAGAGTCGGGTGGGAAGATGTCGCATCCTTTGCTAAAGGGTTATTGGATTGCAACGACGGTGGCCGGTGCGCTGGCGGTGGTTGTACTAACGGAGCATGTGATCTTCAGTCATCCCCGAGGTCTAAACGGTCTCTAGTATCTAAGAGGGCCGACGAGGAGCCAGAGGAGCCACTACCTTTGGAAGTGTGTGACACATCAGTGCCGAACATTTACTGGAACTGTAAATACTTCGAAGACCACATCGTCACCCCAAGGCCAGGATTACAGAGTGACCCACAATGGTCCTACTTTGGAGTTTGCCATAACATGCGCAATGGTTTTGCAGTATTAAACGCCGGATTGACCGTAACACTAAATATGGAAGGGACTAAAAGAGATGGACAAAACCGCAGAGATCAAATGTGTGGGAAGTATGGTTCATATCACCCAAACCAGGACCTAAGCCTCACAGCCTTCCCTGGTGAAAACGACCGGATACAGGGTGCCAATGATGACCAATCCAATAATCTGGTGTGGGCCCAGCATTGTAAAGCGGAATCCTCGAGGCTTAATAGCTTCAAATTCGGGGCGGGGGAATGGCCCTTAACGGGTAACGAAAATTGGTTAACCTGCGATGAGTTTCCATTTGCTTCGTAAGTTTTCTTCGATTCTTATAAATATTAAGAGGTACTGATGATACGCGAATTGATACAGAACAATAGAGGGAGGAAACCCGGCACAGGTAATGCACCTTGACGGCCTCCCAACGGACTATTAATTTTGGCTAACAACCTAATTTGTAGGGAGTAAGAGCATGCACGCCAGGGTATCAACAAGGGTACCAGAGCGTCCTCATCGGTAAGCTTCTATCTGAGATTAATTAGCTAACCCCTACATACCAGATGGTATACGCTCACACGATATTTAGGGAACTTCGGCCTCTGGATGAACGAAAGAGTGAGTTGGAAGAATGAAGATGGTACTAATGAGGAAACCTGGGTTGAGTGGATAAAGTGGGATCACCCGCTGCATAGAGATGAGCCGGTTTACAAGTGGCTTCAGAGTCAAGGCAAACGCAGAACTTTTGCAGTTGGAATTTTTGACAGCGCCCATGGCCCACCCCAGGGTATGGCGATAGACTCCTCTGGTTCGGACACGACAGATTGGAATAACATCGTTGCCGTGATAAACTTAAGGGGAAATAGCCAGTATAGATTAGGGGCACAAGGAACAATTAAAAAAAATGCGATGTGTGTGGATCACGATGCAGATACCATCCCGACCCCTTGGGGAGACAAACCTAATATCAAAAGGTAAGCCTATGTGCTTTCGCGTCCACATAACATAATTTTACGTTTGGCTTTCTAATAGGAGTAATAGTTGTCGGGTGAGATTCGTGGGGGATGTCAATTGACTTTGCGATTATATTAAACTATTCCTATATACTCACATACGCATATACATGTACATCGGGTTGTAGCATGGGTGCAATGGAGGCATCCTCATAGATTCCAAGAGTTTATAGCAAGGACTATCGTGTAAACATGATTTATAGCTTTGTTGGTCATTGTTGGAGATAGTAATATATGTTTATCAGTACGGGTATGCATATCATGAGATTGAATTCATGGTAATTATAATATAAAGGATCTCGAGGCCCTCAGTTTGAAAGATCATGCGCCCCACAGATAGTCGCTGGTGTGTCAACAATAGATACACGCTCAACATCTAGGTCAACCCAGCTAAGAACTTTACTAGTAAGCATAAGCAAGATTAACTCAGGGCCAGGTAGTCGAGGCCCAATCAATGTCTTCTGCTCACCTGGAAGCAAACTTCATATCCTATGTTGTGGTGGCGCAGTAACCGAGTACGAGCTGCTGCTGCACGTCTCAGCCCTGTGCCTTTGTGCAGCTACCGATATCGCACGGTGCTATATTGCATATTATTCACGATAGCAAGAGCGCACGCGCACGACAGAATAGGAGCATGGCGGCCACCCGACTGGAGGAGTGAGCGGGGCACCCTCTCGCTACGGGAGAACCCAGGAAATGGATATGCATTATGTTGTACAAAGTTTGCAAATAAAGCATGCGGCTCTAAGTTGTTCTGCTCGAGATATGACGCGTTCATATGTGAGCAAATGTTAGTTGATTCTTCGGATTTTCATCCTAGGCTTTGAGATAGTATAGATTCGCAGCTCAATGGTGAAGTCCTCTAAGTCTTAATCTCTCGTGAGTCCCGGGTGTGCCGATGCGAGGCCGGTCTCGATTGATCAATACGTTTTTTTCTTGAAGTCCCTGAGTTCCAACCTTTCGCTTGGCGGCTTTCTAGCAACTAATTCCGTCCTACAAATTCTACACCACGATCAACTCTTCGCATGGTTTTTTTCCCTATAGCAAGAAAATTCAACCTGAGGAAGAAGATGTAATAATTGATTAGATGTTTTGCTTAGTATGAGTCTGGCTGTCCAAAGTTCTATATTTGGGGCTGTTTCTCAAGAATGCAATCAATGCCTTTGCAAGCCAGAGAAACAAACCATGGCTAACTTAAGCTGCGCTTTGAATCGACGTGCATATATGGCTTCTCCACCTTCCGGATGTGTTACCGAGAAGGGTTTTTTAGGCCCCACAAACAAAATATTCGACCCTAATCACCAGTCTGAAACCGGAGTCGGAACCTATCAGATGTCGATGCACATTTCTTTGACTAATTGTTTGGGGTCGACATGAAGAATTTAATATCCATTGAAGACTAATCACTCTTGCACAGGGTCAGCTCACGTCAGCATCCAACAACTTTTCAACACACAACACAGCCGCAGCTTGGCATGATCTTGGCATGAATTGCAACATGCAACGCAAAAATGGATCGTTGAGGCTCATACAATCATTGGCGCAATTGGCTATGCATGGCCATGGCTGGCTGCAGGGTTATAATATTGGTCCGGCAGGGTCCATATCACAAGTATATATAAGGTGGTGACACAAGCCTAGGAAAGTTTTTAAGATTCCAAGATAGACGATCATTCTTTAATCCTAGCCAACAGTATCAATAGTTCTATACATCCATATCACATCACATTGCTGAATACAAAATGTATTCATGTCTTAAACTCTCCCTCTCGATATTTGGGCTCCTAGCCCCAATCCTTGGCCATTCAAAGCCGGTGCCTCAGCGAGTCATTGGCGTCTCGGGCAGTCCAGAGTTTATTTGTGCCTTGACTGCCGCGGATCGCACTACATGGGATAATAGCGGCGCTTCTGTTTTTCTTGACAATTTTGTACGAGAACAGGGGGTTAGGAATTGGGCCAATAACCTCGATCAGAGAACAACAGCAGGAGGAACGATAGCAGATTCGAATTTGGATTGCACTGATCTTCGGACCGGAAACTGTCGATCACCAAATGTTCTTTGCACTCAATTTACACCACCCCAGGTTTCTTTCATTAGAAATGCAATGTTTACTTGTCACAGTTTACTTCGGGCCTACCAGGTATGAGCATCCGATCTACAATCGTACATATCCAGGATTGGTTTTTGTCAAAATGAATGCTAACAGACTTCTAGGAGGAACTCCAAGACGCAATCATCAACGAAATCCTCATGGCAGGCGGCCTAGTCTCAGACTTCGGACAACCAGCGGAACAAGGGTACAGCATTTTCGGTGTTCTGGCCGGAGCATTTACTATCGCAGCTGCAGCTGGTGCTGCAAACCCTCTTATCGGTGGACCTTTGACCGCTGTAGCCGGTATTTTCGGTATTCTGGGATCCTTCCCCGATCCAACGGATGCGGACAACCTGAGAAATGACATCGATGCGCGATTAGCACAGGCATTTACTGCTTCTCGTGATCAGGTCTCTAATTTGGCGCAGACAATATTTGGAGGTGTCGATGATACATCGTTGCTTGCGAGAATTTCGCCGCCAGCGACTAACTCGGAGACCACGGATGTTGGAAGATTTTTCTCGGGCGGCAGGTTTCTCATCCCCGCGACGGTCAATCTTGATATGGAGGTTCGGGCTGTTGCAGACAGGGGTATACGCTTAGTTGTAAGTTTTCGGTCGGAATCTGTGAAATTCGACAATGAACGTTAAATGCTAATAAATAATTATAGAGGCAAGCACTTGTTATTCGCGCTCTTAAGACACAGGGTTATTTCGTTTGGATCGATGTAAGCTCTACCAATCTCTATATTTCTCACCTCCTAGCCAATCCACTAACAATATTCATAGACCGGCGCAACCACCTTCGAAGCTTGCACACCAACAGGCTCTCGTTTCATGAACGGGAAATGCTACAAGATTGCCAGGTTTGCGAGTAGCCTACAATCCAGAATCGAGGACATTCCAGCCGATACTGTCTTAAAATTCGGCAATGAACAATACAACATCGTCATCGAAGACTTTTACAACAACGCGGAAGCCTGTCAAAATGCAAATCCGAACTCAGACGGACAGGCTCAGTTTGAGGGACTCCCTCTTGATGGAACCTTACCACAATGCTTCTTCAATATGAGAGTTAGGACGGGGATGCGATGTATTTTGTGTCAGATTTCGAACTGTGGGGAGTTCATATTGAACCAATGCCCATAGTCTTGTTAGGGAGTGTGAGCGAGGCGTTTAACTTCAAAGGATTAATTAAAAGCCTTTTCTGTAGCGGCTGTTTTCAAGCGGTTCATTTCGGGGAGTTCTGATTTTAACATGTACTCAAAAATAAATAGTTAAAATTAAATTTTGTCAAGATATTAAGCACGTCGTTTAGCAAGACTAACCTAGGGCAGAGCGGTTGAGGACTAGCTCTGACAATAAAATGCGACCGTAAAACTTCAACCATAAGATCACAGCCTTATATTTTCTTTTTGGTCGTTTGAGCAACAAAACATATGATTATTTTCAAATGTAATTTTGTTAAAAATATTGCTTAGAATGGGTTTTGCTGGCCTCGTTCCTAGGTGTCGCACATGGAGGTACTTTATTTGGGCTTTGCGAATTTACATTGTATTAGTGCGAGCAAATCAGACAACAATTCCATGCGAAAGTCGCACTTTTCTCGAGTATTATTAATACCGAGGCAACTAGCGTTTTTTCTTGCAAATTTGAAATATAATCGATTTCACGTATTTATACCCTGATATTTGGTACGGTTCTATAGTTTTATTGTTCTCGGATTTGAACTCTGACAGCAGCTTATATCTCTACATGAAATACCTTATATGTACTTGCCGTTGAATTCATGTCATGATAACAAAATAACTCATTAAATGGCATATCAGCACCCGTTTCAAACACTAGTTTTGTTCGTGACTTTCCCGAAACGCTATAAGCAAAGTTAGATATGTGCCCTCTTGGACGACTGGCTCCTTTAAATTTTCTAGTTCGCAATCGATCCAATCCTACATCTACACCAATCCAGTCGGGCTGTATAGCTATATGGATACTTTATCGTGATCCCTCTCTCCCATTTTTTCCTTTTACTTTCCCAAACCAACGGAGGGCAACCATGAGTTTAACTCAATTAACTTATATCTAACCCTACCAATAAATAAATTATAATAAAAACTAAACACGCTACATCAGATGATTTACATCGTAAATGAAACCGATTCAAAAAAACTTCCGGTATCGCCGTGTACAAAGGTGCTCCTAAACAAACCACTATATTAACAAAATTTCGATATTATGTAGCAGGATAGTTGTATTCGGCGCTGTATATTGCATACAGGGGTGATCTTGAGGTATCTCATACTGGAAAGGCATCCATAAATATTTTCCTCAGTCTATTAAAGAACTACATCAACGATGGTGAGAGAATTAACAAGTATGACAGGGGATGCGGGATGGGTTGCTTAGCAAAACAGTACACCCTCTAACGCAATCGCCTCTCAATAAGTACTTAATTAATTACTTAATTAAGCGTACCTACCGATCACTATGGATATAGAATATCTGCTAGAAATGCGAAAAATGCCAACTATCAAGAGATATATTATATTTGTGCAAATTGTATACTTGTCTCGTACCCAGACCCGGAAGATTAGGCACCATAATTTCGATCTTTCTACGATTTTATTGCCACTTTAAACTTAGGAGTTCATCGGGGAGCCGACCTAAGAGATCGATCTCTCATCTACAACTGAGACTGCGTATCATGCGACAGTCTATATCTGCATATATCTAAAATGGAATTAACCTAAATGCGGTACCGTTGGCAGACCATAGCCGTTTTGTGTTGTGATATGCTGCATTTTCTTACAGTGGAATCGCGGTGATATGCTGTGCCTGGTCCCGAGGCCAATAGAAATGGTGGAAGGCGTTTTGTGTTAGAAATTATGAATGGAACTGTTAAGATGTAAATTTGTAGGATGATACAGGATACCCGTGATCTTGAGTTTTGAAACCACTGTGATTTGGACAGCGTTGTAGATTATATATGCATATATGGCAAGAGTTGGATTTCAGATTAACATCACGACGCGACCATAGGATATCTGGATATAATTGGTTGCGGAGCAAGGGAGATAATGTGGTATAAGATTCTGTTACTGGCGAGGAATGCTCCCAATATTCGACACGAGACAGAGATGCACCCCTGAGGGGAGGCTACCATGTCGCTTATTGGTTCCATGCAGCTACCTATACACCTACATAATTCCCTCCAAATTTCCTCAGCCTTCGGTCTATGGAGTTCCAGAATAATTACGACATCAAATTGCACGCATGAGAAGGCTACACGAAAAGGCACACGACCCCGCTTTTAAATTCAGATCTGATCAAGGACCTTAAAATTCGCTAGCACGAAATCGAAACTAGTTAACCAGTTCCACCTTGCACGATTGCAATATCCCTTGAGCTCTCGAGAGACACCGGATTTATAATATATACACCATTTTGAACAATGAATACGAATCTTATAATTCACGATAATGTCTCCCATCACCCCCTCGGTTCGGGGTCGTATTACTTCCAATCCGGTCTGCTGGAATATCTCACTCAGTTGATCGGGGATGGAAAGCCCTGTATCGATGTTTTTGTCGGAGCTCAGCCAAATTCGTCGGTATGTAATCTAAACAGTATTTATCAGCCATTTCCCAAGCCTTCTAATCCTTATTATGACTAACAAGCTATCCTTATCCATGTATAACTGCAGCCCCATATCGGGAATATGACGAATGTTTCGACCGCTTTTGCTGTAGCTAAAGGCCTGAAAAAACATCAAGGGTCCCGTCTAGTAAGGGTATCACTAGACCTGGTGGATACCGCTCCATACTCGCCAACCACTACCAAATACGACGACGTGGTCTATCAAAAGAGTCTTCGGTACCTCCAAAAGGCCACCGAGTCAAACTCTGACTTTGAATCGCTCCTCGTGCAGTTGAGTGCAGAATGTGGTGTTGAGTACCGGGTAAGAAAACAGACAGACATACTCCAGGACCCTCACCTTCGAGAGATCCTCCAAGACATCGTCGCCCGCCGTGTTGAGATCGCACCGTTACTCGAACCACGTTACAAGACTTTGGGAATAAGATATGCTTGCCCAACACCAGATTGCGGTCTGGCGGACAAGCACGGTATACGAAATGAATACTTCGGGAATCAGATCAAGTTTCAGTGTCCAGTCCATGGGAGCTATCAGATTGATCTAGAGAATGGAGACTTGAAGTTCCTTGAGTTCAATACTCCATTACGTGGCCTCATTCGTTGTCGTCTCTTTGCTCAAGATCCTGTCAGTAGTTGGGTTCAGATCAAGGGATCCGACTATGCTGGTTTCTATGCAGAGCAAATGGTCTTGAGGCCACTCCAGGGATTCTGCACGCCTATCACGGTCTATACGCCTTTGATCATGGATTGGAGTGGTGCGAAGATATCGAAGAGTCTTTACGTTCGGCCGGATGCGTACGAATATCTTCGTCTGTCTAATCTTTCATACTTGCTTAACTTCCGCGAGTTTTGCGCTGCTGGGTTTAAGATTGGTACTTTGTATAAGTTGGTTGAAAGGTGGATAAATGAACCGAAGCGGTTGTTTCGGCATTATACGATATATCAAATCCATCAAGAATTGCTTCAAATATTGAACAGTGAACGGGAGTCTCTTAAAGAGGTGGAAAAAGGGAAATGATAGCAAGGTGGATGGGAAGAATTTACAGATCGGGTTGGTTGGTTTTAAATACATGTCCGTAGTTCTGGTATCACCCTTTTGGGAGTAACTCGGGCTTACTCCATATTGTACTACGGTAGCTCTTATTTCCATGTTCTTTTCTAGTCTTATGATCACTGAGAAATCCGACTGAGCACCTACGATTTATTGTTCATTACAATGCGTATAGTAGGTAGCTGACCTCGGGGAGTTTAGTTCAATGCTTCTTAAAAGATGATTGGTTACATATTTCCTAATATCTTTTAACCGTCCCCGTTTTACCTGCCACCAAGACCCTACCCTAGGTGGCTCATATCTGCATTGGGGGAGCCATCACCTTCAAATCGTAGCGGGCTGTGTAAAACCGCTTGGCATTGGTTAGGTCGATGTTTCAACCCTAGATGATTCGGCTTTCACGTCGGATATTTTCGCTATATCCAGCCAGGCGTATTTTTGCGGTGCCCCTCCTATCCATCCTTTCTCTACCAGGGCCTTCAAGCTCATCGCTTCTTTGAGTTTCCAGACCTCTAAAATTCGGTGAGCATACCAGTTCACTTCTTTCCGCGGTTTTTTTTTTGCTTTCTCAGGAACCAAGGTACCCGAAAGCCCATCGTTGAATTGGCGATTCCGCTCAATGTGTAACTGGTCCTCTGGAATTTCCCCTGGTCGGCACGGTGCAGCTATGACGGCATAGTACCTGATCGCGCTCACGGGAGCCGTCTCGTAGATCCACATATCTCTTGCCGGAAGAGGGTATTTGCGGAACTCATACGTTTTGGTACCAGCGAGGATAGATTCCACGTGACGAGTATAAATTGAAATGACAAAGTGTGATTTTGATGATGGTTTTGATTTGGATGGTGGTAGAAGTGAGTAGCTCTGGTCGATAGATGCTGTTGTAGGGGTATTGGAATTTTCGTCGTCTTCGTGGGTATCACCATCATCGCTGTTATTGTTTATGGTTCCAACCGTGTCAACTTCCCCCGCAGATGAGGCTTTGCGTTTCCGCGATTGCATCATATAGGCTCTTATATCTCGCTGTTGAAGGGGTAAGGAAGAAGTTGGAAGCGAGGACGAAGATGATGATGATGGTTTATCCATTCTGTCTTTTCGCTGTCGATACTCAGCCCTACAAGACCAACTTTCAAAATTGACGGCTTTGGTTCCCGGCGGTTTGCAATGTAGGAGACAGGGGGTACCAGGGGTTGTCAGGAGGTTGAAAAAGGGTTAAGATGGGTTGTAATATGTCAACACATCCCAGAATGTATATGTGTAACACAGGAAAGTCACGTGATAATGAAGACCGATGCGCTGGCAGGCACAGTTGCTGTAACCACCAGCGGATGTTGGTTCCATATTCCATACGGCAGCGTCAGATCTGTATAGCTGAGGAATCGATACGTTTTGGGGAATACAAACCGTCCCGATGCTAACATCAACATTTGTTTCTTCCAAAGCTCTCTTTATTTGTGCTTCCGAAAGTTTATCTTCTCCCCAGTCGAAAAAGTACTAGCGCACATGTAAACTAGCCCTAACGAAGAAAAACCTCCTCGATTCCACCAACCCAAAACTAATTCGGTGTTGGATTCATCTGAAGGCGTGGCACTGATGAGGCTTTCAATGGCATGGAGAAAAGACGGTGGTGAAGTTTTATGGAGTTTAAGCCCCTGGTAGGTTTATTCCGATAGTGTGATACCCATGCTATTCAATTGGACAGAGGCACCTAGGCTCCAACTATAGCTATATTGAGCCGTATATTGGAAGTATCTGCGCTGGCGTTAGTGTTTACAACATATCAACGCCCTAACTAAGGTGGGAGGGGCGCACTTATAGCCCACGGGCTTCGATTTGGTTGGTGATATCTCACTTCCCAGTTTCTGCAACTGATCTTGACCAGGAAATATTACAACTTTTCCTTTACCTGACACGCCAATCAACCTAGATATTTTTAGGATCATCAATCGGTCGCCCTCAGAGCTATCCGTGTTAGGGAATAGCTCTTCTGAGTCTCAAAGCGCTAAGAACGGCTTTTGACAATCTCCGTCGAGGGTCTTCTTCTCGATGATGTTTGACACTTGAGGTCGTATGATATGTATCCGTGGTATGAATAAAATCCCCTTCTGGAGGGTGGAGGGGTTCAAGGTGTATTATTGCGGCGTGGGAGTGCAAATGTCATACAATGGATGGTTGAGTAGGATGATCAAGTTCGAACTGTGGTATTAAAGATAGGTATATGTATAAATACCCTTGATATGGCTTTGAGAAGATCTTTTAGGTGACTCATTATCCCTACAAGGGGAGGCTAAAGCTGGTTCTGATTCTTAGTTTATGGTCTCTACCATCACTAACCGAAATAAGAGATTTAGCTTCTTCTTCTTCTCCACGAGGCATTCTATCTCAAAACTTGAGCCAAGCATATTAATATGAGTGTTATTTACAGCGGTTACATGCTAGGTAGGCTGATATTTCGTCCCGTTGCCGTACTCAAGGCTTATATCCAGAGTAATCGACAAATTGATAATCAAATCTGTAAAAGGACAATAACTAAACCGATTAATATAGTAAGTTTCCGGGTTTACCAGTAAGCAGGCTAGGTATCATATCCACTATCAAAATTTGAAAGGGCAAAATTTCATTTTGCGTATGCGCCCTGGTAAGGTTGGCTTGGATATGGGTCTATAACCATGCCCAAGATTATCAAAGAAGTATAAATAAATTACTTTTCGGGGAAAGCCTTTGATGTTTCTAGGTTGATCACCTTATTATCAACGGCATGCTTTTGGGCTAACAATTTGGCTTGCGTTCGACGGGAGTACTCCTCACTTGGCTTATATATGTTTGTTGCTACATTTATTTCCCGGCCACCGTACTTTTGCTACTAAGCCATCTATGACGAAAAGAACATTTCAATGGTTTCACAGACAGCTTGGGTAGAGAAGGTTGTAAAAGCAATGTTGATCTCATAGGTCACAGAGCAGGGAAGGGTAGAATCCTTTGGCTAGTTTACATTGGTGTGGAATACCGATTCGACGTATTACTTTGTGCAGATTCCAGACCTCAGCAAAGCCCCCGGAATATCGGCTGCACGTCAAATGCCGACTAGGTTACTTAAAAGTTTCCTTCCAGGTTGCCGTTCTCAGCGGATCCTAGCTATAAGTATTCACTCTAAATCCTACAGATCAACTACTCTACCAAGCTAGCTTTGTATGTGAATCTAGGGTGTTTGTTCGAACTATCTGATTATAATTATGCCTCCAGACCAGGATTATATCTGCCTCGAGCAATTGATCAGATATATATTCGAATAAAATATGGCACCGCCCAAAAATCATAATCAACTAAACCGTATAGCTCCGGCCGAAAATGGCAGTATTACGGAACCGCAACCTAAAAGTGCCTCAAAGTTAATTAACCGCAAACGTATCGCTTACTATGCATGTTGCGTGTTTACATGAAACATGTAGTAGTTCATTATTCATTCTACCTGGCCCATAGGTATCAACCCAAACTCGTGGCTGAAGGGAACACCGTCTTCTGAATTCCGCACTAAGGGCCTGACAGCTACCGTGGTTATATCTTTTAGGTTGAAGTAACGTTGCTCCCCTGATATTGCCTGCAAATATGTATCGTAGGTTATTCTCAATCTTGAAGTAAAGGATAGAAATCAGACAAATCATAGGAGCTTAAAAGTCGAAACAATTCAATATACCTCTAACCACAGGAGCAGTATAATGGGCAAATACAACTATTCTATTCGAATTTTTCACTTTGTCCCGATTTTTTGATGTTGATGTCAACCCCCGTCTTGCTAAGTATTACCGGTTTAGTTATGTTGCTATTTGGATTGTTGCTTACATAAATGCTGCAAGTCCAACGTTCGGAAGCATCTGGCGAATTCATGATAGACCACCGAATGTGTGTTTTACACCCCTTGAATTTGCTGGGTTTCTTGTTGGATTGTAATAAATAAATTTATAAATTATAAACTAGATTTCAAAGGTGATCAGAGTAATTTACTCGGTCGCCCGTCTAAACTAGACTATGCCAGCAGCATAATTTTAATGTAAAATGGGCGGCAGCTAGTACTCACGTCTAATCTTTTTTGCTGTCAATGTTCTAATAACATCTTCGTGCCCGTTGGTTATCGCATGTTGGAGCGGTGTTTTACCCTCCTCGTCTATCATTTGTAAGTTCGCCCCTTCTTCTACTAAAAACCTGACGATGTCCTCGTGCCCATTTTCAGCTGCGATCGATAGCGGAGTTTGAAGACGGTTGTCCATGGATTCCAGGTTGGCTCCATGCTCCAAAAGCAGCTCAAGCGTATCTTGATCATAGAGCCAATAACCACTTACCCCCACCGACAACGCTGTCCGACCCTTGATATCTCTGGTTTGCAAATCCACCCCGTTCTCCATTAAAAATTTGATGATATCCCTATTGCGACTTTTAAATGCCATATATAGCGAACTGGCATCAAGTGTCGCCCCCTTCTCTGCCAGCATCCTAATCATTCCTTGTTTCTTCTTTTCTATAGCTACCTGAAGAGGTGTTGTCCCATCATCGTTTGGAGCATCTGGGTCTGCCCTCTCCAACAGTGCTCTGACAACACTTTCGTCCCCTTCTTCTACCGCAAACGTTAGTGGTGTTCCGCCAAATAAATCGTCGTACTGATCCAGATTTATTCCCTGATCTACCAACAACCCAACGATACTGGCATAGCCACCTATTACCGCGTTCCGTAATAACTGTTGGCCATCTTTTCCGTCGAAAGCTGTCAAATCCACTCCCTTTTCCATCAAAAGCCTGATGGTATCTTCATACCCATAGGCTGCCGAAGTTAACATAATTTCTCGGTAGTTGTCTTCGTCTTCCCAGTTGATTAAGGCTTCGATGAGGTATCTGACATCGTCACTATCCTCATCGTAATCCAACTGACTTAGAAGGGTTTCACCCAGCCTATTTTTAACTTTCAGGTCCGCCCCTCGGTCCATCAGCATCCTTAAAGCACCCCACTCACCATAACCAAGCGCCTCCCAGAGTGCCGTTTCACCATCCTCATTTTTATCCTCCACGCTTGCCCCGCTTTTTATCAACAGCTCTACGAAATCCTTCCCGCCTCCCCCCGCCGCAACCATTAGTGCCGTTTTACCGTTCTTATCTTTCGCCTCCACGCTTGCCCCGCTTTTTATCAACAGCTCTGCGATCATTTCATGGCCCCGTTCCACCGCAGCCATTAGTGCCGTTTGTGCTTCCGTATTTACCGCCTTTATATCGCTTTTGCTTTCCATTAACCGACGAAATATACTGTCAGACCCATTTCGCGCCGCAATAAACAGTGGTGTTTGACCACGATGATCCTTAACTTCTAGGTTTACTCCTATCCCTATTAGCATTTGCACTATGCTTTCGTGCCCGTTTCCGACCGCAAGTGAAATTGCCGCTTCGCCAGAACTATTCTTCGCCTCCGGATTCGCACCGCTGTCAATTAAAACCCGCATGATATCTTCGTACCCCTCCTTTGCTGCGAACAATAACGCTGTACGGCCTCTATTATCTGCAAGCTCCAGATCTACTCCATCGCCCGCCAACATTACTTTCGTTACTAGCGTTAACCCACAATGTGATGCAACATGGAGCCCTGTCACCCGGTCTATGGATTCTCTGCCGTAAAATCCATATTCACTCGCGGTGAACATAGCCTGGACGCAAGCCAATCGTATATCCTCCTCCGAAAGAAGATTAATAGCCAATTCAATCATCTCAACTCGTCTCGTAAACCAATCGACGTCAGAATTCGTGCTAAGTTCGCGGGGCTTCTCAACATCATTTGTAGATTCTCGGATATGGTAGTCCCAGTTCTTTGCAGCATATTTGTATAGAGCGTTTGACTGCAGCCTCTGCTTAAACTCTTCGTAGGTTGAACATGGCCCCAATTTGAATGTATCGTGTGAAAGGTAAATAACATATATTTTCGCAATATCGCTATGGGAGTTGGGGAACCAGGTCATTTTAGTCCGTTCAAAATATTCTTGCATTGTATAATGGATCAGCCTTATGATGTTGCTCTGTTCGTCGATGGTAACTAGGCCCCGACAGTATGAAACGAGATCGTCAACGTCGGAAAGATTCGCCATATCGATTTCGGATGCTTCGTCCGGATGTTCTACTGCGATCGCATACTGGAGCTCTGCTTTAGTAAGAGGTCTTGATGCACAGATTATCCAAGACAAAACTTGAAAAGCTGTTTCCGTCAATACTATGTCTCCATATTCTTGAATGCTTTCTATAATGGATTGGTACGTATTATCGTATGCACTGGCAGAGGACTTCCCCTGGGCGGTAAAACTCTCTAAGGCTTCGTTTAACTTCTTAAGCGACCTTGAGGTTTTTATCGTTTCGAAACAGAGATGCGCTAAGAGGAACCTATATTATGGTGGGCTCATAGTTTGTATATAAGCAATCTGAACGACAGAGAAAGGAGGTGGGTGTTGAGGGCTGGATGTTTAAGGGCCTTACATTCCCTGAGCAAGTTTCGAGATCTTATCTATAACTATTGTCTTGTTCTTACGTACGATGTTCCCCCCTGAGTGTAATATCTGGCCTTCCAGGTATTTTATTATATCTGCTTCTGATGCCCGTATTTCCAACTCCATCAAGCTGATCTCGTGTCTTTCAAAGATACCGCGGATTTCTGGAATAGGTCGTGAGGTTGCAAAAATGTTTAATGCGTAATTCTTATGAATCTCAAATAGCTGTCCTAGAAATTCTGAGCACCGTTCATACTCATCGAGGGCATCAACGACAATGAAAACTCTTGAGTATGAGGCCACGACGGCGCCAAGGGCTTTGATAATTTCCGTTCGTGGAGGCCGGATACCCTTACATCGGTCGTATAGATCTTTCACACAGCTGGATAATGGATCCTGAGTCCGTGCCAATTGCTTCAGTAGATTTGACAGTAGTTCATCCACTGTGATGTGGGCATTCACTTTGTAGTTGAAATAAATGTACGCGACACCAACAGCTGGGTTGTAAGAGTAGCGATCAATTAAATGATCGATGACAATCGATGACAGAATCGTTTTACCCGCGCCAGGAATGCCAGGGCAAAAGAGTACCTCCCTTGCTGTATTCAGCCAGTTTTGGTATTCAGTTGAATTTAAAAGCCATTCGCCGGTTCCCGGTTGCCGTCGGTTGAGGGTGTCATTATGCCGAGAGCTGTCATCAATTGAAGTTATCCAGTCTAAGATTTTCCGATTTTCTTCTCCATCCAGGTTTTTCTTAAGTTTCGTGAGGTTATCAATTGCTATTTGATGTTAGAACTTATGTTACCTCTAACCGTTACAGATAGTCTCAAGTTCCAGGGACAGGTCCAAGTTCCAGTGCCTAGTTTCGTACAAAAGAACCAAGACCATTGCTGAAAGACCAGACCGTCCCAAGAACACTCACCTTCATCAAACTCTTTCTGCCGTACCTGTACGTCAATCGCCGTCGCCGGTACTATGACCCCTAATAGCTCCTTTGTACAAGCTGCAGCGACGGCTGCAGCATATTCCTGCCACTCGTCATTCTTGTTTGAATCAGCGTAATCACAGATGCCGCGTATAACAATAGCGGGGATTCCCACTAGGCCCGCAGCTTCCATTTCAATACATAGAACTTCTTCGTTAAGGCGTTTTGCTATCGAATCACGAAGCTTTTCATCTTTGACAACCTGGTTTCCGGAAGCGATTAAGCCGTAGTGTACCTCGGCTTTTTTAGGGTCCCCGATTGATGTATATTCCGCCTCTAAGTTCGGATGGTTTGCCTTCAGATCATCGAGGTATGTAGGTATCATTGTTTTTCCCTGGAGCTCATGCCGTAATCGCAACGATTGAATCACCGATAGTAACTCCTGAGGCGGACGGCACTCTTTCCCCGTGTGTTCAAAGATGCCATGCTGATTCGTTTTGCCGAAATCCCATTGAGCCCATTCTGTGCCAATCACAACGTCTCCCAATTCAACTTTGCCCGGAATTCCCGCTCCAATCCCTACAAGGAAAAAACTCCTGATAGACGAAAAGGTACGTTTCATGTGATTGGCGACCTTAGCTGCTTGGTTTGTGCCATAGTATCCCAGGGGCAGGCACGTGATAGCCACGTTGTGGCGACCGATGGATCCTAGGGTATAAGCATTCGTGTCGCCGTGTGGTTTCGAATCTAGGCTTGGGTGGGTTTCGTCTAGCATTAAAGTCGCCGCCGTTTGTTCTTTTGACAGAGCACAGATCCATCCTATCGTGTACTCCTCGCGTCCCTTTGAGGTTGTTGACATCGTGAACGATAGAGTTGCGATACGGAACCCCGCCTTGCCGCTAAATCTTAAAATTTAACAGCCTCCTAGCTTGTCGGCCAAACAATCATTTAAATACTGGGAGAGTTCAAGCTGCTAATCGCTGGATTTTGACGATGAATAATAAAGCTGCGAAGGGATATATGCTGCTTCCCAGCGAGGGGTATATTTTAAAACGAGAGGAAGGAAGAGATTAAGTCCCAAAAAATTTTTAAATGCCAATTCGAGGGATCTAATCCAAGGATGCGTGAACGCCTTCGCCTTGCGGTGAGCCAGAGTTCCTCTCAGCCTCAAAGCTCCCACCCACCACGCAGAAATTATTAGGTATTACCCCTCCGTTGCTCATCTGCAGGTTGGATGCCAGATGTGTTGTTCATACACCAACAGTGCATAAAATACGGCTGTATCATGACCAGCCACCTGAACAGCCTCGCGACCTGAAGTGGAGGCATCTTTTGGAGGCGTTAGTCGGATATGTCGAGAAAAACATCGAATCAAGCTGAGACGAGAGACAAGCTATGGCAGCCACGCCTTTGAAACCGTCCAAGTATATACCACCGATTTATTTTATTTGGATATAGGTACCTCAACGTCACATACGCACGCACTTTTGATACCCGCAGAAATTACGAAATAATCTGACATCCTAGCCAAGGCGAGGATTCGGGAGTTTGGTTTTCGATTTATCCCAAATTTTAAAGATCACGGTAAGACTTTTGCTGGAGCATGTTGGCACGCTGGATGTTGTTAATGATATGTATCCGCCAGCGGATATCCTAGCAGGGATGCCGCGCGGAGACCGCAGCATCAGCGGAAGCCTGTTGCCTGCTTTTCGAAGAGCCAGTTTTTATAGATCCTTCATGCTTCATTGATAGATCAAAAATGTGATCGTTTAGGCTTACTTAATGTGCAATCAGAATATCGTTTGCGAACTCAAAAATTTTAACCTATTTTTCTGGATATCGATCCTTCAGGGACGAAAGTATTCCTAGAGTCGACCAAGTGCGGCTCCCGATCACGCAGGGCGGAAGTGCCAAACAGGTGTTCTTACAATTCTTCCCTACGCTCAACTATTATTGATTGATTATTGATTTTGATGCATCAATTAGTCATCGGTCCCCAAGCTAGCTGAGGACTAGCTATTGTTCTGACAACATTATCACAAGTCTCGAGAATGATCACGTGAATCGAGAACGAATTGCATCTGTGTAACCTTGGTCTCGGCAACCCTTGACAATGAGATTTGCCAAGCCAACACACTTGTACAGGACCGCCCAACACTTTTCCTCCGCGTTGCGAGGTAGAATCCAACACGAGCCAGAGGCTACACGCATGTCCGGGTGGTCAGGGCTTACGAGACCAGATGTCAACTAGGCGGGGCCACAGCTGCACAAGCGTCACCCCAATCCGTACATCTTGCAATGTGAGATCGAATGTTTTAGAAGAAGAGTATGCATACCAGTATATCTGTGTCAAATCAGTCTTATCATGACGCAGCGATGAAGTTGCCCATAGCACACCTGGGAAAACTATCTCTTGCCATGTAATAATATTTTGCAAGATAGGTGTACCCCTATCTCATGGCGGCACAGCCGGAAAGTGCCGAGAGTCGAAGATATCGACGGGTGCACGCGATGTTATAGTTACATATTGCCAGAGGTAGTACTAGCTTTCACCCTTCTCGTGACACTTGGGAAAGAGACAATAATAGTTACTTAGGAATTCTATGGAGTGCACATATGTCGGGGTTGGCTACGAAAAATAGATAATACATTTGGGACTATGCTTGATAGATACTAATTATCATATGATATCGATATGCTACAAGCAGTCTCCTATGCCAACGTAACAATTTGATATATGTATTGGCCAATACAAAGGAAAGTGTTAGTAGGTAGGCTCCTTTAACCTCCTACAGAGCACATAAGTATTTCCCGACACTTTTTTCTTGGACATGATCAACCATCAACGCCCGTGCACGGACCACAAGCTAGTTATTCTGCCATGTAGACCAGGCTTATTCAACTAGAGGCCAAGGCAAATACCTAGTAATCTCGCCCGCACCACCCCCAGCCCCACCTTCACCACTACCACAGTCTCCACCCTCTCCGCCGGGCTCACCCATGTACCCAGTCGAAGGCTCTTGGGGGACTCTTATTGGAGGGAACTTTGGATTGACAACCGGAGGTGCAAATTTGTCTGCCATCCTCAATGAAAGTGCCACCAATGTGAGTGCTGGATTTGCTTCCGGACTGACCGGGAAGACGGATAGATCACAAACTGAAAGATTTTCGAAGTTCTTGACCCTGAGATTGGAGTCAACAACACCGTCAGTGCTTTTAGGTCCATCCATCCGCATGGTGCCACACTCATGGGAGAAGACTCCAAAGCCGAGTTGTACTGGTCGTGGAGCTGGGAGGTCGCTGGCAAAGTCTGGTTTGTCGTAAAGGAACAAGTTCCTGATCCTGGCACATATATCCTCCATCGCACACTGTACGTCTGGACCAAGTGGTGGCCGAACAATGTGGATGACAGGATCCTTTCCAGGAGTACTGAGGACCTCGTTCCCATCGTTCAACTCACCCACAAACTCGAACAACACACAAATGGTATCATAGTCATCTTCATTAACATCGCTAAGCCCCTTCTTCAGTTCGAAAGGACGATTCTTTTTAAGAGAATAGTAATGATTCGTGGGGAGTGATGCGGAGCTGCCAGCCAAGAAAAAGTTGGCATTGACAGTCACGGTGACCAAACAGGTTTTACCTGCGACCGGTAAGATTGTTTTCATGTTGACAGGTGCCATTGTCAATCCACCGGACTTCAATTTGGCGAATCGAACATAGCATACGTCGTGGTCAATAAGGCCCTTTCCTACAAGTCCGAGAGACTTGAAGGACCCGAAACCGCTGTTGAGTGCTATCGCTGGTGTACAAATAGATCCTGCAGCTAGAATTACTTCCGCAGTGCCAACATCAAGGTTCTTAATCATTCTATTTTCACCATCTGTATGACGGACGAGGATGGAGGTAGCCTTTCGTTTACTATAAAAACAGAGAGAGTTCGTTAGTTAAACCCCTTAAAAGAACTTCAAAAGTGAGGATGGATATAGAGTACTAACTCGTCGGACCCAACTGTTTCATGCTCAACGGAAAGTACTTCCGTGTTCAGAAGTACTGTCAAATACCGATCGTGTGCATAGATTCGATTCATCAGCGCCAATGTGGTACTGTATGCACCCTGGGGGAACTTATACGGGGCCGCAGAGTTAAATTGTGCCGCAACTGGCATGAGGTCGAAGTTTGAACCAGGTAAGGCTCCATTTAGGCTGACTCGTACGCCTTCAAGAGCTTCGGCCGTTATCTGGCCGCTACCTTTAGGGTATACAGCAGTGCTTTGAGAATAGTCAGTTATGAAATTGAATGCATAATCATATCCATTCACTTCAAACTCCTCGCCTTCACGGTTGTAGACCTTTTGCTTCTCGGTGAGGTATTTGGTAATATCCTCAGGGAAGTGGGAGTCCAGAGTCGGCTTGCTGATCTGTGGAGTCCAAATACCCCAAAGATTGGATCTACCACCTACGCAGTAGACAGGCCCACCGATGTATGGGGTGGAACCTTCGGTGCAGCGCACTTTGGCTTTGACGGCGTCATAGATAGCCTCATTGCCTTCAGGGGAGTTACTAGCTCCGCGCTTGAAGTATGGGCGTGAGGTATTAAGAACGTGGGTATTGAAGATAGGATGTCCTCGTTCAATGAGGAGTACTTTTTTCTTTCTTTGAGAGAGGACTTCGGCGAGAGGGCCACCTCCCATGCCGCTTCCTACGATGATATAATCGTAGGCATTGTTCTTGCTAAGAAGCCCGACAACGTCAATGTCGGTGGATGCAATGTGCTCCATGATAAAGGTATCTTAGATAGCTAGTTTCCTGGCAAAAAAATTATCACTTTTGGTAAAGCAGATGTTATATTTTGCACGTCAAAGCCAGGAGAGGAGGATCTAGGTGATGCTGTATTTCCACCCGCTGCTGAACCACAAATATCAGGATCCCCTCCGCCATTAATATACCCACTTTTACACAACCCTACAAAAGAAATACCTTATAAAGAGATACTTTTATGTTGTGCAGAATGGAAGCTATGTAGCTACCCCGCACTTGATATTCTATCATATCAAAATCCTGCAGAACGGGATATCAAGTTCCTGCAACCAACGCCGCATTCGGCATGCTTGTCCCACACCCTTCAAGCATTCTGCAGATCCGAGCGGGACAGATAAGGTAGAATTACGATTTTACGTGGTTACCCGCATACTGAATTGGTTCCCGCCTAGGCAGATTTCTTCCGACCGCGATGGATTGCAGAAAATTATGCATTCAGCCCACCGACATGGAATTGTGAGGAAACAAGAAAAAAATGATACTTGTCTGGCTGAAAGAGTAGAGCGGCGATATCATTGGTTGAGTTTGAGGATTTAACCGAGCCGCCGCATCGTGATCGATCTCTTCCGGCCTGTGTTGCGTGTGGGGAACTTCCTCAAGTCGCGTGCAGAGAGTGACCTTCTCGCAAAGTCAACGGGGTGGGTTTGAAATTGATATCTGCTGGCTATACACCATCTTAATGATAACTGATGGTCTGGATTTGTCAAGTTGTATGTTCCCCGGTGCCGGTGCCCCGTTGACAATGTACGACCAAGTCCGAGTGCTGTGCTAACTCGTGTTACTCAGCTCCGTCAGCAAGGGTACAAAAACGTGTAAAAGGTGTATACATCATAGAGTTTGACAGCATATTGTTAGGGATTTCTCACCGACTTCTATGAGTTTATTGCGGGGTTCCTCCAGCCTCCATCCGGCTTCCCTTTGCCGTGTACACTGTTCTTTCGTGTAGCACGACAGATACGTTCGAGACAACGCAAGAGCGAACGGGAAAACCGAAAGAAGATGAGAAAGATGTTTTTAGATAATCAGCGACAAGCACCAAGCTTAAGCAACCTTCGAGGGATACCGGAAAATATAAGATTGGAGGCTAGGAAAGGAGACTGGAATCCTGCTGACCTCCTGGCCCAACTTCTTGGAAGAACGCCATTTAATTCAAAAGAAGCTAGCATAAATTTCTCAGTATACAATTGAGTAATCCCGTAGTAGAATGAAATTGACAAAAAAGGTAAAATTCCCCGATAAAGTAAATCCTGTGACTCAGCAGGGGTTTGTGGTTTCTAAAGATGGTGTTAGGCTAGACTGTTATAAGTTAATATCCAAGTTTCTGAAGTTGATGTATCCCTTGCTTGGGTATTATTTGCGGTAAAAAAGAAACTGTGTTGATATCATGATGTAGTCATCTAGTCATGCATGTCAGGCCTTGGGCCTTACGCGCGAAACGACCCCTATCCTTTCTCTGCACGAAGCTGGCCTACGGATATCAAGATATAGAGAGACGGTATGGTATCTGCTCGGTATACGAAAGACACAAAGTGGGCTTTTAAATTTGAATTTGAGTCAAGTTGGTGTATGCATTTGTGGCATCTCGGCCTCGGATCTTTGAGAACGACCCTGAAACAAGTTGCCCAGCCTAGAACACACTCTATTATTTTCCCACGAGGCTCGAGAGCGAATCTACGCGAGACTGCACGAGTCTTCCACGATAATTAAAGTGGGTTTATCCGCTTTCCTGCAAACGAGCGAGAGTATCTCCGGATACATATTGCCCTTACTTCGAGGAATATTTGTGTTGCTGTAACAAAATACCACAATGTTTATGTGTCGAACGACAGTCTCGAGCTCGTCAACTGTGTAAATCTCAGTCTCAAAATTGGATGCGCCAATAGGCTATGTATTCCATTTACAACCATTTCTAAAGATGATGTCGGAGGTAGCAGGCTCATAGACGCTCATTACGCCATATATTTCGGAATGATTTCGCTTCTTGACCCAAATTTTACATCCTATCAAACTACGATACATATATGTACGCATGTATTTAACGTAAGATTCAATGAAATCCAACCGAATAATTATATAAACTTGCTCAAGGCAAGTTGTACTTGTCTCTTACCGGAAACTAGGAGGATTGCACGAGTTTTGCGTAAAATGTTACATCCATTGGCAACTAGATGAGGTAGTGTATTTGAATTCGAAACACAGATGCATATTTAGCTCGTTGTAGATGCGATAGTATTTCTAACTCGATATTAGTTATAGCAGTTCATGCAGAGATAATTGGAGTCGATGGGATTGAAGAACCCGATAATAGATGGAAAACTAGAGTACCGATACCATTTCATGTAGAGAATAGAAATAAAACGAAGCTCTAGGATCAAGATAAATACTTAATGAAATGCTTCTCATTCAGAGCACCGTAAAGTAACATCTCATAGCCTATCGAGAAATATTATTGGTAGTTTCAATTCAGTAGCGATAATTCCATCCGCAACAATGTAGATATTATAGATTTTTATAATCCTTCATTTCATATTTGTCGTAAGATATAAGTTCACCGTGATCTCGGTACTTCCTATCATAACCTCACAAGAATTCAAATTAAGCGATCGTATAGAATCATTCGAGAGTCCGCATCTTATCCGAAGTTATTTTGCCGGAGGATAAATGAGTTCGCAAGTTTGGGTTCTATATACATTGGGTAATCTGAGAATTTCAATCAAATGATCTATTGAATCCAAAGAACGTTGATTGAAACGTAGGGCGCCACTAGGGGCTGATAACGTACACAATAGACGATTACAAGATATGTATATGGTATTGACGACTTCTAAAGATGGACTGGTAGTCGAAATAGTATGAAGTTACAGTAATAATATACATCAGCCAAACGATCGAGAAAAGATAATTCAAGTCTAGTAGAAGTTCTCTGTTGTGGATTTTAGCGCTAAGTTTTTGAAGTACCAATTGAGGAATACGTAAGAATCTTGGTGTCAGTCTATTGCCCTGATTGCTGTAGCACTAATAGAAGTAACTAAATATGTTGATCTGTATTCACGAAGAAGAAAGTTATAAGGATGAAGCTTTGTTGTGAAAATAATTTGATTTGAAAGAATAGTCACAAGATTTTCTAGTGGTGTACAAATTAAGTCTAATTAAATGGGGTCTGAATAAGACAATGAAGAAGAAAAAGACAAGAATTGAAGAAATTCGAAGGAGCGCGTGCTACGTTCCCTAGGATCTCAGATATTTTCCGCGAATACCAAGTATGCTCATGCTCGAAAGCTGGCGCAACAGCTCAGAAACCTATTGTCCAACCATATTCGAAAGCGATCGAGATAATTCTCTAGATCAAGCTGCTGAGAGCAATGCATGGGAGACCGACATTGACGAGACCAGACTGTGGGAAAAGTTAGTATCAATGGATGTGATAATGTTGTAAAGTTTGAATGCTTACCTGCTGGTTGTTACCGCTGTCTTGGCAGCAGGCAACGTTCTGCTTGCACTTGTTGTTGAGGAGGTTGTTGATAGGGACGAGGTTGACTATGCCATGTTAGTCTCTTGATAGAGATGTGAAAGAGATGGTTATAGGCGACTTACCAACTGGGATGCTGATTTCATTGCACTTTCCGAGGATGCCGACCTTTCCAAGAACTCTGTCAAGGTTCAATCCGAGGAGACCAGCAGCGCTGCTCTGAGCGTTCTTGGTAATGTCGACATCGTTGCAGCAGTTAAGCTTCATGTTGGATCCGCAGGCCTTGTTAGCCTCGACCATGGTGACCGAGTTGCCAATTGGGAAGACGACTTCCTTGCCACCAGCAGCGGTGTTTGGGAGGGCAGAAACGCTGAGAGCGAGAGCGACGACAGTGAAGAGAGTGGAGAATTGCATTTTGAAGAATGAGAGTTTTAAAGCTGTAGAGCTAAGTAATTGAAAGATTGTTAAAAGATTGGAAGTTTGTTTAGAAACTGTTGATTGTTTGAATGATTGAAGATGTTGATGATGATAATTCGAAACCAAAGTGGGTGAAATGGACAGACTTATATACCCGTCTGTTGGCTAGAAAGGAGTACACGATCTTGGTGCTCCCTGGGGTCATAGCCATCGAAGCCTAACAAGAATTGCGATAGGCGCGCGATCGAAAGGCTAACACGAGCATAATCCCAAGTAGAATGCAGGTAGAATGCAGGTAGAATGCAGGTAGAATGCAGGTGGAATGCAGGTGGAATGCAATCAAACTACCGATGGAATGTAGATGACCTGTACGTGAAACATACATATCATACAGATGGAAGATAGAAGGAATTCGAAGACAGGGTGAGATCCTGGTAGAATTCGAATACAGGGTTGAATACAGTTGGAATTCAAATCCGGACGGAATCCAAATAGCGGTCAGGTGCATTACAGGTGCAATACAGGTGGAATATAGTTAGGCGACATACATTGGAATGCAGGAGGAACGCAAGGGTGGTTAGTTTAAATTAATTGAACCCAGGGCTATGTAGTAACCTTATTTCTCGGAGGAAAATTCGCCTAAAAACGTTGCAATAAGTAGTAAATCTTTCAGTTTTAAGTAACTGCATCCCTTTACTAGCAAATTGCCAATGCAGGAAACCATTTACGAGTCTGCAAGTTACCAGGTATGTTACTATGGATGCTATGCAGTACCCCAGGTGCCAACACAAAATCGGTTAGGTTCAAGTTGGATTTGTGAGTTGTTCGCCCTCGTGCCAAGCAATGTAGAGGAAAATTTCCGATTCGTCAGTCACAGGATTTACCATTGGCAAGCTTTGGGTAACTAGCCTGGAAGTTCAATTTGATCGCCTACTAATTACCTACTTTCTAAACGAAATAGCTTCCGACTTCTGTACTTTTTTTCGTTTCCCACCAACTAGTTGCAGGGAATATTTGCAATTGGGTACGTAGGCGTTGTTCCGCCCAAGCAGCAAATACCCGAGAGGCGCCACTGGGTAGCTATTAGCTTGGTCTGAATGTGTGGCTTGAATTCTAAAAAGTCAAAAATCTGCTGGAACTCGGAGGTGATCGACTTCGAGTGGTGTCTCAGTTGATCGATACTAGTCGGATTTGTGTTGATGTGGTGGATTTTTTCACATTCCAAGACATGGGGTATGCATGACCGACATGCGGAGCACGTCTAAAAAGGTTATATTAGCCAAGTCTGGAGAGAGTTTGTGCTAAAAAAGGCATGTTTGCCTTCGACGTCGACGACAGAAATGTTATGTTAATGCCAACCAACATCTGCCTTGCGTGGTACATACATACCTGATCCCATATATTGGCTAGCTTGAAAAATCCTAAGATTAAAAGCCAACATAAGGGTGGAATCAAATCTATTTCGTATACCTAAAAGGGCGAGATATACGCCGTTTTCATGCATCAAGTAATATTCCATTCTCGTTGTCTCCAGGGAGAAGACAGGCATGACATTTTCTTGTGGGGCTAGTTGACGCAAGGGGGCAACTTCTTTAATGTAGTATAAAACTAAGCATGCCTAATGAAACCTAAGGGGTAGTAGGAGCTCAAAAGACCTAAGGAAACTAGATGCAGCTAGGTGAGATCTGGTGGGCTAGTAAACCAGGAGAGCTACGGGCTAGGGCAGCTAGGGGAGAGCTAGGGGAGAGCTAGGGGCCAAAATCTTATTATCCACACCTAAATGCAACCTCAGACTAGAGGAAAGGCACTCTCCAAACAGTCATACGTCGGCTTTTACGCATCTCATACTATACGGGTAAACCCTGATAAACTTCTAGGTTTAGGAGATTGGCCGATTCCCAACTCTCAGGCTAAGACTGTAGCTTCGGAGCTTAAGTGATTAGCTTTAAGCTTCGATAAGAAAAATTGAACTGGCTGACGCTGGTATGGTTCACCGTGTACGACAAAGATGACATCTACGTAGTCTTTCGAGTGAGCCTCATAGATTACAATGTGAAGTAACGACTACATTAGACATTTCAATTGTGAAATTTGCAACATGTTCATTTGGAAATGACACCTAGATTTAGTCCATTTCCCCTGTTAGTTATTCGGAGTAATAGAATAATTAAATACTTGTAATTCAGAGTTGTATATCAGAATATATGTAGGCGTATACGATCTAGGGACTGATGAGAAAATTCGAGTTGATGCCGTAAACACGTGTAAATCCTGCAAGGAATAAACAACCGCCGAATATTCTCAACTTTGGTTTATATATTATATTTGTTCCACAATCGTAGCCCTATGCTAACACCAATGTATGATGATTGATGAATGCTATTGGGGATTGAGGCATTTTCAGGCGGATTGGTGTCAGTCAGAACATTACAAAATCTTTTGTTCAATACTCGTTATAACGTTACCATGACTGTTCTCAATGGGATACAGAATCTGCCTTTATACCCCACTCCTAGCTTCTCAGTGTTAGAAATACTTTGAGTCCCTGTTTGATATGATATAGATTGATATGATCTTGTTTATAGTAATAATTTTCTGAATCGTGGAAATTGAATTGGTGTCATCGATATCATCTGTCTCGCCACCTTGAGACCTTATAGTTAATATATACATGTAATATTTCACGGTGAGATTGTAGCAGATATAAAACTAGTTGATGGCACATAAATACAGAGAATAGGATTTCTTGTGCATAATTTTTGCTCATATAGATCCTTTTCGACGACAGTAATATAATGTTGTTCCTCACGCAAAGCTTCACACCATGATTCCGGATATATAAATTTCTAAAACGCACAGAATAGATATCGTTATAATTGTTCTTGTTAGCTAGAACATTAATATATTTAACAAAACAGCTCTTTTCACTGCCGACGGTAACCTTAGCAGCAAATCCTGAAAGTTTAGCAATAGATGTAATATCAGCACTTCGTATATAGCATCATGTATTTCATTCTTTAAACAGACCATATGCAAGGATATATAGATATAGTACTATAAAGACGGCTGGTAAGAATTTATACTTTAAGTAATATTAAAAACTACGAATATATTCAGATCAGGCTCTTTCGGAGCTCAGAGCAACGCTGAAATCGAAATAATAAACTTAGTTGATTTAATGATCATTTCGCACCGTAACGTATACAAACAACACTAATTAAAAGAATATTCTTCTAATGCTATCAAATGTAAAGCTAATACCACCAATTGAAGTTACTCTTCTATTAAAATATAAGGATATCGTCGAGAACTAGATATAAACTGTGATCACCCTAGCAAAGGATAGCGAACATTGGGAGACTTCTCCTCTAATTAAGACATGCATATGGAATCCGATAAGTGAAAACATATCCCGGTCGGAGACAAAAAAAATTTTGGCTCAGTGATATTTGGCCTATGATTTAATATTATGATACAGATCGTGATATATCTACATATAGATAGTAATTTGAAGGCGCGCTGGTGCAATAGTCAGGGCTGTGGAGATATGTACATCGGCTGGCTTAGGGTAAAGTACTGCTTTGAGATTTCGGAACGCAAATAGGGAAGTGCAGACAAAGATAGTAATTCGCCCTGAGCCAGCGCATTTTCATAACGCTATCATATACCATGATACCAAGGTATCTAAGTGCAGACTGAAGATATCGATACAGACCGTCCGCCTTGAACCTCAGATCTGAATCACGATAAAAGCTTAAATCTTGCGTTGGTCCACAAATATGCAACACACTAACCTAATATATACTAGCTCAGGTAGCAACGGTCTTGGCAACCCGACATCCGGAGATCCTTTTTGGCTCCTTTATTTGATTTATATTGAGCGAACCTTCCACATGCAAGATGACAAAGAGGAAATATTCTTAAAACGCGTCCATGGGGTTAATAAGCACCACGCATTGGCGTTGTTTAATAGACAATATTCAAAACAATCGACGCCGAATTCTATATGTTGTTTGAGCACAACGATTGACCGATTGAATGTTTGGGGTTTGGTTGGGTAACTAGTACTATGCTACTGTTGTTGGTTTAAGCATGATATCCCGAGTTTAGAAGATTAATGGCTTTCTTGACTGGAGCGAGTTATTCCTTGGTACGTCTTCTTTCGCAGGACGATATTTTTCGTATTTGGACATGTATCCGATGGATTGGTCTGAATCCATGGACTTAAAAGAACGTAAGCTTAAGACGCGTATTCAATGCCAAAAGATTCAATATGGAGGCTTTTTGATGCACTCCTACAGTACGGAATTAAATTTGAGTTAGCTGAGTTCATACAAATAAAGTGTCCCCCGGTTTTCTGGCTATATATATCCTCAATTATTTTGGTTGGCCAAGCTGGCCGCCAACGGGTCACATCATGACACTCGAAGAGGGTATTTTTCGGGAGGAGATGGATTGTGTTGACCGCTCTTCTTCGAGCTCTAGCCAGCGATTGCAGTAACAGTTTAGTGTGTCTTGGTACACGACATTATCTTTCGGAGATTTGATGGATCTCCGCCCACGCACCAGGTCATATCAAGCTGTCTTTGAACCCCCGATGGTTACCTAGGAGGTTTACGAAATATCTAAAAGGTGAACACAGGCAAATCCTAGGGCTCTCTGTAAACTCCCCGATCCATCCCTGGGACCTAGTTTCGGATGATCGCCAAATTAATCGCGATCGATCAAGACTCCAAATATTATTCTATAGCATTGTATAGGACCTTCACGAAGTTTACAGGTGCTATTTGAGGATCAGTTTTAGTTGAACCCAGAGACTAAGGAGTCGTTTGAGGATCGGCCAATTCGAACATGTTAACAACCTTACTTAATTCATGAATCAAAAAATTACCCCTTCCTTGGTTTTCCCAGGTCTGGAATGTGATATTATTTCTAGGGCGTTCAACAATTAAATTGACTCTCTAATGAAAAGCCCCTGCGGAGTACAGCGAGCGTCGTTTTCCCAAACCTTGCCAACTGCTTAAGCTTGGATTTTCGTTATACATTATTCACGACCCACGACGGGACGCGGGAATTATATTCAATAAGTAGGCTACGCGTTACTGCGAACCTCGTAGTCAGAAGACAGTACTCATATTTTCGACATCATCATTGTTCAATCCCACCCTGTAATTCTTTTTTTTTGGGTGGGGCTGGGTCCGAGACAATATGTTCAATCGTCAAATTTAAGGAAAGGCTTCCGTAGGTTCACAACCCACCTCTGCTTTGGCCCGAATGTTTGTGTTGGCGGAGCCTTTCTGGCCGAGTATAGTATTAATATGAATCTACTCAGGCCTCATTGCGTCCAACGTTGAAATGGAGTTAGAAGGTTTTATATCGAGCCCAATAGCGATCTTATACGCTGCGACATTTTCGCCAGACACGCAATCCTCGAAGACGCCTAAAACTCAGTGCTTCATTTCGAAAGACCCTCCTTTGCTAGCCAAATAGTGTTATATGCGGGGGGCGCACAGATCGAAACAGTGCTGGCAAGCTGAATTACTCTATGATGCTTCACGGATGCGGGCTTAGAATACTTTGCTTAATACCGCTCTTGTTGCACAACACTGATATTTTTAGAGACTTTTTTAATTTTCAACTTGCGATGGTCAACGAGGCCAACTTACAACAACCCTGCGGTTGTAATTATTTTCAATGCAAAATCCAATAAATGATACAACACTTTGAGGTGCAGCCACTTTAAGGGTTTTGAGGAATTCGCAAGCTGATCGGCGGAAAACACGAAAGCGATTGTTGAGGTTCTTTCAGAATGTAGGTTTGGCCGGTACTAAAAAGTTGTTTCCCCAGTCTTTTCTAACAATAACTCTTTGACTAGCACATGACGCCACACGTCAAATAAACAATGGTCGGTAACATTGGCCCGGCCTTTGCTTTCCTGATATTTGAATGCACCGCGCTTGTGAAGATATTGCTGGTGGTCTTCCTGGTGTTAGTAATTTTCAGATTTCTACGAATAAATGCTAGAGAATGATCGTGCTAGAGAGGCTATGCTAACCGGTTATAACGTTAGGGTAGTTACGGGGCGCATTGAGTTGACACAACAAAGTATTTGTTACTCATACTCGTTAATTCTTCGGGGCTTTGCAACTAAATTTAAGATAAACTAGGGGGGGAGCTTGATGAAATTTTGCGGTGGTTATCGCCATCAGAACTATAGTAGCGACATACGACATACGATCTAGCCGAGTTCCGGGCACGGGAAATTGGCTTTTAGAAGAGCCGAGCTTCAAGGACTGTGCAGTCGCAGAAACTCATTTCGTATTCTATGCTGCTCCGGTATTCCAGGCGCTGGGAAAGTGTTCTTGCGTACATTGCTACCCCCTCTTTTGTTGAACTTCTAGTTTATTTACTAGCAAACTAAGATATATCGGAGGTACAACTCACTTGCCATTGATCACATCATGGCTTTATGTGAGGGCTTGGAACTAAATTTTGGCCTCGCATTCGTCTATTGTGTTTACCGAGACCAAACACGCCAGACTGCAACAAACTTGATGGCCAGCCCGCTAGCGCAGCTGCTGTCAATTCTGCCATCCCTCCCAAAAGAAGTTCTTCAAATCTATGAAGAAAATGTCGAGAAAACAAACCTCCCGAGCAAGGAGATGTCGATGCGATGCTACTTCGCGCTTGACAACAGTTTGGCCGGGTCTACATATGTATAGACGCCCTAGACGAGGCTCAGCGCGAAGAAGCACTTTTTGGTTCCCTCCGAACGTTAATCCCTTCGATTCAGCTCTTCTCATCACTGGGAGGCCTCATATACCATTCATTGTTGACCGGTACTTTGCAGGGGTTCTCAAAACTACCATCGAAGCCAATAAAAGCGACATCGAAAAGTTCGTTGCAACAAAAATTGATGAGGATTGGGCCCGTGATAAATACCTTATGGATGAAAAACTAAAGCAGGATATCCTTGTGAGAATTACCAAAGCGTCTCGAAGAACGCGAGAAGCGAGTAATTAGCTCTCCTGGACTTGTCGTTGAGTTTTCTAACGTAGAGGGAAACAAGGCTCCTTATTACGGCTTTACGGATCAAAACGGTTCTTGACGAACGAATGAGGGCGAATCGGCGCTTAGCTCTCAATAAACTGCCTGGAGAGCTCTATGGGGCGTTTGAAGGCAATATTGACAGAACCAAGCAACAGGTTCCAAGCTCTTCTGATTTAGCATTGGATATATTGATGTGGGTCCATCTGGCAGAGAAACCATTGCATGTCAACGAATTACTCGAGTCTCTTGCTCTGAAAATAGGGGACGGCTATCTTAATACCGATCACTTCCCGTCTCGACAGTCCCGGCTAGATTGCTGTCTTGGTCTTGTTATCGTGGAGGAGGAGACGTCTACCGTTTGCCTTGTTCACCTTTCACTCCAGGCGTACCTGCATTCACGAGGCGAATATTGCTTTAAGCATGGGCACGAGCATACTGTCAAAGCATATTTAACATACCTTCGCCTTGACCTTATTACGGCCTCTCTAGTTACAAATAAGAATGCGCTCCTAGGGGATTTCCCTTTCCTTGACTATACAGCCTGCCAGTGGGGATACCATATGGGTGATCACGTGAGGGGAAAAATCTATCGAAAGAGTTAGTTGCCCTTTCGGCGTGCTATCTTCTTTGCCTACAGTCAAGATTGCGATCCGGCCTCGTTTTTTTTTACAAATCGTTTCGCGGCGACTTTGGGAACAAGGCTAGCCCCAAACTGCACAAGCCACCTTGAAAGTTTTTTTAAAAAAGGGTTAATGATTGATGTTCATCTGGAGGCTATTTGCAATGGTTTGGCGACTTAATGTCCAATGCGGTTTGTATCGGAGAACGATTTAATTGGCTACTAGACTTTTACATAACTTAACTTCCAGCAAGTTCACTACTTAAGTATATATATTAAAGGTATATATAGAACTAGCGCTATCTAATCAGTGCGGGAGCTGTATACTTTTATAAGATTCAGACGTTCGTATCTGTCCGATTAAGTGGAGCCAAAACCAAAAGTAATATCAAAGAGAGGAAGGAAGAAAGAGATTTGATATATCCGCGCTAGTCGGTATCTCGAAGTAGACCCACGATCGATATCCTGCTGGTTGATGGTACATAAACATATCTTATTCTATTGTTTGACAACTAATTATCTATTCGATATTAGACTGGTATATGTGTGTCGTCGAACAGCGTTTTCCGTCTTCTTCTTGCATATGCATGATATATAGACGGCGCGAGTGACGAGTTGAGTACATGAATAACCGACAATTTTTAAGCATTTCTAGGTTTATGAGAGTGCTTATTGTTAATCTTTTTCGTTAGTTCACTCGATTGTCTCGAGATTTTGGCTCAACTTTGAGGAAACCCCCGAAACCCCCGAAGGAAATCCCACCTAGATGCGAGGCAACGGGCTAGGTACGAGTGTTTATAGCCAGCAATTCCAACGACGAAGACATAATTCGCAATGATGTCTTAATCGGTTGTGGAATTAGTCTCCGGGACGTGGTCTTACGAAAATGTGTATGCACCCATGGCGTGTACGTGGCTCACACGTATTGAGAATTCGAGAGTATAAATGGTTTGATGTCGCGTGTTGATCTAGAAGGTGGCAACGGTAAGGCGCGCGCCGAAGCGTTTTAATAAAAGACTACGACGAACCATGCCATAGATATCACTCAAACCTGTCAGTGATCCCTTGACTCGATTCTAGGTGCTCGAAGTGGAGGGTAAACCTCATGGACCTCGCCGCCTAGCTCACCTCTCTAGGTATATACAGCGGTCATACGGTTGCACGAATTTCGGCATGGCTATGGAAAATGTAGCCCTGCGCGCTTGTTCAGCATGTCGGAAGCAGAAGCGAAAATGCACTAAAGAATTGCCAGACTGCAGTCTCTGCCTCAAGAATAGACGGGCCTGCGACTATGGCGATAGCCTTCCTGCCGTAGCATTTCCCGGCCCAGGTGCACAGGAGGCTTCGCAGCGGGCCATCGGTATTTGTTCACTGCCCATGGGTACAACCATGCAACCGCAGTTACCTTCCGTTAATTTCGCCCAATCAGAGTTTCCGGCATGCTTTTTCCTAGACCATGAGACATTCCAGTTGCTGGGCATGAGTATAAACGTGGCGGCAACCCACTTCCCACGAGCGTTATTAGACTTCGTTCGTGATCGTCCTCGAATAGAAAATGATGTGGATACTTACTTCAATTCGACCCATTCTTTTTTCCCGATAAGTAAGATAAACGCCTTTTAGATGTATGGTTCTACGTTCACGCTATAGTAATGCTCTACTAATCGATTATATATATAAACTACGATAGTCTCTAAGATTCGCTTTTACAAGGAGTTTAACAACCCTAGTGGGGCTATTAATCTAGACACGGGGCTATTACTACTGACTATGCGGTTGAATATACAGCCTGCTAATCATGATGGTATTGATCCGTTGTCTCGCGAAACTTACAAAACTGCCAAAGCGTATTTGGCTGAGATTGAAGCCAGTAACGTTATCTCTGTTCGGCTTTTGCAGGCAGCACTGTTAATTTCCTTATACGAGGTATCAAACGGGATGTTTCCCACAGCATATCTGACCGTGGGACATTGTGCAAGGCTAGGACATGCTCTTGGCATCCATGCTAGAAAACGTGCTCCTCAAGTGCTCTCTCCGCCCGGTAAGCTTCAGTGTCCCTTGCGAAGATCATTCAAACACAATATTTAACATTTATGGGATTCAGTATCCTCAACCGAGCTGGAAGAGCGGTCGAGAGTTTGGTGGGGCGTCATAATATTGGACAGGTATGGACCAACGATGCAATTAGAATAAATCTCCTTGGTATATATAGTAACCTTGCTATATATGTCCTTAGATACGTGGGAATTGGTGGAAAGTGCCGTCCATTCGCCTGCGACGACGCCCGCCCAGATACCTATTTGCCAATAGATGACACCTACTGGGATCAGGGGGTACAATAAATTTCTATAACCCGCTCCGAAAGGAAATCCGGCTAACAGTATCAGCAACCTACACTCGTCCAACCGCTTGCGGTTTCCACATCTACCAATATTGCCACATCTCCATTCGCTAGAACATGCCAAGCAGCCCATCTTTTATCTCGGGTTCTGCGCCATCTAAGCGATTGCGATACTGACCCGGAATTTCGATATCAAGAGGCTATCCAAATTGACCGTACAGTCCAAGCCTTAAGCACGTCGGCTTTACTTGGCGCTGAAGAAAGTGGCAACAAAACATCGGACCCTACCGCGAATTTACTTTTTTGCACTGCAATAAGCCTTTGCTTTAGCGCGCTGTTTTGTCTTTACTCTGAATACTCTTGTACCGAAAGCTTCGCCCCTGAACAGCTCAAGAGCTCCAACCTCCAGGAGATGCAGCACCGAGCACTTTCGGGCCTCGAGGAAATATGCGAGGCAGTACTTCGGTTCTCTAAAAGTGTGCATGTGGCTGTAGAAATTGGAGGAACGACGAGAGTTAGTCCGTTGATATGTGACTGCCTCTACCAAGCTGCATCAACCTACCTTTGGTACAGCCGCGAAAGCGGAGACCAGCAGTGGCATGAGAAAGTAATTGAACTCAAAATGATGTTGGAGATAATCGGGCAGAGGTGGCAATGTGCAAGTAAGCATAGGATTCTCATTTTAATTTGTTTTTTAAGGCCGACTATGTTCCTTGTACTGATTGAAGGCTACATTTAGACGAATACATGAAGATTCTTGAGGCGTATGAGACTTCAGATAAGATCTTGTAGAAGTATCCACATATCGTGTAAACAAACTGGTGGCAGTGTGTGTCGACATTTAGTCTCAAACCTCTGGCGCTAGGATACACAGAATTCTGATTAGCTAAATATCCATTAGTTGGAAGCTGAAAGTTAACACCGAACACCAATATATTATCGACAACCGAAGCTAACCTTCCAAGTGCTGAATTAATTCATGACTATTCGAATCCTTCTCTTTTAGGCCGTATAAGACGTTCTTCGCACGAATTGCTTATAAATCGCGATCCAGACAATTTCAATCCTAATTACGGCATTATTCTCCCTATTTAGGGCGGGGCTCTGTAGCCACCGGTCCAGCCTTAGCTAGACACCGTGGATAAAGTGCCCCATAGAAGGAGGCATCTGCAGCTGACGGCCAAGAAATAGGAACGGTACGAATCTGTTTCAGAGGCGGTTGGTATAGCTAACCGGGAATGTGTTGAAGCCCACAATCTGCGGCCCCGCAATTCCCGCACCAAGTCCGCCCGAAGTCCGCCCGCCCGCAGTGTGGCGCAACACGGATGCGGACCGGATGCGGGTTACAAGGTTACCTAGTACCGACCTAGTATCGGTGTTGTGTCATCTTAAAAAGTATGCGTGCTCTTCTCTGGAGAAAGCGTAACTCCGTTGGTTAGCGCCATGATGCATCAGAGTTCCCATATTTTATTCGGGCTAATTGTGATTTGGAACAACTATTTAATGCCTTCTATATGGCCTTTATCGGACGGTAATGGGCTCTACCTATAAGCCACAAACACTAAACCTCCATCCTTTATTTAATACATCTTAATATTAACTTTATAACACTCATACAACGAAATGGCAAAAGTCTGGTTGATCACGGGGTCATCCCGGGGCCTTGGAAGAGCCGTTGTCGAAGCGGCTCTTCAATCGGGCGCATCGGTGATTGCGACAGCTCGAGACCCGAAAACCCTCGAAGGATTTTCAAAGTCTGTTGGCGATACCAGATTTCTCGCCCTCGCCGTCGATGTAACCAATGAAAGCGATGTCATCAATGCTATCGACACGGGTTACAAAAAATTCGGTCGGATCGACGTCCTAGTAAACAACGCCGGCTACGCCAACCTCGCATCTGTCGAGGACATCGATATAAAGGATTTCCGTGCTCAATGGGAGACAAACTTCATGGGCGTTGTGCATACGAGCAAGGCCATCATTCCAATTTTTCGACAACAAGGATCGGGCCATATATTCCAAATATCTTCACTTGGGGGTCGGGTCGCGAGCCCTGGCCTTACCGCATATCAGAGTGCCAAGTGGGCCGTCGGCGGCTTCTCCACTGGCCTTGCGCAAGAGGTTGCACCTTTTGGCATAAAGGTCACAGTTCTAGAGCCGGGCGGGATTCGAACTGATTGGGCGGGTTCATCGATGGACATTCCCGCTGTCAGTGAGCCGTATCAAGAGACAGTTGGTGCTTTCGCTCAATTTCTGCGAGATTTCTCTGGAAAGGAACCATCGCTCCCGGAAAAGATCGCACGGATTATCATCGACCTCTCTGAAGCGGACGATGTGCCGCTACGACTACTCATTGGTACGGATGCCGTGGGGTATGCTGCAAGGGCTACCGAGAAACTCTCAATCGAGGATAAGAAGTGGCATGGTATCAGCGTTTCCTCGGTATAGATACGCTGGATAGAATTGAAATTCGCTGGTTTCATCGATTCGGTACAGCTCCGTAAACATGTTGAATTTGAAAACCACCATGCTCTAACTTTTGCTCAATGTGGCTGGCCTAAATTCTACACTATCTGCATATAATTCGTTTATAGTCCAGCTATTCGAAATTTAATATTATTTAAAACTTTATAACCCCCAAACAGACAGAAGGTAGCTTTTTTTTGTGGACGGAAACACGTAGCTATATACGGGGTGCGGGTTAACACTTTCGTCGTTTCTTAAGCTGGATTTATAATGTTTAGAGCCATTTCGTGGAATCGAAGCTAAATTAATAATTTGATATACTAACACTATATACGGGATACCAAGAATATCCCGTGCCATAATTATATAATACTGCCAGGCTCTAGAGGGGTCCCGGGCTCGTGGAGAAAGAGGATATCACAAACTTGAACAGAGAGTGATGAATGATGATATTAACACAAAGTGTGCATTCCTTTCTAGTTATAGGTGATCCAAGATACAATATACATTATCTGAAAAAAAGATGTCTTTCTGTTGGCCAATTTAATGGATGGTACGAAGTATTTAAATTTCTATGTCCCGTCAAATGCCCAAACTCTGCACAATTATAAGGCTTCGTCGCTAGTAGCAACACAAACGTATGCCATCGACCATGTACCGCTTAGTAGCGGTCCATGATAAGCTGCGTTTTCAAAGAATCTTGAGCGAGGAACCAGCCCTTATTGGTCAAGAGAGTAATGAGATCTGCCTGCTTCGTCGCAGCGGTGGTACGGCTATTCGTCTTGAAGGATGCCTCGACAAGATACTCGATCCCAGTGCCCGCAGCATCCTTGATAGGCCACACTTCAATGTAAATCTGTAGACTGCTCCAAGTTCCGATCGAGCGCTTTGCAAGGACGGGTCCGAAGATGCGGGCTGAGGCGAGGGCGGTCGTACCCCAGTTATTGGATACCCAATCATCGAACTTGCCCGGCGCGTTGTCGATTAGGAAAGTGCGGGATTTGGTCTGGCCAGGCAGGTCCATACCACTATACCCAGAGCCCGACGCAGACTTTTTACGGCTGATGGAAAGAGTTTGCTTCTGATAGCCCCACTCAATCTATGCGTCATAGTTTGTATCGCTGGAGTCGAACCCTTCGGTATTCGCGGTTGTAAGGGCGGCGTCAATATCGCCACCGGTAACGGGGTACCGCTTCTTGTATGTGAGCTCGAAGTCACTCTCGCCCTCGGTCTTGCGGATACGTGGACTCCAACCGGCATTGTAGATCTCTTTGTTGTTCTTATCGAGGAACTGGACGTTCATCTTTGTCACCGTCGTGGGCATGCCGAAGGTAGAAAGGACAGTCGGTGTGAGCTTGTTGTCAGTTCCAAGAACGACTGTGGGGTTCATGAGGAGCTTGACCTCATAGTCAGGAACCATGTTGGAGGCCGCTTGTACCAGCGAGCTAGCCAAGATCGCCGAAGCGAAAGTGGTAAGCAAACTGCGGGATGTTGGCATGTACATATTGCCGACCGAACAGCTAGAATGGCTTCGGAAAGACAGTAGAGATTTGGCTGGAAGTGTTTGTAGTAGAGATGAAAGAAAGCGAAGTCTGTCCTTTTCTTACTCCGGTATGAACTTCGACAGCGAGAAGTATACTTTTTTATACAAAGAGCCTATGCTATCGCTACAGACCGGCCCGGAGTCTCTATATGCCTCCTACTAATCACTATACCACGTGGGCTTCAGCTCAGCATATATGGGATAGATAGTATCGCACGTGTGCTTAGAATGTTCACCTTACTGGCGATCGGGAAGTTTGGTCGAGCAGTCGGTGATCTGTTGCATCAGACGTGCATAGACGAATGCACGATACAGGCGGATGTGATTAGGTAGACGTGGGGTTAGATTTCGAAGCTTTCTTGTCCAAAAGCTTATTACACAAGTGCATGCTCTCTTTGGGCCATGGTTTTGTTTTATCACTGCATGTAATTTGCCAGGCTATTACTTAAAGAGCAGTTGCCGTAGCTGGATCGCTAAGCTATGCTAAAGTCCGTTTCGAAGCCTCGATAATTGTTGGAAATTTTGTGTTGGTGATAGTGTCGATTTCTTGGCACATTTCCTCCCGCTTCAGCTTAAGACGAGGTTGTAAAGAACCTCCTTGAAAGGCCGGCCTACTCCTAATTCAATTCATGAGCGTTTACTCTTACAATTAGCCCAGAACTTAGCAACTCAGGTTGAAAATGTGGATGACAGTATCTCATTAGTGCAATTGATTCCGTTAGGTTCTATTTGAACGGTACAAATTCAACACGAAAGCGATCATGAACTAGATCTCGAGCCGCAAAGGAATATTATTCAATGGAATATCATAATTGTTTGGGCTAGGTAGCCACGAGCCTCTGCACCTTCTTCTTTCGGATAGAAGCCGCTGCCCAGCTAACCCCGGTTCACCATACAGGAACCAAAGATGCATCGCTTTTTATATCTTGTTTAGCTTTTCATGCAGGAACGACCACCACGTTCAACGGGAAAGACGTCTTATTCGCCCAATTGCATCCTAGGAAGTGGAGCTGAATGACGCCCCACGAAGAACGAATGACGGGAACAATGTCCTTATAATTAAGGACGGGCAAAGCTAAGCGATGGGAAGATATACCGGGAGTATACTAGTAGCTGAGTATTATATTCATTAATCCAAGATCTATACAGATGCCGTCACGGCAGGTAGGTCGCGAGCATCCATTAGTTAGTTCTAGATGAATGACTTCATTTGAGGCGAGCTATTGGTTATTCTAAGCGAGAAGAGATATCACACTTTCCTGATGACCCCACAGACACAACACATATTGTGAAGCATGAAGGGGTACCTGGTTTTCTCCGAGAGCCGGAGCTGTCTTTGACGACGCTCAGACACAAGCATACTTTCGATTGCTTTCGTAAGACCATTATGCCAACACTGAAGACAGGGCATGACGAGACCACATCCGCTTGTTTTGCGAGGATCGCTATCAATCGACCGGCCCATTGTGTGGTACACATAACCCTGTCACTATTGCGAATTGGGTATCTATCCTAATTCGGCTTAGTACGACGTTGAACAGACACTAAAGGCTCCTTCCGCCTGCAAGCAAGCATCGCCTGCGACTTAGACTGATTTCATGGGAGAGGCTATCCTCGATTATGGAAGCGACCAGGCATACCTTCTCAGACTTGGTCTGCGATGTAAAATGAATAATAAAAGAAGAACTAGGTAGATATATGGTATCTTCCGGGGCACATTTGTCCTCCTAAGTTTGCTTGTGCCGCAGTATAAGAGCCATTTTACTACGCTGTGCTGCTCACCCGACTACACCACTTCGTAAGCTACTTTAGCAGGCAAGATACATATATCAACATTAAAGGGTAGGTTTATTTGTGAAAAATTAAGAGCCGAAAAAGGCAATAAAGTGTCTAATGGTAAACTTAGCAAAATATCTAGAGCAGTTCGGCCGGCAGTTTAATCAACTACTAGAGCTAGTTTCAGCCTTATGTATCGTATCACACACGCGTTGTCTCTCAGTCCCTTCTGCTGAAGCAGTCGGGCATTGGGGCAATTAGTCGTGCAGACATCCGTGTTACCGCAGCTGTCGAACGCTAGCAAATATTCTAAGTCTTGTGACTTAGAAAGTATCATGCAAAGCGAGTATCTTCACCGAGTAAAGTACGAAATATCGGGTCCCTATTTTTGTGTAGTTTAACTGGGCGAAAACGATATTTTCATATGTTTATTCAACATTTAATATTTGTGTTTGATATCTAATTTTGGAAGGTTTCAGTGTCTTAACTGGTCTCGTAAACCAGACAACACCTCTTAACCGTATTTTTTGTTGCCTCCACTATCGACGACTCTTATCCTCCTTGGATGAAAGTTTTGTACCGCGGTATCGCGGTGGGGCAACTCGGACACCTTTTCAGGGAGGATATGGCCATGGTCTAAGTTTGAACCATGTGACGGAAATAATCTGGGTTGATAGCCTATATATAACATCAGTTATTGTAGATACGTTTGATATTCTGTCCACAGCCCTCCTTCGCAGGGGGAGGGGCATAGGGGGTCGCGTCCGTACTCGTTTTGCAGAGTACAACTATTCCATAACCGCGAGACATTACATATCTCATTTTAAAACAATACTTTGTTTGGCAATATATAACCGTTCAGATTCCTAATCCACGGCTATCTCTCGACTTCGCTCGTTGCAGATCTTTGAGAAATTGAAAATAGTTAAACTACAGAGGCTTTTACATTAAAAAATAAACCCAACAATGTTGAATCTTCAGATTCCACATGGTGTATCCCTTCGGCAAGCAAATTCAATTCTCATTGATTCACTTGATAATTATTACCATCATATACCCAGTGCGGTTTCTGAGCTCATTTACACCAGAGTCCTGACAGCGTTATATTTATCGGGTTTGGGAGTCGATGCCAAGATATCCATCAAGTATACCATGCGAAACTTATACAAATACGATGTCAAGATTATAAATGGGCCGTGCGCAACTGCTAGAGGCCCAGTACTAACCTCAGAGATTTTGACAACGAAGAAGGACGCCTGACTTAGCCTTGATTTGCGAAGGTCATATAAATAACTATGGATTTCTCACCGCTGACCATTAGGTGGTCAATTTCTTCGACGGACAATTCTATGAAAGGGGGATAGCTGTTCATTACGTTCCCCAGGGATACCTCGTAGCATAGACTCTGGGTACTATTTATGCCTTCCCTCCTTCCTTGATCCCTTATGCTGACAGAATTTCCCCTGAACAGTTGTGAAGTTTGGGGCTTAAAGGTGGTTTTTTTTGTCCGGTCCGACATTGCTTTTTGAGTAGGTAGCCGTTTCCTTCTTGCTTTGTTTTTTCCCTTTGGGTTTCTGTCGTCTGTGACACACATATCCGTACGAATTTTCATTAGTACCGTTGCCACTCCCTAGAGTTGGTTGCAGAGTTACCCATTTTGTGATCTTATTCCTCGAACAGCCTTTGCTACCGACAAAAGTACAACATCACACTCATAGATGAAGTTTTTGAGTTCTAATTACCACGTACTTACGGTCGATCAATCCAAGAAGCTTTTGGCTCTGGGCTTGGTTAGAAACTCTGAACAAAAGGGTGGCGGCGCTATCATGCTCCAGCACTACTCCAGCTGTCAACATGTTTAACTCTTCAATTTCAAGTTATTATTTAGGCCTAAAATGCGACGACGCTGAGCACGGTATGGTACCAAAAGTTGATATCGAGTCGTATCGCACATTGGTAACGTTGACCTGAAGTTAGCATGTAGAATGTTCTAAGCCTTTTTGCGGAGATCTAAAATCACTGCGCCAGAAAGTGGCCACGTGGTTCTAAAGCACGGGGCGAGCTAACTCCTAACCGAGTTCTAGCCCTGGAGGCATAGAGGTGAAAAAGTGGGAAAAGGCACTCAAAGAGGCGCACGCAGTTGAACAAGGGCTGACTGGGCCGCGGGGCCTCGATCAACCTATATACTTAAGTGACATTAGAAACAAACAGAGGCCTTTGACCCACAAGCGGTCCACCGTTCCTTATATTTCCTCACTCCAATACCCTTAAAAAGTGGCATTCCAAATTTCTCCAATATTCAACCTGATTCGGGTAAAGTGCAATAATAGATTTAAGCTGTGACCGCACGAGACAACCGCTACTGTTGGTAGCCCGAAATTATACATACACTTCATTTACTACTACGAAGCAGATGAGGAGGTGCCACTCAACCTCGTGCACCAGCACAGACTCCACCAACCCTTGTCAATCGATGACAGTGATTTTCGTTGAATAACTTTTATTATTGGGAATAGTTACCCGGGAAGATATCGATAGATTGCCAGATCCCCTGATATATCTTGTTGGTCATGGAACCTCTGCGCGCATCTCATCATTTTGCAGGAATATCGCCAATAGTTGCATTTGTTTCAGCCGTTCAAGTGTCTTGGAGCCAATAAGTATTCTTAGACTGGTTGATACCTAGGAATCTTTTGCTGGGACCTATCGCTATTTCGATGTCGGTCTGAAAAATAGAAAAAACAAACCCTCGGCTCCATCCTCACAAACTTCAATACTGCAGTACCGCGGTTACTACTCAATCACAATATTACTATATATTTTGTTCGAAAAATGATAATGCATAGCTATCTGTTCCAACAAGTTATGGCTTCAGCTCCTTCAAAAGACCCTGCTGAGGGCTGGTTAGAATACCTTGTGATATACTGATAGTCTCATAGGACGTTGAAATAACACACGTCAGCAACGGACTCTTTTAATTATAGCTGGATAATACAGCCGTTGGCCTGAGCTCCGCAAATTTGCTAGCCAATAGGTATGCTGTTATTTCTAGACAAGGATACCCTTGGATGAGTGGAAGACGGGACCAGGCGTTGCAACATTTGTTCAGAGAAAAAGGTTTTTGTTGCAAACTCCATCGATAGCTGGTTTTGTCCGGGCTCGACTCCCTTTTCGTCAATTAGTTAGTACAGGTATGATAAATTTTATGCATGACCCATACAGACGGCCCAAGAAATCTGCACGTAGATATCATGGGGACCCAATCATTGAAACTCGCTGCTAGCGGGACTCGCAATTCTTCCTGGTCTGGTTGTTTCAGCCCTAACATAAGATTCGAAGTTATGCATGAAGACATACATTCAGCCCTAGCTGAGTTCCGACAGCGGATATACTTCCAGGCGGAGTTGTGTTGCGTGAGATCCCACTTTGAACAGGGGTTAGTCTCGAAGCACAGGGGTTATCGCCTCAATGTTTCCGGGTGTGAGACCAAGCTACAGCATATTGTTCGCAAGATAGATGACATCACTAGCCTATAAGCTGACTGCTGGTATCGAGGGTGGGCTTGTTGGCATTCTTAGATCCTAGTCCTTGCTTCTTGGAAGATTCTCGGTCTGACATCTAGTTTCGGTGAAGGCATGATTCGATTCGGCTTGGACACACTCCCCATGCTAGCATGTATATTGTGTATCTCCTCTGTTTAAAGTCCATATAATGGGAGCAATCCCCCATCCAGATTTCGATACATCAACCAAATCACTAACGGACTCCTTATTCATACCTGCCTCATACCTCTTCTCTCGCCGATACTTGGAGTAACAACAGTCATTAAATATTAAAAATAAATACCCATCCACTCAAATATCCAGAATGTCTCTAGAGAGTGGGATTTATACTATCAAGTGTAAACTTAATGACAACCTAGTCGGTCGACATCTAGTTGAGGATCGAAGTGGGAACCCAAAACCCGTTTATGCCCTCGGAGCGGGCAATGAGCCTCCGCAATGGGTTGTTGAGAAATGCGAAGAGGGCTATATACTCTCGAATAATGGAGGACGCGCCGCTTCCATCGATGATAAACTTTTCGCAATCTTGATGGAGGAAGAATTCGACAGCGCTGAGAATTGGGTCATTGAAGCACAACCCCATCAGGGTGAGAATCTATACACGTAAGTTGGTCTCATGCGTCTACGTCCGGGGAATCCCGATCCCTCATAAGGCTACGAATATGCGGCATGCTGATGTTTAACTAACGTTTCTCATATCTCAGTGTGAAGACAAAGAGTCAGTCTAAAGCTTGGTCTCAAACTACGGAAGTCGGCAGCGAGCCCGATACGTTTATTGCAAGTGCTCCCTTAATTCCTAATATATGACATATTCTAATGTGTTTTTCTTTACCCAGATCGCCGTGGACTACTTCACAGTCAGGGAAAGCCTTCCTGTCCAATATCTCCCGCAAAATCTTTTCGAATTTGTACCGATCAGCGATATGCAAGATTGAATATCGTTTTGGAAGGTCTCGGGTCGGTTTGGTCTAGCACCTGGACACATTAAAGTGCGTGTTGCCGGTCGGGTTGATTAATTAATACAATTGATCAGTTCACGTTTGCTGGGCTTCAAATTATTGTGAGACGGGCGGGTTATTACGCGTGTAGCTTTGATTGAGCATATGATTCTGACTGTTGATAAAAAATATTCCCGAGAGCAATCAAATATTTGTATTAGTCACATTGATCAATTGATTAGTGCATCAAATACCAAACAATATAGAATCCACAATTAAATTTATCCCTCATACCGAAGATGTTTAGGTTTCACTTCAAAAGTTCAAGGTATTCGTGGTTATCCCGTGCACCGGATATTAAAGTGCAGAAGATGCGGACACTTTGACGATTCTGGATAAATGTATCTAATTATATGGGTTTCACGGGGCATGAAAAGTTGAACCCAGCTCACCTGAATATAGAACAAAATATCTCATCCTGATAAGACAAGTGGTTCAGATATCCAGTGGTTAGTTATAATGCTAGTTAACCGACAGCAGAAAAGACAATCTTCCTGAACTCAGACCGGTAGTGCCAATAAACGCTTCCAGGTCAGGTTTACGGTAAAATCTGCGGGTGATTGAGAGGTAACACGGTAATTATCGCAGAAGTATAAAATTCAATAATACGTTAATGAGTGTGAAGGACATACAGGTACTAAAGGCTCTTTTTTAAAACATTTTTTGTGGTTTTCGGTACTAAATTGACCAAAGGAATAACAGTAGCAGTGTCCTGGGGCGGGTCCATTCCGCAGCAGTTGTTCAACTCGACGCCACCCCGAGGCAGGTGGACTGAAGTATTCCCAAGGAGAAGAGAAAAAGAGAAAAAGAGAAGAACGAAAGTATTTCAAACGCAAACAATGGAACCGTTCCCACGCCTGACAAGCGTTATCCTTTATCCTGCAGAGGATGGATGAAGTATGATCGCATGACTAGTTTGCTAGGACGAATTCAACTTAATAAGACTTAGAAACGAAAGTGATAAGGAAATGAGAAGTTATTCTGAAAGCATTATCCTTGGTGATTGAGTGCAATTTGGTTTCGGTGGTAAAATCGGGACTTCCAAGGCCGTTCGGAACGCTATGGTTGGAGTTTAGAGCAGCAAATCGCCAACCTAGTTGTGTTGCGTTTAGCTACTAATATTCCAACGTTCCCCTGGTGGAAGCTTGGACTGGACGCTGTTAAGAGCCGTATTGACTGCTTTAGAAAGGGCTGCAGGAACCCCAGCGCTCTCGAGGGAGGCGGTTTCAAATTGGCCGGCAAGATCGGTGGAATCGGCGGAATCAAGCTCCACGCAACGAAACCATTGTGGCGAGAACGTAATTTTAAGAATTTCATTCTTGGCATCCAATGATACCGAGACCTCTGAATCAGGCTTAATTCTTCGAGCTATAGGTGACAGAGAACCAGTTAGTAGAACTTCGATAGTCATATGTTGCTCAGGTAATTGCTAATATATAGAGAGCAATACTGAGCCTGGAATGTTCTCGTACGTACGTGGTCTAACAATTGCTTGGGATGCATTAAGAACAGGCAGCCTATAGCTTAAGGTTAACTTGCTACCATCACTAGAAAAGGTAAAGTTCCCAACGGTGTAACTAATTTGGGAGAGCTGCTGGCGAATAGCATTAATAATAGCATCCCTGACAGCCTGAGTTACGATTGGAACTGTGAAGTCAACAATAGCCTGGAGCCAAGGTGGAAGAGCTACAAGGCTTTGAGCATCCGTAGGTGCCCCCAAAATTCGGAGAGGTAAGTCGTTATCGTATACCGTTGGGTCCCAGGTTCCCTGGTTGGTATAAGAGATACTACCATGAAAGTACCCCTTTCCTTTGCCGATAAAATCGTAACACCCAGCGCTTACACTTTCAGCGGTGTAGTGAAATATTTCGTTTTGTTGTTTGTCGCCAACGGCAACATAAAACTTAACAACCGGGGTAATGTTGTATCTCATATTTGGATCCGCTGGGATCTTTTATGTTGATATCGAATCAGTTAGCCCTCGACATAGAGAATTGATGAAATATTTAATATACTTACCACTGCAACTGGAGTTGCACGATTTGATCCGTTTTTCTTCAAGGCCATACCAATATGAAGAGAATCCTGAGGAGTGAAAGTATCCGTGATAATAGAATAAGCACCAGGGTTGGCTTCATTAGGAATGCCATCCTTGGCCCAGCCAAAATGATGAGTACCTTCATTCCAGTGGGTTTTATACGAGCCTAGAGTATACAATTAGTGTGCTCGTACTCAAGTACAATGGTATCTCCACGTTAAACCGGGTATGGGGAACGTACTGCCTTTAACAGAGGCGGTTCCCAGAGTCACAGGTGTAGGACTAGGCAGTCCTTGAGAGATAGTAGTCTTTCCTTGGTTTTTGGCACTAGGGCCGCACCCTGATTTTATCAAGTTGTAAGCGTCTGTTCGTTTGGCTCAGTCAATCTAGTGGAGTAACATTACTCACATGCATAAAAGTCAAGAACGGTGCTAACATCAATCACTTCACCAGGATCGGCCCATGCCTCTAACCACGTATTGACAAAGATATTGCCATCATCTATACCCTCCACTTGGGGGGGAGCAGTAAAGAAATAAAAGTGGCGGGGTTGGGTAGAGTCATTGGTGACAGTAATGGCGTATTTCGTCATTGTGAGATTTGAAAGGGTTAAGTACAAATGAATTTAAAAGAGGACTATGGGGATACAATGTATCGTGGCTGTTTGCGACGGTTCAGGAAATAGTGGTCTGAAGAGTTCTTAAATACTTGGTGGTATTTAGATACTGAATAAATATCTTTTTGATGGTAAAAGAACTTTTAGATTCGGGGAGACGACGGGTCCCTTTATACATTCTGTCAACATGACCGAACATTAATGGGCAATTGCATTTTCCTAGCTGCGATAATTCCAGTCGTTCGTTTCATCATTCAGTAGTGAAATATGCACCATAGCGTACGAAGAAGACTATACGGAGTCAGCTGGAATCCCAACTTGACTATTGCAGGATTTTCAAAGCGCCTTGAAGATCCCGTTCCGTGTCTGTGCCGTCCCTCTCTATTTCGAGGCTCTGTGGCTTGCATGTACATTGCTGCCAAAAGCGAGCGGCGATTCAGCTTCTTCATGCGCATTGAGTGTAGATCTTGACGGCTTTGATATATAAAATATAGCCCCATAATGCTGCAGAACGATTTGATATTTGCCTTATATGAGTGTGTCGGGCAAGTAAATCCTGTTGTTGCTACCCTAGTGATAATGCGACTTCGACGAACATGCGTTTAAGGAACTGACCAATTGGCTTCAGCAATACAGTTTGTATCACACCTATTTCCTTGACTCGACCTTGCATTTTGGGGGTGTGGAGAGAGTAAATCGTTTATTGCGTACTGATAGCTTGGGTTCAATTAGCATCCGCATACAAGCACGTATAATGGAATTGGGGTCATTGGTACGTATACATACGGCCCATTGTTTTCTCAAGTGCTAAGAGAAACACAGCTCACCCCGAAGTGCGAAGTTAAAATTAGTCGAAACTTTTTTATTGGTCGCTCTGATAGAAGCTGAATCGTCGATGCAGCGATGCGGTATTCAGGACGCGTGGTACACTAGCTCAGGCCGCTGATCGGGTTGACTATCAACAATACGGCGAGTCCGAATTTGGTGCATTCGTTAAACTCGCTTTTTTACCCCAAAAGAGGCTTGGAAGCAAGTAATAATCCCTTGATAGGTGATTTTGCAGCAGATCGGGCGGGGGATCAGCCGGACATGCACTACTTTCAAGAGAATTCCTGGTCCCATTTCCCTTAGGCTAGGGAGTTATGATTCTATTGACATCTTTACCAACAAAATTGTTATTTGTGGGTTTACTTTCCAATCCATCATGCCTTAGCGCGATTAACGGAGAATCGATTGTCGTGGATAATAGACTAATGTGAGCTCCTGCACAACTTGACTGAGGATATCTCAATCCTGTATTCTCCGAATTGCGAAACTGGGTAGGTATTGGCTGGCTTCAGTGGAATATCATGCAGCTTGAAGTGGGGTAGTGCGGGTTCGGCTTCGGGACTGGTCAGTCGCAGTCGGATGTGTTCGTGATTTGTTGAGTTTTGAGATTATGATGCCATTCATAAGTACATACACTGTGCTATGCTATGCTATGCAATGCAACAGAATGCGCGGAGGCATTAAAGGCGACAGTATAAAACTTTTCGGCTTATCAAGGCGTCTTATGATCAGCCTCCGGCAGCTTAGTTCCCAAATCTGGATGAACAAGGCTGAGAAAACATTGTTCTGTCGCACACTATTTCTCGCAATGATCTTCGCAATGCTTCCATATTGGTAAATCTAGCGGCTGGACGGATATTTGTCGACGGTTGCCGTTCCGTCAAGATACTTGGTTGGTCCGCACATCGGGATAGCTGAATTTGATCGCCCAAACGGGTCCCGTGCATGGGCAGGCCGTGTTGGATTTTACGATGCCACAACACATTTTTCGCAATCGTTGGTGGGCTTGAATATCGTAATGAATGAGCTTAGTAGTCTACTGTGGTCGTTTTTGTCCATACGTAATCGATCTCTAATCTTAGCGCTGCGTAATCGGATGTTTGCATGCGGGGCAGGGAAGGTCCGGATCGTCGCATCGAACAACGCCAAATACGGCAAATATTTCCAGGGAGTGAAGGAAAATACGGTTGTGCGGCTAACCAGATGACGGAAGATACTTTGTATGCGTTGTGCATGGAGCCCAACCATTATGACTATTTGGGCAGTTGCTTCCAGGTCTGGGTATGAGACAAGGTAGTTGGTGTATGCACATAGTTTCGATGTTGACGGACGGTGAGCTAGAAAAGCCTAAAAGATTTTCTGGGGTCTACCACTGTAGTATATAGCTGTTCGCTATTACCAGATGATATTAGTCTGCTCTTGTACTGCCAACCGGTAGAGTCACATAATCCCATTGTTGACCAAGTCAGGAAACGAGAAAAATTCAAACGAAAACTTGGATGGAGCCTATCAACCATGGGACCTGATAATTGCTGGCTGATACGTGAAGAGATAGACCGAAATAAAACGTAAATCTAAGATTAAACTGGCTTCAAAAAAAAAATTATTGGTTGAATCAAGAACGAGTATATGCATTCTGAATCGCGTTGGCTACGTCCACTTCCTTAGTTCTCACAACCTTGTCTTGTTTTGTCTTCACAACACCTCGCTTAGATTTCCTAATCGGATGATGACCCAAAAAGGGATGGCGAAGACCGGCGAAAATGAGAGATCCCTGATTCAGGGCGTTGTGTTGGAGTTGTTGTATAACGAATGCACTATTACAAATTCAGCCGATTAACAGGTATTGCGAGTAATTTCTCCGTCGAAGCTAAGCAGCCGGGCAACATACTTTAACCTTTGATTGTTCTCTAATTCCAGTCGCATCGCGCCGATTTTGCTGTCTAACGGAAATAACGTAGGTTAAACGTACTGAAAAGCCGTCCCAATCGAAATCCCCAGGAGCAAAGAGTTAAATCCCTCCTTGCTCAGGCGTTGAAAATTGGGGGATTTGGGCGGAACGAACTACAACTCACAAGCCCGGGTGAAGATGAATTTCACGATTGTAACCGCGATATCGACACTATACCTATTAACCTTATTGTTGGTCCATGGCAAACGGGATCAAAGAAAAGGTTCATAGTGTACATAACTAGAATCGTTACGAAACCGATTAGACTGACAGGTATTAGTACTTATATGGATAGTTTTATTTTCAAAGAAGCGCACGCTCGATAGCCTGGCCCATGTGTTAAATGAACAAAACGGTATGAAATATACAAGAGGCGCCTAAGAAATGATAAAGACATCCAATATATATAAGTATACATGATCATCTGAAGCTACTGCTTCCTTAACCCTATCAAGGTAGTTTTGGGTCAGGTGGCAATATCTTTTTTAAGAGATGAAAGTGCGGTCTGTATCTGGCACTCTCCATGAACGTTTCGTACGGGCAAACGTGCTACTAATAGCCACAATTGCCCATTTTTGCACCATAATTAATTCAGACTAGTCTCGTACCCAGACACATTAAACTTCAGACTGAATTAATTACTGCGACGTCGACATGCCCTTAAGCAACACAATTGCTTACGGCGACCGATACGAGCCCTGTGGCTGAATTGAAGTTACCTCCGGATACAGTATTAAGTCTGTCATAGGCGCCTTGTGCGATTTCCAAGATGTTGCAATGATAGTCGGCGACGAAAAACCACACTGCGAGGAGCCCGTTGGAGTTCTGGGCCTGGAAGCACCCGCCGCAGCCTGTTGTCCCGCCTGTTGTCGTGCAGCCAAGCGAGTATCCGGCAAGCCAAACGTTTGTCCTCAACTTGGTGTAGAGCTTGGCGCCCGTCGCGGGACTAGTGAGGGAATAGGTTGTAGCTAGACCAGCACATTTGCTATATGGAATATGGAAGGGCGTGGTTGGACTCTTTGCGAACTTTGAGTTCTTGACCACCCCAGTAATAGCGGCCGATACGGTGCAGGGGAGCACGAGAAAGAGGAAATAAGCGATGAGCCGAAAGAGCATTTTGTTCTATAAGTATTGGGTTTTGTATTTTACAAAAGCTTGATAGGGAGGCTCGCGGAGATGTCTATGATAATAGGATGATGATTATCTAGGCAGCTATTGTCTTCGGTGGCAGTCTGGGCCCTATATATACTGCGCTACTTGAGTACTTAGATAGATTATCTACGGCATACTGGTATGGCATGCATAGTGGTTTCTACTTTACTAACTTATCGCGGGATTTCGGCTTCTCTCCGTTGTTTTTAGCGCTTATTCTTTCTTTTTGATATGAATGTGCACGTTCGCTTTTGCCATTGCCGTGATGGAAGAATATCGTGATAGCGGGATTGGAACCCATTGGCTAGATCAAGATATGCATGATTCAGATGCCGGTGGCTATGCCGAAACGCCCCGTGATTCCCAAGAAGAGCGACTTTTGTTACCTATTTAGGTGCCTATTGAGCTGCATCTTGGGTTTTTTACTCTTCGCTCGTCAAACCCAGCTAGTCCATATTGCTTTTCTTTTACTACGTTGCTTAGCATCACAAGAATGAACTCACTAACCCGCCAGAAAATAGAGCAAGATACCAAAGAATCTGCTTCCAGTCCGATTTTTCGGTGAGAGACTTCGAGCCCCACATTATCGTCCGTCAGGCAACGGTCGATTAGAAAAGTCCTACGATCTAAATTAGCACAGAGAAAGCCGAAAGTAGCAAAGTTGTCCGGAATTTATCATTTTACGCGCTAGTTCTGAGGCCAATGCACATCGTAGTACCGCATCAATACGCCTGATTCTCGCATTAAAACAATATACCTTCAGCAGAAGCCCCGATCAAAGCCCCATAGTCCTGGCCATTCTACAAACCAGTGTACTTATCGTATGTAAGACCAGATCGTCCATCTCGATCAGGGATAGGGCAAGCTCGAGCGCCCTGGCCCTCGGTCAAATGCGAGCCGACCAGCTAACCAAAACCTAAGCACCTGTGTGTTTGAGTAAGTGGCTTGCTTTAGAGCCCATAAAATAAGCTTATAGCTGCACGTGGGGTTTTTTGCACGCTCAGGATATTTGGTTGAACACAGACTTCAACGGCTTTATGCATGTTGTGTATGCTCCTTAACTGGTACACGATACACATTTGTGGGTGGCAAACGGCCACACCTTAATCCATGCCTCCCGCTGCGGCTTGAATAGAACTAAGCTTTGACTCGAGGGGACTAACTAGTGAATTCATGCACTATAGTTGATACATGCCCTTGAATTGGTTTAGTTTCTGCCTCGTCAAATTTATAACCCGTATTCCACCGGACAGTATTATCTATGCGCATGTTTCAAACTGCCGAAGCGAAGTGGGTACTTCTGAAGTTAAGCGATATTGTGGAGCCTCAAAATTAGACTCAAGTGAGCTAAACTTTATTTCAGCGATGTACTACCAGCCCGCTCGCCTCCTATATGGGCCCGAGGATTTGTAGATAGTGCTCTAACTTGACGACCTTCTTAATCACGATATTCAACGTAACAGGTTCTATTAGCACACTTAGCGACACCAACCACTAGTATACGTTTAATTTTCGGGCGCGGACTAAGCATCTTGAAGTTACCTGGCTGGCTACTGCCGATATATAGCAAAGCGATTGCTACGAGCCTTAATTATAAACTAATCCCCGCTTTCCTGCGGGTTACTAAATTCGTGTTCAAGACTACTCCCTATGCATGCGCCAAGAAAATATTTCGGTTGCAGATCTGCACTCTCTTAGCACACATGCGTTGTAACCATGATCCTGATATGGCCTGCATAAGAAAACAAGCAAAACAACAGACAAAACCCAATAATTACATGGCAAAGTATTACTACGGACATCGGTAAGCGGGATTTCTATTTCCTTTTTGCCAGGCTCTCTTATTAGGACCATGGTTACTTTTTGACGTACATGTACATTTGGGAATGAGGATCGCATGATTGCAATATTGATATCGGGCATGCAGAAATGCACCCTGCATACGCATGCATCCTATGTGAGGGTCGCAGTCCAATACTCCACCCCTCGATCTAGTTAGGTGTACCTTATGGCGTCTTGAGTGCAACCACGAGGCCAATGAAATGGCCGTTACATACAATAATACCCAGTATGGCCGCTGGTAATCGTATCGATATCTATCATTTCTCTTGATCTAAGTGACTCCTCGTTGATTTAGGAACAGACTGGGGTAAAGTGCAAGAATGTCATAGCGGTAGTATACCGATCATTCGGCTCATGAAAATCGCTGGAATCTAGAAGAGGTCTTTTACTTTCATCGTTTCTTCTCTACGGGGTCTGACACCAGAGACCGTTAAGTGTGAATTGGAGGCGTCATTTAGCGTGCATATACCCCAGAAGCCGCTTCTAACTCCACACCCTTAATTAAGGACTTGGCCCTGGAGACCGCTCTCACTCGGAACGGGGTGTCCCGCATATATCCATACATCTAAAATCTAAATCTAACAAGGGTATCTATCTCCATAAACGATATCCTTGTCATAAAATCATGAGTCCATTGCATTTCAAAGGATGGTAGCTCAAGTCCAAAGCTCGAAATGGTACTTATAACCGAACGCGCGATCTCCATGGTAGCAAATTCTACTGAGCTCCTCAATATTCTTACCGTTAGCTATTGCTTTTTCCATTATGTGGAGACCGCAGACGATCTATAAATCTCGACTAAATATGCGCTTAAAAAAAAGAAAATCTTGAGTTATATGGAAGGTTGTCGGAGGCATAGGTCGGGTACGTATGAAGGCTATTGCGCTTGTACGTAGATTACAAGATAACTAGTACACACAAGTGGAGTGCTCTAATATCTCAGAGTCCTGCAAGTTGTTGATTTTCATGTATATATAGCCACTTGATTCACCTAAAGTCAAAAATCATCTCTCCAACATCAACCACCACCTCATCAGCTCATCAACTCCAGTTCGAAGATTCTTTCAATCTCTAGAACCATATTTACATTTAAGCAAAATGTTCTTTAACATCATAAATTATACTCTCCTCTTCCTCGCTACTCCGTACATGGTCTCTGCCGTATTAGTGAAATCACACCCCAAATACGGAAAGAACCCATCGCCCGCATGGCAGATTCCTCATGGCGTTTGCCACGATGTTTCTGCAAAGTTCGAAGGCTACACCACTGGCACTCAATTTTATAATAATATCTTGAACCCAGGTGTTTGGCTCGGTGGCACCCCCTTTGGTGGTTGCAGCGGGAATTCGATGTGTGCCCAATGCATGGAGGCCCGCAATGCCACAACCGGCCTCGGCGTCCTGTTCCTCATTGTCGATTATGAATGCGATTTTCTGGTAACGGCTCCTGGCGCAGTGACCGCTCTCAATGCCCTACCCTCCGAAGTCCAAGGGCTGTCCGGAAGACCCCTCAGCTACTGCTACAAAAATTGCGTCCCTCCTCCAGGCGATGCGTGGGGCTGTCAGTAGACCCCCTATCACGAATCAATAAACGCACGAATTTATCCGGGGCCCTCTATATATCTATAGACCCATGGGAATACCTCATTATTGGGGTTCTTTCTGTGCTTTTAATTTGGGAGCACGAGCCTTGCTTGTGACTTCAAAAACCCTCATGAACTATAACCATATCCGGGAATCTAGTTAGTTATCCGGCCATTGACGGACACCCAGATGTACTTTAAAAACATATCTATTTTAACCTCCATTTTTTCGGAAATCCCGAGGGATACTTTCATTTTTTCTGAGCCAAATCCTTTAAATGTCGAAGGAACTTGATCATGGAAGATATGGGCATGGGATTGTAAATTAGATACAATATCCGATATTCATTCTAATAAACTTTATAAGCAAAATCTAAAGTATTAAAGTAATTCGTTGCGTTGATCATATGTTAACATGTTAACAGCTCGCGATTAAATTCCTGTCAAAATGGAACACGGGAATACAGCACATTTAAACTCCAGGGTCATGCATAAAATGAAATAGGCTTGCGACTAACGCTATCCCACCTCGCCTTCCTCCGTTTTGTTCTACTCAATATATATAGTGCGTTGTTACTATACTAGTACTGAAACATGAGGCAAAGGGTGCCCAACTGAGACGGGTGATTTGTCTTTTGCTCCGTGATTTATTTGGACCGGAACAGGTTCTATTATGATATCAGCTGGATATTTGGTATTTTCGTTCTACGACAATCAGCTTCGTGGTTACACCAGAAGCCAAACCAGCAGTTACGTTGCTGGGCTGATGAATATTCAAGCTACTAAGAACAATACTAGAAAATCACACTCCTAGATGAAATGTTAAGCTAGATATTAGGCTTTTAAGTCAGCTCGCAGGCTGGTTGGCGATCATATGATCATTCGTTATATGCATTAGTATCAAGCTCATTACCCGGCGCCCTAGGCTAGACTAACCGTACAATTTAGCGTACCTACAGACATCGACCCCATCATAACATTGAGCCCTGTAGGAGCAAGGATAACTTTCCGAACAATAATGATTTCGGAAATTTAGGGAGACGAGCTGTTTTTCGCGGACCGGAGAACCCACCTTGTTTGACGCAGAGGTTTATTCAAGACAACCCACCTGTGCCCTCACCATCTGCGCCTGGTCTCGAGGCTAACAACCCACATCCCCTTAAGCGAATTTTTTTGCATGCAAGAATTAAAATGAATTCGAGACTAACCCAAATCATCTGGCTGTGCTAAGCAGGTTACGAGTTTCGAGAAGGCATCTCGACATCTCAAATCGGTCTTGCATACCTTATATATCTAGTACGCGTACGCGTTCTATCTAAGCTTCTCGAGAAATAATTCGCAAAGTTCGGATTATTCGGATGGCTAACTAACAAGTTCTTGCTGGAGAGGCAGGTTTTCACCTGAATCCGAGGCTACCAGTTTCCTTGACAAGCTTAGTGCTTCTCACTTTGGTCATGCAATGCAAACCCAGGCCCAACCAAATCAAGTCTAGGCTCTACATACATATAGTCTGGTGGCAGGCTAGCCCGGTCTGTGTTTAATTTATTCCGAGATGTCTTGTTTCGTACCAGACCTAGAAGCAATATGCCGTAAATCTCTGAACCTTCGTCAACTATACAATTATCCGTAACACATAATTAGCTTTCGACGTACAATGGTGCGGCGAGCGAGCGATGTAAATATATAAAGTTATCCCGCACAGGGTACACAATAAACCATCCTACGCTTACGAAAGTCTCGATCTTTGAATCCGAGAACAATTTGAGGGCTTCAAAAGCTAGTGCCACCTGAACCTACAGCTAAAATGAGTCTCGAGCAAAAGAAATCCAGTGGTGATTAATTCCTCTCATATTTTGAGCCCGCCCCATACGAAAAGACATCTCACAATTTAGATGCGGACTCTGGGTCTTTCGTTTAAAGTACCAATGAGCTCGTGCTCAGACTTCCAAGTCTCTTTCCTCATTTTGCGTCTAAATTAGGGGATCTCAATCCTCATTGTACATCAGACAAGGCGAAGAAATTTGAGAGCTGGGTTTCAGAACTTTTGAAACTGGACAAAAGGTCTCGGGATCAGCTCGAAAGAATGCCAATGATATCTTTAGCTGCATACTTTACGCCTAAAGCGAACGAAGAGAAATTTGATGTAATGATCCATTGACTGCTATGGGTATGAGATTATCTTCATTAAGGTTTCCTGCTGGGTCTTGATTAAAGTGCTAACCTTGTCAAATTGTAAATTCTTTTCTGCGACGAGCGTAAGCTTCGAAAATTCCACATTTGACATGTGCGTTTTTTTAACTCAACGGACGGAGTATTCGACGAGGGAGTGTTTAGCACTGGCTTTGCAGCCGCCGCCGCCCGTATGTTTGAAATACTCGAGTACTCTCCATCTTTGACGATAACCGTGCGCCGATTTCAGCAGAGCAAGATCCCCTCAATCACCTATTTAAATTTCAGAGTGCCTGGAACAAAATAAAATCAGTAAGCTTCAAATATTTCTTCTGATGGTCCATAATGCTCTCCACCTAACGCATGATGATCAATTTTAACGCCCATTCGGACCTCTTCACTAGGTGTTTTGCCCCACCGACTTTAGTTTTGCCATAGAAATCTACGATGCTAACCCATCTACCGAAAGATTTCCAGGATCGCTATAAACAGTCTCATCGGGATTTCTTTCTTGGGGTGCTACGACAAATTTATTACAACACTGGTTGTATTACCTGTGCCGATATTACTATTCAGAAACACTTGGGTTTGAGAAGATATGGCATCGGTGCAATTCCAACTTCCGTTATGATTGAGTGTGTATATAGGTGTCAATCTAAACGCATTGCTTTTGAACGTAGTGTACCGCAAGATAACAGTTAACTTTCCCTGCCCCTATCTTTCGGGAAAATGAGGCCCTTATTAGATGGTCGAATGGTTTTCAGCTGCCTGGTTCTGTATTCAAACATCCGGCTATGCTAGAGTGTCGATATATCCTCGCGGATATTATTGCGATATATGTGCTTTTCGGAAATACTCGTTCATGGTATATACGGAAAGGAGCCAGTTTTCTAAAAAGATCAAATTTTCAGTCAGAACGATATACTCTCGCTCAAGAAGGATTTAGTACGATCGAAATTTTTGAGATTATAGCATCCCGCGCCTAAATACTAACTTATTGGAAAATTAGACTTACAGTGCCAAAAGCAACGTCGTTATCAAGGTTTGAAGGAGCGGGTATTCACTACAGGAGGCAATAGACGAAACCGGGAAAATAATGCATCAAAGCGTTGACAAATGGGATTCAAATGTTGAGAAATTGGAGTCGGCTGGGTGGGATAGTGAGGTTTTGGCAGAAGCAAAAGGATGTCTGGAAGGCTGTGCCGGCTTGACTTCAATGGTCGTATGTACTACCCCATACTCTATCAAAGGTTACTTGAACTAATAATTTAGTTTTGACTGTGGCCGGTATGGCCTCGGTGGAGGCGAAATTCGAAAGGACTAGAGAATGAGACTCCCGCTTGATTTGCTCGAAGCGGCTATCAAGGGAGACGAAAAGCTGTGATTAATGGGCAAGACCTATATAGCTATCGGACAGCCTTATTTTGAGAGCGGATGGTCTTTGGGATTAATCAATACATTCATGCTACTTATCTTGTAAAATCCAATGGAAAGCTGCTAGACCGGCCGTTCGCATCATTTGCGCGGTGAATGACCTTCGGGGCATTTCAGCCGTTGATGAAAGTTCCCATCATTATACTTTTTCCGTGCGCGGAGAGATGATGTAATTGCTTGGTGCAACAGGTACCGTGACGGGATTCCAGCTTTTATATGTGTCGATTTAGGGGCTGTCCTAAGTGCAATAAGGAAGTGCCCTTGCCATTCCTGACTGTATCGGCGCTTCGGTTTTTTATTGCTTTTTTTTTTTTGAGGAGAACTGAACTATTCCTGGCTGCTAAAAACAGCGGAGAGGCGCAATCTTGAATTCCTTTGGGTACATTTAAAACTTCCTAGCGTTGGGAGAAATTGCTTTCTGCTACCTTTTGCAATGCAAGCCGTTCGGAACGAACCTAGCCGACTCGCGTTTTCTGTTTGATTAATTCATCCTCGAGAGCGACGGTAGTGCGATGCATTGTCCCATCCACTGGAAGCTATAAGCCTGCAGGCTTGTAAGGATGCGTATGAGCTTTCTGATAAGCAATAATGAGATCAAAGCTGGGTACACCAGAGCTCGAGCCTGCTTACCGATGATATATTGATACCCCCTCAAAGAATTTTCACTAGGTAAATGCGGCTTCAAACAGCGGTTTTGAGGTTAATTAACTTGGCTAAATTGATTTAACTGATAAGATTCCGAATTCCAAAGAAACGCATCATATATAACGTCATAAAACCAGTATAATAGCTAGCCTCGAGACCAGGCGCAGGGAAAGGGCAGGGTAAAATAACATTTAGGCTCCAGGTCCAGCTGCAGAGGTACTGCCGCGGCTCAACCGTTCTAAATCTGTTGTATATGTGTTCAGTTAATTTTTATGTGATGACTACCTGATATGTAAAATACAGCTTGAATTGGCATGTGTATGTCTGAATGGAAAGGAATCTCCTCCATCTCGGGAATTAACCCAGCCTGGTCATTCGAAATCGTCCCCCATACCAGTCTCATACCTAGTATCGCAGTTCATCTAGGATCCGGCCTATCCTTCTCCCATTTTTTCTTCGGTGAAGCCCAACCAATATACTTCCCGGGGCTGGGCGTGGTTGCTTCTTACAGTTCAAATTTAAAGTGAACGCGTCCATCTCATCCTGACAGTTTTAATGAGAATCCTTTCCTCGTCCACCTCGTCGAATCCCGCCTCTGTGTCACGTTCGCTTCTCGGACGGTGACTAAGGCAGGAGAGAAAAGGCTTACTGGGATGAGCATGAACCGAGCTAGGAACCGCACGTTTAATGCCACAGGCACTAGCCTCAGTGTGGCGCATGGAAGCCACGCTTGACAGAATATCTTGGGCAAAGGTGAAGGATATCATTTGTGGCTTCTCATCAAACGAAATCTCGGCAGTGCCGAGATTGAGTCTAACCTGTGTTGGGTACCAAATGTTGCTCGTTTATCGTATATCGTAAAATGCAACAAAGCTTGTTTGTTAACTAGTCTGGGCTAGCCTCGAATCGAATCCAAGTCTGGGCATACTCTTGAGGTCTCAAGGTATCTTTTTTTGCAAGCTAGAACATTTATCAGGCAGCTCCACTCTAAGTGTCCTGACCTCGGGATCCGAATCGCCGTAAGCAGAGGAAATTTCGAAGAAATAACTGCAGGCTCGCAAGGTCGTGTCGGCCATGTACTTCGTGTTGTCTGGTACCAACGAGATCATGTCGGCCTATAGTCTTATGAATTTAGTCTGATAGCGTGAAAAATGCAAAACCAAGGACGTCCGGACGCGAAAATAAAGACATGAAGAAGATCTAAATCGTTTCGCAAAAAAATACGTTATAAATGGTTCTTAATGCTTATCATCGTCTATCTATCGAGCATTCAACATCCTCACGTTACCACGCGCGGTGGTTTGCGACCTGAGTGGCCCATCTGGCACCCTGGAAGGTGGCGTTCGCTCGTTTCATTTCGTGATAATTTCCCGCGGAGGCCACGGCGCCGAGGAATGGCCCTGTACCGAAAATCTCAAAAACTTCAAGCTGTCTGCTCTGATAAATAATCATGACACCGCTGGCTGACCCATTTTGTTGTCTTTCTCTCCCTATATTTTTTTCTTCTTAAGAGCGGAACGTTGCTTTTTCTTATAAGCAGTTATTTTTCGTCTGTTGGCGAGTTTTTGGCTTCCCCAGCCCCGACCAATTGCCAATCGAGCTTATAAAATAAACAGGAATCACACTATAGTACGAAATCCCTAATTTGTATTGTGCGATTGATTTGTGCATGCGGCGTGATGGGGTTGACTCAGAGTGGAAATCTAGCGATTATATTGTTTACGAAAAACTCGGTCGCAAACGCCTAATGTCGTCCGTCAAGAAGGTTACCAAGGTTTACGACAGCCCAGAAGCGGTCCACACACATAGCGATGACAAAATTGATCATTTTCACTTTGGCGGCACGCCAGGGGTCACTGCCATGATGGTGGGGTTCCCGCTTCTCATGTGGTATATGTGGATCGGCCAAGAATACTACGACGGGAAACTCCCAACTCCAGAAAAAGGCCAGTCCTGGTTTGATTTTGTCAAGCACATGTTCGCACTTGTCAAGGAAGTTCGTATTAGCAATCCAATCTCATCCATATATATACGATACAAAAGCATTGTATCCAAGGCTTGTCTCTTGCGCAACCTCGCCGCGAATCTAAGACCGAGACCTTAAATAAGCATGCTAATTCACGCTTATTGATATATCGCGTAGGGCGCTTATCCCAGCACCAAGGCGTTTGCTATTTACTGGGGCTTTCTGATCGCTCAGGGTATCCTCTATGTCACTCTGCCTGGCGTTTACACAAAAGGGAACGCGATTCCGTCCCTCGGGGGTAAAAGACTAACTTACTTCTGTAATGCTTATTCTACTTTCTGGTTTACCTGCGGCGCTTTCGCCTTTCTTCACTACTTTGACATATTTCCCCTGCAGACCTTCATTGAAGAGATTGGTCCTATTACGTCTGTAGCCATCATTTCTGGTTTCGCCGTTTCTATCATAGCCTATTTTTCAACCTTTGTTAGAGGTCCAGGCATTCAGCATCGTATGACCGGTTCGTTCTTGTACGACTTCTTCATGGGTGCTGAACTGAATCCAAGAATTGGAATTATCGACATGAAAATGTTCTTTGAAGTCCGATTGCCATGGTTCTTCTTATTCCTAACCACTGCCAGCACAGCTGTCAAGCAATACCAGGACTATGGCTACGTTAGTCCCCAGGTCTGGTTCATTGTTCTTGCTCATTTTTTGTACACCAACGCGTGTTCCAAGGGCGAGGAATGCATCGTCACCACTTGGTAAGGAGTTACTTTATCGCGCGATATGCTCAGTGACTGATTGTTTTGAATACAGGGATATGTTCTACGAGAAGTGGGGCTTCATGTTAATCTTTTGGACTATGGCTGGCGTCCCGTTCACGTATCATCACTGTACCCTTTGGCTGGCGAAACATAATCCAGCAGAATATAACTGGTCATTCGGATATCAAGCGATTCTCTTCATCACTCTCCTCTGCGCTTACTACGTCTGGGATACCTGCAACAGCCAAAAGAACAACTTTCGCAAACAACAAGCAGGAGTATTCGTTGATTATAAACGGTTCCCGGCCCTTCCATGGAGATATATTGAAAACCCGACTTTTATTAAGTGCAAGAACGGAAGCACTCTCTTAACTAGTGGATGGTGTACGTTCAGAATCAAACTATCTAATGTTCGATTGCTAACGATATTCCTTTAGACCGGTGGGCCCGTAAGATCCATTACACCGTTGATATCATTATGGCTCTTGCCTGGGCAATCAATACGGGGTTTTCATCGCCGTTCCCTTACTTTTTCCCGGTCTTCTTCACGTACGTATTCGCTCACCTATGGATGCTGTATTTGTAAACTTCGCTTAGTCCCGCGAGCTCGTTGTAGGACGGCAGGGATATCGAGAGCTTTGCTAACAAGACCATATGCATATAGATGCGTTGAAGTTCATAGAGCCGCCCGTGATATTCAGAGATGCAAAGCTAAATACGGTGATGTAAGCATTATTAGTCAATCAAATTCGCGTTTCCGCTGCATCCGCTAATGCCTTCGTGAATATAGGATTGGGTTGAGTACAGCAAGCAGTGCCCATACCTTTTCATCCCATTTATTTGGTAAATTCTCGAACCTCGACGACTGCGACTGCACTACCATACACCAAAATTATACTTCAAATAAAATACTAGACAGCCATCTCATGTGATGGGCAATTACACTACTCTATTACCATAGGCCTAAATTGGCCTTAACATAGTCACACTTCGTCCTAGGCTCCCGCCTCTATCTATAATTCAAAATCTTTAATATTAATTAATAGAGATATGTATATATTTCAATGAACCAATAGATTTGAAATGGTAACAACGTCCTAATATAACTAGTATTAACTGGTAAAAAAAGAAACTCCCCAACTCCCCAACCCCTTAGCTGTTCAATTAGATTGAGAACTAAGTTGATGCGCGGACTGATCGCGATGTATTTATAACATACGCTCGGTCGCCGTCCTCGTTCAACTATCTTTATGTTTTAATATGTGATGAAGTTCCATATAAACTGTAAATGTCTAATGTTCCCGCTATGGCTCTCATCGGTTGTCATTCCCTGCCACTCGTTTTCATTGGCTGCCAGTCGCTGCCAGTCGCTCTCATTGGCGAGTTAGCAGTGCGCCCAACACCGTCAATTGCAACCTTGGCTTTAAATCTATTAAACAGTTGAAGATGAGTATGTCCCCCTGAATAGAGAAACTTGACTTTTTCTCCCCGAGAATTCCAAACCGGGGCAGCTTTTCATCAAGAGCTAAGCTAGTTTAGTGTCAAGACTATTTCAATATCTTGATGTTTACTAACTAGATTCGCGACATTCTCGTTTTGCAACACAAGCTGGGCACGAGACAAAACACAAGTCGCGCGCATCGTAGACATTTTCGTTAGCGAGTAGTCTAGCCTCATATTATGTTGAAATTACCTATGTATAACGGCGATAAATCGATAATATCTAGATGGGGTTGGAATCGAGGTTAGGGGTTATGCGATGGCGGTATATATAAAACTGTGATAAGTATGCTGGCTGGGAGTTATATATGTTATACAAATTTTTTGCCTACCTCAGCAGATGTGGGCTTTGAAAGCCAGTACATGTATGACCGCAAATGGGGCCTGAGATAGTGGTTTTGAGCGATAGAAATATACTTGTGGCGTATATTCTACAATGATAACGGCCCGGAAACTTGCCAAAGTAGGTTGGGTATCTACGCGAGTCATTCTGGGGCATACCTAATTAATTGACTATAGTAACACTGGGCCATCAACTAGCCGCGTCTATTACAAGAGCCAGCCATGTATTTTAGTTCTGCCGCTTTAAAAATAGTGAATTCTACAAGTAAACGATACCAACTCCCGGGTCAGTGAATCTGAAGTGTCGAGAATAGACTCCGAATCTAGATGACGCGTGACAGAACGTTGCTGAAAGTCTATTGACTGTGCTTTTGGACATTAGATTTACAAAGGTACCTAGGTATGCACAGACCAGATATCTTTTAGGAAACATAGGCCAACTGCGAGGCGCATTCGTTGTGAAGATATACCAGGAATAAACGAAAATGGAACCTGTGGATTGATTAATTTCTTTTTATCGGGTGGGTAGAATTAAATTTAACGGTGGGGCGAAAATATACCAATTAACGGCATAAACTCGACTACTTCCCATTTACCCTGTCGTAGCTACTTGCGGGCCCGGGCATGGCGATGCAGAAAAAAAAACAAATCTATTCGACCCGAGATATAACCTTCAGGGTCTAAGGATCTTTTCATATAGATTTCTACGAAAAATAAATATCCCTAAACCTGTATTTTGTAGTTGTATCCTGAAGCCGAATGTATATATATACATTTATCATTGGTATTCCCCAGGGCCCTGCATCCGTATACTAATTTTCGGATAGCGTACACGTCTCCCCTGGCGAAGCACTATTGGCATCTGTTCAAATTTCCACTATGAAGATCCTCGGTCGGCTTTTATCCCTTACCTATATAGTCGCACTGTTAGCCTCTTCCAAATACATCGGCGCTATATATATTGTTAGTTATAAAGAAAAAATACCAAAATCAAAAATACTACTATATAGCTTACTAAATTAGACTGTTTACCAAGTTAGTATAAAGGTCTGCGGCCTCAGAATCTATCTGGTATCTCGGTTATATATTTTTATCCAAAATCTTGCCGTTGCTAGTGCGAGGATAGGTATAAAAGGAGCCAACAAGCGGGTACCCTGATTCACCCTAACCAAACAAGACAGCGGAGCAAAAAGTTCGAGGCGTCTATCCACTAATTCGCGATGTGTGATACCCTACGCCTAAGAGGGAGAAGGAGGAGTAGAGGGAGATGATGATGATGACGATGGTGACGACGATGATGAAAGGGGGGAGAAGGGGCGATGAGAGGAAGATGATGGTGGGAGAAGGAGCAGGAGATGAAAAAAGGAAGGTGGTGGGGATATTTAGAAGCTTTATTATAATGCAATCTTATTCAAGATTCCATCGAAACAAAAAAAATTGATTGTCATGTTGTATACCTGTAGGCCACCTGCGTCGGCGCTTAATTATAAGCCCTCCTGATATCAAGCGAGCACCCTGCCTTGCTTTGGAAGACTGCGTCTTCAAAGCTTGGTCGTTCATGCCGGGCATTGCTTGAGAGTCGGGCCTCTCTACTAGAGTACTACTACTACTACTGCTACTACTACTACTACTATTACTACTACTACTACTACTATTATCATAACATGTTCAACGCCAAGCTACAATATCATAAACGACGGGGTTTTCTGCGTAAGCTAGGAACGAGACCATGTGTAAGTATTAATTGTTATATTTTCCGATAATATTCACTATAAGAACCACCCGAAGCTGCCCCCCAGTTAACGTTTGGTATCTGGTCGTACGAGTCCTCTCTGTTGCAGCTCGCTATCGGATGGTTTTACAAAGGGATCAACCGGGGCGAGTCTTTCGAAGTTTTTGAGGAAATCCACGAGGGATTTGTACGCCTTGGTCACGATGTACAATCTTGTGGCACCCGGGAATTTATCGGATCTCGTGACAATCCTGTCGAAAATGGTGTAGTCGATAGCTCTTAAGGGATCATCTACCGGAGAGCGCTCTGCAGGGGAAGGGCCCTCATATCTAACGGCCCAGTAGTCGATACGAATCCTGACCCATTTATATTCGAAGGGGCTGTCCCAATCCGGGAATTCCGAACAAGATCCGGTGATGGGCTGACAAAAGATACTGCATCCTTCGGTACCCGCGACAAACTTGAGGAAGCCTTTCTGCTCTGCATTTGTACTCGTAGGCATCGGACAGTTGAGCTCTAAGTATCTCCGTCCGTCGAGGCCCTTTCGAGCCTTAAGCCGGATCGAAGATTTGTCAAATTCATTAACTGACAAAGGTTCTACAAAATTGGATTCGGTCGTAGAGCCAACCCTCTCTTCCAATCGGAGTCTCAATAATTTGGAAGTTGCGTGACCCGCAGGGAGGACGCCATCCTTTGAGCGCCGGTGTTTTGTAACACGCGGTTTGTGTTTGCCCCTCTTAGGTTTATCTCGTTCTGCTGGGTTGGCCGGGCCTGAGCGACCCTGGCCGGTCGACATTTGAGATCGATAGTGGAAAAGCGAAAAAAAACAAAAAAGAGAGGCAGAGAGAGTTCGGTGAGAATAGAGGCTGCCGGTGAAAGACCCTGGCCGGTGTTCGAGTTGAGAGTGAGTTCCTAGAGTTGGCTTAAAGAGTCAGTCAAGAGGCTATAAACAGGAGCAACGAGAGTTTCCCATACCCAGCAATGAATTGAATCGAATTGAACAGGGGCAGGCACAAAGAGGAGGGGGACTCCGGGCCCTAAAGACCCGTTTGTCGTTACGCGACCTTTCGATATAGACCTATGTTAGTTTTTTGACGAACGAAAGGAGGGGAAATCTGGTTTGGTGGAAAGGATCACACCACACACATACTAGGAGGAAATCGCAGGCGTTCTCGAAGCAAGGATATTTCGTTCCCGGGGGAATTTGTCGCACAAAATAGTAATTAGAGCCTTTTTCAGACTGACTGGACGGCAATAGCAGCAGTTGGGCGGGTAGGCGGATGGATGGATGGATGGATGTAGCTTAGTGATTGCCGGAGATGGGAATGATATGGATAATTGATGATGATTTTTATTCGTTTGATGGAGGTGGGAGTGTTTACGGTGGCCATGAAGAATTGAATGCTCTGTGTTGGGGGGTACAACTGGAGGTATATCAAGGCATTCTATTGTTCCTCCAACCTTTCGAATGGTATCTGCATGCTTTCGAAATGGTGCCCTACCGATTGGTACAACTTCAGGCCATCTTTTCTTCTACGAGATTGTCTATCCTTTTCCTCGCCCTCAATAACTCTAGTTTGAGTTTCTGTAGCAGTTGTATTTTTCTACAATCCAGCAGTACCTTCCACTTCCACACGGCTGTTCTAGTTTCGAGACTGCTTTCACACTTGATTCCATTAATTGGCGCCTCGGCGTACGCAGTCTTTATGCCCTTGTTTTAGAGCTGCGGTAACCGTAATAAATAAGCACTTACTTAATAGGTACATAAGACAGTCTATAACCTTTATATTGATAGGCTTGGCACTAGAAATAAATACTACATTAAATAATGAAGAGGGTAAATTTTGCGACGGGGTGAGCAGAACAGGATATTATGACCGGGTTGGAAAGAGGTGAGGGGTGCAACGTCCTTTGAACCTTTCCCGTAGATTCAATCATTGTATGAATGAATGAATGAATGAATGAATATGACGAATTCAATCGCGCTGTGTTGACCAGCTGCAGTGCACGTGTAAACGTTATAAACCTCCACTTGCAGGCGGCTATTACCAAGGGTCCCCTGCGCGCACCTTAGCAATGCTGCATGCTGGCCCTCGACAACAGACCCCCGTCACCTCCGTAACCCCCGTAACTTCCGCATTGCCCTTATCGCCACCACCGTCGCAGCAACCCTGCACATTCCTTGGGCCGGCTTCGTCCCTTGGCACGGGGTTACCGCCATCAGTTTATCGTGAGCACCAATGCAATGTGTAGCCATATTTCAACGTCCTGAATAGTATGTCTGGTATATTTGGCGTTCCTCGCGACACAGGTAGAATCGATCCCCGCCTGAGGACATATAACCTCTTCAGACTAAACCTGAACTAGCTTACTTATTAGTAGCACAGAACGACAGGCTTTAATATTTTATTGATGTTGTATACAAAATAAGTATATACCTAGCAAGAGAGAAATAATCGCTCCTCAACTTCGATTCAAGAAACTTGTGGGAGCCTCAATATATCTCTAACAGCAACTTCCGTTTAAGAAACTTACGGTTCTCAATACTAGAGACCCACCCCCCTGGGGTCTTCAATATATCTCTAATAGTAACAACAGGTTCAGGTTCCGAATGGTTAAATAAGCACCGATAAATCTCATACCTAATGTTCAACGGTAACTTCCCAATTTCAATCGCAGACTGTGCTGGTCGATTATTCGTCACATATATTTCTTCCAGTTTGAAAGGTGGATTACCAAGGACCTTTAATCCGGAAGGAGCCCACGAAGAGATTTGGATATGAGTATATATGAGGTTGAAATATAGGATTGCACTTCGCATGTCATTGTTCGTACGTGGGGGGGTGGGACTGACTTCTCCCTCTTTGAAATCAATCTTACTCTCTATCCCGGAAGAGCTTATTGAATATAACACCGGACTTGCTTGTCAGCTGATCAGACCGGGTATATCCAAACTTGAGCCATAGAACTCGGTGCGAGATTGGGTGCGTGCAACAACTAAAATGGGTTGCCAATCGCTTCAATTCACTATTTCGGTTGGCTGAAGTAGGCGTAAATTTTTACGTATCGTAGAAAGTATCTGAACAAATCATCGGTGACAAGTCTATTTGGATGAAGCCTGAGCTAAGGTCGGGTGAGTTTCATACTATATTGAGTATGACAGCAATTTCAATATATAATATATATATCAACTTTAATTCAAGTTCATAGCTTTGAGTGCTTAGTTTTTATGTTGTAATTGGAAATGATAACTTGTTTTAAAAAGAATAGAACCTATTGGAGTTCAATAGTATTAACTAGCGTCAAGTGGCATCCAATGGCATCCAGTGAAATCTAGTACAATCTAGTACAATCTAGTAGAAACTAGCGGAACCTACTAGAATCTACTAGAAGCTACTAGAAGCTACTGAAATCTACTGGAATCTACTAGAAGCTACTAGAATCTACTAGAAGTTACTGGAACCTACTGGAACCTACTAGGACCTGCTGGGACCTACTAGAATCTAGTAGAATCTAGTGGTGTTGGGTGGTGTCGGGTGGTGCTGACTGTTATTCAATAATACCATTTGCGCTGTTACTATGGATACATACTACGTATCTGTCGCAAATCGAGTGCCATCAAACACAAACCATGTCAAGTATTACAGGCGAAAGGAATTGCAACTATTAAAGGTAACAGTCATTTTTAGGTTCGAATGGTATCTAAGAACTAGTCTCGTATCCAGACGGTGTGCTTGCACCAAAGGAGTTTTGCGTTGTAAGCCGCCATACTATCGATAGGGAAACACTCCTTTTCGCCAGCAGAACTTGTGGACTAGCCAGGAAGTGCGAGTCCTACCGTTTTATCAACCGGGATTATCCTCCCAGCAAAAAATGAGAAGCTCCTGCTCTACCAGCGAGTCCCGAATACGCCTCAAGTTGCACAGAATTAGCTCCAAACTGATCTCGTAAACTGGAGCCGCCCATTGATATTTGTGATACGATAGATACAACACAGCACATTTTAGGAGCTTCGAGCCTGAATTCAAGCCTGTTGCAATTTAACATTCCAAACCTTTAAATGCTACGCCAACTCTCGATTTTCGGAGTCTTCTCAACCCGCCGGATTAGATATACAAGAAAGATACTCTGAACTAAAGAAAGTTTGGCTTTTACAGGCACAAATTGTATGTACTGTATTATATACATGGTAAGAAAATTTATACATATACAACTACCACAACTGAGACTTGATAGTCTTGCATCTAGACGGTGTTCCTGCAGACGCTTCAACTAGGTCTTTGACCGAAATTTGGAGGTGGTAGAAGGATATTATGGCCGAGTTGTTGATTAACAGCACCAGCCCAGAAGCATGGCGGTATGACAACAACCTCAACACGCTTTTTGTCAAAAGAGAAGTACAGATATCTTGTATTGTTCTTGTAGTTAAAACTCCTTTAGCTCCTGCCATAATCCATTACTCCCAAAAAAACAAAAATATCTCACCGCGCTGGTGTTGCTCGTAGGTCTGTGCGCTACGTTAGGCTCAATATGGTGTCTCAATACATTTTCAGCTGCCAGTAGTTGTCTCAATGTCAGTGGATTCTTCCAAATATTGCAAATCCACGAAGTTCGCGTTCTCGGGATCCCGATCAAACATATAAAGGTATTTTTCCTTGTTCTCCTTCAAGAATTCTGGCACATCAGAATTGTTCTCAATACGATCGTATTGTTCTCCTTCCCGGTTATATAAGTCAATCCCATCCCTCACATGCTGCAATATCTGCTGGGTGTCCTTGAAAGTATCGCGGTTTAGCTCGGCATGCGAAAAACTGTTGAGCTTCTTAACAAATTCGCCAATGGTCGAGAAGCAATAGCTGCAGTGCCACGCTGCTCTGTATAAGTGCGAGTCGGCGGTCCCGCGGAGGTCGTCTGGCCGAACCGTGTTATTTCCGTCGTAGTATGTCGCCTGCGGGAATGCCCAGTCTCCCCGCTTGCGCCATTGGAAGCCATAGTAGTACATATCGCTGTGAAGGGATAGCTTTTTCGGGAATTTGCAATTGCGTAATGCTGTAAGGGTGGAGGGCCGGGGTATCTCATCGACGTCTGAGACGAGAATGACGTCGCCCATGTTGGGTGCTTGCCGCCCTTTGAGATAAGGGACGACTTGATCGTACATAGCATTTCTGGAGAACTTCTCGCGATCCCAGGTATTCTCAAACTTGACGCCCTTAATGTTGAGTGTATGGCGAATCATCTTGCTATGGTATTTCTCATAGCGGTCCCAACTCTCTTGCACGAAGAGAGGCTTAGGTGTATCCTGGAAGGTCAAGTTTGCTTCGAGGATGACAAAGTAGTCAACCTGGTCGTACATTTGTCCTAAACGGATTTCAAGCCAGTCTATTTCGGTGTTGACGAGAATGAGATCGTAAACCTTGCGTCGCCTCGAGCGGTGTCGCCATATCTCCCATCGCCGATTTTCGCAAAATTTCAGAGCATCTTCGATAGGCAAAAAACCTGGAGATGATGTAGTTGGATGAGGTACTGAAGGGTAGTGATAAGAGTGAAATATATTGGACCAGGAGAAGTAGCAAAGGAAAAAGGTAGCAGCGAGCGCTCCAATCCCTACCCTTCTATTGCGGGAGTTGAGATTTATCGCTGGGTTGCCCATGACCGCTAGCTGGTATTCGATTGACAGTTCTTGGGTAAGGCCAAGCGAACTTCTTATTCTGAAGCGACGGACTTTGTACTACGTTCAACGATATTCAAACGTGGAATTTAAATATCCATCTTGTAGGAACTCCTTTTTAAAAGTAGGAGGGGATTATAGGGTGTAAATAAGTGTACGGTACGGCAGACACCAAATTAATCAAATTCGGGATGTTTTGTGCCACCAGGTTTCCTTTCCATCGTTGGACGGACATTATAGGGTGAAAATAATTGTACAATACGGTTGACACCAAATTGATCACATTCGAAGTGGTTCGTGCCACCAGGCTCCGTTTCCGTCGTTGGACGGACAAAATCCTGGTCGCTGCTTGGTGACATTCTGTTAGCGATTACCCTTGAAGTTAGAAGCATGATAACTACGGGCAGAAATAGAATAAAGCATAAATATCAGCCCGACATCTCATGGGAGTTTCGAGTTTGTGCATGTTTTGAGAAAATTCTTCTGGTTGAAAAATCCTGAAGCTTCCGCGGGTCCCTGGCGGAGGGGAAACACAATTATTTGTAGTTAAGCGAACTTTGTGAATTATGGTTAGGTCTCATGTACCATAGTGGGTACTGATGCTGTTTTGCGCCGCGATTTCTCGGAAATACTAGTGAGGGTCCACCAGTTCGTTTTCTTGGGTTCCCTGTTAGACAAAGCCTCTAACTAGCTCTCTGGATCCGAACTTTATATTTCCTCCAAGCTTTTAATCTCTGGATGCTTCTTACCCACGTGTTCCCCGTTTGGCTGCTTTCTGCATAGCAAGTTTAGCAATGAAACTTTACTTTTACTCAAAAACCTTTCTTATGGTATGATTTCGTGATGTAAAAGGTGGCGTTAAAGCTATAAAGGAAGGTAAACGTACGGAAAGTCTATAATTGCTCGAACTAAACCTAGGTTCGATTACTGGTGGCAGCTTCATGCAAGAATGCCTTAGCTTAATTAGCTTATATCAGGGAAAACACAATTCCATCCTACTCCATCCTGTCCATCTGATGGACTTTATGGCAGGATAGATAGAATAAAATCCTATCTTCTGGGCAAAAGTCCCTGTTATTTTACAAAGCTTATTTTATTTGATAAAGCCTATTTTATTTTCCAGGTATACAGGTCGGGGGTAGCGCAACGGTTTGTGTGAGGGTGTCCTCGGGCTTGGCGTCGACGACCGTACCCTCGCGGCGCCGATCGGATCGCCCGGCGGTTTAACTACCGGACGCGGACACTAGACACAGACTTGCGTTTCTATAATACCACGCACCCAACACCACTCAATCATCAAGATGAAGCCGTTGAAGCTGAAGCACCATCACTGACATATATATCAGCCGACGTTCACCACCACCACCGCCACGCCACCCAAAAATAAAACAAAATTTGGATAGCTTCCAAATCACCTGAGGAAGCTGCTATAAAGGTCTTACGTTGTTCTGATCGGTGTTTATGGAGTTATAATGATAGATTCCGTCGGGGGCGGGAGATTGGTAGGATTTCTGAAAAGGAGGAAGAAGGTTCACGGCGCCCAAGCTCATCCTAAAACAAAAATGACGGAGGCTAAACCACTTATATATTAGGCTTCAACTAGCGAGCCGAGCTTCAGGTGGGGTCGTTCGTTTAGTGGGTTAATTGATTAGTCGGATTTCTGTCCCAAGCCGCAAGCGGGAAAAGGGTAGCTTCGCAAGGTTACTTCATCTCGTTCATGGTGGAACTCAACTGAAAGAAACCTACCGATCAACAAATGTGAAATAGCACTATCGATGACCATCTCCATCGCCACCTATATATCCCGCCACTCACCACCGACTAGACCTAGTAAGCATTTCCTAACCTGACCTGTCAATAAGAGACGTCGGTATTCATATCGCGTTTCCATCCGGTATGCGGGTGTGACTGGAGATGGTGCTGAACCTCAACAGTACTTAAGCTTAGCTGGACACTACCATCGGTGTAGAGCCTGGCGAATAGAATCATGAACCAAGATAAAATCTAAGTAGTATTACGTTCGATTCTATAATTTTCGCCATTAGTAAGGGAATTAATTTTGATCTAAGCTACGCTATGCTCTACGAACAGCATAAATAACGTGCCGTTACAATATGGCATGTGGGATAGTAGTAATTAGCCGACCAACTTGCAGCTGCTATGCAGGCTAGGTTAACAAGTTAAAAGGCATGGAAGCCATTTGGCCTGTCATTATCGGGAGTTATCTAATACTGTCATGACGGACTCCCGAACCGCGGCCTGAATTGGAGGCAAGGTAAACCAGTATCTCCCTAGCTTTAACCCCAAAAGAGCATGGAACCGTCAGTTTCGAGTACGGCTTGGAAGTACCAGCCGTGAAGAAAAGACTTGGATATCTCCCGAGTAGGTAAGGACGAGACACCCAGTACCCAGTCCGCCCAGGGTAGTGGTTCACCAAGGGTTCACTCATTCTACATAACTTCAGGCACTTGTGCATACTATCTTGGGGCCAAATCCGGGAAAATACTGGTTCACGGACCTTACACTCTCCTAGGCCCGTGGCTAGGAAAGCGGCTGCTCCACGTTATTCTGAAACATTTCATACAGGTCCCCTGCTACGCGGAGTCTCTTACATCCACAATGAGGAAGATATCCAATTCATGACCAAGCCGAATTGATTATAGGTCGCTTGGGCTAACCAAGCCATATTCAATACCATTTACGTAGTTATATACTAAAATTACAGCTAGTTAATGTATCAAACGCAACTTCCTTGCTATCCTTAAGCTTACTTTTTTACCTATCATTATATTAGCGCAGTAAAATGGTCTCGTTCTCAGACATCACAAAGAGTAGCACTTTGTTTGGCAGTAAAACTGTTTTTCCTATTTTAATCTATACGTTCTGAGCTTTTACCGAACCGCATGAACAAAAGCAACTGTGCTCTCTCCAGAACTCTTCTGGGTTAACCCTATCAGTTATATATTCCACGCTTGTAGGGTATTGGGTACGGTTAATTCTTGATAAGTATCGCGGCGCAGTATCAAAATGTCAAAAATAGCATTGGGTTATTCTATAGCACGCACATGGCTTTCAGTACTAGGATAGTCTAGGGGTAGCTCTGAAGCGTTCGCAACGTAGGAGTCCACCAACAATATCTTGTATCAGTATTAGTTGAGTTCGGAACGTATTCGACTATCCTTCTCTTTGTAACTCTAAACAAATTAGCGGTGGTTACTGGTCTCCTTCGTTGCACTGGCGTTCTCCGGAAAGCGCATGATACTTAATGAAGACTAGTGGCTTTCTAGTCTCGTAGCCAGACATTTTTGTTCTGTGTTTTGTGCTGTGTGTTCTCACACAAAAACGAATATGATTTCGTTTTGGTGGCGGTGCATCTTTGTCGACGAAAGTGGCTCGGGGCATCGTGGCTCGGTTTTGTGTGGACTTTTGGGTCAAACGCCATTTTGTTTTGATAAACAACGCAAGTGTACACTCATTTGGCCAGCATGATGCTCAAAGGAAGACGAAGGACTCTTTGTCGGTTCGGAGAAGTCAGGTTAGCTTGAGATAGATGACTTCAAGTTACGCTGGCCGTTAAAATTATCATCAGCAGGCGGCTCGAACGATTTAAAGACATGGACTAGACATCTTGTCGATTGTCTATAATCTTCGCTCAGCTTCAGTTTTTGCTGGCTGCGGCCAAATTTGGCTGAGTTTCTACAGATATACTCTCGAGCACTGTTTTCCTTTGATAGAAACGTAGACTCTTCCGGGCGACCAATATCACTTGCGAAGTATTCTGAGTAGTAATTCGGAAATTCGAACTAAGAATTCGTGGAGGCTTGGCCCGCGGGGCTCTAAAATGAAACGTGTAACACCACTACCTTTAACCATCAGAACAAATTGATCACGACCCTAAGACAGTTACACAGAACCCATCAACTTGAAATACTTCTTCTGGACGAGCTGATTAGTTGGCGGATGCCTAATGGGACCCATCAGAGTAGACTGGCCTTCTACGGAAGCATCTACATCGGGGTCGAACTCGCAATCGCTGAGGCCATCCAAGATGGAGTTCGGTGCACGCGCAGGTGCGATCGGTCGGTAATTTTGTGCTTGAATTGCTTCGGACATATTTGAGAGCTTTCTCTTCGAGTCCAAGTTTGAGACGTGTCGTCCTGAGTCGCGTGTTAATTTTTGTTTTCTAATGCCGCGTTGACCAGAATCAAACACCTCTGAGGTTGCACAAGGTTTTCCAAGCGGCTTTTTCCAAGGTGGTACGGTGGGTCAACCCATAAGCGAATGACAGCATGCGCTACTCAACCTCTACTACGCCACAGGCATTAAGCCTTTCTACACTGAATTTAATGGAGAAAGTTAAAAGTCGAAGGCTTTTGTGGGATTTTTCTAGCCTTGTAACTTATACCGATGCAATTTCGCTTTCAATTCACTTCCTACTTTTTAGATCAACATCTAGAGCTCCAATTCCCTTGCTATCCTCCTTAAATAACTGTAGCGGAAAAGATCGTATGATGCCTCTTCAAATTCACGAGCTCGATGCCGAAGATTCCAAACAACCTTATTTAGAAGGAAGCAGACCTCTTAGATCTGGGGTTCCTTTTACATGTCCACATTTAAGCCTAGTTGCGTTCCTGCATGTGCTCTGTACGTAGCGTCGAAGGGTATAATTGTATCGGGTTTGGTTCCATTGTCTTTAATATTCCGTGCAATCTGGACCGAGAAAACACCACCGTGATCGATTGCTGATATTTAGTAGGCTTTTAGCGCGATAGCTCAGCGAGATAGCTAGATTCGAGGCGAAGCAGACCATGTCACCCAGGTCGACAAATCTAAGGTGAAGGTCGGTGATCGACCCTAAATGATTGTATACTGACATATCTTGTTGTTTGAAGATAATCGCCCATGCTCTTTTGAATACGAGTTTATTTGATTTTAACCCCGTATATGGCCACATAGTACTCTGACCGCCAGTACTGCTGATATTTTTTGGGATGTGATGAGCAGCCTAGAAATACCGTGCCGCATGGGTACATGTACCGTTGCAGCTAATGTTACAAACACCGAAAGGGTGCATTGAGGGGGACCAATAGCAAACCGGCATTTGCAAAATTTGCCAATGGTAACTTCAGGCATCATAGTATTTTCTTTCCTATTGGCTAAGCTCTAGGCGAGCCACTTATTCGTTGATTCTGGTTTTGCTTGCGTAGCAAAACATGAAATTACTAATCACAGCCTTGTGCTGCTATATGTCCTAAAGATCCCTTCATACCCCACCGATCTCGTTCTTCTATCTTGCTTTATCAATACTATCTATTATCTATGTTACGCTTGAAATATTAAACCTTATATCGAGCTGATATTTTTCTCCCACATCTACCATAAGAACCTAGATGCCAGCCGTTGGTACTGCTGTGTGAATAGCTGATAAGTTAGGAAGTCAGCGTTGCAAATTAGCGCCATAACCGACTCACCCCAGAACCCAGTCTCGGCACTAAACAACTTGTGCTTTCCCGGAACCTTGTAGTATGGCTAGTTTCCAAAGCGGACGCACTGCCCTTGAGGCCGTTTTCAATCATATCGTGCTTCCGGCTCAACTCCCAGGGAAAGAGGACAACGAAGTAGATCAAGTCTCTAGGGATTTGCTTAGCATCGTATCCGGAGCTATTTACTACTCGCGCGATTTACTCTGCGACAAATACCATCAGCAGTATTCTCTTGTTCATCAATCCTTGTCCAACTATCAACACGCCTATGTTAACGGGGTCCTCAACAAAGAAATCCTTCTTGAGCAACTCCGTAACCTTCAACCGAAAGAGCAGTTAATATTCAATGTAACGCAGCAGAATGCAGCTCTCCTCATTCACCGTGAAATCAAGTAAGCTTCGAAACCTAAATGCTTCGGTGTGCTATTATTTCTAACGATTCGAAACGATAATTTTAGCTCGTCGGGTGATTTTGTTATCTTCGAAGCATTCGAAACTTCTCCAACTTCCGAAAAGGTTCTTGAGGTAGCATCTGCTCTCCTTTGGGATTTCCCCGGAATCGCCATATCAGTTCCGTATTCCAAATTCTATGATGAAGGTTTCCAGGAACATCTTGTGCTATTCCTTGAGCAAGCAAGCAAAGAATCTATCAAAAGATTCGCAGCGACGAGCTCTAAGGCTTCTTCTGGGGCTTGGGAGAGCCGGGATACTGTAGACCCTAGTCTCATTACTGATTTACTGATGACTTTGTTGGAAGCGATTGGCAGCCGGGTTTTCCCATCTCCGCTACGGAAGAGGGTTCGCGATGATGTCTCCTGGTTCGATGGACTCAACCCCTGGAGAAGAAACCCGACTTGGTTGATACTACGCGTTGCTGTGCAAAAACATCTTCAACTCCTCCTCGGGCCTGAAGCTGGAACACTGAACTATAAGTTTATGAAATGCTTACTTTTACGGTCATTTCTGAACCGGATCTACCCCGAAGCTGACCCCGAAAGGATTGTACTCTTGAAATCTAAACTCTGTCGTCGGATGGCAAAACTTGAAATTGGAAGGCGGACTGAACCTAAAACTCTTCACGACTTGCATGGGTATCTTGCCGATAGAGTCGGCCCAAGAGTTATGGATACGGTTAACCTTGTAGAACAGTATACCAAAGAACTCTGGGAACGGTATCGCAAACGAATGGAGCGGCGTGTAGACCCGCTTCCCAAGCGTGCCGACCCACAAGATACAACCCTCAGCCTCCCGAATAGTGCGGCATATCTTCAGAATATCTTAGACGATCAACTAGCGTGTTCGAAAGCCGGACAGGGAAATCGAAAGGCGCATGAGGGCCCTGAAATTCGGCGGAAGGGAAGGGAGGACTTTGCCCTATTCGCTGACAAGTACTACAGGCTCTTTGACGTTGAAAAGAAACTGAGCTCTATCAACACGACATACATGGCGAGTTCAGATCCACCTAACGCGAAGTTGATCATGCTCTCAAGGTCTCTCAAGGGATACCTTACTGAGGTAACCGATCTTTATACCGGAATGGCGGAAGCGTTTTCAGAGTTTATCCTCAACGTCATGGACGTGTGGGTCTCTCTTGATTCCTTCGCAATCGAAGAGTTCCCGCTTCTAGCCGACTTTCATCCAGGCTTCACAGCTGAGATATTGAATTCTTTGCATGTCGACAAGGCACGCGACCTTGAGCGACTGCGAAAAGTCGGAGAATATCTCAAACGTCGAGGCCAGATGTCGACGAGCCGTATGACCATTTTCGCTGATCCTTGCAAAGGCTCCTTTGCAGACCGATACGTAAAGTCTGCTACCAATGACACTTTTCGAATACTTCAACACCGTATAGAAGCTTCTGCTCAAGCATCTCGTCTGTGTAAAGAAGCCGAATGGGAGAATAAAAGCGAAGAGTATGAGACTTTGACAGAAGAAATGCTTATCACTCCTTGCCAATACTACCTATCGGACGATGTTTTCCCCGAGCAATACCACGACGATCGCGGATGTAGAAAGTGTTACCTGGGGAGGAGGATCAGACGAATGAGGATTACTGCTCATGAACACCCACTTCCTACCGACGGACCGCACCTACATGCCACACTTTTTGAGCTTACCTGCCCGCCGAGTTTCGCCGAGTACCGTGATATCACCTGGCAGATTATAGCTACCTTAGCACTCCCTAGTATTCCTTTAGCTGGCGAGCCATGTCTTCTGCTCCGTCAATATTCCGGACTGGCCAGTTTTCACAGTATGGCATCACCAGCATTGACATTAGGATCGAGCAAGAAATCGTTTCTCCAAACCCATTTAGCAGAGATATCTTTACCTACTACGCTGGAGAGAGTATGTCTTCCCAATGGTCTATCTCTGGCATATTACGATACCTCTCGAAAAGTTTGGCCGGGAAGAATCAATCTTTCGACTACCTTCTACCACCACTTTAAGCTGCCAATTGCAGAAAACTCGCCGTTTGCTTCTCTTTCTCGCGAACTCGATCCTGTTCACCCACCGACATCCTACGAAGTCATTGCCAGCCAAACTCGCTGTCCCGCCGGGGTAAACATACACGAGTTCTTAGCCTATCAAAGCCTTCTCTCAGGCTGGAATCGAAGGTTTCCGTCAATCCTAGTGGAACTGGCATCATCAAACCTTAATTTTAGCACCGAGGCAACCACCCTCTTAGTGAGGTACCTGACTCATCAAGCCGGGCCCCCGTCCCCCAACCAGTTCCTCCGCATGGCTCACAAGATCTTCACGGACCCACACTTTTCTGCCAAGCTTCTCAATCAAATTCAGCATAGATTGGACTTTATACGCACGAATTGGCGAGAATTTCATTGCATGGACATGTTAATTATGCTTCTTTCGAGGTGTATTGATATTTGGGCAACAACACGTGAATGTACTGTGGCGCTGAATCAGGCCGTTGATATGCTATATGGTATCAGAGAAATTATAAGGGCTTGGCTCCAAAGTCTACAAGGCGAGATTGACAAGGCCGAGACTATCGAATCATCCCGCCGATTTTCCGAGTTTGCTTTGTGGGCGGCAGTGCTCGGAAGGTCCACCTATTTTTTTCACGGGCAGCACAAAAGGCTCATGACCATCGATTCAACCCAGCTCAAAATATTCATCGAATTCTCTATAATGCTACAACAAAGCCTCATTGCAAAGCCAAGTTCTCTGCCGGCAAACTTGCGGAACGCTCTGATCCATGACTTACGAATCGTATGTAGTATCAAAGCTCTTTTACGGGTAGCAATTCTCGATCACCCCAATGGTCTCTCCTCCGCTCTCGAGATTGCGTGGGCTCAGGAGGAGGATGCAGAATATCTTCCGCCAAATCTTTTGCAAGCTCCCGACGAGTGGTGGGTTCGGATGGAAATAGCTGCGACCCAAACGAGACGGGCTCAAACAATTTTCTTTCATCTCCTAGAGGGGCATCTACTTCTAGATGGTAAGCCACTAGGTCAACTGCCACCAGAACACAGAAACAACCCGATTATTAGAGAGCTCTTTGGAAGCCAAAATCTCTTGACGGTGCCATCGAGGCTCCTTGGAATGGCGTACAAGATTTCCCGAAGAATGGAAAAGCATATCGTTCATCTTGGATTTCGGGGCGATAAGATGATCGTTCGAGCTGAAGCCAATAGAAATGTTATCCTAGAGTATGTTCCCAAAAGTACCTTCAGAAGCGAACAAACAGAGGATCTACCTGCATCTCTACTAGATGGATGCTACCACTGGCTCAACATAAGACAAAGACATCTAAATATTCGCCAAACTTGTTGGAGGGCCAACTATAGCGATTGGAACATTGATCTGAACCAGATGGAGGCTCGCCGCCGGACGGTGAAGCTTGTTGACCGCTTCAGCCCGCTCTTTAAAAAAGTTGCTACTATATTCAATCGGTTCGAGGCTGAGCGATACCTAACCGTTTTCCAACCCGAGAAGCGCTCTCTCTCGGTCGAAATGCGAAGGCTTGAACTAAAATGGGAAGTAAATTCCAAAGGATATCTTGAAAATGATGTTCTTGAGTCTTATATAGACAGAAACCAAGATGCTGGGACCTGGTACGGGCTGACGAGTAAAGTGGTTCTCATGGATAGGAGAAACTTCCGCAATAGAAGCATCATTGTTCCACTTGGCCCGCTACGATCTAGAATTAACGGGCCCCATGTTGAAATTGATCTCGCACCTAATGGTAGCTATGGTCGGTATCAGATAAATACTATACTGGGGCGCGTTGATTGTCCCCCAGAGCCGCGGTTATTACATACTAAAGCTCTTCTCCATGCCTACACATCATTCATCCTCCCAGACCCACTGACCGGGAGAACGGGAACAGAAGAGGCTCTTTATTGTCTGAGGTCAGGGTATTGCCAGCCTTGGGTCCCCCTCGCGCTTAATCACTACCCTGTCCTTGAACGTCTAGCTAGTCTCACGCCGATCCGCGAATACTATCCAGTCGGGCTGAAAGTAATGCAAAAGGTGAACTGGAACTCTGATCTCCGCAGCTATGCTCAGAATGAGGAGTTCTTCTTCATTATCAAGGAAATAATCGGCAAATCAGACCAGCTAAGTCCTTTCAGCGACGACGAGGCCAATGGGAAAAAATTTGAGCGGGAAAACCCCGAGCTATACAAACGGAGTCGCATACGTCGGATTTTATATGATCGAGACAGCTCCAATTCCATTTCCGAAGCATCTCAAGATATTGCCTACGTATCTCGGGGACAGCGGGCGGCTGGAAATACGGGACGCCAAAACGTCTACAATGCCGTCTACCATTTAGATAATTGGAGCATAAGGCTTCCTATCCCGGGTGACTTAGCAGGTATCATGGAGAAATGGCAAAACATCGGCGGGTTTTCCAACATACTGGATAAGGTTACCCTTAGCGACATACTCAATATTGACCTACCTCTCTTTTGGGGAGCCTTGGTCCAAATTTGTCAAGGCAGCAATCGAGCAGATAAATATAAGCTGATATTTTTATTCTCTATTTTGGTTTACAATGCCACGACAGACATGGACGCTATCCGGGTTTTAATCCTATTTGCGACAAATCCTGTCTTGAAAACTTGTGAAGCACCCATAGGCCCCTCGTTCAAGGAGTTCCACCGAAATCCCCATATAAAAGCAGAAAATATCCGACCCCTAATCAAACCGTACTTCAGAAGTTTCTCCAAGGCTCACTTTCAAAATACGACTGGATTCGCCCTAAATCCAAAACTTCGGAGGAAGATAGAAGCGGCAGAAGCTACATTTAACGCTTTGAGAGAGAAGGAATATAATAATTTGATTGACCATCTTGTCGCGCAGTGGCCGTGCCTTCAACCAGAGCTCACTCTCTATTTCGATAACGATTTAATTGATACCTCTCAAGTTGTACCGATTATTCAACCGGAGTGGTCCAGTAAATTTTTCAACCTCCAACTCTCCAATTACATCAATGAGATCCAGCCACTCCTTGACTCCTCAAGCTTACACCTTCCTATACCGGAACCAGATGATACCTCTTCCACAGATCCAGAGCAAAGATTAAAGAACCGGAAACAACCATATACACGGCAGTGTCTAAACGAGCTCCTAGAGCAGTCCACTGTTAACATAACGAAATCACTGGCGGCATTGTTAAAAGCAAAGAAGGAAGACGGTGCTTCTCAAACCCAGCACCAACTTGCATCTAGTACGATTCATCCAGCTCATGCTAGAGAAGTCTACGAGCTTGAAGGGATTATTCGGGGAATTCAGCGAACGGACTCCGCCGTCCGACGGCGTTATGCTACAGATCTCCTTCAGAGTATACAGGCTTTCAAGAAGACACAGGCCCTAACAGCCACTCAGTCTGATAGAATATTCTTCACCTCTAGCGAAATTAATTCGAAAATTGATGGCTCCCGACGTGAAGTCGAGTTAACATTCGATAAGATCAAACATTCATTACTAGGTAACGACACCGCGTACTTGTGGCTGGAAAAAGGCAATATGACCCCGTGTATCACGATTGTATCCTTACTCGAAGGGCTAAGGTCCCGTAATAAGCTCAAGCCAGGGCCAGGTGTGCGAGAGGGTCTTGTACTGCTGGGCTTAAAAATTACGGCATTGCAGCGATACATCCGTCTTGAGAATTTTGTACTTAAGAACGATCGCCAAAAGTTTTCAGAGGAGGAACGAAATAGAGGACATCAGAACTGGGATCCATTAAAGTACCCAGACTGGTTGTTGTTGGAGATTGATTCGAATATGTTGATCCGGCCGGATCAAGTTGATGTTGCACATGCAACGATCCAACCGGCGAGTGGGAACAACTCGGTCTTGCAAATGAACATGGGACAAGGTAAGAAGACTCTTGTTAAAGAATTAGGCACATATTGATTGGTTTGATAGGGAAAACATCATGCGTCATGCCAATGGCAGCTGCAGTCCTGGCGGATGGGAAGAAACTTCTACGGGTTGTCGTCCCTCGGGCTTTGCTCTTACAAACCGTGCAAATGATACATGCTCGTCTCGGAGGGCTAGTAGGCAGAGAGGTTCGCCATATACCATTTTCTCGCCAAACGCCTACGTCCGCCGAAGTCATGATAAAGTTCCACAACATTCATGCGAAAATTATCAAATGCTTCGGACTGATGGTTACCCTGCCGGAGCATACGCTTTCTTTCATGTTGAGTGGTCTCCAAAGACTCTCTGACAAACGAGTGGAGGAAGCCAAGCCAATGATTCGTATTCAAGAGTGGCTTAACAAGGTCTCGAGAGATTTACTGGACGAATCTGACTTCACTCTGGCGGTCAAAACTCAACTAATTTATCCTTCTGGGTTTCAAAGAGCCTTCGATGGCCATCCGCACCGATGGAAAACCATCGAAGCGCTTTTGAAGCTGGTCGAAGCATATGTCGATACCCTTCGTATTCTTTTCCCTCAGAGTATAGAAGTTGTCCGGCGGTCAGGAGGATACCCATTCATATATTTCCTGCGTCGTGATGCTGAAGAGAATCTTATCAAGCGACTAGCAGATGAAATATCTGCCGGTAAAACCGATATCCTACCTATGATGGATCAGCCAGTTGCGGTTCAAGCGGCTGTGAAGCAGTTCATTTATTGCGCCACCATCAGCGCCAACCTGCCTGTAAAGATTCGCAGCGTTTTCAGCAGCAAACCCACGGTTCTCAAAACAATCTATTTATTGCGGGGGCTGTTCGTCCACCGCATTCTTCTCTTAGCTCTTAAGAAAAGATGGAACGTTCAGTACGGTCTGCATCCTACTCGGGATCCGGTTGCCGTCCCTTACTATGCCAAAGGCGTTCCGTCAGAGCAAGCAGAGTGGGGACATCCCGACGTTGCAATCCTCTTTACTTGTTTGTCTTTCTACTACCATGGGTTAAACATGGATCAACTTGGCCAGAGTCTGCGATTTGTAATCCAGTCCGATGACCCTGCAAGCGAATATGACAGGTGGACGCACAGCTCGAATACCTTGCCCGATTCATTGAGGGAATGGAATTCGATCAATTCTGACGATGAAGTTCAGTTGACGGAAATCTGGAGCCACGTCCGGTACAATATCGTCGTTATTAATCACTTCCTTAATAATTTTGTCTTCCCCAAACATGCTAAGCAGTTCCTAACGAAGCTTCAAGCCTCTGGTTGGGACATACCATTGTTTGCGGGCTCGATGAATAATTGCGATACATACGGAAAGGCCCTTACAACTGGCTTCAGCGGCACTAACGACAATAGAACCATGCTACCCCTCACAGTCACTCAGGAAGATCTCCCAACTCTGTCCCATACCAATGCGGAAGTTCTCACATACCTCCTCCAACCTCGAAATAGAGAATATATCTTGGCTGTTGATAATTACGATCGCCGATGGTCTGAAGGCGACCTTCTCTGGAATTTGAGTTCTAAGGGAATTCGAATTTTGATCGATGCTGGCGCTCAGATCCTAGAAATGGATAACCTTCAGCTGATAAAGATGTGGATGAGTATTGACACACAGCCGCAGGCAGCAATCTACTTTGATAAAAACAAGCCAACAGTATACTATCGTAAAGGCAAGACAGCTCCCTTGCTTGCTACACCGTATGCTGAGGACTCCGCAGATTGCCTTATATATCTTGATGAATCGCACACTAGGGGTACAGACTTAAAGATGCCGGCGAGAGCAAGAGGCGCGTTAACTCTAGGCCTTGGTCAAACAAAGGACCACACTGTTCAAGGTAGTAGGAATCTCGTCTGCTCTTTGGTACTATTGCTAAATTTATTTTATCTTGACAGCTGCCATGAGGCTCCGGCAGTTAGGCACAACACAATCAGTCACCTTCTTCGCCCCGTTAGAGGTTCATCAGAGCATTCTTGATACGCGGAAACCCTCGTCTTCTGCCCCAGTGGATTCTCGAGACGTTGTTACTTGGTTACTACATCAAACTTGTGCGGGAATTGAGCAACTACAGCCGCTATACTTTTCCCAGGGGATGGATTTCTGTCGGAGGGTCCAAGCTGCTTCTGATAACCCATACTTCTTGGAAGATCCTACTCACCTTCAAAAATATCTCAATACTCTGGAGCAACCCGAGCAACAAAGCCTTAGACAAATGTATGAACCGAAGCAAGGCAACAAAGCCAATTCTGCCATCCAGAATCCCTCTGCCGAAATCCACAAATTTATAAAAGAACTCAAGTCTCGGCGAAAGGGGTTCCAAGACACTGGAGAAGCCGTCAATGGGTCCGCGCTACAGGAAGTCGAACAGGAACGCGAGGTTGCATTCGAAGTTGAATCTGTTCGAGAAGTACAAAAACCGGTCCACTATACCCCGCATAGATTCCTAGGCCTTCATGAGGATCTCATTGCTTTCGTGAACTCGGGGTATGCGCTGAAATGGTCGAGAGGATACGAACCAGCATTCCTTGCGCTCCGGAAAGCCTGCTCTTTGGGGGAGAAGTATAAAATCGATTATAACTATGCCTCTAATCTTCTATATGCATCAACAGAATTTTTCAGGACAGTGCACCTGCGTTCGGGAAAATATATTGATGATTTTCAGGTATTTGAAGCTACACATATAACGTTAGAAATAAAAGCTAACTTGATCATTTTAAGCGACCGGTAAATTGGGTCATTCTAAGCATCAAAACTAATGTCGCAATTATCATCACACCGGAAGAGGCTGAATATTTGATCCCACATCTTTATAATAAGTCTCGCGAGCCCTCGGTTCATTTAATTACCTATGCGGCGCCGATCAATCGCAGGATGGTCCAATTTGACACTTTAGGGTTTTTCACCATCCCAACGATTCCGGAAGATTGGTCGCCACCAACAAAATTATCGATTGAACTAGGTATCGTGGCAGGACGATTATACTTCACCTATGAACAAGCAAATGCTATCAAAGAATATTTGAATCTCGACGACGAAGAAGCTAACCAAGAGAACTCACAACCGAAAGCTATGGCCTTGACCTCTAGGCCATTGGAATTTCTCCGAGAATGGCTAATGCTCAAGCGGAAAGGTCAGGACTTCCTACACACTCCGATGGGCTATCTTTGTCAAAGTAAATTGCTGTCGCAAACTCTCGCATTCTTCAAAGAGGATGTATCGAGGCTCGAGAACCTTGCAGAAAACAGTAAGCTGGAAGACATAGGCGTGGATGGCGATGACAAGCTGAAGGCGGAGGAGAGAGAGTAGGGTACGGTCCCCACACTAATATATATATATATATATTGAAGTCATCAACAATGATATTCTAAATAGTAGCTTGCTCAAGTGTGTTCACATTTTACTGACAGCTAAATCTCAATTTGCTGTTTAATTTTGTATATAAAACGGTATATTAGTTAAATTGAAGTACAGACTCAATTTCTTAATCGTTCCACAGATAATCAAAAATACGATGAGACATATCGCGGGCCTTTAGAGTACTTTTGTCAATTTTTCGTCGACTTGAGGTGCTGCAGTACTTTTTTTGCAACATCTCCTCGTGCGCGGCTTTTAGTTGATGCCCAAATTGACAAAATCGTTAACCATTTTGTGGAAACACTTATTCTCCAAGAGTCCCTCCCTGCACGCTGTCTTAACGCAGCCGCATACTTAGGCGCTGGTAAGCCACGCTTATGAAAATTTTCATTTACATCATGGATAGGACGTTCTCCCGTACGAATAATAGATTCCCTCTGCTTTATAACGCTTCTTTTGGAGTTAATGAGGGTATGGTCCGAAATCTGAAGTTGGCGAGCTTGTTGATTCGGGCTCTGGCGCATCGATTTCTAGTCGCAAGATATATTAGACCCCGTTTTCCCGAGATTAATTCAATACATACAATCCGTTTATAGTAAACGTCGAGATACGGTGTTATTAGACTATCAAACATAGCCTGGACGGCTTCCAGATCGTAATTACGGTCCTTGTATATGGCGAAGTAATACGCTTCGAAGAGATCTGCGAAAATTTTACTATTTTCCGGTTGCTGTGAAAGTATATCTTTAGGTAACATGTTGTGCAATCCGATCTTCTTGCATATCTTCCCATAGAAATAGTTGCTGGTAAGCGCACAGCTTAACATCTATAACGTAAACAAAGTCAGTATTCTGTTCTTAGTTTGGATCCTGGAAGCCTCACCGCCAATTCTTTGCAGCTTGCGTCTGGGAGCCTCCGGTGCATTAAAGTAGCGGTCAAAGCACGCAGGATAGAGTCGCCGAGAAATTCGAACAATCTTTTATTTCAGAAATATAATTCGCATTGATAGGAAATACTTGGGCGCTAATAGCAGGGTTCCTGAATGTGTAGATTCTACAATTCTTAGTGGGAATTTTGTCAATATCCACATCATAGTACCATGGCTGTTTTCCGGGGATTGTCATGATTGCTGCTTCTATACGCCTAGGATAAAAGGCCACTATGCGGGAACTGGAGGTAATTTATAACTGTTCTTCACCCTTTTCATATCGAGCCAAGAACATAATTCCCGTATTGGGAACCCATAATTGCTCTTATTATGAAACATATATAGCGGAGCATATCCAGTATATCTGATTGGCTCGAAATTTCAGCTTCCACCTTAATTAAGGGACTCCTAATTTTTCACGGCGACATTTAAATGAGTTTGTGCCTCAACCTAATATATATATAAATGCGGCTGAATTTGATTCGTATAACAGAGGATAGCTATTGTATCACTATACTATAGATAAGACCCGATTGCTCCATTACTTATGACATCTTTTTGATTGTAGCGGGTGTTATATCTACATTTTTGTCTGATAGCCGACTTTATGTTGAAATTGCTGCATTTGTACGAGTTCCGCAAAGAAGACTAGCACAAAAACGGGCCGTAACCATTTTAGGTTGTGGCTTATTGGTAGCGTTATATCTTGTGGATACGCCTTCAACACATGAACCTTGTGTTACCTGCACATATTTAAAATGACATTCTTATGACATACCTCGGATCGAGTAATACAGGTCGACCCAGGCCACTGTTGATTTACGCTGGAGGTAAATGCTAGAGTTGCTACGAAAGACACAACTCCACGGAAGACGTAATTACAGTAGTTCCCGGCTAACCAAGCTTATGTAGGCTTTCTGAAAACGGTTATGCAACATAGTCTTGTATTTATAAAGATTCTGCAATCTAGATTTTGCTTTCGCTTGTGTTTGATCCTGCTGTGTTGAAACCGCTTGATAAATCCGGAGACTGAAACTACCTTCAGGCATCATTATTGTGCTGACAAAACATCTCGGGTTGTGGCGACCTATGATATAAGAATGATCCAATTAAGCAGTCTTGAGAGAAGTCTGAGCTTGTAGAATATGCTAGCGAGTCGCCATCATCGTAGATAAACGATAGAACAAAAATTATTCCATTGTCGAGAGTAAAGCCATGATCTTGAATCAACATCAACAAATACTAGTATCTGTCTGTTCCCGGTGTTTTATATATATATCCTCCACGTTTTTTCTGCCCTGCGTCTGGATTGGTATACCTCGTCTTGCGGAAAAAGGCATATCCATAATTGAGACTGCTTAAAAGGACTCGTCTAAGTTCGCCTTGACGATTTTGACAGCCTCAGCAACCTTGGTGACTTTGGCTCTCTAGAACACTCCAAATAAAGCTGTCGATTCTCTTGGCGAGGTGCTGAGCGTTGATGTAATTTCGAGATTACTGAGCTCCAACCGAAACCCCTGTCGTTGTGGTAGTCGGTTCACGCTTGGAGAAAACTAATTTTACTTATCTGATACTAATGTCCTCTATATGCATATATATAAGATATTACTTTTGATCGGCTTAGTGCACAGTCTCCAAACTACCATCCATGATATTCTCGAATTTCACAGAGCCGTAGCTCAGCCTAGACATGTGATATGTTTCTTCTAGACGGACAGGGCTCGGAGGCTGCGATGATGCCATGTCGTCCATAGAAGCCAAACTAAGTACATGTACGTGCATTGGGTGAATGGTGCCAATGGATCTGTAAAGGAGTACTTGTAACAAAGTACTTATGGGCTACCAAACTTGTGGAGCCCTCCCCTTGTCAATACTAAAAATCAGTCGTCTACCTCTTGAAATGCTACGAGTGAAAGCGATATGCTGAATATATACAGGATCACTGCCAGTGATAAGAGGCCCATCGGAGCTCTTCTCGAGAGATGCCCGGCAAGTCACGATTTTCGAGAGGCTTTCCTTACCGATCCGGATGAATGCTACCGAAACCTTCACATTTCCTAAGGCTCATGAGGCTAAACGTCTTCTCGAGAAACCCTCGGAATGCAAGCGCTGTTGGTTTACAGGAAGCTAGAAGTGGGACCATACGACTCCTAGCTTCTTTTACCAGGCATGTCATATTAGCTTTTGCGGATGAAGCGCTCAAATCCTTTGATATTGATTCTAGCGGGTACCATGGCTTTATCCTTTCGGTTCTCGAGTTATATCTTCCCCTTACTACAATTGCAACAATAGCATTAATGAACATATGTGACCTCTTCCCAAGAATCCTCGCTATATTTTCGTTTTCTAACGGGGCTTCGTGTTGGCTCTGATTTAAAAAATAACAGTCAAGGATTCTACGCAACTCATTTTGGTATTTGTGTGACACGGACTGGCAGTAAACTCTGATGTATCTATCGGGGATCTCGCCCCGATGAATGCGTTACTTATGATAGCCCTCCCGGGGAGTTCAGCAATCTTCGTTTACCTCCGCAATATACAGAAAATTTAATAAAGGCCTAAGATACATCTCGTCGTAAAAAGAACGGAGCATATAAGTGACAAATTTCGATCAATACCTGTCAGTCGCACCCAATCCGCGGCAATATCTATATCCCAGGCCATATATAAATCCCTAGAGTGGGTCAGCGTTGGCGGTGCACACGTCGCTGACATCGGCCATCTTTGAACCCCTCACACAATTCATCCTCGTGTAGATCGGTTTGCTTAAAGTCATGCGATACGTCAGGTACATCCTCCCCTTTCTAGACTTTTAGCAGACGAGCTACTCTCTGAAGATAAACATCCTCATCTAGTTTCATAATTCCCAGTGACTTGCAACTTTTACATCGTCGGTTGTATACCTGTACTTTGTAATCGAGTTGGCTGTCTCGCCGGTTATATTTTCGAATAATGGCCGCAATTTTACCGCTGAACCACACACACTTGCAGCTCGAATTGGAGCACCTAAAAGACCCAGTTAAATTCCTCTCCCCTTCACGGTCACTATCATGGATATTTGATGAGAATATAACGCCTTGAACCTTCTCTCTAATCTTGGCGAAAGCTTTCGTCTGTCCCAGATATATCAGCCAGTCTCGAAGTTGATTGTTCAGGGGTCTTGAGGTTCTGAGGCAAGTACTTGTTAAAACCCCTTTGTACTGTGGCCGGTAGGTATAAGGTATCGAGATCCGTGAAAATTTCGGCCACATGAATTCACCCGAATCACGAGAAAATAATAAGAGAATGGCTTTCATTATAGTAACCAATGGATAGTATATTACAACCATATCATGGGAAAGATCGGTGACTATTTCTATAGATTTTAGGGGGGCTGTGTCATTAAGTATTGAATCGTGCCTGAAGTTGGTTTTTAAGCCTACGTATGAACAAACCCGGGAAATGCCGGCCAGGACATTCAAAGAATATGAATCCTGTCATAGACTTATACAATTCCCAATATCTATTATAATGAGAGCTCAGCAAGGATCACTCCACGCAGCTCGACCAAAGGTCGAGAATTATAACTTTACTATCCATGTGATATAAATAAGAACGGTATTCTTAGATTTCTTGTCATACAGTTCAAACACATTGTCCTTTCTGGCTGGCTCACACCCGTCTTGCCGCTAGACTACAATTCAAACTACGTCCCTATAAATCTAGAGGCGATGGCTCAACCTCAACACATTTTTGTCGATACGCCGGAGGCGGTCGCCAGCCTTCTCTCATTGGTTCCTAAGGAAACCACCTCCATACCATCAATCTATATCGATCTGGAGGGGGCCAATCTAGGCCGTCACGGTTCCATATCCCTACTCCAACTCTTTATATCTATCATTCCTCATATCTATATTCTCGATATTCACACCTTGGGACAATCTGCGTTCACAACCCCTTCATTGATTGACCCATTGACTACCCTTAAAACTGTTCTGGAAGACCCTTCTATTCCTATCGTATGCTACGACGTACGCAGCGACAGCGACGCTTTATATAATCTCTACTCTGTTTCTATCGCTAATGTAGTTGATCTGCAATTGTACGAGGCAGCAACAAGAACCGGGCCTCGTACACTATTGAACGGCCTATCTCGAACGATAAGGACACACTCTAATTTATCACCCCTGGAGGCACGAAAATGGGAGCAAACCAAGCAGCGAGGAGCCCAGCTGTTCACCCCTGAGAAAGGTGGTAGCTTTGAGGTATTCAGCGATAGGCCTTTACCCAAGGAGATACTAGATTATTGCGTGCAAAATGTACAACAATTACCCTGGCTGTGGCAATACTTTAGTCGAAAACTTGAAAAAATGGATGAGCGATGGAAAGCCCTGATAGAAACTGAGACGCAGGCAAGAATAGCGTTATGCAGAGAGGAATACGTCACTGAAGGTAGACAGAGGGCTTTAGCACCCCTTTCCTTTCGAAGTTTTCCATCACACGTCACCAAGAACCCATAAGCGAGTGATTGTACATAGGGCATGTATTATAAACATTCCCATGTAATAAAGAAAAGGTTGTCTCCCGGATTGATCACATGTTCCAGTGTTGTCTATTGCCTCAGTGTATTCGTAATCCGGTAGCGGGCTCAACTTCTATTTCACTTGATATTTAAGTCTTTCGTCGGTTATTGGTATTTCCTAATCTGAGGATTATAATTTGCTAGAATTAACTGATGCTAGATTTTCTCCGCAATGAAACTACGAGTATGCATTGGGAAAACCCAGTGCTGAGTTGTACTAACACCGTCCAAATGAATTTGGGTCTTGGCAAAAAGTTCGGTGCTACAAGGTATACGTTGGTGGAAGGGCCAACAAAGACCTTACACCATCGATTCGCTTCCGACGTTCTGACTTCGTCCGAGAGTGTGGGAGCAACCAGGGATCAAAGGCTGAGAGCAAGATTTGCAGCTATCAAATTCGTGTAGTCGCAACAATTTCAACACAAATTCCAAATTTATTGAACGAGACCAGGATAGAAAATGCGGTTGATAAACGAAAGCATAGTTCAAGCAATATAAAAGTCTAATCTCGTGAATGATTTAACATTACTTTGAATGTGTACTCTTCTTCGAATCCGAACGAGTCGCATTCCTATAAAGTATGAGGAATGGTATTAGCGGAAGGGCGTTCGCAAGATTGCGTAAAGATTAATATTCTGCTATGCTTCAAGAATGACGGAATGGTGTGCTCAGAAATATGCTGTTCATGTGTATTTTGTATCCTTGCCTTGGTACTATCCAACAACACCACATCGACGGCAAGACCAATTTGCATTTGTCACCACTACAGGAACTCTAACGACGCAATTCGCTATTTCCAGAGCTTGCAAAAGTCCAGCAATATCTTACTTAACCATCTCTACGGTTGACGACGGATAGTCATGACGATCGGCATTTTAGACCTCTCAAATGAGATATTGATGAATATCTCGAATCACCTAAGTTACCCATCGATTCTGGCAATGAGATGGGCATGTCATGCTCTGTATGATATCCTTCGACAAGTAGAGGTTTACGAAATGGCAGATTTACTAGAAATAGAATTATGGCCATTATATAATGCCGCCAAAGACCGTCCATACAATCTCAAACAAGCTTTCCCAAAATGCGACTTTTTTGCCTGCCACCTCTGTCTTAAGATAAAACAGGCCGAGGGCTTTTCTAACGCAATGATGAAGGGCAAAAGAGGAAAGTTCGCATCTGGCTCATTTGTGAATAGGGCAGCCCGCTTCTGTATATCATGTGGCATATATACTGGACGCTATCAGCCAGGCATGCAATTCTATTATGGAGGGGCTGGCCGTTTGCATGGCGTGGTATGTCGAGGGGGTGTGAAAAATTCGATCAATTCGAGGGCACCAGTCGTTTAGGCCTATGTTATAGCTGTCTTTCTCGGAATAAATTGGCAGAAAAAGAGTACGTTACCCATACTTAATGCCTTAGAGGTCGATTAACTCTTCGTTTAGGTCACAGATCGACAAGGATGCAAGCGATGCTATTTCTGCAAGCTTATCTAGCATCATCAACAACCCAGGAAGGCAAATCAAAAGAAGATTTTAAGGAGTAGATATTGTTTGACGACGCCAGGCTGGTTGTCATCACATTAACAAGTATTAGCAGCGGCGGGAATCCCTTTTCCCCGGAACAGCGCTCGCTTTCGATTCCCCAGTGGCCACGATCCCTAAGCATACCAGAACGTAAAGACGATAATAGTCAATGGATACAATCCAGTATATCCAAAGATGCCGGACATTTTGTGGCCATCCACTGGTTCAAAACCAAAAAAAACTCGTACTTAATAAAGTATACGCGGCTCGTTTTAGTACAATATATGGCAATATAGAATCTTTTAGGGCCGATCGCCGATACCGTTGTCTAGGGTAGAAATAACATTGTGACGATCACAATTGCCTTCATCGCAGAGTTGTCGGCCCGGGCGTCATGGCCCGTTTCGGCTCCGACTTGGCTGTCTCGCTGAGCCACCGCGCTACTAGATATTGGTGATCTATCGTCATGGTGTTTTCTCAGCCCTGGTTGCACATATTATTAAACGACAGCAGAACCTAATTACCATACAATTATATTCTTCATACAAGTATATCCTTCGACGCTGCAGAAAGTGTACGAGCACGGTTAAACTCAAGTGCGAACATAGAAGGCTCAGATCTGAGAAGCCCGTTGCCTGCTACGTAAGGCTGTTTGGAACCTTCGGGATCAAGCTCGGACCGGGGAGCACTCTACTGAGATTATAGGAGTTGTTATTCGGACTGTTGGTAGCATATGCTCCTGACAGAAAAGCCTCCCGCCGAGAAAGAATTAGTTGAAAGGGAGCCAACAGAAGATACCACTGCAGCAGTAGCTGCAGCGAGACGTTATTAGGATAGCAAGGGACCTGGAGCTTCAAATATTGATTATAAAAAGTTAGGAAGCCCGTCCAAAGCGAATGGAGCGTGAATTAGAAGCGAAACCACATTGGTATAAACTACACAGTCGGAAAAATTCACAAATACGCTTTTGGCTTTCCATCGAATTCTCCATAGAAAAGCTTAATATCAGTGGCGGAATGGAGGCTGAGGAACATAGGGCCCTAGGGTCGTCATTCGCTTATGACCGACCAGGAAAAGCTGCTTGGGAAACTAACGGTTCAAAAATGCGAAAGGCAAAAAAGGTATCGAGTTCGAAAAAGTCCAAAAATTCCAAAAAAAGACTCTCAGATGGGGAATCGAAACCCGGTCGTCCACGAGCACATATTAGGAGGAAGGTTGGCACCAATATGTAGTGACAGGCGGAAATCTTGACCTTTCTAGTCTTAGCGTGATAAGTTCTTCACACTTCTTGCGTTTCCAGGGTTCGGAAACTGCAACATCCAACAGGATCGACACAAACCCGCCCGCGGTACTCTACTTTCCCGAGTAAACACTTAACGAATATGATCTTCTTTCTCTGTTTGCGGGACAATTTATTTACATCATCAGCATTCTGATCTAGATTTAGATAGAAGACATTAATTTGTGTACTATATTAAAAGCAGGGAATTTATGAATGATACTATATATGAAACAATTGATGTTGTTTTGGTATTTTCTAACACAAGGATTTCATAATTACATAGCTGAGTTCTCAATAAAATTTGCCATTTTGCTCTTCAACATTAAAAGTGACATCTATGAGCTAAGGTATGTTCTACAATCAACTTTAATCTCTTAATATTTTGACGAAATCGAATGGCTCGCTCTATTTAATTGAACTATAAGCTTTATAGATCTTGTTCATGACTTTGACATAACTTCCAAAGTCTCTCGCTTCAATTAATACCAAACGAACGGGATCCAAGGCTCGTAGCTTTATCTCTATAGTTCGACTATAGTCATTAACGAGGCCATCGATTTGAAGAAAGTTTGCAATATTAAGAATGTCCAAGATTATTGAAGTTGGTTCATCGTCCATTAAGCTATCCGGTACTTCCGGCTCTGCCCTATACAGCCATGCGAGAACCTTTATCATAACCTCTAACTGAACTTCCAGCAGTTTTATGACGTTTTCCTTACCTCCCTCAAAATCCTTGCGACAGGCCACTTCGAAGAACTTCGATTGTGAAGGTAAAATATTGCGATTAGCCTCAAACCTGGCTTCGTCCGGGCCTATCAATTAAGCGAAGTCGGTCTCCCCTGGGATGTATTGGACCCTAGAAGGCACCACCCAGTTTTCTTTTTAAAAGGTATGAGTTGGATTATAAACATTCACGCGCTGAGAGCCATTTTCAGAGCTCAGCTGATTTGGTTGAAGGCGGAATTTCTTTATGATATAGATTTGATGGCTTGGAAAGTCATTCTTATAAGGTTTGGGCGAGGGAAGTGAATATCACATGCGGAGGGTATTCTTGGGGCCGATCGGGCCATATTAATACATCCTACCTGGAAGAAATAGGTCCTCGGCATCAGTACAGACCGCAAGCACAGATAGTTTGTATTACAACAGTTGCGAGTTGTTTTGCCAACACGAATTCAGCGAAAACGGCCTGAAAAATACAACACGATATTGGTTGTGAGAGTCTTTGGGCGGTATTCAGTTGCGGTTTATTCCATGGATTTTCGATTTCAGAGTTTAGAATTTGCGGCAGGTGTGAGGAGACTTAAGGCTGGCAGTTTCCGGTTCATCTTATGTCAAAATTCTGAAAATAGCCAGTTCGCTTCTAAGCTAGTGGAACCTGCGGTATCTCAATTGGAATATTCCGGCAGACCCATGGAAATTGCCCGAAATCCTCCAACTTCAGGCACCATTTGGCAAAGTTTTGCAAGATGCAAGGAATCGGGGCACACCGGTCGAGTGAGTAGTTCTTCTCTTATTTGTCTAATACAGGTATTTTAGATACGTATTCCACTACATTCATTGTTTGTGGGGCCAATATCCGGTTTGCACTATCCTGCTCAATGAGAGACCCCTGCATCACCATTTGGAACACAGGATCGTGTAGTATACTCCCACTTAAAAATATTTAAGATATTAAACCTAGGAGTTTGTAAGTCCTTTGAATCTTAAAACATAGAATCAGAAAATTCACATTGTTCTCATTTGATATATACTATTCGGAAAAGCAACAGAACCTAGATACCTTGCGACATTTCCAAAAGCTCAAGATGTATCCGGAACGCCTCCAATACTCAGGTAGACTACCTCTCCATGGCAATGGCTTAGACATACCGAGTTCTAAATACTGAGGTTTAAAATTGTAGGTACTAGCAAGTCTCGGCTCGACTATATTATTCAGCACGTAGTCCTTCCACCCAAACTCCCACAAGAAGAGGTTAGGGACTCAAGGCAACAGGATTTTGGTCTTCTCAATTTTTTGCAACAGGTTGCTGAAAGATACGCGCTGAATATAAGCGGTCAATAGGGGGAACTTGGTGAATGCGGGAAAAGGCAAGCTCGGAAGTTGCTTTGCTTAATGGCGAGTCTCCATGAACCAAATTCAGGCTTCCCGCAACGCCTTTAGGAAGCCATATATGTTCTAAACGCACTTCCGGGTAGTCGTAATTGTGAAAAACATTAATAACGTATTCGATAAATTTATACCGGGTTTGGTATGAACCCTTAGCTTTCTTCGCAAGGGCTCGTGTTTGAGGTGTGCATGTGGTTTCTGCAAGGAATGCCTTTATAGGGGGCTGTAGGAAGGCGGCTGGAAAAGATTCAGGTTCGATTTCAACATCCGACCTAATAGATCGCTGGAAATAGTCTTCGGTCATTTGCGGTTCTAATACTTAGTACAGAGCTTTGCGAGTGCTACGGCCTGATGTTCGTAGATCTTTTTCAGAAGTCGGTTCAGAGGGGACCGATCGGGGCTTTTCGCCCTATTGCAGACACGAATAATGCCCATGATAACCGATATCCAGCAGTCTGTTGTTGCAGCGTCAATGAAACGCCCATACCTAGACTTCCACCGGATACAGGCATTGTTTTTGGGATCACATAGTGCCATGACTTGTTCGTCGAGTGGCCGCCAGATAGAAAGCTGATATTTTGCATCCCAAGCTGTGTCAGGATCGTCAGTGACTTTCCTTGATTCCAAGTCGTAATCCATCCAATACTTTGAGAAGTATGGAGGATCGAACAAAAAATTGTCCCCCACAGGCAGTTGTAAATATAGTATGCTACTCTTGGCTAAAATACCATGTGCTCTGGTCATCGTGACGGGTTCCCAATTTATATTTGGCGTCGGTTCCCAATCAAGCAAGAACCTTCTAGCTGTTTCGTGTATTAGATAAATTTTTTCGTTTGCAATGGAAATGGAAACGCCGCAATGGCTCCTTATAACGGCCTCGATTTGCGAAATCAAACGCTCTTCTTGTAGTTGGGACCTCGTTTTGACCCCAGGTTCGATATTCAAGGCGGTATTAATTTCCGTTGGTGTTAGTGGGCGCCAGGCGGCCAAAATGCAGTATAGAATCGTCTTGGGGATGAAAATATCCGGGCTATGGGACAACGCATAGAGGTAGAGCTTTTTCAGGTCTCCAGATATTTCATCAAGTGTCTTTTCGAGAAATGGCCAGTTCGTCAAGTAGTTATTCAAGTCAAAAAGGACCTTGAAAGCCAATGATACCCAGAGAAGACTCGAGCCGCAATCTGCGATTAATCTCTTCTTTAAAAGCTCGCAAACTAGCGGCGATAGGTGGCGCTCTCGACCAAATAATTCTGTCTGTTGGTTAATCATCTTAAGGCTGTCTGCGGCTAGTGAGGCTGATTCATCTTCGCCCCTCAATATGAGTAGAGATAACGAGAATCTATTCTGAATGTTCGTATTTGGGCGCTCAGTTATCATAATTCTAAGTCCCGCGGTTTCATGTTCCTCTTTGTAGGATAGAAATTTTTTCAAACAAAGAGCAGCCGGTCCCTGGTCGACGCCCTCTGTTTCGCCTTCGTCTAGCCCATCAATAATAAAAAAACCTTTGTTCCAGTATCCTCGCGTCTCACCCTCTAAATATATTGAAAGAGTGTTGGCCCATAGTAGTATATCATCCTCAAGCAAGCGCTTGAGCTTGCCTTTGACCCTGAACTTGCGCAGTATAGAATCACAAAGACACCTCTGCTTTTCTAGTAACTGGTATAGCAATGAGCATACGGCATTTTTCCATCGCGTTTGCTCCATATTTCCAGCTTTGAAAAAGAAATGGCGGACGGCAGCACCATCCTCAGGTGCATTTAGCCGTTGAGCTCTTTCGCTAAAACCGTTTTTCCGCATCCAGGGTTCGCAGTAATACAAAAAACTGGATACCCGTTACTGTTGATCCAACCCTCATACATCGAGCTCTTTAGTGCCCAGTTTGCCGTGCCCTCTAACAGATTTGGTAATGACTCTCGATAAGAATTATATTCGTATACATGTTCGTAGAGTAGTTCGAGAAACTCTATATTTCCCGAAAGTTTAATTTTTGGGCGTTTATTACTTTATTTTTTAAGTGAAGGGCATCACACCTTGAACTTCTTTTTTGTCAACTTTGTATTCAGGTTCTGGAGCAATTACAATAGTCTTTTTGTCTTTATTTTACCAAACGAAGAAACCATTAGTGTGAACAACCTGAAGGTTTGAGTAAAAGTGACTATTTCAACAATATATCGCCAAAATTTCAGATAGCCACAAGATTAAATGTTCCTTGGACGTCTTGCACGAAAGGGAAACTCCAAAATCAAATACCTTCGAAAGTGCCCTGGGCTTTGACAAGAAGACGCAGCATCTCCCGATTGTTGCCTGGCTCCTCCAAATAAGTAGTCGTTGCGGCTAAGATAGTCGAGAATTGCTCGTATTCTTCAAGTCCAAACCTTGCCAATCCACCAACGTTAAATCGATAGAAAAGCCCTGCGTCAATCATCGCCCCATGTGATGCATGGAGCTCCCGGTCTGCTTTCTCAGTATCGGTGACAAGCTGCGCGAGCCTTGCGGCAATTTCTTTAATGTTGCCGGTTACAGATTCATCTGGTTTCTGGCCAGCCCCGATGCTAAGAAGAAGAACATCTCGAGTACCACCCCATAAATCCATTGCCTCTTGACGGACTCGCGCAATGGGATTGTTTTATTGCAGATCGCCATCGATGAAAGTCTGCTTTTTACCCCTATAAGTTCTTTCGAAGTTGTCGAAGAAGGTAGTTGCAGCAGAAGTAGCTCGACATGCTTCCCAAATCTTAAACCCTGTGGAGTAATTATCGGCTTGTTGTTCGTTATAGTAACTGCGGAGCAGTACATCTCGACCATCTTCGCCTTTTACAGCACAGACAAACCTTGGAAGAATAAAATTAGCTTCCTCGAATGATAAAAATATGGGAGGATAATAAACTAGGTCCTTACACTTTGCAACCGCTAGAATCTTCATCTATGAGCATCTCGTTCTCTGGAGAGTCACTCCGTTTCCTAATGACGTTCATGATAGCCGTTTCTAGTGCCGCAGTGTCAAATCGGCCATTGGCTTTCCAGAAGTCTACTGCCCGCATTGGATTAAGTTATCCTCGCTTTGGTTAAAATATATCCCGGGAAATTTGAAGGTATGCTTCCTTGCACTCCTTGATACCCATTCGTAAACGACCAAGCATTATTGCAAGCAGTCTATCGGATGTCAGACAGCCGAAAGCGCCGTGGGGCGAATTCAAGCCCTATATTAAGTAAGGGTAGAGCAGTACGTACCCGCCGGTACTCGTTCCTCCTATCAAGTCAAAGTATTGCCATGGTTGAAGTTGGTCTTCGCCTTAAGTTTACGGTTTAGGCGTTCCATGAAGCTCCCGAGAATTGTCAAACTTGATAGCCCCCAAACACCGCCCCCATCTAGGAATCGAAAAGCGATAAAGGTTAATTTTCAACTTAATGTGGAACTCCTAGGATCCTCTAAGAATTGTAGCTTACCAAGGGAAATAAGGCGCAGTGCTCTGGTACTATCAGACATTGTCCAGTATATTCAACTTCTTCCTTAGTTTTCAAATGACTTTGGGATACTGGTGCAAAGTTCGCTTGTGTTATAAGTCGGGAGCCGAAAGGATCATTTCAAATCTTGAAGAAAAGGCCTGCAGATAAATTTTGGCTACCGAGAGATGATTATCAGTGAGAGAAAGACGAGGAGCACGTAGGTAATTCAATATCACAATTTTATTATATAAATGACTACAGACACAAAGGCTTCCACTTCTAGGGAACTTTCATGTCTAGCGATAACAATAACGAAAAATTTTTAACAAGTCCCTCCCAAACAAATGACAAAAGAAGTCAAAAGTAGAGAAAAGAAAAGAGCTCGGAAGCTGATTAGTCCGTTTAAATTGTTGCTTATCGAAGTCATCCTGGCGGGGATAGATAAATATGCAATACCCCGCAGTTGTTCCGACATAGGTAGCAGCCAAGTAGTTAAATCAAGGTTCACTTTGATACTACCAGGTTTGTGGCGTCTCAATCCTCATGGATGATTCGCGTCGGTCCCCTTCAAAAAAAAAATTCACTAGAGTCGTAGTGAGAATTCGTATGCAAGTCGGCCTCAAAGCGGGGCCGGTTCTGCCGTCTCACCTTTTCTGTGTAGCATGGCTGATTCATTCGATGCTAATATAATGTGGTGGCCGTACTCCGAGAGATCTCGAGACAAACCGTGCATATCTGTTGAGTTGCGGAAAGCTTCTTGGCATATTTAAATCTCTTTATGTGACAGAAATCGGGAATCAGGCTAGGGTTTCGTGAAAGCCTCATTGGAACCATGAAATAACAGTCACGCCGGGCCATTACGAAATCGCAATTTCGGGGTATCCGTTGTGGGTCTGGCTACAGCTAGGATCCGCTCGGGTGGTCATTCATTGTGTAACAGGTTCCTTGGTTCCAAGGAATTTTGGCGTCAACAGAATACCGCATCCGATAGCATATCCTCCAGACGCGGCGTCCTTAATCATCGCCATTACCTCCGACCAGCCGCTTCTTAAGGTATTTAACGGACTCTTGTTTGTGTCCGGGGCATCACTCATCACAACTTAATCTAGTTGAGACTGACCACCGTGTGGTTTCGCCTTATATAGCAAGCTATCGCATCCGATTTGAGGAATATTTAGCTGAGGTTATAACATTGACACCGAGCTAGTTGACGGATATATGAGGCTTGGTCTCGTTGGTGAGGCTGCAACACGATAGCGGGGCACGAGACCGAGCGGGGCACCGCTGGTACTTTGAACAACACACCTAAGCAACACTGCAAGCCTGCCGGAACGATTTCCTCCTAGCCAGCAGCGGCTGTGTGAGCCCTCTTGAATAGCTGATATGGAGGGCGCAAATAGGCTTCATAATTCCTTTTACGCAAGCTATGGGGAGACAGGCCACATAAATGCTCTTGATATCGCGATTGTTTTGGTAGAAGGCCTCCTAAGGGATACGCCTGCAGACGACCCGGCTCGAGCGGTTCACCTTAGTAACAAATCTGTTTACTATGGCAGTCGTTACAAAAAGCTCGGGAGCCAGGAAGATCTAGAGAAGGCTATAGTTGCCGCTGAACAAGCCGTTGAAACCACTGCTGATGATCACCCTGCCAAAGTGGGAGATCTTATTAACCTCGCGAGCTATTACAATCTAAAATACAATGGATTTGGAAACGATGAGGATCTAGAAAAGGCTATATCTATTGCAGAGCATGCCAATGGTTTCAATTTTGCTGATAGTTCGAACAAAGCGGCATGTCTTAATAATCTCTCAACTTATTATAACTCCAGATTTCAGAAATTTGGAAGAAAGGAAGATTTAGGAAAGGCAGCACTTTTCATTGAACAGGCTACCGCTATCGCTCTCGCTTCTGAGGACAGTCCAGATAAAGCGGCATGTCTCAACAACCTCTCGACTCATTATAGATCCAATTTCGATATGTACGGAGGACTGGAAGATCTTGAAAAGGCTGTAACTATAGCTGAAGAAGCCGTCGCTATGACTCCTGAAGACGACCCGAACTTTGCTGGCCGTCTCAGCAATCTTTCAACCCATTACAGTTCCAGATTTCAAAGATTGGGAAACAAGGAAGATCTTGAAAAGGCTGTAAATGCAGCCGAACAGGCCGTCACCGTCGGTCTTTCAGGGGAGAGCTTGGACTCCATAAGCTGCCTCATTAACCTTTCAACCTGCTACAATTCTCGATTCGAGAGCTTCGGCGCGCAAGAGGACCTCGAAAATGCAATAGCTATCGCTGAGCATGCCGTTGCCGAGCTCGGGGAACCCGCCAGTAGCGGCCCGGGGCAAGCGACTTGTTTTAGCAACCTCTCGAATTACTACGGCTCAAGGCATGACACTCTCGGAGATGAAGAAGATTTAAAAAAAGCTATAGTCGCCGCGGAGAAAGCTGTCGCATGCTTTCCTGTAGGTAGTACGAGCCCTGGCAGAACCGCATGTCTTATCAACCTCTCGACCCATTACAGCTCCAATTTTGACAGGCTTGGGAGACAAGAAGACCTTGAGAAAGCCATAATCACTGCAGAAGAAGCCGTCACTGCTACTACCGAAGACGATTTCAATAGAGCTGTATGTCTTAATAATCTATCTAACATCTTCAACTCTAGATTTAGTATGCTTGGAGACCAAAAAGACCTGGAGAGAGCTATAGCTACTGCAGAGCAAGCTGTCGCCGCTACGTCTGAGGGTGACCTAGAGCTTGCTAGCCGTCTAAATAACCTCTCGAATCGCTATAGCATTAAGTTCGAGAGACTAGGAAACCTCGAGGATTTAGAAAAATCGGTTGCAGCAGCAGAGCGGGCAGTGGCTGCAATCAACGACAACAATCCACAGAGAGCGGTATATCTAAATACTCTTTCAAATCAGTACGACGCTAGATTCGACACGGCTGGAAATTGGGAGGATCTAGAAGAGGCAATAGCTGTCTCTGAGCAGGCCGTCGCCGCCACTGTAGAGAACAGCTTGTACAGAGCTGCTTGTCTTCACAATCTTTCAAACCGTTATAGTTCCAGATTCGGCGGACTAGGAAAACCGGAAGATCTAAATACGGCGATAGCCACCGCAGAACAAGCAGTCAACATCACCTCGGATGACTGCCCAGAAAAACCAGCGTACCTAACCGCTCTATCATGTCACTATGGTTGTAAATTCGATAGATTCGGAAATTTGGAGGATCTTGAAAAAGCTATAGCGGCTGCTGAACAAGCCACGTCCAGCATTTCCAGCGAAAATATCAATACACCTGCATGCCTTAGTACGCTTTCGGAACTGTATATATTTAGGTTTGATATACTGGGCGAGCTAGAAGACTTGCAAAAGGCCATAGATTCCGCGAAAAAGGCTGTCGACGCTACTCCCGAAAGTAGCACAAAAAGACCTGCTTACCTCGGCATACTCTCGATGGCGTATAATTCTAGATTTAACAGACTTGGAAAACAAGAAGATTTAGAAGAAGCGATAGCTGTTGCAGAAAGATCAGTATCGATTACTTCGAAAGCTCACCCTGAATTAGCGAGACGACTTAACGGTCTTTCACTTTGTTATAATTCCAGGTTCAACAGACTAGGAAGGCGAGAAGATCTTGAAATGGCAGTGTCTACGGCTGAGCAAGCTGTCAAAACTACATCTACAGAAAGCTTTAGTTTTCCTAGTCACCTTAATAACCTATCAATCTCTTATAGTTCCAGGTTCGACAGACTCGGAAGGCAGGAAGATTTGGAGAGATCTGTAGTTGTTGCTGAACAAGCTGTGGCCGTCACACCGAATGATAGTCCAGATCTTGCCGATTACCTTAGCAATTTATCGAACCGCTATAGCTCCAAATTCGACAGTCTCAAGAACGAAAAAGATCTTGATAATGCTATAGCTGCAGCAGAACGAGCTGTTTCTTCTACTAATAATCCACTGAAAAAATGCACATACCTGAACAACTTATCAAATCAGTACAGTTCAAAATTTGGTAGACTACGGGATCTGAAGGATTTGGAGAAGGCTATAGCTTTAGCAGAAGAGGGAATCGCTGCTACTCCTAAGAATAACCCGAGCCTTGCCGGCCGTCTTAGCAACCTCTCAGATCATTATACGTCCAGGTTTGACAAGCTTGGAAGACAGGAGGATATGGAGGAGGCTATAACTCGACTCAAGGAGTCCTTCTCGATATCATATGTGTCGCCTTTATCGAGAATACAAAAAGGCAAACGACTCGCCCAATTATATCACTACCAAAAAGACTATGCCAAAGCCGCCGATGTTGCGGCCGACGCGACTTTCCTCTTACCACGGGTCAGTCCAAGATATCTTCCTCGTCGCGATCACGAATACGTCCTCTCGCAAGCCAATGGCCTTTCTGCTCTTGCTTGTTCGCTAGCTTTGCGTGCCGGAAAGTCAGCAGGCACAGCCTTAGATTTGATTGAAGTCGGTCGAGGTGTGATAGCAGGGCTTATAATTGACCATCAAAGCGATGTCGTTACCCTTCGAGAACACGACCCCCATCTCTATGAGCGCTACGAAAGCTTGCGATATCGGCTTTCTGCCGTACCATCCAGTGAGAGTGGTATCTCCTCGGAAAATACATCAAAACGAGATGGGGATCGCCTTTTTCACATAGAAAGGGAGCTTACTAACATCGAGGATGAAATTCGAAGGATACCTGAATTCGCCAGGTTTCAACTACCACCTGACATGGAAGAGCTGAAAGCTCTAGCTAGTGAAGGGCCTCTTGTGGCCTTCAATATCACCGACATAGGCAGCGACGCGTTGATCATCACCAATAAAGGAATAAAAGCTCTCCCTTTAGAAGGGCTTGATCACTTTAAAGCCGAGCGTATGCTTACAACCCTAAACCAGATGTCTAGTCAAAGCCGGGAATCAATGTACGAAAATAATAAGCGCATGAAAGAAATTTTGAAGTGGCTTTGGCTGGGCGCCGTGAAACCAATCCTCGGGGAGTTGGGCTTTTTGAAACGGACTCAGACGGCAGACGGATGCGAAACACTACCTCGCATCTGGTGGGTCACGAATGGAATTATGAGCGGTGCGCCTCTGCACGCCGCTGGAGCATATGATGGCGGTTGCGAGGGCCCTGTGGAGGGCGCCATGGATTTCGTGATATCTTCATACATTTCGACTACCAAAGCATTGAAGTTCGCCAGAGATAAAATTCAGAAGGTTCGGGTCGGAGCGGAGAGACGGGCTCTTTTGATAAGCGCCCACGATGAGAACCTAGATTTCGAAGGCGAGATTCAAGCGATCAAAACAGTTATCGGTCAGCATTATGAGGTCGCCCAACTGAGAGAAAAACCAAGAGGAGAAGTTCTTCGCCACGTCGAACGCTCTAACATCATACATTTTTCTTGTCACGGGGTCTCTGTGGGTTTCGAACCCTCATCAGATCCACCAAAAAGTCCATCCGATAGCTACCTACTTCTCAGGGGCCCGCAAAAAGTCTCGGGCGAAGCACTCGAAGAAAGACTCACCGTAGATGACCTCGCTAGAGTTAGGCACTCCAAAGCTCAGTTAGCATATCTATCAGCCTGTTCCACCGCGAAAATCTCAGCTGAGCGGCTGAGAGATGAAATGATACATATAGCAAACGCATTCCAGTTGGCCGGCTACCCCCATGTCATTGGCACACTGTGGGAGGCGGAGGATAAGCCCGCAGGTATTGTTTCCACAGCATTCTATGAGTACATGCTGGAAGGCGGCCCCGATAACCTAAATTGCAGCGTAGCTAAAGCTCTGCATCAAGCGACGAAGAAACTGACGAGGCAAGGTCGCTATAGAAAACACTATCTAGCGTGGGCTCCATTCATTCATATCGGTGCCTAGAGGTCCTGCGCCGACGTGGGTAAACGTAGTAAAGATATATCGTTTATTATTTCCTCCTTCCCAAATGCTATCTGTCTTGCATCCCTTTCCGCTTAGTTCTTAGTTTATATCTCCTTATCGCAGTCCATGGAAGTGAAATTTAGTATGATTATTATAATATTCCCATATCTTTTCACGAGTCTCAATTTGATACTATCCTGGTTTAGATTTATTTTGGCTGCACGCATGCGTGCGAAGGGCCTATAATATCGAAGTGTGGACCGTGTCTGCAACACAAGACTACTATAATATCAGCCAAAGGCATATTATCGATGAGTTTAGAAACTGAAACATAGTATGTATTGATAAGAATGTATACTAAAATCTCTCCCAACTGTTGCATTCATTATTGAAAAAACAGTTAATGTAAACGAAAAAGAGTAAATTAGTGTAAACGAAAAAGAGTAAAGGAAACAATAAAGCCTCTCTCGGAACTCGTAAAAAGACTTGTGACAGGATGTATTGATAGTAACTAGATGCTGGTCCCACGGAACCTCGAGGTAGAAATCTAAAGGACTTCACTAGGAACGGTTCGAAGATCATAATCTTCGATGTTTGAACTCAAATTCTCATCATCTTCAGATAGAGCAGATGCTAATGTCACGCTAATAGCTCTTTCGGAATCCTTCGGTTCATCAACCGTTCTGATCGTTCTCTTAGGGAGCCACTGGTTTTTTTGTAGCACAGCGGCCTCCAGCTTTCTGATCGAGAACCAAGAAAAGTCCAATCGGTGGTACTGAACTCTATAGATCAGTTCCAAGGTCTGTGTTTGCTCTAAGGACGTTCTGTCCCTGAGCGGAATGCCGACCGTTTCGAGCCCGACTATCATGTAAATTTCGGGTTCGGTATCGAACGCGTCCTCCAACCATTCTCTTGTACGTTTGTTGCCGCAGATTTGTTCTAACACGATCGCCGGGTTTTTAAGTCGGTATCTTCGATGATATAGCTTGTCTATGCTGTCTTGGGGTCGCGATAAAGATTTATGCTTCCCGCGAATGGAATTCAATATAGGCAGTAAGTCCCTGGGGTTATCGTATGACCTGACCGTGGTATTATATTCGTTAATGTTTGCCGTTAAAGATCTGCTGTCATAGAAATCATCCGCGGGGTTTTCGATGTCGACCACAAAGCTGCCTAGCGGAAGCGACTCTCGTAGGACGAGCGTTGATAAGTTTATCAATTTCATGCTCATAGTGGGAGTTCGGTGGTATAAACTTTAATGGAGTTCGAAAGATTCAGGTATCTTTTATTTCGTGGGGCGATTTGATTTTAATCAACTATGGTGATCGAAGCGTGAATAAAGTTCAGAAGCCCAAGTGACCCGAAAAGGCTGTGCCTCATGTCAGCCGCTTCAAAGGATATGAGATGCACCGCCCTTGTTCTCTGTGGATAAAAAGGAACCACCCCATATGATAACTTCAGTCTAAAATCCGCCAGTTCTTAAAAATGAATTTAAAATATTATTTTAGCTACCTAGGCATCTAAACTAAATCTCAATAAACCGATGACCGCCACAGACAATTTTTTGGAGCCGGCCGAACAAACTGGAACGTTATATATACATACATATTGCGATGGGCATTGATGAATTTTGCGTATCTTGGCTCAAAGAAGGCTGGCAGGTGATTTCGTCCAATCATGAGGGATATTCTGTTACACCATTTAGCCCAACAAAACCCCGCACCACGCACGGTCGGTGTTGCGCGGATCCTTGCTGACCCTCAATACAACCAATTGCAAGACCTCCCTTTAACTATCTTGGATCCCTCTCGTTCTTAGATATTCGACACCAACGTACCTAGTAGGCGCCATCATGCTGGGCTGGCCGAAGTCTTCTCGCACAGTCGCTACGCTTCTTAGAATTATAGTTCTTGGTACGGATACATTATTTTTTAGATTCGAAGTTGCTGACTAAAACTTGTACTAGTCAGCTTTAGCGCGGCTATCGAATTTAGAGACGTAGACTACGCTGTTGGGTGGATATGCGCACTTCCGATCGAGCTAGCTGCCGCGCTAGCAGTTCTGGACGAAGAACACCCGAAACTCCAGGCCTCTCGATTTGATAACAATATCTACCATGCTGGCCGGATAGGGGAACATAATGTGATCATCGCGTCCAGCGGTGCTGGTACTGTCAACGCAGCGACCGTAGCGAATCAAATGCGCATGAGTTTCCATCATCTGAGATTCGGCCTCATGGTAGGCATCGGGGGCGGGATACCGAGCAGTTCTAAAGATATTCGGCTTGGCGATGTTGCTGTTAGTTGGCCCTCCCACCAATACGGGGGTGTTGATCAGTACGATTTTGGCGACGCAGTGCAAGGGGGAAAGATCATCCGCAAAAGTCACCTCAACCGACCGCCACCCATACTTATGAGTGCTCTAAGAAGTTTAGACTCAGTTCACCCAAAAAAACGGGGGGCAAGAGTTTTAGATACGATTAAAAAGGTTCAGGAAATTGATGACAGGTTCTGCTATCCGGGCGCGGATGCTGACCGTCTGTTCTTGGCCGAGTACTACCATATCAAGGGACAAGGGTCCCAGGTCAGCGTCTGTGAAACATGCAATGAATGCCCTCGTTGCACCGCTTGCGACACTCGGAAGGAGATTAAACGCAAGAGTAGGAAATTTGACCACCCGTACCTCCACTTCGGGACCATAGCATCCGGGAACCAGATCATGAAGGATGCTATCACCAGGGATGAGATCGGAAAGGTCAGCGGTGCTATTTGTTTTGAAATGGAAGCGGCTGGCCTAATGAACGATTTCCCCTGCGCTGTAATTAGGGGAATAGCGGACTACGCGGACAGTCACAAAAATAAGGATTGGCAACCTTATGCGGCATTGACAGCCGCAGCATATGCAAAGGAGCTCCTGATTCAAATACCACCAGGTATGACCTTACATAAGGAGGAGCTTTAAGCTAAGACGCTGATGCAGTATGTGTGATTGTTTCCGGCGTCATTTTTAAGTGGTCACACGTAAGTTGTTTTGATGATTCAAGGCTAGATCGTTTCAATTAAAAGTAGAAGACGTTGCAGTTAACATAATTTATGTATGCATAGAACAACAGAAAGCTCCAGGAATCAATTTCAATGTGCCATTAACTCCATCCATTCCCAAGAATGTTGACTTCAAAGGTAGAGAAACCATACTATCAGCAATGCAAAAACACCTGTCGGAGGAGAGATCTTTTAAGACTGCGCGATGGTTAGCGCTTGTAGGTCCTGGCGGGATAGGGAAAACCCAAATCGCAATAGAGTATATTCATCGAACGCAAACGATTTATAGTGCAATTTTTTGGATATCGGCTGTGGATGAGAATTCAATCCATAACAGTTTCGTTGACATAATGACCCAGATTGTTGAGAACCAGGCCGCCATAATGTGGCCGGATTCTGACCCCGACTATCGAAAGCTTGGGAGAAGGCTTGGAATACAGGCAGTGATCGATGAAGAGGGGACCATAGACGATAGACCAATTCATGCCAAGAAGATTCGCACTGCTTTTTTTAACTGGCTGAGGCTGCCTGGGAATGACAAATGGCTCTTAATCTACGATAACGCCGACGACCTTGAAAGTTTCAAGCTGAAGGATTTCTTTCCGAAGCCAGGCGGAGGTACCATTATTATTTCGAGCCGCAGGCCTGAATTCAAACGTGCGCCATATAAGCAGATCGAGGTAGGCGGCTTGGATGAACAAGATGCAATTGGTTTACTAGCTAGCTACGCTAGTCTGGAAAGCCGAGGTAAGGCAAATAAACTAGTCTCACGGCGTTGAATCGATAAGCTGATAAGACTTAAACAACCTAGATAACGATGCTATATTACACACTCTTGTAGAATTACTGGGCTATATGCCGCTAGCGATTACTTTAGCAGGCAGCTTTATCGGTCAAACAAGAGTCAGTGTAAGCGAGTATATCGGCTACTATCGAAGGAACTTCACGGCTGCACAGTCGGTCAAACCGAGATTTAACTGGGACTATCGCGAGGATACTATCGCAAATACGTGGGAAATATCATTCGCTGCGATACGAGACCAAGACGAGCGCGCCGCATTTTTGTTACTTACTCTCTCCTATTTGAATCCGAAAGAAGTCGCCTATTCCTTGTGGCGCAGCGACAACTCAAACACCGAGTCTGAGTTACAAGGTACGAATCACGTTCTTCATATACTATTCTACTAGATGATTACAACGGATTTTAACTTTTGAGCGATCTAGTCAAACTTCCAATATCGTTGCTCGCTTCTTACTCCATGGTGAAAATCATCAACTCTGAAACTTTTACGATTCACCCAGTAATCCATTCGTGGGCAAGGGAGCGCCCGAGTGAAGAGGAAAGATTTGACATTATAAGGGAAGCTCTGACGATAGTGAACAAAGCTATTAAAGGGGGAAGCGTCGCGCGCGAAGGCTCTAAATGGGACGGTAAAGAAGAGGCGCGAGTTTTCTCCCACGTGGAACATCTAAGACTACACCTTCAGCCTATAATTTCAGGTTTTCTACAACACGAGGAGAAAAAACGCGGAGGCGACTTCCTAGATTTAGTCGACATAATCCACGAACTCGGCGAATTTACTGACAGACGCGGAAAACACCAGGAAGCGCTGTATTGGTACGACCACGCACTTGCCCTAAAAAAAAAGTTCTTAGGCGAAGACGATCTCGGGACACTCCACACCATTCATAGTATAGGGTGTGTTTTTTTCAGTATGGGCAAGTATGATACCGCGCTAGAGAACTACCGACACGCACTTTTGGGTTATCAAGCAGTGTTAGGAAAATACAACCCGTTCACTCTGAATGTCACGCAACATATAGCGGCAGTTTATGAGAGTCAGGGTAGCTATTCTAAGGCTCTAGATCTAAACCAACTGGTATTGGCAGGCTTCGAAGCGGCGTTTGGTTCAAATAGTGTTCCTACGATGAAAATAGTTAACAATATGGCGGTCGTCTTCGACAGTCTTGGTGAATACGATGAAGCTATTCAACGATATCGAAAAGTCTTAGTCGTCTACACAGCGAAGCTAGGCGACAACAATCCAAACACCCTTGGCGTATGGCACAACATAGGGGTTACTCTGCATAAAATGGGGCAGCCTGAAGAAGCACTGGAACATCTTAATCACGCTCTAGGTGGCTACGAAGCATTTTTTGGGGACGATAGTCAATACACTCTAGACACGGTCAATTGCATAGCTTCTGTTTTTCAAAGACAGGGGTCTTATAACGAATCTCTGAGATACTACCATCGAGCATTGGAAGGCTATACTAGAATTTTGAATGACGCTCACCCTTCCATATACAAGACACTCGGCAATATGGCTGCAACTTACGATGAATTGGAGGATTACGAAACAGCCATGGAGCTCTATCAAAAAGCTGTAACTGGATGGAAAGAACACTTGGGAGATTATGATCCATCGATACTCGACATAATTCATGCAATGGCAGGAACACTATATAAGCAAGGCGATTATATTCGCGCTCTAGAACTTTTTGAAGAGGCGTACTTTGGTAGAAACAAGACACTGGGAACTTTTCATTCGTCAACCATTGATTCTGCGCACGGGGTAAAATTAGTCACCTCGCGCTTAAATAACAAGTATGGAGTGTATTTTGAATCATACATGGAGAGCGATGGGTCTGGTATTTAGTTGAACACAGCGGTCGGCTCAACTTTGAAAAAGTTGAATTGGATTCTTATAGTTTAATTTCCCTTCAAATACTCTCAATAGCGTTAAATAAGAGTGTAGGATTATGACTGAATTAATTGCGTAAAACGCCAATCGTCCGAAGTTTCCAAATTTATATCTGTTATACTTTTCCATTGTCTCAAGCCAGTGTTTTATGGTCAACGAGTCTGGCGATGAGGCAAAGTGTTTCCTAGGTCCCCTTAAGTACGGTTTCCCGTAACGGTTTAGCACTCTGCTACTAAAATAGCGCTGTGAATTAATATTCTAAGCAGCGAGTGTTCTAAGATACACTTTGAAACTGCCATTTTTAACAGAATTATGGTGCCTAGTGGAATGAAACTCAAGTAGCTCTGAACAACAAGTTAAAAGATCACTAAGAGGAGCTAATAAATATCTTAAAATTAGCACGAAATTTAACTGGGCAAAAAAAGAATGAGAAAAACTCAGGCTTCAGACGGGGAATCGAACCCTAGCCCCCCTGCAGCGGAGAAACCACGTGACAGACGGAAATCTTGACAAAGTTCCCGTATGTCAGTTAAGCAGTCGAATTTGGCTCAGACATCTTGCTGACGATTAGAGTTAGATTCTTTTTCCGAGATAAATCTTTTTTGTCTTTGTTAGCTACTTTGCCCTTCGGTTTCTCGTCCGAAACTTCACTTTATCTGTTCTTATTGCCATTTTGGCTTCACTCTCGAGATCTGTCTGATATGGCTTTCAATTAACAATCACAAACCAATTCGATTAGTTGCTAAGTTAAGTTAACATCTACGCACAATTGACCGGTTCAGTTATCCCCTTTCGTGAACGAAAGAGTACCCAGATCTATAACTACATGCATACAGTATATTAATCTGCCGGCCGTCTTGTAGCAGCTAACCTGGAATGGGATTGGCTAAGTCACTCAGGGTAGCGAAGATGGAAGCAACAGCCATCGATATTAATCATTTACAATATGAATATAGCGAAAATATAATTAATATTATCCGTGGTGTTCTAGCATCCTAATGAATTAATGGTGCATGCAGAGGAAAGTTCCGCCCCCGATTTCTTCCGCGGTGCACCTCGAATTATTGGGAGCGTCAACGCCGTTACTTTCGTTTAATCTCAGTGACTGATAAAGATCTTCCGCACCTCGTAAATTTACAGGCTGGTAGTCTGGTCGAACGCCGGGGCCCATTATTACCACGTATGCCTAAAAGGAATTTGTCAATAGGGCTTGCCAGATAGACTTTCAGAAAATCCTAAATATTAAATTCGAGGCTACAGAAAATCATCCTATTATGAAAACAAGATGCATACCCTAAGCCACCAATATTCAAAAAAGAGTTAAAGAGGACTCTGGATATCCCTATCCGAATATGAGCACAGAATCAGACGCCATTTTGCCCATTGCTTTTGATGGTAACCACCACAAAGGCTCGGAGCATAGACCAGCCTGGGTGCTGGCCAGTCTTTCGTTCATAATCTCCTGTAGAGCTCGAGTCCTTCCCGAAGAAAACTTTAATATAAATTCAGAGATTTCAGTCAGAAGTTTTTTATCATAACCATCTCAACAATCATCCACTTCATAAATCAATTCTGTTCAAAGATCACATTGATTTGGCTCAAGATGTATGTTCCATTTCTGAAGGCACTCTTATTGGCATACGTCACATGTGATGTTACCGCCTCTGCAGTCCCCGCCGACAATGTAGAGCTCCAAGAGCGTGCTTGCTGTAAGTATTCACATAATCCCCATACTGTGGTGACATTAAGTGCTAGGGTTCATCTCGAGACACCCAAACGGTCACCAGCTACCGCACTAAATGGGCATCCCGCACTACAGTCGGCAGTCCAATGACAGTCATCTCAACTGCGACCACCGCCACAGCAAGTTTGTTGACGAATTTAATAATCATAATAAAATACTTAGTAGTTTTGGAAAAGATCATCTAATTTATATTACTTATTCCCTCTTTATATTTAAAATTTAAGTTGAAATCGTTAACATAAATTTGCAGTAGAGTTCGGAACATGTTCTTCGGGAATAAAGCTATCCTTGAGGATAGCGGACAAATCCGCATCGCCTGTGGTAAATCCAGAGTTCCCATTTATAAGAGTGGCGTCACCGCCGGTAGGCGACTCCGCAGCCAAACTAGGGGAAGGACATGGTTGATGATATCGCGGAAGAGACGGGAAAGTTTATAGATGATATCGCTAAGACTATATCCGAGCTCTGGCCTCTCCTTAAGTGAAACTCCGCCATGTCCTTAAGTACTGGCTTGCTATGGATTATCCAAACCCAGATCGCACCTCTCCCATTATATCTTATATCGAAAAGTACTAAGTCTATAATCTCCCAAGTCCCCTTGTCCATGTTTTGTCAAGCTGCAGTCCGCAAAGCAGACTAGACCGATTTTCGTCAGTATCCTATACAAATCGTAGAATGTGCTTGTTAAGTCTAAAAACGTCAATGAACCTTATTTTCGGGGGGGTTAATCTCAAACTAGAAAACCTTACTACTCCTTGATATAATTTGCACAGCACTGTATACGTACCATAAGAATTATGCCAATGCCATACTCTATTGAAATGGAGCTACACCACTCCCCCACCTCTCGTCGAATATTTATTCGGTCAATTGCAACGTCAATGCAATGCGGCTGAAAAAACCCCCTCCGGATAAATTGAACTGTCCATGCTCGGATATATGAAAAAATTTGCAAACCAACAAAACTCTTTTTTAATATCCTGGGATGGTTCATGAACTTCAAAATTTAACAGCCTCGCCCCGACCATATGCTGAGCCGAAGCAGGCGCAGTAGAAAATTAGGTTGCAGCACAGGGAATACCGCAGGCGAACTGGGAGACATATATACATTCATGTTCTGTGATCCTCCAGGATTTTCGTATGAAAAAAAATCCATGATATTCGTCGTCCGGACGCTTCTTCCAGCTTGTATTGACGTTAGGTCCTGATCCTTGGAGATGTTCATGTAGGATCTGTACTGACAACACATCATACGTCCTGCATGTATCCAGTCCGCGCGAGTTGCTCCATCTATGCATATTGGCGGCCGATGATTCGTACGATAAACGATTGAAGGGAGATGAGGGGGAAATTACGTGGCGTTGCGGCTGGGACATGTTGGTTTCTGAGGATGAGAAGGCTTTAATTTTTTAAAGGATTTTAATTTACCATCTCCGGAACAGATTTATCTACCCATCTTTCTGCACATTATACTCAGAATATAACCTTCCTTTAAATCAATATCTTGGTTTTTTTTTTTTGCGGAGAGATAATTTTTCCGATTCCCTAGGCGTTTTCGGCGAAGGGTTTATGGGAACGTTGTTTGAACCCCCGTAGCAATCTATCAAATCCAACAATTAGGACTAGGATTCCGGACTACCCTAGGCCCCAGGAGCGATCTCAACCACCATGGATATCGGTGCAGACGGGGAAATGGTCATAGACCCCAAACCACGGGAGGAATATACCATAGGATGGGTATGCGCCCTACCCAAAGAACAAATAGCAGCAGTACCAATGCTAGACGAACGTCACCGGAATATAACCTCTAAATCACCGAACGATGAAAACGTATACACACTCGGTTCGATTGGTCCGCACAACGTGGTCATAACCTGTCTACCTCTAAAATGCTACGGCACCTGCCAAACGTCCAGGGCCGTCTCTTAAATGCGTAGTACATTTCCATCGATTAAAATCACTTTCATCGTTGGGATTGGAGCTGGTATTCTGAGTAAGGTAAAATTGGGAGATGTGGTTGTTAGTACCAAATGGGCAAAGTGGGACTTTAAAAAAACAAACGGAGATGGTGTATTTGAGCATATTGGGAGAAAAAGTCGTCCGCCCAATGGATTACTTTCGATTATGTTGAAGATTCAGACGGAGCATAGCTTGCGTGGTGAAACCTAGATACCGGAATATATAAGAAACCTGGGGGAGAACTATCCATATTTAGCGCCGAAATATGTGTCAATTGGGGATCCTGAAGAAATCAAAATATATTATGGTATGATTGCATCAGGATGCCAAATAATAAAAGATGCAAAACTACGCAATAGCATAAACTAGTAGTTTGGGGGGCAGGTCTTATACCTCAAAATAGAAGCCGCCAGTTTGGTAGGGTTCCCAGCTATAGTTATACGGGGTATTTGCGATTACGGCGACTCAAATAAGAATGACGATTGGCAAGAGTATGCTGCTGCCGCGGCTGCTGCTTGTGCTAAAGAGTTCATAAATCGCATTGAACCAGCTGTTGCAGCGGAGGTCAGCATTATGAAGGAAGATTTCGATAGAGGTGGGTACCCCGTCTATACTATACTCTCAAGCCCAGCCTCGCTGCGTCAGCATCGGAGCCTAGTTGGGCTTAGGTGCCAATTAATGAGGATTAAACCTGTTAACCTATAATAAATAGTTATCGGCGAGATTGCTATACTCCGAGGCAACTTATCTGGAGATGAAGAACGTAAAGTGCTAGATTGGATAACTTCAATCGATGACAGCACTCAACATAACGACTTCCTTAACCGAAGGCAACCAGGAACCGGTGAATGGATACTAAATTCCGAGGCCTATCAGAATTGGCTAAACACACCCAAGGAAATATTATATTGTCCCGGCATTCCGGGAGCAGGAAAAACAATTCTGACATCTGTTGTTATAGACAACCTGATAGACCGGTATTCACATAATCCTGAAGTTGGAATCACATATATTTACCTTAATTTCAAGGGTAGCGCACAATTACGCATAGATGATATACTATCAAATATTCTCAAACAACTTGTACGCACACAAGCCTCGCTACCACGATGCATAAAGGAACTTTATGACCGTTATAAGGGCAGCCAACCACCTCAATCAAATATTATAAAATCCATCTACACTATTTCCGCAAAGTATTCCAGGGTTTTCATTGCTGTCGATGCACTTGATGAATACCAAGATCGCTCGGAATTTCTCGAGAAACTATTCGAAATACACGACCATCAAAATTTGAATATCTTCGCCACTTCACGTCCGATTCCGGAGATCCGGCAGAAATTTAAGAGAAGGGAGACCTACAAAGAATGCGAAATACGGGCATCTGACGAAGATGTTAAGCAGTACTTGGAAGGAAAAATTCTACAGCTTGGGACCAACGTCGTAAAAGCTAATAAAGAGGCTATTAAACATAAGATATCAAATCTTGCCCAAGGGATGTATGTTTTCAAAACCCAGAGAGCTAATTTTGAACTTCTTTTTATGTGTTTACGGTCAGTTTCGACACTAAACTAGCTTAGCCCAGCTAAGCTGGTTTGCGGTATACTGGTAATATTGACTAAGAAAGCACAACTCAGGTTTCTCCTAGCACATCTCCAATTCGAAGCCATCAAAACCGCACCAACACTTAAAGCCGTAAAGAAAATACTAAGTGGCTTTAGCAATGGTGGAGGGACCTCAAATAGCGCATACGATAGCACATACCGGGCCATCATGGAGAAGATTCAGGGAAATAGCAACAAAGAATTAGTGGATATGGCCTTTAAAGTGTTAATGTGGGTGACTTGTGCGTCGAGGCGTCTTAACAAAGTGGAACTTCAGCATGTTATTGCAGCTGAACCTGAAGGGCTCGCTTCATTTGATAGGGATAATATTTCTGATATCGATGATCTTATTTCATTTTGTCTTGGCTTTGTTATAATTGATGAAAAAAGTAATATCGTCAGATTAATCCATTACACCGTGCAGGAATATTTAGAACGGGAAAAAGAATTGTGGTTTTCACATCCGCATAGCTCCATTGCGAAAGTATGCACTATCTATTTATCATATGACGTTTTCAAATCGGGGCCATGCAAGAGCGCAAAAGACTTCACAAAGAGACTAGGATTAAACCCTCTATACAGGTATGCTGCGGATAACCTCGGATACCATGCCCGAGAGTCTTCATGCGAGGAAGAGAGTTACTGCCTGGAGCCCGGAGCGGACCGCTGCACACTACAAATCGGAGTTACACAACATATATCAAACTTTTTGCTCGATGATGATTTGCGGCTAGCTTGCCTTCAAGCTTTACTTCGATACGAGGATCCGAGCTACGTTTGGTGTCAAAAGCGGGCTGATATAGACCAAATGCAAGCGCTCCACGTTGCGGCGTACCTCGGGTTGGCTCGGGCAGCGGAACTGCTCTTGGCGAGGGGCGGGGTGGATCTGGAGGCCAAAGAGAACGAAGGCAGAACACCGCTGTCGTTGGCAGCAAAAAGCGGGCAAAACGATGTTGTTAAAGTGTTGATCAAAAATGGGGCGAATCTAGAAGCAAAGGATAACGAGTATCTTCGCACACCATTATATTTTGCGGTATTAAACAACAGAGAAGAAACTAGTAAGCTGCTGGTAGGATATGGGGCGGATTTAGCAGCTAGATGTTCTCGGTATAGTACGCCGTTGGAGGCAGCGGTAGATAAGAGATATCGAGGCATAGTTCGGTTTCTGGTCGATAGGATGGTACAAATGGAGATTAAAAGGGTTACGCGCGACGTTGTGCTCGCCTCGGCACTGTACGGATATGAAGATGTTTTAAAATCAATGTTGAAGAGAGGATGCGTTGCATGGCCGCCACGAGGGCATTGTCGAGCTGCTAGTGAATATTGGCGTAGACCCTAACAAAAAGGGGACGACCAATGGAAGCTGGGAATCTAGACCTCTGATTTTCGCAATAGAAAATGGGTTGGAAAGTGTTGTCCGGCTGCTCGTTGATAAGGCGGACCTGGAAGCTGAAGCCGATTGCGGCCGCGGGACACCGACCTCGTACAGGATACGGGTCTCGTACAGGACACCGCTTTCGGTCTCAGTGGAGAAGAGGCGCCGAGACCTTGTTGAGCTACTGTTGGAGAAAGTAGTACGTGTGACAGCCCCTGCTTTATCGGCAGCATTTAAGAATAAGGATGAGGATATGGTCAATATGCTGTTGGAGAGGAAGCAGGATCCGGAAGGGGCGGGCTCTCAGGGCAACACACTGCTATGCGTCGCAGCACAATATGGACACGAAGCTGCAATTAGGTTGCTGATAAGCGAGGGAGCGAACATAAAAGCCGAGAACGAATATCATCAAACGCCATTGTCAGTTGCCGTGGAACATGTCTCTGAGGTTGCGGTGAGACTGCTGGTTGAAGCGAATATAAAGATTGGACGGGACAAGAGCGAGGTTGTCTAGGAAGTGTTGTTTAAACTGATGAATCGAGAATTTGAAGCGGATCCGGAAGATATCATCGACTATCTGATCGAAATGGGGGCGGATTTGGAGGGGAAGAGTGGCCAAGAAGCGTTATCGATCGCAACAAAAAGCTATGACGTAGAGATGGTGGAGTGTTTGTTGAAGAAGGGAGCACGCCCGACAGCCGGCTTGCTACCGTGGGCAGTATTATATGAATACGAAGGCGTTGTCAGGCTGTTGATAGACAAGGGAGCGGACCTGGACGACACCGACAACTGCCACAGAACGGGACTTTTCATTGCGGCATTAGAAGGGTATTTAAGCATTGTTAAGACTCTAGTTGAGGCGGGTGCAGACTTGGAGGCCAGCAACAACCACGGTTACACACCTCTAGCGATTTCCGCACAAGGTCACCACGATGTTGTCGAATTTTTGTTGGAACGGGGAGTTCATATAGAAACCAAAAACAAATGCGGAGAAACTCCACTATTCATCGCAGCGCGGGAGGGCGAAGATGGGATTGTCGACCTATTGATACAAAACGGGGCCAATCTGGAGGCTTTGGACAATGGCCACAAAACACCACTATCAATCGCGGCGGAAAACGGACACGAAAGTACAGTTAGACTGTTAGTGGACAAGGGAGCAAATTGGGAAACCCAAGACAAGAACGGGAAAACACCATCGGAACTCGCAACGGGCAAGGGACACACAGCCATTGTCCAATTTTTGACAGAGAGGGTTTATCTAAGACAAATCGGGCGCGGTCCTAGTTAAAGTTGGTGGAGTTGGCGTGTATACTCTTCGCCGGCCCAATCATAATTACATTATCTTGCAAATGAAATGCTGCTGTGAAGCAGGTGAATATTGGGCGAATTGATGGCGGCTAACTCGTACGGACAGGCCGCTTTAAGCGGAACCCAATCTGAAAGTTGTTCATTTCAGGTCGAAAACCACGAACACTTTAGTAAGTGGGTGCACAGTAAGACTTGGTGTAAATGCATGTAAATGGCTATTTTACCCCTACTCGAAGCCTAAGATTTAAATACAGCCTTCTTCAATTTAAATCTGTGCATAGAGGCGATGATACGTTAAGTATTAAAACATTGTACAATAGCTCGTTAATTATTAATTATCAGCAAACTTATGCTGTCCTTCGCTGCCAATTAAGGTATTGGCAGATCCCTAGAGTCTTTGATCGCTTATACCTTTACCCCCCCTATATTTCATGTTGATCGCCCTATCATTTTGGGGTTCCTCGAAAGCTCATACAACCCACGAGCCACATACCTTAATCATCGCAATATGGTAGAACACCAAAAGTATCACCCGATTCTTACCAGAAAGAAAAGCTTCGGCTACACATCTTTGACAACCGCAATACAGCAATACAATCAAAGTAATATCAAATTGTTAGCACACGAAAAATTGTATCTAGAAGCCCAGGGCGAATATGGCCAAACATCTTTATCAGTTGCAGCAAAATATGAGCATGAAGAAATTGCCAAGCTACTAATATAAAAAGGACCAATCTTGAAAACAAAAGACGATTGCCATCAAACGCCATTATCGATAGCAGCCGAAGATAAGCACACGGATGTTGTTAGGCTCTTAGTAGATAAAGGAGCAGACTGGAGCACGACAGACGAAAACGGTGATACGTCACTATCTTTTGCGCAACGAGGGGAACATGAAGCTATTTTCGTAGTTTCAACTGAGATAATTTGTCTAAAGCAACCTGAAACCCCATTCAAAGCGGGACGCTAAAAGTATGTTCTCTTGACCAGATGTCTAATATATAGCTGTAAGTACCCAGAAATTACCTTTTGCTCTCGCACCACCTGCACTAAGACCTCAGTACATTTCCCACCGCAGCCGCAAGAGATACATACTAGATAACCATAGCATATATATGCAACTTAGGACTTTATATTATTGCATATACACATTATACCGGTGCTCAACCTCCAAGACTATGAATCCGGCATCCTTTTGTTGAACCCCACCATTAATGAGCCATACAGCGGAGCAATGACGCATTCCGCTTGGATAATCAATGGAGGAGACTATTTCTCACTCAAAGTTTTATAATGATAGTTATTGACGCCTTGTGACAGCGTCTATTAACATTCTGGAGGTTATTAAAATCTTACCATAGTTGGCCGCCGATACATCTGCATATCCCGAAAAACTTCTAGCCCCCAATTTTCTCCACCCTTAAACTTCGTGCTAGGCTCCTAGCACCTCGGAGTTCCTTGTAGGCTCGTACGACCCATTGGTCATGTGCCACGGTCTCGAGACCCTCTTCTTTCGTTTCAAAATCCACACACAATCCTCGAAGTCCACCACGAATGGCATCCCACAACGCACTGTTCAGGATTAGTTGGATAGGTTATATCCAGCGCAACGCTAGACCTCGGAGAGTATCCTTGAGCACTACTCACAATATATCCGTACAATCAAAGTCGGAGTATCCGTCCCACAGCGATGGCCAATCCAGTCCTGCTCCCATACAGGGGTATTTTACAGGGACCGTACCCCCAGGAACATTTCACTTGGAACCTGACGCGCAGGCTACGTTCCTCATTTTGTGTAAGGCTCCAGATTCCGCATCATAGCTAGATAAAAATGGTTTCCTTAGCGTGGGTTTCAGTGAACCCGGGAACAAGCGTATTCCTGTGCTACTAAAGAATAAATTTCTCTCGGAGGGAACAACTTGATAAACGACGGACTAGTATTATAATCATTTGTGATAAACTTCTCTTCGAGAAAGGTATCGTGTGGGCAGCGGAAGTGTAACCATACCTATATAGTGCTAGAGTCGTATAAGAGGATAAAAACCCGGGGGTAGATAGGCGAATGGGCAGATAGGTAAGTAATTAAGTATGTAGGTAGCTAGTAAGGAATGTACGGGTTTTTTCTGATAGTCGGAACAAGGTATTCGATCTGGGAGCCGTAGCTCTACAGGCGCGATGAAGTTGGAGGACCTCACCCCCCCACTATTTGCCTCCATGCTTAGGGTGGTTGCTGAGACCGAAATACTACCGGAAACTATTGGCAGTAATCGCTATGAGAGCTCAGTACTAGTACGTCCCCACATCGTTCATTCCATCTGAGATATTAGGTCAATCAGGGGGTATAATAACAGAAGACGGCTTGCTTACACCATACATTATATACAACAGCAGCAGGAAAAGCAATAGGTACATCCCTTTAAAACGACAGAAATTTATATGATAAAAAATTAACATTACAAGGGAATTATTATCCCATTAAAAGGAGGAACTTGAGTTCCATCAAATTTTGTTTACTAACAAGCTGGTCAACAAAATATTTTGTCATAATTTTAAAGGCTAGGTGATTATTTTGGCGGGGAGGATTGGGCATGGAGAGAAGGTCATACCTTAACCTGCATGGTATCGATATATAGCCGCGGGCCATTTTGGAAGCAATCATCTTCAGCTCCTACTTTCGAAGGTTAGGTGGTCTAACTGCGGTAATTAAGCTACTCATCTCAATATATTAATACTTACGGTGGGTAGTCGCGGGCCTAAAAAGACGTCTAGCCGTGATCGATAAATTTCGCGAAAATGAGGCTGGTGCCGAAGGTAGAGGAACCAATGACCTCTCGAAATGCAAAAAACCTAGTCGGTTCGATCGAAGGCTAACATTTTTGCGTGGCCCTGTTTCATCTATTTTAGCTAGCAACGACATCGACGGGTGTTGATTTCGTCGTTGTATGCTTTTCTTCGCTCTAGTCATTAAATTAGGCTCCTCCCCGACCTTTTATTCTCGGATTACGCCTCAATAACCGACAGTACGACTATAAAATCTCGTTGCTTCGTGAGTTGTGCCGAGATGTCCTCCCTATAGGCCCAAGGCCCGCCAGGACGTTTCCAGATGGACGAGATTCTATTAGTTCCTCGAATTCTCTGTACCTCTGGTATCTGTACATGCATGGAAACGAGATTTCCCAATTTGAGGGAGTTCTAGCTTCGCAGAATTTACTTCTCAGAATACCGTTTCTGGCTCCACGGTGGCAAAAGTAGTCAACTAACTTATGTGCTTTGGTATACTATTAGAAAGTTTTCCGAGGACGACACCAACTTGGCCAGGTTTTTCAGAATCCTTGACGGCATTGATCTAATAGAACGGGGTTGTGTATGTAGTACCTTTCTGTGAGGCCTTCATGTACGCTAGACTTGTGAATTTTTGACTGTGACACCCAAAGACTTTTTTGCGTAGGGCTGGGTACGAGACAATAATTTTGGATTAATCGAAAATTTTTATTTAATCGTTGATTGCACGCAATTAAATATGAAACAAAAAACTGTAATATTTCATCAAATTCATATTTAAACAATCACCAAAAAAGAATATTTAACTATATTCAAACCTAAAATAAAAGTCGTAAAACCATAGAAATCATTTGTTAATATTTCGAACAAAATTAAAAGAAATACACTACTGATTATTTAATGAATACTACATTTTCTCAACATCTTATAATTTCAAATTTCCTTGCCGAAATGATTGGGGTGTGGTGTTCGAACAGGATGTTATGCGGACCCAAAATTGAGGTGTGCGTTTCTTGCCGACTTTCGAAACTGCTAACTACTCATCGGTGCCGTAAACTTGTTGTTGTTCGAGGTGCTTTTGAGCCGTCTTTGCACAGACGTTAGGTCCAGCCAGGATTATATTATGTTGGTGATGTGTTCAATTGATCAGAACAAAGCTAGCTTTAATTTTCTTATACGTGATCATATGTGTTTAAATCCATTTTTGGGGCAAAAACGTAAGTTTCAGGAATTCAACTCTTGTTCGGAACTTTTCTTTCTAGAAAGCTTGTGAATTAAAGTATGATATTTTGGAATCCCAACACTACTTGATCTAGGAGAGCGTCTTCTGATCTATGTCCTCTTAGGTGATCTGACTTGTATATAAGATCGGATGCGACGAACATTGACCTTGGCGTCAAACAGTGCATGAACTTGCATGAGACGGGTCAGTGCGTTCCAAACCGCTCCATCTTTAGCCTCAAACTAACAAACAATTACTTAATTGTGGCACCATATTTGGAAAGCCAAGGGCGCTAGCCCGGGGTGTTTGCGTTTTCTTTTTTTAGTTCCCATACCAATAGGTTGTGTCGTACAAAGCGCTTATTGCTCTACTCGACTTTCCGCCAACCCCCTTATTTATGCAGCTATGCATGAATTTGGTCTGGAATCGGCTGTTTCGTCCCTTGTTGACTCACCATCAGGATCCAGTGCGATATTTATTTTCTAATGCGGCTACAGTGGTCGCATCCAAATGATCTCTGTAATATATATCCGTCGACAAACGCTTTGAAATCCTCGTCTGTGGGTTACTAATTAACATAACATAAAACTAATCCGGCGCCACCAACCCAGTCGCACCGCCTTTCGTCCCTCCATCTTTAACTTCTTTACCGGCTTCTAACTCTCCTACGCCTGGTTCCCAGTTGTAATACCTACGCTTTAGGTTTGCAACGGAACCCGGGAGCTGCTGCTAAAATGAATTCGATTGTTCGAGTTGAACCCAACTCTGTGGAAACGTTGAGTGACCTTCCACTAGAGACCAAGGTTGCCGACGTTAAAGTCACGAGTAATATCGATGTACCCACCGACATGGCTCCTATACCTCTTCAACGATTCTACTTGCGAGCATTACTTCTCATGTTTGCTCCAATATTCGTTACGGTGTTCTACCTTATTATATGGCGTTTCTACATGGTACCTGCTGATGCTGACGTAAAATTCAGCACCGCTGACCACCACATTTGGTTCTATTACGCTTGGTTTGTAGTTGGTGTCTTTGGCTTGAATTGGTCAAGGGATGGCCTTGTTGGCGTTGAGGTTGCGATGCTCCAGACAAAGCTTTGGCAGGCTCTCGACAATAAAGAGCTCATGATGCACAGAGAAACTCGCTGGAGTGGACCTGCTGGATGGATTTACTGGATATGTCATATTCCGTCCCGAAAAAGGCTCTGGATCTTATTGTCATTTGTCAGCATTCTGGTATTCGTGGGTTTACCACTGTCAGGCCTATCATTCGAAATAACCGACGGTTTCATCAAGTCCTCGACACCCCCACTCGTCATCGGCCGCACCAAAGAGAACCTATATGATCGAAAGCCACAAGACTCATTTGACTTGCTAGTCAATAGTTGGAAAATAGGGTCCTTCCCAATAGTCCCCGGATATGGGATTCTGTATACTCCAAAAGACGTCTTGCGAAGCGATTACGAGAATCTCAATAGCTTTCCCAATACTCTCCCCTTCTCTAAAAGCATGCCGGAGGTATTCCTAGCTCCCCAAGCCAAATATCCAATCGGAGGGAAGCCGTGGGGTCTCCGAGCTAGCTACAATTGCTCTATAGTCCAAGACGCTTCGACGTTCACAATATTAAACGAAAGGCCATTGTCAAGTTTGTATGTGAACCAAAATGACTTTCAGAGAGCCAGTGGCGAAATTACCTGGGCTACTTTCCAGACGGAGTCTGGAAACTCGATTTCCTCATTTATCGCCCTACCTGAAACTGGACCAGGTAGCAACCTCTGGGGTTACATTGAAATTGGTAGGAGCCAGGTCCTCGCCAACGAGCGCGGGCCTGAAAGCTCTCGCAATGGGACAGACCCATTTTACAACGACCAAAGGGGTATTCTAGAATACGCGCTATGGCAGATCCGCCGCAAGAACTCTTATAATGAGACAGAGTACAGGCCTAACTACAAATTCAACGATAAGCTTGAGACTACAATCAGGGGGATGCCGAGCCCAGCCCTTCAACTTGACAACGGAACGTGGATCTGGAATACGACCTTCTTTCAGGTCAACAAGATAAATAATACTGACAATCTTGTAGATGGGACTCTGGACATAAGAGAATATCTTAAAGCCGACATATATTCCCCTCTTGATGGACCAGTTGGATGGATTCAGTCTGTTGCAGACCCCATTGGAGTCCGATGCGAATATACTTCGGCGGTTGGGACAGCAGATCTAGAGCCTATGTCCTCTTCGTTCAGCTCGTTTACTCGAGAGCCCCCGATGTGGGGTGAAACTCAGTACCTAAATCATCCTCTTGGAACATCTGTTGCAGATGTCATGGCGGCTCGATATTTTGAACTCTTTACTTCCACGGGCTCTCCGCTTCCCGTGGTGATTTCTAACTTTCCGGCCTATGAGACCTATATCCAACCACAAGTCTTATTGAAATCTACCATGCTGGTCTTCGGCCTCGACGCATTGCGCATCATGTATGATAGTGCGAATGGATTCGAGGGGGGCCGGTCGGACGACAATTTGACGTCATCGAGGGAAGGAAAGCTCATCACACAAGGGGTCATTCATCCATACATCCCGTTAATTTTGTTCTCTTCTTGGACCCTTCTCTGTTTTTCATTAGCAACAAGTTACGGATTCCGCCGACGGTTGAGTGACAAACTAGATGAGTATAGCCAAGCACAGCTCAGTAAAGAATTTAAGAATAGACTTGCATGATAGGAAACTGATGGAGGATAAGTATTATACTTGCCCTATTTCAGTCTAATGTTAGGATGAATCGAGCAGGAGATATTAGCGGATATAATGTATAATAGTCTCGCTAGGGGGGTTGCTATCCGCCCGAGCTCATACAATTCGAGTGTACTCTACTCTGTCTTTTCCTCGCAATGTTTATTAATACGCAGATGCGAATCTCGAGGTATCAGACTAGTACTTGAATTGTTGCTTGAGTACTAAATAAATAGTAGCGAAAGTATGTGATTAAATAGACAATGACAAAGAAGATAACTTACCATGCGTGACACGAGTAAGGGATAAAGTCTGTGAACTGGACATTCAATTGGTCAAACGTAGATAGCTAATCATGAATTAGACGATAAATACTTCTGCACAACTAGTACTGGGCTGTCTGTACAGTCTGGTAGTTTATATATACAATAGTAAGACCTATACAGATTCTTATAACCCACGGAGGAAATTAGCATTACGTATAAAGATAATTGTCTACAAGTTGCAGGGCGTGATATTGACTATCGACTTTGCGTTACTCGGTCGTCAACAGGACGAGATGCCACTCACACAAAATGCCGTTCGCTTTGTGGGCTGGTCTATATACGAAACCGAGGCTGACTGGTCTTGTTAGAAATACTAAATATACACACCATCACCAACTGCAATCGAACATATCGGCCATGGATGACGACTACGAGAAGCCTCCTCCGGCTGCGACGGTAATCCTAATGAAGAATAACAGACAATAGCCATCTCCAACGGACTGATAGGTGGCATCGCTGAACGGACCATCTCATCACCAACACCCGTCGCTCCTACATTTGACCCCTCCAAGCCCTCCACAGGCTTTACAGCTCACACAAATTTAAACGGAAACGTCCGTCAACTTTCCAATAACAGCGAAATGCTGCTACTACCTCTGCTTTCACCAGTCAATATGATCCGGTCCCCAGGTCTGCTCCTACGAACTCTTCCGCCAGCGGACGTTCCTTAAACGGGCATCTTGAGATGACAATGTTGAGACGTCCCGTCCGGTCAGGGTTCACTTCCCTCAACCACCCTCACCCTAGAACAACTCAGTCTCGGCACCAATTCACGCTTGGAGAACAACTTCGGTTTGTTCGTCCGGTCGAGACCTCCAGCTGGGAGCACAGAGGGTCTTGGCGGGTCCCCATTCAACCAAATAACTATGCTTTCGGCACATTTTCAACCTGAAATTCACTATACGAATATCTTATGTATGTATCCTGATCACTTGATATCGTGACTGTGTGCTAGAACGCAGCAAACATCGTAAACTACCTAACTAAGTTTACTCAAAACCAGTCGATTTATCATCTTAACGGGATGCTAGAACCCTATGAAGCCGTCGCCACCCATTAAAATCAATTTATCCAATATGTATGTACCATACTATTGTGTCATGGGTGCTGTAACTGTACCATTTAAATTCACCCATTCGAGATCGGGCATAGATAGATAGATTCTTAGCTCAGAGTTCTGGCTTTAACAAATACCAACTATACCGCAGATCTTAAGGAAATTAGTTTAGAAATTTTTTGGTCGCAATCTTCTTTATATAATAAAACAGCTAGTTATTGAGTAACTATAATTATGACGTGTGGTCCGTCAGTAGTCAGCAAAGTTACACAGACCTCCGTCTAAATACGTTGAAAAATATCCAGACCTGAAAGCCGGCTGAGCGAATAAACCCCACCAACAGAACCTCCCGAGCAAAAGCGCTCAGAACAAATCATGCAACATTTAGCCAACATGTTTCGTGGTAAAAATGTAAAGAGAAAATCAGTCACAAAAGCAAGAAAAAGTGGCAAAATAGGATCCGGGAGGGTGAACCTAACAAGAGAAAGAAATTAGAGATCCCGACCAAAATGGGGTAGCATCGCCTTTATGGTTACAAACAAAACATTAAACCTTGTCCTAGTTAGCGTGCTTCTCATGAGGCAAATGGGAAGGCCCGTCCCGCAAAAAAAAAGATTTACTTTGTCTTATGCGCCCTATCAAGATCTTTAGTCTATAGAGGGCAAGCTGATGGCCATGATATGCGAGTTTATTAGGAGTTATGTGTTTAAAATCTGATTTCACAGGGCAGATAATATTGCTGGTAGAAAGCTTGGAATAAAAAAGATGTATTGTAAATTACGGGGCATGGAAAATATCCTCTTACCTAGAATAATGCAATACCTATACTGACTCATCCACTCGAAACTATTTTACTAGATTTAAACGATTATTAAGAGCACGCAGGCATTTAGCGGTAACAAGCGTTGACGGGTGGTTTTTGCCCAAGATCTTCTTGTAGCCAGCAAGTGCTCGCTTGTACTACTGTATGGCCTCGTTGTATTTGCCTTAATTATCGAAGATTACGGCGATGTTATGGATTGTGTTGAGTGTTGACGGGTGATTTTTGTTCAAGGTTTTTTTGTAGTTAGCAAGTGCTTGCTCGTACCACTGTATAGCCTCGTCTTTGCCTTGCTTGTAGAAGACTACGGCGATATTATGGACTGTGTCGAGTATTGACGGGTGATCTTTGCCCAAGGCCTTCTCTTTGCCAGCAAGTGCTCGCTCGTACCACTGCATAGCCTCGTCTTTGCCTTGCTTGTCGAAGACTACGGCGATATTGTGGACTGTGTCGAGTGTTGACGGGTGGTCTTTGCCCAAAACTTTCTCATAACTAACAAGCGCTCACTCGTACCACTACATAGCCTCATCATATTTGTCTTGGTTGTTGAAGACTAAAACAATATTGTTAACTATATCAAATATTAACGGGTAATCTTTGCCCAAGACCTTTTTGCAGCTAGCAAGTGCTCGCTCGTACCATTGCATAGCCTCGTCGTATTTGCCTTGCCTGAAGAAGACTAAAGCGATGTTGTAAACATGATCAAACAAAATTTGGTTTTCAAACTCCCACTCTCCCTGAAAAAATGCAGAGAATAGAGGTTTTAAATATTGGTGGAGATATTCCAGGTGAGATGCGAGTCTTCTCTCCTCCCGAGCTTCCCACTCCTTGCTCTCCCGTAATACATTTTTCCGAACGCTGGCGTTTCCGAGAATATTTATAGCGTATTTTATAGCTTTGAAACGTTCTGATGGATCTGAACGTTCTCGCGCCCACGAATGGACGACCGGATGAACCGAGAAAACCCCGAACTTTACTATCTTGACAAGCGAATACGACGCAAGCAGTAGAACTATTTCTTGAACTTGATTGATTCTCAGCATATTAGATGATACAATCTAAGGCAGATCTACTTACTTTCTAATTTTTCTAGCACGTTATTCTCCCATAGATTGTTGAAAATTTCCTCGGGATTGAGATAGGAGCATACTAGTAATAATAGTGCAGCCTCTTCATCTTGCTCCTTTATCTTCGAAAATGAAACCTCCCATGTTGTCACAGCCGTATCATTCCGGTAATTCCATCCGAATCTTGGTTTTCTGGATTGAACGGCCTTGAAGGTTTTGCCGTAATGTGACAAATAGTCTTCTAATGGGAGCTTCGTCTCGTTAATGTAACAGCCTGCATGACTGATAGCAAGAGGCATAAAGCCTAACTTTTCCACAAGTGCAGTTGCCTCATTTTCAGGAACTAGATTATATTTAATTAGCTAGTTTCTAGTGAGAGCTATAAGTGTCACTAGAACTACCTTCTGAGTCTGTCAAGTTCGCCAGGTTCAATAGAAGCGTAATCGCACTCCTACTATCTAAACCGTCTAAATCTACCTGTCTTGCGCTCTGTGAAAACTCTGGTCTACGACTCGTAATGAAGATGTCCCCGCTGCCTTGATTTGGAAAATATTCCGTTATACTAAAGGTCTCCAGGTCATCCGCGTTGTCGATAATTAGCAACCATCTATTATTACCGGGCAGCTGCAACCAGCTGAATACGGCTGATCGTATGTTATCGAACGCTTCCAGATTGGCACTGACTGTGCCTTTTTCGTCAATCAATCCTGGTATTCCGAGTTTCGAGCTTATAGCTTGATAATCGGGGGGAGACTCAGGCCACGTTACTCTAGCCTGCTCTTTGACAATGCGCTGCATAACATCGATAAAAGAAGCACGAATCGTGGTTTCGCTGACCGCAGAAATCCAGAAAATAGCCGTGTAGTCGCGATGGTGACGATAAGCATACTCGAGAGCAGTTTGCGTCTTACCCATTCCACCAGTCCCGACTAGTGCGAAGATACGGAGGGTATCCATAAAGCCCGGGCCTGAGAAATATTCATGAACTTCTTCCAGCTTTTCGACCCTGCCAACGAAATTATTGTTTCGAAGAAAGGGCATATGGAACGGGATGATAAAGTTGATCTCGTTGATGTTCTCTCGCTCTGCAAAAGATGATCGTTATTAACTCGAAAATCTAAAGGCCAAAACGCTCTAAAAATGCGTAAGATGAGTAGAACGACTCGAAGGGTTTATTACGTGTATCGGCACCATCGGTTTCGTCTTTGCTAACTATAAATTGTAATCAGAGTTTATCTTTACCCTCGATAATGACATAATGTCCTACCTGCTGGTATCTGGAGAAGCAATTCCTTCGCGTATATAGCTGCAACCAGTGCAGCGTACTGTTGCCAGCGTTTGTTCTTATGCCCGTCCGAGTAGTCGCATATTCCTCGAATCACCAAGCATGGGAGATCATTCATCAAGCCAGCCGCCTCCATTTCGAAGCAGAGAGCACCTGTTTTCTCGCTGATTCTATCTCTTTTCATACAATCTTTCATAACTTGGTTCCCAGATGCTATGATCCCGTAATGGATGTATGGGTGATCGTGCTCCCGTTCCGAACGAGGAACTACTTTGGAAGCATCGCAAGACTTGCATGTGTCGCGCTGGCGCCCTTCGCCAGGGACATGATTGTACTCGGCGCGGAATAGTATGTCGGTTTCTTGCCCGGGATATTGAAACTTGGGGTCGTTTTCCTCAATTCCTTGGGCGATTTCGGAGATTTTCTGGCTTAGCTTTGCCTGGTCCTCGGCCCTGAGAGATGCTATCGCGCGCAACAGAATAGACGGAGGCGCGCTCAGCGAGCCGGTTTGCAGAAACTCCCCGTTTTCCATTGCTTGCCCGAAATCGTATTGAATGACACCCCCAGATATACCCGTTGGATGACTGATAACTAGGTCGCCGAGACGAATATCGTTATCCTCAGTAGGCGCCCCTCCCCCTACGCCAACCATCAAACCGAATCTTAGCTTTGAGAAGGTTAAGCACATGCGAGCGGCGACGATACCGGCTTGGGCTACCCCGTATCGCCCTGACGGAAGCCACGTGATCACGACATTGTGTTTGCCTATTCTGCCAAACCTGTAGAGGTTGGTATCGTCATCGGCGGCGTCGAGCTGGGGATAAGTTTCATCGAGAATCGCGAGCACGGCGGCCAATTCTATGGGGATGGCGCATATCCAACCAACGGAGTAGTCGCTTGCTTTTAGTTCGGCTGCCATAATTTAGCGTGTCGGGTTTTTCCAAGGGTAAACTGGAGTGTAGCTAGTATTGATTGTCCATCTTTGACCAGGTGAGGGATTTTAACCCCGCTAAATAGGAAGCTTTGATTTCCGCACAAGGCTGACGCTGTGGCCGATTTAAAGGGCGCTACAACACATAACTACTTCTTACTGGCCGCACGGTAAGGCAGATTTTGTACAGAAGCGAGGGCCAAGTTCAATCCTTTAGGATATAGGTAAGCCCCGATACAAGAAGATTTTGAGGCATTGTGGCTGGAAGAACAACCAATAGTGTTTTTTTCTGTGTTCGTTGCAGGTTTCGTGTCCGCCGCCGGTTGGTCATTGCGAGCATGGATGCCCGGACTTTGGACAAGTCTCAAAAAAGACGAGCAGTCCGAGCAGATGTCTATTAACACAAGTGCCCTTGTCAACCCGAAGTTGTTGATAACAGTCGAAAATGAAGATGCAGTACGAAGTATAAATATAATTGGTTACACAAACCAGGCAGGATTTTTCAAGCTCCGGGCCTGAGTTTGCCGCTAACCATTCCTGTAGCACGTGGATCTCACAACAACACCGTAGTCGCCGAGCTCAGGGCGGCACGTGAGCGGGTGTTCGTTAATGCTGTAATGATTATGTACACGCGGAGTTACTTTGCTTATCATCTTCCCGGATAATCCGACAGCCCATGTTGCACTGGCATTTTATGGTCGTTTGCAGTATGGCGAAGCCAGTTGAGGAGGGTTGCTAACAAGCTCTGCCCTGCTTATACCTGTTTTTATTTTTATTTTTTTACTGGCAGTGTAGATTCTCCCGATGGTTTTCTTTCTGTGTGTACACTTCATCATCAAACTTTGTATACCAATAACCTTCAGAATTAAGCAAACGACCGATCTACTCTACTTTTATTCTATCAAAAGGAAATAATGTTTGCGTCTTTGGAATTATATAAGAGAACTTCGCTAATTAATTGTAGATTGCGAAACAGATATATGAACAAGGATTTGCAAATCAAACAAGCCGCTCCGTAGGAATATTAAATTGGAGGGGAAGCATATACGCATCAATCGCAGCCTCTTAAGACGCCGATTTTCGCCGAAAGACTCTAAAAGGATTTTTTTTAGCGCGCGCAGGGGAGGTTTTCGATGATGTTTTGTCCGTCAGAAAGGTGGAATGTTTATGACATTAAGAGCAAAGGCATTTGATCGCGGGGTTGTATAGAAGCAGCTAAGTCCAGCGGTGCGCACGCATATATATACGCAATGATTGTTAGAACCACACGGAATTTCTATCTACGTTATCAGCATTGCAGAGGGTCAGGCAAAGACAACCCATGGTTGAATCTTACTGCCATATATTCTTTTGCTGAATAAATTCCAAGGCGGGTAGGAACGAAAATCTGAACCAAATTTTGGATTGAAATGGCTTGACGTAATTGATGAGTCCTCGGGAACTACATCTAAACGCCAAAATGAATGTAAGGGACCCAAAAAAGATTCATCATGTAGTCCTCTGCTTCCAATAACTTCAGCTTTCTCGTAGTGCCCTCTTTCTCAATGTTTCCGTCGCGCAGCGCTCACATGGCTCTATGAAGCCCTCGGCAAACTGCCTAATCCGTCATACCTTCACTTCACAAAATTTCATAAAATACCCTTGCTACTTCTACACAATACTCGTCTAATACTTCCCATAACATCCCGATAACATATCAAAAGCCTACTAATTGGAATATACTAACAAAATGAACCCCCTCATTAGCCAAATCCTCCACCTCGTTAACACCCATTAAACAAACTAACAAATACTCAAAAAACAGCAAATTCTCTAAAAATCTATAATCCCAAATATCTTTTATAATTAACAAATTTATCTTCTAATTTTTAAGAAACAAATAGTTTTACAAGAATTTTGTTAAATATAATAACTTATAATTTACAAAATAAAAGACTTTATATTTCTACAAATTTTTAAGGACGTTGTACTTTCATAATTTTAGTATAACATACTTTAACTGAAGAGATGAGTAAAGTTTTTCTAATATTTTTATTTTTCTTCTGATAAATAGAAAAATTTAATTTAAAAGTAAGTCTAATATTTTTTTTATAGTAATTAAAAAAGCTTAATTAATTTTGGGTTTAACAAAGCTATAAATATAATATTGATATCTATGTATTAAAACTTTAATTAATAATGTGTATAATAATATTATTCTATTAAAAACTATATTAGTAGATTTTTGCTAATAATAATTTATTGCGTGGAGTAGAAATTGATTAAGTAAATTAGTTGGAATTTACTATATGTGGGGTTAATTATTATTAGAGACAGGATTCTTAAGGTCTAGTGTGTCTAAAATTAGACTACAAACGACGTCCCAGAGCTACTCTAGCGTTGATACTATAGTTACCGAAATTAATGATCGTAGATTTTGGGTATGTTTCTGAACATCTTTTAGTTTTAAACCCGGTAGTTTCAATATTTGAATTCAATTGCGCTTAATAATGAACGTATTGCAGTAGTAAGAACCTATATTGATGATAGTAATAGGGCTAAAATATGTGGTATCCTTTAGTTCTGTTTTTGTTGGTAGAAGAAGAAAATTGTTAAACTTAGGTTGAGTGTGGATGGTTGTAATAAGGTTGTTGAAATTCTGGTTATATTCCTAACGTATTTTTGTTTGTAACATTTATAAAGAAGAAATATTATTAATAGAAATTAAAAAATTCCTCTATATTAACGAGTTTAATATATCTCAAAAAGATATAAATTTGTTTGTTAATTTGGAATGCTATTTTCTTAAATTAAAAATATTTTTATACATATTTATTAGTAGGTTTATAATAATATTATGGCTGAGTTTAAGGAGGTGTAAGGTATGATAGGTATTTTTTCTAATTTTAAGAGAAATAACTATTAACATAAAAATTAAACCTAAAAATTCAGTAAGTATAGATTGTTTATCAGTATGGTTCAGTAATTGTGGGCTTATTATGGGGAGGAGAGCTATGGTTTACTCTAGTAATAAATTTAACACTTTTAAATTTTGCTATTAGGCAAGGATGTGGGCAACTTACCAAGCTGATTTAATGCGAAGGGTTGATAAAACTGTTTAATAATGTTAACTTTTTTAGTATAAGGAAATTATATAATTAAGATTGTTAATAAAGTTTGTCTATTTGAATTGCCTTTTGAGCCGTTTCTCAAGATTACTTAGATAACTAGCTCGGCTAAAGTGTTCTTAAGGTGTAGCAGCGACTGCCATATCTACGGCTTCAATAGTACGGTTGAGATCGTCAATAGAGTTGGAATTTGTTTGTTCGAATTGCACTCCGCACTGGTTCCCAAGATTGTTCAGATAAACAGCTCGGTCAGGGTGATCTTAAGGCGTAACGGCGACTGCCATATCTGCAGCTTCGATAACACGGTCGAGATCGTCAATAGAGCTGGAGTTTGTCCGTTCGAATCGCGCTCTAAGCTTGTTCCCAAGATTGTTCAGATAAGCAACTTGGTCAGAATGATCTTGAGGCATAGCAGTAACTACCATATCTGCAGCTTCGACAATATAACCGAGATCATTTATAAAGTTCATCCGATTAAATTGCGTTTTAAACCTGTTCCCAAAATTGTTCAAATATCAGTTTAGTTAAAATGGTCTTGAGGTGTAATAGTGACTGCTATATCTGCAGTTTCAATAGCACAATTAAGATTATTCATAAAGCCTATCCGGTTAAATTACATTTTAAGCCTATTCCTAAGATTATTCAGATAACCAGCTTGATCAGGATTGTCTTAAGATGTAGTAATGACTGCCATATCTCCAACGTTGACAGCACGGTTGAGATCGTCAATAGAGCCTGTCCGTTCAGATCGTCTCCCGAGCATGGCTCCAAAATTGGATAACATAAGCGCTGTAATATACTCTCCAACTAGGTCTAAACTCTGAAGCATTACATCGATAGCCTCGTTCAGAGTTCCTAAAACCCCAGTTTCTTGATATCTCTTAAACAATTCTCTTGCAAAGTTTCCCTTCCGATAGGCTCTTTGGGAGCTAAACTTCCGCCCAAATTCTTTAGTATTTGATTCAGAAATGAATTCTAATTGAATCATCCAAGCTGATAGGAAGTCTAAAATTTCAAATTTTCGCGAGCTGTCAGAATAATCTGTGCGTAGTTCCGCGGTCCACCTTTCTGCCTGTCGAATGGCTTGTTCAAGATGCTCCATTGAGTTCATGCTCTTGAAGGCCAGGAAGCATGCATAAATATACAATTCAATCTGTTCATCGTTGGCGGGACCGTTTTTGAGTGTTTCTTGTTGTAGTCCAATGAACGCAGGAAGCTCTTCACCCAAGTTATCAAGTAAAGAGGCCATCTCTGCGCTAATATTGAACGGCTCCATTTTATTTTTACGGTAAATAAGAATAGGTTACATTGTTATGGTATCAGCATTGATCCGAAAAGATTTCTGTCAGCGATCACGTTGTTTGTTATATATAAGAATTTAGAAATACTTAGTTAAGGACGGCCTACAATCAAAACACTTGCAGGGCATAGACCAAGGCAGGTATTTGCGCTATTCCTCCACACCAGGTAGTAGCTGCATCTTAGATCCTACGCCATGATAAACTGATGTAGGAGTACTGCAGGATTATTACAAGACTAGATGAAGTGTCAATTGCGATATCTTTTCAGATGTTAGTGATTGCTAAATTAATGATATTTTTTTCGAGTAGAGTTCGAAGGCTGCTGCCTGTGTATTAGAAATAGCTGATCATATTACCTAATCGAACAACACAGACCAACAGTATAGTATCGAAGTCTAAACACGAGTTGGAACCTTTCAGATTATTACGAGCAATTTTTTGACGTTTGTCGGCTCGTTGAATAGAGAAGCTTGCGAGGGAAGCGGTCTTTATTATATAGTAAAGAGATATTACGAATGATATATATTGTCCGCCGTATTGCTTCGCGGTTGAATGTGTTAAGGATCACCGGTATAGGCATATTAAGGATTACTGATGAAAGATACGAAACAGCATAACGGACTGCGTAGAAGTTGTTAGGATTCATCGATAAAATTTCCTTTATTTTTTTAAAGGACTCAAGTAGTATTTCGAAGCCAGTTTATTCATGTTTGGATACAGTAATCGCACTTCTTGGAAGACTTGCAGAGGAAGCTAAAAAAACAAAGGGAACACCGTAATCGTTAAATTCCGTAAAGCAAATTAAGACCGAGTTTGAACAAAAATTCATTCGTTAGAAAGTCAGATCATTCTGTGGGATTTGATAGAAAGTGAACACATTGTGGCAGAAGTCAACTTTGCCGAGTATTTGCATTGGATTCACCCACTCTAGAATGCTCTTCAGGGCATTCGAAATTCAAGAACTGTAATGAGGTAAAGGGGCAAAAGGTTAGGACGTACCAAAAAATGGAAATCGTCGAGCTATACTCCAGCGTAGATAGGGACCCTGGAATAATTTAAGACAGTTCCTCTTTTTCGTCTTTTTCAGGCTCAACACCTGGTAAATGAACACTGTCAAATTCCAGCAATTGGATTGTTAATATAAAAGTGTTCTCTGCAGCTGGACTGTTAATATAAAAGTGTTTTTCGCAGTTGGAGTGTTAGTACAAAGGCGCCCTTCGCAGTTGGAGCATTAATACAAAAGTGTCCTTAGCAGTTGAACCACTAATACAAAAGTATTCTTGACGGTTGGAGCATTAATACCGAAGTGTTCTCACAGTCAGAGCATTAGTACAAAAGTGCCCTTCGCAGTTGGAGCATTAGTGGGAACGAGACTAGAGCACTAGTACAAAAGTGTTCTCGTAGTTAGAGCAGTACAAAAGTGTTCTCGCAGTAAAGCGTTCTCGCAGTTGCATTGTGGATTGGTCTCGTGCGGTCTCTTGAGAATGGTGATACGTGATAGCTAATTCCAGGAAACCCCTAAAGTATGTGCGTACAATTTGTAAAACTAAATCGTTCAGCAACTAGGACATTCCCACAATGACCCCAATCAGGTGCTGATATTTTTGGTAAGGCCATCGCTAGTTTGGATAATATATTAAAGAACATATGGTACATTCATCGCGCCATCCGAGAACGTGTGCTCGACAGATGAAATTGCACTCCCATGGGAGCATACTGAGGATAATACCATACCAAAACCGCCACGAGGCAAACCCAAACAAGCACTGATGGCACGTACCGTCGCCAATATGCAAGAAGCACTTGCAATGCCGTTAGCTCGCCAGGACTCAAGTTAATACCTGTGACCCTAAATTTTTGACATTCTTGGGGCTTGTCTTCGTTGTGTTCAGCAACCACCTTCCCACTTTCTTCTTTGTATTCAGCTAGGAACTTGAGCAAATTTTTAAACGCATCCAAGAACCCGGGTATATCTTCCCTCTTTGCCGCAAGCTCTAGAGCGGTCGCTGTCCCTTCGTCGGCGTATCCCGGCTCATTCGGGTCGAGCTTGCAAAGATTTTCGGCAAATAGTTCCAAAACCTTGAGGGTCTCTAAGTCTCCAGTCTCCGCGGCTGTGTGGAGTATGTTACTCGTTAGTTTTTCGCCGCGAACGTTAACGTACTCGCCAGCAAAAAAACACTTCGCGCCATATTCGTGTAAAACTTTGAGGACCTCATGGCCGTTGTGTTCAACTGCGTATTTCAGGGCCGGTTCAACCACACGGTTCAGTTTATCTGGATCCGCTCCGTTTTCTAGCAGAAAACGTGCATGATGGTGGGCATCATAACTCGCTGCGTTCATGAGTGGTGTGACTTGGTCTTGGTCGCCTATATTCGGATCGGTTCCTGCTTGGATAAGGCTTCTACCGATAGAAATACCGGCTTCAATATCCTCAAATGAACCCCAAGCCCAAACCGATAATGGTAGAGCTCCTGTGAGATCCCTCACATTGTGGTTTGCGCCAGCCGCCAACAGAGCCTGAACACATTCAAGATGGCCATTTTCAGCGGCTCTGTGCAGTGCTGCGTGACCACGCTTATCCTGAGTGTCCAAGTCTGCTCCATGATGAATCAGGATCTTGACTTGCTCGATATCCCCTCTGCTTGCTGCCCACCATATCGGTGTTCTGCCCGATGCATCTGGGACATCAATTGAGCTTGTGGAGCATTGCAGTTGTTCATCAAGGCTGCCCACAGCAACCTGAAACACAATCTTGTGAATGTACGTGAACTCTTCTTGTTCGATATAATCGTTGATATCGAACAATTCGGCGATCGCTCTGATTTCCGGGCTGGGGTTTTTGTTTCCCAAAACGAGGCTACAGGCGTTCTGGGCAGGAGTCCTATGCGCATATTCCCGACCGTTAGAATACCACGCGCACGGCCAGTTGCGGTACTCAGGAAGAAACATAAGGTTCGGACTTACATTCCAAAATCATTTTTTAAATTTGGGTCGGCGCCCCATTGGAGCAAGAACTGGCACACTTCTGGCCGGCTGTTCACTACTGCATACTATTCAGAGGTAAGCTTAAGCATCATCACGTGTTACTAATCCGCTGCCTTTCGCTGGTTAGCGCCACAGAGCTACTTACGTTTAACGCCGAGACACCGCCCTCATAATCCATATCATTCGGTCTAGCCATTCGGTTCTGCAGCAGGAGTTTGATACGCTCCAAGTCGTTCCACGCTGCACCCCACATTATTGTTTCAGGGCTCATCCTGAGTCGGGCGTGGGTTGTGAGTCGTGCGTTTGATATCCCCTGATTACTGACGTTTGCTGCGCCGACAAGAACCCGGTTCATCCACCACGTTGGGAAGTAATATATGACCTGTATCGACGACTGACTCTGACCCTTGCATTTCTTTTGCGTACATTTTGTAGTTTTGAATACCGGCGATCCTACGTAACCGATAAATAAGAAACCGAGTATCTGACGGAAGATAGCTGGAGTGGAAATGCTGCTACGACGATGGCATGCGCAGAGACAGTACGAGGAGCAGCCAACTGCCTTAGCGGTGACTTTAAAGTAGGTGCTCGTGCTAGTTGAGTTCGAATTGGTATTCTGAAACGAAGCGCTAGTGATATTCGGGCTTGAATTGTAGAATATCTGTATCAGGTCCTGAACATTTTGAAGGATCTGGTCCTGTTTGTCGATAAGGGTCTGCGTAGGCTTTGACAATTGATCGACCGATGCTTGTAACTGAGATTGCGTATGTGTTAGGTGAGTAGTATGATTGATTAACGTCTTCTGTGACTGTTCTATGTTGGCCGATTGTAGACTAATTTCGGTAACGGATAGCTCGATTCGGGATGAAGCATCTCTGATTGGAAAGTTAATTAAAAATTATTAGAAAGAACGAAGCTTCCGATGGGAGAGACTTTAACGCTCACAAGATATGAGTCGATAATAGTAATTGCAGATCCACCCGCAACTGCTTTATATTATCCTTGTATCTAATCACGTCGTCCTGACGTTTGAGCCAAAGGAAAACCAGCTTCGTCCTCCCCGAGGATTGGGCCGTAGCCACCTCATTCAAAAACTTTTCCAACTTTGATATCCATTTTTGTGCCCTATCCAATACTTTTATCAGATCCTCATCCCATTTCAATGGTGCCTGTGTATTCCCAGTCGCTACCGCCACAGATGCTTGTGCGTTTTGCGCTTTGCGGTGTGATTCCTCAACACGAGCCAGGAGTATGAACGACTCGTTTAACTCGTTGTTAAGCGACTGAACCTCCACAGGAGCCTTGTGAGATGTTTGAATAATTAAATTTATTGTTTTAGTACATGCCGCGCAAGCACCCATCACCGCAATGATGCTCGCTGTAATCGATAAAGGGTCGGCCATTTTGGGGGAATGATAGAAAGCAGCGATGCGTTTTTGGGAAGGTGCGGTTTGGGATGGAGCTAATGCGCAATAGGGAGGTGGAAATGTCTTTGGTATTTATCGTTATCGATTAACGAGACAATCGATAGCGAACGATGGTACCGAGCACCCCGCCGGTGGCAGCTGGCAGCCGTTTGAGCCTCGCAGCCTTGCGAGTTGTCATCACCAGCATTGTACAGAAAACCAATGAGAGCCAAGATTCATGGCAAAGGAATGAGGAGTCAAGGATCCGATCGAAAGGAAACCGGCATAATCAAACCCGCTGTAACGCTTATTGTTTGACATCGATGCACCTCCCAGGTCCAGATGACCTCGTTTTTACCTCGAGATCAGTAGTTGTTCTGACAGGGCTAACGCTATCGAGGCTAGCGCTTGGATTTGAGGCTGAGACCTTGGCTTTGGCTGGGCATAAATGACTCCCATCAACATCATTCAAAATACAACATCAATAATACAAATACCTCAATTATAAACAAAAAAGTTTCTTTCTCGTCAATCTCGTTCCCGTAAACTCTGGACTCAATAGAAAACTACTCAGGTCACGTGTGAGGTGTTCAGCCAGCCACTGTTGGTGTAGAGCAAAGCTCGTGGCATATTATCTCATAGATGAGAAAGATTTGTCGTCCATTTTTGGCTACACTGATTCTAGCTACGTCACCGCCGATGACCGTAAGTCCATCGAGACTGGAGTTGAGGTACCCAATATGCAACACAACACATCTTTGCGAACCAACATGAAACACCAGTCTCGTAACCAAACTGTGATGAAACACCACAAAATCCAGCACTACTATAGTACCGACACTAACAAAATCCAGTGTTTTATTACGTTGATTAGTATGTCTTTGGAAATCAAAGTTTGAATAATAATTTTACAACATGGGGGTTCGAACTGGCGAAGAGACAAGGTTAACTAGAACCCTTGAGGATAAATGTACGGCCGAGGCGAGTGTTACGAGATCAGGGTTTTGGGGTTTTACACGGGGCCACGTAAGTACAAGCTTCTCGTTGCAACCACAACGCGCCCTTGTTGGGACTAGTATACTGCTTACCATTATCTTGTCATCCATGGCGTCTCCACCACGCATGTGCATACGGTGGCGTTAAGCGGTTTTAGCGCTATCAACTTCCCCGGTGAGCTTAGTCTCGAGTACTCTACATCTCTAGCTCAGAAACCATGCAACCACTGATAAACTCCAATATCTTTGTAATTTATGACTTCGGGTCTCGTACGAGACCACTCGGCCAACGTATTTAGATGCGCTTCCACCTCCCTCCCCAGCAAAACAGTTAGTGATTGCTTTGGGGGAAAGTATCCCAATCAGAAAACAGAGCAGAATGTAACGTACTGTATCTACTAAGCACGGTTATATCTACTATGTTCGAATAATAGTTTTGTTCGCTCGTTTTCGCAACCTTTATCTGGAGCAGTAGTGGAATTAATAGAGGTTCTAGCCCCAACCTTTCGCGTTAGAATAAGCTCTTTGAATTTCTTCTCGGCCGCCAGGGACGAATACCCTAATGGGTATCCTATGAAATTACTTGACGCTAGCTCCAGATCACTTCTAGACTAAGAAATGGCTTATATAAATGTCCTTGTGTCGTCAGAAACATTGTCACTATCGAATCCGATCTATATCGACATTCATTTATTAAGTGGGCTCGTTCTAGTTCGCGATAAAGATACCCTGTTCAACTTCTTGTAGCTTTTCAAGCTACTGTCCGTTCATTTAGATTTATTTCTGTCCTTCTTTCGGCATTTTACTTTTCCTCCTTTTTGGGCGTGATATCATTGATTTCATACCATAACCCCGGAGGGCGGTGCTGCGCAGGAGATAATCGTAACCCATCACCGGTAGGATATAATTTTAATTTGATAGCCCCTAATCAATAATATGGTTACTAATTTAGATAGAGATCTTTACACAAGCTTTCTTTTATAGATTACATATATATCTTTAAGCAGTTATGGCTAGTCAACTTAACCAAGATCTCTATTTGGGCGCTTTACCTGCCAGTCTTCGCTTCAAAATCACCAAGGCTTCGGTTTTCTGTGCCGTGGGAGGTTACAGCGTTCAGTGGAGAGAGACATCCGGTTTCAACGTTTCGAACAGGGACGGGGGGTGTTTTAATTTGGGGGTAACATGCCTTCACCTCATAAGCTTATGACTATAGATATAAGTATATACGTATCTAACTAGGTACTTTAATAGCAAAAATTTCAGCCAAGCGACCCTAATAACACCAAGGGCAAAACATGTGAACGGAAAACTAACTTAACGGCGGAAATGTCTTCCGATACCGCACCAATTTGACTTGGCCAAATGTCTTGGTCCAGAGTCAATACGCTGGACCCTTTTGCAACCGCAATCCCTGGTTTCATTTTACTCAGTTTCGAAATTTCTAAGGTTTCCGGGGGAAAGTCTCTTGCAAGAGGTACCTTCAAAGCGACTCCAACACATTTTAGAACTATTGAACGTCCAGACAATGTTAATTTCGTTGTCACTTGGGAACACCACCCAGACATCACGAACGAAACTCCAATCAACCCTAATATTGGAATCGATCCTCCACCGGTTCACCTTTCGTTTATCCCAGGAACGGCAAAAACCTCTCTCGGTGCAATGATAGGAATAGCAGAGCCGACAAAATTAGATTTTATCGCTAGTTGGATGATTCGAGGTATTCTATACGGCAACGAAAAACTCATCGAGTTTGCTGTTCCAGGCGGCTCAGTCATTGTGAAAGTCGTCCAGCTTGCTGAGACGATTGACACTGCTGCGGATGTCGTGTTAGCTATAGCGGATTTGCGTGATGCCTTGGCCAGACGCGACGCAAAAGCTGCTGTTAAAGCTCTCGTAAAAGCCGTAAAAGGACTCCGCGAGCTTGCAAAAACGGTGGTGGGCGGTGTTGGTGATGTATGAAAATACCAGAAGCAAATTGAATCATTTTTTGGTGGTAAATTACAGACTAGTTTGGGGGATGTTGGTGAATCTTTCACGGAAGATGTCGCCGAGAAACTAATAAACGAACTTTTCGAAGGGCTCCCTAGCGTGTTGACTCGCAGAAAGTTGGCTCGTAGGAAGCACTTGCGCTATCGGTAAATCTAAGCAGACAGAAGGTCGTTTTTTTTTCTTTTTTCTGTATCGCTATGAATGTGGTAGATATGAAGGCTGTCAATCTATTATTTTATTAGAAACTTCTTGCTCTCTCGTACACTTAGTACAGTGTTTGCGATCTGAGTAGTCCCACCTATAGCACTACTAGGCTACTAGACCTTAAATTTTTATTGCCATACCTCTATTCACATCCTCGTTCTCCAAGGTAACCTATTATGGAATAAGGGTAGCTCTGAATCCTGGTGATTATTTAGGCACGAAACTAGTTACTATATGTTTATCATAAAATATTACATATTTCACACCACATATTTATACTGAAATAAAGACATATATTTTAACTGTTGTTATGCTCTCAAAAATGTTTGTGTCTATCTTCAAGTAATGAACTTCGGGATCGCACGGCTTAATTCACACGTCTCGTCCCTGGCGCTCCAGACCAGGGTTTGATAATAATTCGTTGCTGATTTAAATAAGCTTAGATCGTTGAATTGTTGGTTGGTGTGGCTAGCTGACCTTTGCTAAGGAAATTAAAGTTGGTGTGAGAGTAGAAAATATTTGTGGGATTGCTTGGGAAGTTGGAAAGCTGGACGCGTGGTACTTCGTACAGTTTTGTTATTCGGTTTAGGTAGATTCGCATCGTATAGCTACTAAGTAATTATATGGAACTCCAGAGGCAATAGCGTCGGTAGGCATGTGGGAGGCAGTCAGGATCGTTGGTTCGCGATCGACTGGGTAGCTGTGATAAAACATAATTGGAACACCTCACGTGCAGGCCTTACACCACTTTGAGCCCTGCTCGATCCTGCTCGGCCCCGCCAGATATCAATCCTAAAGGATTGGTCTTGCTTTGCCTGGCATAATACTAAGCCAGTCTGTGGGGAATAGTCGGTGGTATTTGTCATTCGTCGTGTAAAATGGCACCACATAGCTTTCTATAGGGCCCCAGATTTCAATGCTTTAATTGCTGTCACTATGCAAATAATCTACTTGTATACATGTAGGTGATCTCTTGTTTTGCTCTTAGATGTACCAACTTGAAGAGATCTGTAGACCTGGAGAAACTTCCAATTCGCCCTTAAGCTAGGGCAGCCATAACCAGCGCAGCGCGGTGTTCTAGCCCCTCATACTGAATTTATAGACCACAATATCACTATAGTTAATTAGCCCATATAATGTATTTAATCTTCATTTTAAGTTTGCTCCCACCGTTGCGTCCGAAGACGACTGGGACCAATGCTAGGCCGCTTCGACGCTCTTAATTTTTGAAATTCGGTTCGGCGGCCGCGCTGTTTGACTTTAGTAGCTTCTGCATTGACCGCCCATATTTAATGTCATTACTACCGTTGTTGATTGTGATTCTGCTATAAAATTTCCTTTATGCATGGTTTGCTGATTGATTGTTCATCCGACTGAAACCTAGCAGGGCCTAGCGAGACCGAGCCCTACTAGGATCTACTAGGGTCCACTAGAATTTACTAGGATCTACTAGGGCCTACTAGGATGTATTAGGGTCCACTGGGATCTACTGAGGCCCACTAGGATCCACTGGGACCTCCTAGAATTTACTAGCGTCTAATAGGGTCTAGAAGCGGTTTAGGATTGGAGCCAGGGCCTCGTTCGACAGGTGTGACGTCGCCATGTGAAAATATCATCTCCCAGCTATCACTAATCGTAAACATGAAGATGTATTTATCTTGTCTTCAAAACTATTGCTATGGTAGGATAAGGCCGGGTCAGGAACCGTCAATATGACTGATACCTGGACCGGAAGATATCGAGGAAGGATACGTACGGATCCTAGGGTTATGGGAACAGAGATGTTGTTTGTTGCCCATTAAGCAGATTTACAAGGAATTGGAGTGCAAAATCGTAGGTGCGAAAGCTGCTGAGATGCTGAATTCCTGTAGCTTTCGATACGGGACAGGAAATTCGGCATCAAGATATCTTAACAAACTCCAACTAGGCTTATTGATAGGTCATTCTGCAGGGTCTAATATATACGTTCGAAGCATTATCAAAACCGAGGGGTTGGATGGAACATCCAAAGCACGATTCTGGAAGGCCGACGCGGGGTATAGCTATAAATGCGCCCTTGGGCTCTGAGTCTTACCAGGCCATAGTCTTCTGTCGCGGGCCAGGGTTGATAGTAACCTGTAATGCTGTAAGAATGTTCTATATGAGAGTTTTTTTTCTTTAGTTCTCAATCTTTCGAAGCCAATATCCATCATTAAAGGCTTGCTTTATTTAGAAGACGTTAAAATTGTATTACCTGTTTAGTTTGGGTCTTGGGATATTGGGCAAAATGTTGTTTGAAGATTTGGCAATTCCGAATATTCTTATTACCATGTGATATCAAAAAATTTGATGTTGTTTAAAAATGTTATTTTAATATTAAAACTCTACAATGCTATAATATTATACCATAAAAAATGTCCTAATTAAGAAAAGACGGATCTGATGTGGCAGGATGATACCAGCCGATAATACATGCAGACGCAGACATGGATGTCCGTGGAGATGTGTAGTCTCGAGACCAGGCGCAGAGTTATAGTCAGACCATTTCATGCATGCACAAGTGAGTTGAGTGGGATAGGGCACTTAGACGAATTAGGTACATGAGTAGCGACACTAGCGACCGGGCCCGAAATTATCGGCCTGTTGCGAGGGGGTGGTTACTATTGCAACCCTTTGCGTTGTTCTGGTCGGCGGACTCGGTTTTTTTTCCAGCGGTAAAGAAGAACAGGTACAAAAGCCGTTGCTGGTTGTTTGGGAGCGCAATCCTGCCAAGGAATCGATTGTTCAATAAATTTACAAATATTAGTCAAATCCGTAATAGAGACGGCGGTACTGTCTTTGGCGTCAAGATGATATTCATCACCAAGTTGCGCTACAACATTCTAAATGCCCAGGTAGTACATAGTCAGCTGCTAGCCCCCCCCCCCCAAAAAAAAAAAAAAGACCTTTGGACTGTGAAAGGAGGTGAGGTGTGATGGGTACCGATAACTGATCCCAGGTGTGGTCATTTGCCATTCCCGTTGATGGAATTCCAAGCTCTTCTCGCACATCACCTATACTTGTTTTTACAGGTAATTTTTTGCAACAATCATATGCAAGCTCTTCTTCCGTTCTTGGCACTAAATGTGCCGAAGAAGAAAAGGTGAGACGGCCACGGCTGTAATCGTGAGATGTTTGATCTTGCTGGAATGCGGGGTTCAGATTTCCCTCTCGTAATCCAGAGAGAACCTCGACAGCGGTTTCAAACGCCGCCTGGGAGTTCTCGGCTAAAGTTAAAGGAATTTTCGGACCCAGGCCAGACATGATTATGGCACGGTCCCCTCGAGCTCTGTATAATTGTTTTGTTAGTCGTAGGCCGGGCGCAGTTCGAGGATGGGGTAGCTGAAGCTGGCCCTGTGTGTTGATTTCTTTGGGTTGCGTTTGTAGACTTATATATAGCCCGATACATGGCGCTATAACTAGTTACTGGCGCCAACGAGTCTAGAACAGCGCTATATACAAATTTATAGTGGTATAAGTGCATATCTGCCAGAAATTTACTTTCCGAGAGTTACCAACTTGCCTGAGGTCTAATGTTAGATTGATATCCGATACATCTTGGAGTTAATAGAGCAGCTACGCTCATGGTTGATGGCTGTATTCCCTAACCCTTTTAACATCAATAATAGCAATTTAAATATCAATACATTAAAGTACTAGTACAAAAATACAATCCGAGCAATTAAAACATTAATACTACACTCGAACAAAAATATAACCTCAAATCCAACAAGAAATATTGGTAACTCCCAAAATAACATTAGTGTTGTATTGTCGCATCGTTGCATGCCAAAGTTGCCAAGGTGAACAAATTAATTCGATTGCGAGATGCCCACGTTAGTACTCCGTATCGTCAAGATGGAATTTTCGTCCAGGCCAACATTATATCGTAAGCGCTGAGCTCGGGGTAAACCTGTCACGGCTGCGGATGTTTTTGGTCTTTGTGCTCACCTTCTCTTTCTTGCTTTTTCAAGTGACATATATATGCCGCTACTATAAAAGACAGTGACGGCGCGATTATCTATCGATGGAAGGGCTCTGTCCTGTACGATTGAAGGTCAAAATTCTACTACAGAATGGTGGCAAGCGCTGAACCTTACAACCCTTCTGGTTCGAGTTGTTGCATCAACAACTATATTTGACCCAGCGCTGTCGAATTCGGGGGTTTGGTCTGCCACCAGATCTGCTGCATTTTTTGTCTTGGGGATACCACGCTTTCACTTAATGAACAACATAGAGTTCTCACAAAGAGATCTGCCATGGTGGCGCATATTCAATTCCATCTACGAAGATTCTTATGTCTGCATATTCATTTTGCAATGCATGTTTGTGTTTTGTTGTATTTTATGTATGGGTATAGGGTGAACCCGAGGCAAGGTTTGATTGGACACTAGGTTAGGCGATTTAGGGAAGAAAGGGATGGAAAGGCGGAGAAGCTGGGCTGTTGACATTGAACAACAATGATCTCCAGCACGATGCACCTGCTGAACACTCATGGACGTCGATGATGATAGCCAAACTGAGGGCGCTTCATCGCGCCCGCCGAAAGCGAAAAAAGTAGACCAGCGAAAACAAAGAATGATGGAATCGAAACGACTGCTCATACGTCTTGCAAGTGGGTACTTCTATCAGTGGGCTCCGATTGTAGACACGGAACTAATTACTAACATGGAGGTGCAGAGGATCAGCTCGGCCAGAAATTTATTCTTAGCCAAATAACTCATTCTATACGAAATCCAGCGGCTAGTATTCAATTTATATACAAAGGACCCAATAAACACGAATACCCGAGTGTTTCGCTCTCAACAATTTCAGCAGAAAATCGTAATCTTATCAAACGAGCTATTGATCGCAACTTTCTTACAGCTGTTTTGATGGAGGTAAGATTAAGCTACTAAGGAGAACACGTTCGACCTGATCCAAGTCAAAAAACCCATCCTCTAACATGAGTGACGTAGCCATCTGATGATGGTACCGGTAGCGCGAAAATGCGATCAGTATCTCCTCCAACGAGTTCAACATCAGTTATTTTGGCGTCGGCAACTGCCGCCGAGACTGAAGATTTCGTAACTTTCAAAGTTCCGCGAAGATATATTCCAAGCTTTGAGCATGATGGCGATGTGGCGGATACAGGGCCGCGAGTTGAGAACGTGTGGCAGGATGAACTAATCGAAGAGCAGCGTAGACAAATTGTTGAAAAGGACAAGAGAATTATAGAACTTTACCAAGAGTGCGGGAGACTGAATTTTGAACTTTCCTTGTTGCGGAGGAAATGATTATGTGTAGTTAGTCTTTGTTAACTTCCTATCTGTTCGTCAGCAAATCACAGCTTCATAGCTTGAACAGATGATATGCCAGCCAAGGCGTTGTGATGACAACTTCGGGAACAAACATCCCCACTTAAAACATCCCGATCGTTCTAAGGACAAAAATGTAGTTCAGACCAGTTAAGTCGGCTTGGGGCTTAGCCAACCGATCGGGGATTAATTATATCCAACACAAATACCTCGAAGCCGCATTGGACGAAATCATATACTGTCCAATTAACTACGTTTTCCGAGTCTCAAATTGGCTATATTTACCGAGAAGTACGTATGTTTTATGGTGACGAGAAAATGCAATACGTGCTAATTATATATATAATTATAATCTGGCGGGTGTAGGTGCTTTCCGGTTTAGAGTATTTAAATTTAATCGGGCTCGAGTATACGAGAGTTAAATCTTCTAGAGTACTCCTATCTCAGCCCAATATCGTAAAAATTGGGGGCGCATTATTAATTCGTCGAAAGACTTTGGTATTTAACAGTACCACAATATCGTTCCCAGCCGTTGGTGTTGGAGCAATTGCGTTGGATATGATGGAAGATGGTATTCTTTTTGAAAACAAAGATCGGGCAGTGGTGTTAATATATTTTGAAAACTGGTTAGTATTGGTTTTTGACTTCGTGTGAAATACTTTTTGTTTTGAAATCACACTCCTCTTAAAAGTGGGTCTATGTCCAACAGCCTATCCTTACACACCCCCCTAACCTATATTGATCACCGCCATTGACGGTTTTTGTGCACTCTACCTGGGTATATGGAACATAAAATAAGTATATATGGAAGCGATAGATTACAAAGGAATAGACCTCAGGAATAATTTCGATTGAGCAGCTCTAGGTGTATCAACTCTAACAAATTCGAATTGCAACCTAGTGAACTGGGTTAATATCTAAAATATTTCTTAGGATTTAAGTATATTCGTGTGAAGGGTGGTATACTCCGGGAAGAGTATCCTAAGAGTCGAAATTGCATTATATATAAATGTTGCGAATTGTTTAGACACGCTGCGCAATCGTGGATGATGAAATTATGGAGATGTATGAACATCCACAAGATTTTCTTTGAATTTTCCGTATTTATTTATTAGAGTACTATCACAGAATTTGAGTTTCCGGGTGTACAGTGGGCTGTTCAACTTATGAAATTCTAACGGAAACATAGTATTTAAGCATATCCCATGGATTGTCACGTATCATGCGGGATGAATGGCCGGTCCTGTTGACATTCATCCATTGAACTGTTGAAGCAATGCGCGCGTAGCTAATACCTTAATTTCGGCCGACTAGCCGAACTATGACAGAGAATTTTAGATTTCTTGTGGGGTATTTGTTCCATACTTTGCTGCTGTTTCCTGGGGGTGTATACACTTAAGTAGTATTGTATGATATTTTAGGCGATGTAATAGAGGCAGGTAATTGATAACGTCCAAGTAAAGATTGTTTAACAAGTGAGTCACGTGATAGAGGTGGTGAGGTAGATTGAAAGCTTAAAGCTTTTAAAGGCACCGGTTTTACGACCACATAAAAACTTATACTTAACAACCACCATCCCCAAACCCAAAGACTAAGACCGACGATAGAACAGACAGCCAACAACTACGTGGCTACATCGAGAACCCACTCTACAATGTTATTATTCTCTACGCTTTCCAATCTTGCGGCAGAGTACTTTCAGGCGACCTCAGTATATGAGTATGACTGGCATAGAATCGCCGTTACGACAATCGTTGTGATAGTGTTGATACTTTCCTCCTGGATCTATCTTGAGTCCCAAATCGCCTGGTCAGGGTGCCCTAAAGATTATGAAGAACGGCCCCCAAGTCCTACTCGCGGACCATCCCGGATCTGCCTGTCCTGGGTCTTCCCATATGGCTGTACCTTAAACCGCGGTAGCACATTCTATATCGATTACCGCAACCCGGATAGTCTGAGGGAGGAGTTAAGTCGGTATGATATGGATGGCAGTACGTATATCGTCACGTTTCATTCCCATACTCCATCTAGGACTTTCGTTGTTTGATTCCGGGTTCATTAATGACGGGATGTTTTCTCGCTGCTGTAGTTGTGGTAATGCCGGTCTGGAAGGGCACTATTTTCGGGCCTGGAAAAGTCCTTCTCGCAGACGACGGTATCGAAACATTAGACCTTCTTCGGGTTTCCGCCCACACCATTTTTCTAGCCGTTTACCCTAAAGAAGCGTTTAAGGCGGTACTTACAACCGGATGTCCTCTCTTGGAAATGTTGGTAAATCCAGGTCCAGCTTGGGATAAACCAAAAAGTATGAATGAATTTGTGGATATGGTTGAAGACTTCGAGGAGGAGCACGGTAAAAGATGTGAGTAAATTCATAAGGACTTTCCGTAAGTTTATCGATAGCTAAACTCGTATTAGAATAGGAATCTCGAAAAAACCTTAAGTGACCTTATTGATATACCCGCACGATCGTACGAGTACCCGTGTTTCTTGTCGGTGGCCTTTGGATAGAACTGGATCGATGTCGGTATAACCCGTTATAGGGGTCCGTGGAACTCGAAGAATCGATGTATTTGGTAAATCAAATATATCAGATATATAGATACTGCCACGATATATAAGACATTTTTGTCGCTAGTGATTGTCAGAAGTCCCAGCGTTTAGCCGCTGTAGCAACATTCAAATTCAGCTGCTCATTTTGCAGCAATTATCAGTACTTGGCTCCCATTGTCCTCGCACCCAACCCACCTTACTCTCGATACCCTGTACCATCTTCGTAATACCGATCAACTTTCTCCGTTGTCTTCGTTTTTCTTCTTATTAGATATAGTTGTTTTACCATCCAAGAAGCCGTCGCAAACATCGCTATCCAGATCCCCATCATCCTCACTTCCATCACTGCTTTCTTGTGAGAATGTTGACAAGAAATAAGAGAAAAAGCAGCGGCATGGATGCCCTAGATATGGAGAACGTAAAGTTGAAACCCAGGCCAAGAAAGCCACGGAGGAGCCAGCCACTTCTACCCATAGCGTTGCCTTCTGTTGCCCAAGGCCTAGAGCACCCCCCTAGAGCTGGTGGCGACTGTGATGTGGCCCTCGCTCCTGCCACCCCTCCTCCTGCAATCCATGCTCCTGTCGGGCTCGCACCGGCGGCATACGGGATCTTCGATCCCGACTATCGAATTATTCCACCAGAAGAGCAAGCTATTGGAGAGCGGCTGAGTATTGTCGTGGAGGTACAGCCGTTCGTACTTCCGGGGTTTAAAACACTTTTGAGAGGGCTTAGGATTGCATATGACGTGCATGCAGACGGGGAATGGCATCAAGGGATAGAACGAGTGGTTCTCCATCAAGAGGCGAAGAGGGCGAACGAGATCAAGCCGGATTTGCTTCGACGTGTTGGTTGCTGGCTGCTCCCACGAGCCTATGCTCTAAAGAGCATTGAGATACTGGTACATTACTTATTATAATCAAACCCTAAACCTTCAATGTGTATTTCTGCTAGTTAAAACTCTAACTTACATACCTTTATCAATTTAGACAACCCCACTAGCCCCGAACGATAACTACTATTGGATTCAGATTAACAATGTTAACCATCCCCATTTCAATATTGTCCAAAACTGCCATCATAACAGTGACGAAATGATGTTTCATATTAAGATTATATTGAGGCAAAGTCTCATTCTGTGTATTGTGGCTGTCTACCTAATCTTTAAGGAAGGTGTTGAAATATATGCCTTACGGAAGTTGCTAAATGAGGTGGCCGAAACAGTTGTAAAGATAACTTTGGCGGTTTTTGCTGGCCTTGGAGCCATTTACGGTGTCTTGGCAGGTATGGCGTAGAAGCCATACCAACATCTAATGCTAATAGGCCTATAATCGTTTATGGGCCGGGTCAGATCGATATCTACCCCGTTCACAATCTGGCTGCTATGCGAGGTTTCGACGGGGATGGAATTAGAAACGTTTAAATACGAGTAAGTAAAACTATACCAGTAGTCTGGTATTCAGCGGAAATATACGAGCCTATGTCGCGGACGGCCCACGTGCATTTTCCATGCTCTCTGAACGGTCGAGGGTGCTTATATACAGAAGTAATGGCGACAACAAGAGTGTTTTGTTATGATCTAATGAATTAGTGACCTAGGGAGCTATTAGCTTTTAAAATGCGAAATATTGTGGATGTGAGTTAAATTTCCCAGCCAAACAGCTTTCAATCGAATCTTTGAGTTCGTAGCTTTCCCATGGCAAAGCCCAAGGCCGTTCTATCAAACCTTCCCAGAATTTAGTGCTTGGATGCAGATAAATTGTTTTTACATGCATTACCGCGAATCCCCCGAGCTGTCAGCCAGGCTCATAGCTGATGTTAAAATGTTACATACCTCACCCAACAAATGCATTATCAATCTCGATGGGTATCAGTACCTTCGCCCGAAGTCATATATTTCCATCGTATCAACGTTAACTCCAATCGTCGCCGAATCCGAAGTTACATCCGCCGCCTCGTCATCATGCATGATATCGTTCGTAGCAAACCGATAAGATCGCATTTCGCAAACCTCATATCCATCCCCCTGAACAAGAAAAGCAATAAACCCCCGATGCGTGATAACCGCAATATTGTGGTACATCTTCGAAGGCTCTTTTGAACATTGTTGAACTCTTTCCGCACGTTTAGTGGCTTCGTTAATATTGTGTGGGGGGTAGTTCCAGTCTCCTGGACACTCTGTGAAATTCAACTGGGGAAATTTTGCCGATAATTCTGCCTTTAAATTTGAAAGACCTTTGTTGCAATTTGCACCATGTGCTTCACGTAGGTCGGGCCAAATCTGAACCTCGGGCTTAGGTACTGAGGTTTCGACCGGATGAAGAATAGATGAGAAACCGTTTATGGCAGTCTGAATAGTACGCGTCATTGGTGAAATAACAACCAGATCTGGGACGGCGGGTATCTTGGTTGCCTTAGTAGCGTTCTCTCCTGCAGCTGTCAAAGCCGGATCGCGATGAGGATAGTTGCGATCGATATTATATTGTGAAGAGCTTTTCTGTGACTAATGATATGGACTATGGGGATAGACACCGTGAAATCGTTCGACATATGAGTAAATCATCATATAGATATTAGGATATACCTAATACTCACTCTTTAACTTTTAATGCGAGCTAAGTATATTCTCAGTCCTAGCCGATAGAAGCTAGAAGCAGTGTTTTGATGGATTTATCCGACTGGATGATGAGAAATTGCCAGGGCCCAAGTATGCAGGGCATGGAATGATCAATTTAGGTCGAAAGTGGTTATAGAAAGGGAAGAAGAGTAAGAAGAAGATATTGATAGGAGACACTATGTGTTGTGCCCGCCTCCATGTAAATACTTAGTTAGATGAGTCAGCTAGAACTTAGAACAATACATCGATCATCCATCACCCCTCAAGTACAAAAAAGAAAAGGAAACAGAGAATAAAGGATCAAGAAGGGTTATTCTTAGAAACAAGCCGACCACGTGGCCCGTAGGTGGAGACTATCCAAATAGCTATAGATCATCCTGGGCTAAACTCTGACCTATTTAAATCCATATTGGTATTTATCCACGACACTGGGATTGAATGGGCGAAGTGAGAGTCGCGAGAGAGGAACAACAGGCCCTTATATAATTATCGTGGGCCAGTAATATATCTGAGATTTTTAGTTCGATCTATGGCGTCCCAAATGTGTCAGATGTTTTTATGTATATGTTGAATGAAAAATTGGGCCCCTTAACCACGTTTGGGAACCACTCTACCTACTTTCGGCCACACCAGGCGCCCACACGCCCTACTGTCTGGCCTGCTGGCTGGGTTGTGGGCCGGTTCGCAGGCGGGTGGGTGGGTAGCCTGTCTACCAGCCCGTCTACCAGCTTGAAGACGTGCGGGCTAGCCTGGGAATACCAGCCTACGGGCCAGTCCCCGGAACGCGTGGGTAACTAGTCTGGCTCAAAATATGTTGAGTGGTTACCAAATGTGGTTGAGGGCCCACTTTTCTGCCCGACATATATATAAAAACATCTGACACATTTGGGACGCCATAATAAAATTGGATGTGTTAATAAAATACATACTCCCTTCGATCGCGCGATCTTGAGCTACCATTTCGTCCGGATACAACGTCGTTATAATTACCAAGATTTCGCTTTTTTTTGCTAGAGCTACGCATTCTGTTCGGCTTCAAGTGGTAGATGCGATTGCAACAGTCGGCTTTTATTCTTATTACCGACTACTAGGCGGTCACACCACGACGTGGCCGCATCAAAGAAGCAAAACGCCAAGGCCACCAAAGAGATTGACATCTACCCCACCGGCCTAAGGATCCGAGTGATACACCAAGCAAGCCCCTCCTCACGTAGCCGTCATTGATTCTACGCGATGTCCGATATTACACTACGACCAAAGATCCTAAAGTACATCCGAAAGAAGGACGAAAACGTGACAAACGCTTTAATACATGCCCAGTTCAAAGTTGAATATTTCAATGAGAAAACGGAAAATTGGACGGCAACTAAATTTCAATCAACTACATATGTTTTGCGAGTACGTAGATTTTTAGCTCTAGCTCTCGCTATGATAGTCGGAAGAATTGTGCTGAATTCCTATTTAGGATTTATGTACCACCGCTCTTAAGCAACAGCAGTGTTTTCTAGAACCTGGATTTAATAGTTTCAGGTATCAAAACACAATGACTATTGAAAATCTCTATAATCAAGTTTTGATTGAACTTGAACAAGGTCTCTGGTCTCCAACAATGAAATCAATAGTTTATGATATGCTTAAAGCTACAGAATTTCCTGGTCACGTTGACGATATGTGGCTTTTTCAGTGGGCTCTGAGTAAAGCAAAACAGAAACTAGACCGAAGAGATAAAGGGAAACGTAATCCGGAGGCGAAAGCGGAAACGGAACCGGGGGTAGAGGGCTCCACATCCAGTAAACACAGGGCCTCAAGCCCAGGAATACGTAGGGCAGAGAGGGAAGGCCCAGACGCCGGAATACAGAGGGCAGAACGGGAGGCGGAGAAGTTCGAAGGGGTAAATGAACAAGGGAATAAAAGCTTCAAAGCAACTTCTTGGCCCCGAATCGCAAATAGTATGCATTCCTACAAGTAATTCAATTTCTTTCCAAAACGAGACTGATAGAATCGAATGGCAAAGTTATCCACGACAAAGACGAATTTCCTCTGAGTCAACCATCTTGGGAGCGTCTTCCCGATCATCATCCAGCTACACCCTTCAGGAAGTTTCAGTAACTGCCTCAGTACTCAAGGTAGTCTCGGAGCCAGAGCTGCTCAACGCATCAAATTTTCACAGGGGTAGTTAAAGAACATAAATAAAAATTATTGCTTTAGTTGAACAACCACGCAGTACATGAAGATGGGACAAGTAGTATCTTTCGTGTCAATAGATCATACATATTAGGTAAGAGATCCACCAGTTTGGCCTGGCACCGCGAGACCACACCGGTTCGAATTTTCTTAGATGGATATTCATTAGCTCAGTTCGGATATTCGTAGATTTCCCCTAGGCCGTATCAAGACCCTAAGGTAGATATCTTTTCTCATCTTTCGTCTCAAATCTAATCAAGTCCTCGCTTCAGGGAGCTACAAGGGAAGCAGAGCTAGTGGCGTTTTACGTACACTATTTGACCACTCGAGTCCTTAGATCACCAACCTAGTACCAAGGAAGTCTGGTGAGCCGTCTTGTGCTGACCGGCTTTATCAGCTGCTCCTATCTATAGGCCCCTGTCTGGGAATTGTCGGGGCCTTTTAAGGCAGACTTGAAAATATTCTAGGCGACGCAAGTCCATGCATACGCATACCAACTAGCCGCTATCGATATATCGACGATACCGCCCTTTCATACTAGCGTGCTTCCGTCGGTCCTGACGGGCTGCCGCCATGTACGCTAAGATCACGATCAGATATGCACAACTTGAAAGAATTTGTAATCAGCCTCAATGGGACGAATTCCGCTTGCATAGAATACTATTCGGTGCCATTTTTTTGCTAGCTTCGAGTTTGTTTCTGCTGTTTGGTGTGCAACTTGCATAGTTAATCAATGTGTTGTTTTACCGAGCCTCCGCCTCGAGCGCCTGGATTCGAGGCTATACTCGAGCTCCCACCCTGCAGCCGAATACGAGACTACCTGCAGCCATGCAATCTCAATACGTCGGAATCAATGCAAACTCGTCTGCACGAAGATGTTAGATTACTATTTGTCATGTAATGATCGGGACATCCTCCTAGTTTTTCTTTTGATATGTGACCAGGCGCTTTCGATACCGCACACCCGGACCGACGAGTAGAGGCCAAATACATCCCTGTTATGCATGAGCCTGTATGATTCAGAGCAATGCCACGAAGACAAAATTAAGCGGACCTAACCTAATCAGCTGATATCAGTTGTTAGCCTATCAGCCCCCGAAATGCTGTGCCGGCCCTCAGTGGCAGACATGCCGCCGATTCCCAAGGCAGCTGCGGTTGCGGCATGTCCTCGCGTAAACTAATACCCCATGTCTTGAGCAGAAGCTAGAAGCTCAGAACACTAAAAATTGGAAGGAAAGGAGTAAAAAAAAGTAAAAACAGTAACATGAATGTAGAAAAAGAGACTTTGAACCAGGGTGCAAACAAGCCATGGCCTCGAACTCGTTAGAACATGAGCACAGTCGATCATCCCAAGAACTTGATTCACACGGGAGAAAGGGAAACACACCTACTATATTATGTTATCACAATAATAATTATTTGCTAGATGTAATTCTTAGCAAGGGATTAGCGCAGAACCAGCAAGTTTTCTTGAACCCCGAATTATTTAATATCAGTATTTATGCGTACAATTATGTTTATGAAATGTGGGCGTAGAGCCCGAAGAATGAACCTATTGTAAGAATTTTAGCCTATCATGAATAGTTTAATTGGGATTGAAAAGTCCTTGTGCAGTGCAGAAAGAATAGTTTCGAGATTTAGCTGGTTTAAATGATATGTGCAGCGTTAAATGTGGTTTTTTGGTTTATATTCCATTGAATTAATGGGTCTGATTTATTTTTATTCAGATAGTTGCATTTCTAAGCTCTATGCTTGTTCCAGGAATCAATTTGTCCCGTTTTAGCCCAAATATTACGCATTTTCGTTCAGCCTGTAGTACGAAATTGATGTTTTTGTACTGCCTATTGTACTCTGTTATTCTTTTATTTATTTTTTTGGTACTCTGTTGTTTCTTTTTGAAATTGGATATCTTCTGATATTTTTATACTTTTAAAAAAACGTATTCGCTTATCTTATAAATTTTTCCACTCTAGTGCCCGAGTGCTAACGTGTTCGAAATTTTGTTGAGAACTATTGTTTAAGCTCTTAGTACTCAGGAGGATTGCGTAGCTATTATAATGACGGTAGTTCTTTTTAAAGTTGTGGCGATCAGTCTTTTATACTGCTGGTTTATCTTCTTGTTCTACGGTTCTAAAGCCAAAGGCAGATTGTGCTAGTATTATTCTTTAACCTCTGGTGGCCATGGCCGTCGAGTCAAGTCTTTCTATTATTGTATACATCTATTAACATACTCTTTTCTCCTTTTACTTGAACAAAATCTGAAGTTATATATTCTATTAACGGTTGATTACTAATTGTGATCTATAGTTAATTCCGAAAGCATACTTTGCTTTGGGGCAAAGCTCCTCGACCTCTCTAAGACGCCCATTTTCGAAAAGGGTTTCACAAAACTTGCTAACGCCTCGCCGTTAGGTCCTCGGATAGTATGCCCCTTAATAGGCTCATACGTTATACAGCACCTACTGCTCCCACGCTGTTCGTCCTCCAAATTGGTACATCCCCTCTAGCTCTCAAAGCTTTGTTTCATGTTGATCACGTATACGGCGATATTGATACATACTTAAGTAGAACTTTCAAAAGGCTGAGAAGAGCCCTCGGAAACATGGGTCGGATTCAAAATTGGACGATTTCGTTTGGGAACTCGAGTACCCGACTGTTTACAAGAGGGATCCCTAATAAATAACCGAGCGAAACAAAATGTCGCCCTATAGAAAAAAAGTAGCAAAAAAATCTATTCTTTTCACGCGACATGATTCAAGATCAGATCAGAATAGACTAATCTTGTAATTTATATACAATTACTTAGTCACGAAACCGCTTATTTAGCTACCAGCGTACCAGTGTAGGCGGTTCACTAGCTAACAGGCTCGCTGGAACTTGGGTGAGCAGACCCGAAATTAAAAGATTTTATAACAATATAACTACTGAATTGTAATAATAACGCTGTGACTTGGAATTATGATTTGAAGATTTGGCATTCGGGTTTAAGCGCCGCCGCAGGCGGCCTACAAGCTATGTTCAACCCGACATATTTGTCGGACGACAAAAGCGAGTTGGCATCGTCGGCTGGTCTCGTTGCCGTCGGTCCAATTTTGTGTTGACTGTTGGGTAAAACACATTCGTTCGATATCTGCAAGGATGACGAAAGTGGTAGGGGTATGCCCCGAATCAAAAAGGTGTCAAAAAACACAAAAATGAACTCTCAGACGGGGAATCGAACCCCGGTCGTCCGCGCGTTGTTTTTTTTGGTTTTGTTGCTTTAGGCTTGAGTCTTGTAACTTTACACCTTCCCCAACTGACAGGCGGAAATCTTGACCACTGGACCATCTGAGACTGATATCGGTGAGCATCTGGTTGTAATATTTATAGATCCGTACTCGAGATATAGATCCGAGAAACTGAGAAGTGACAAACCCCCGTCAACATTGCCATCAGGTCTCCGATTCGCAGTTTGCCGCATAGCTTCGACATAACTCCGTGGTCCGGGCGTTTATTTTATTTGATCAGCTATTAGACGGCCTGGGTCGGTCTCGTATCAGGTTTCGTACATATATATGCCAGCGGTCAGTCCGCCGGTGCGCAGTCGCATACTATCTCTACGCCAAAAATGACATCCAAGGCGTATACGTGTATACCTAGGTCGTTGGCAACACAAGTGCGGCGGCGAGGGACAAGAAGGAGGAAGTGACGTCACAGTGGCAAGACCCTGTCGCACTTTTTTAATTCAACAACGAGTCTGACCAGTCAGTTGGGGGCGAACAGCAAGCGACGTCGACGGCTCGATACCATAGATTTGAGCTCCTGGGATCATAGATTCACGGCAGCATGAAGATATCATGTTTTATACAAATACATTTTAAGCAACCCCGTACACACGTTTTGTTTAGTATCATGTTATTATTCTCATATTTACAAGTCATATTTACCTTTGGTGCTTACGGGAATGGCGCAATCATCTACTGAGAGAAAAAAATTGTGTTCAGTTAGTACGCAGGTTTGGTATGGTTTGTCGAAGAGCCATCATTGGTTCCCCGTATCCAATCTCGCACCAGATTTAGCCCCCGGTAAGGGCCGTGGTGGTAGTAGGTTGTTGCCAAATGTATAGGCGGTGGTGGTTGCTAGCTCGATCTTTCAATCTTTGATACCAGTTTCCCCGTCCGGGCTTCGTAAAGAGGCCTTATGACGCGGTATCCGCTTAGAAACATATCACAATGCCCGTCAATTCTCAATTTAAACAACCAAAAGACAAACCTCAAATATATGCACAAACAAACCGGTCGTAATTCAGTTTTTGGGGGCCGGGGTGGTTTCAGGGTTGCTAGCTAGTAAGGCCTCAATTTCCGCGCCTCTGCTATGCTTCTTTTCCAAGGACACTTCCTGATCCGGTGACCCAAACTATAAAAGCGTTACTTTAGTTGACTCAGCCCGTGGCGCGTCATGTTCGCAATGGGTTGGGGCAGTACTCTCATATAATCCAGCTGGATGTGATATGCAAATATTTGCCAAGCACAATGACATTAACAATTCTAAATTCTCTAGGTATATCATCACAACACAGTTTTAAAATAGTGTACCCCACAAATATCTGCTTCTTCTATTCTATACTTAAAAAGAAACCATGGGGAGGTAATCGACAGATTTCGCGAGAGAGGGAGGGCCGTTTTTCCGAGCGCTCGCAGTATATGTCACCTTTGAGAGCGCTGCTGCTGTTGCGCCTGAAGCTTTGAAAATATCCTATCAAAACTCCTGTCCTGTGGTAATGATGAACCGGCAGTATAATTGAAAATACTCAAAAGAACAAGGTCAAGGGGCACCAACAAGAGTATGTGCGACCGTCAGCAGTGCTACTGATCTTTGCTCAGATGGGGATGAGTAATATGGTAGTGAGTCGCAGTTAGGATGGAGGATTATTGACGGAATAGTATGTGAATTCACTTGTCGGCCAGGTGCCAGAACACACCCACGCTGAAATACACACCACAACACAACACATCCACAAAGCCTAGTATACAAAGGCCAACGACTGTCGATTTGACAGTACCGTCGAGGAAATCAACGGCTGATATTGCGATTAACGTTGTATGCTTGTCCGGAAAGTTTTGGCTCGCCGTGTTCCTGTATTCAAGCTACGGAGCCCCGACAGGATGATTGGTCGCCCCTCGCTGGTTAATGGTTGCTTAGTCCCTTTCACTGACTGTTTTGGGAAGCATTTCCTTTTTTGTGAACCTGGTCGTCTTGTGAACTTTCAAATGCAACGTTTTTATGTGTTGAGGACAGATGTCAGTCAGGGTACAGTTGTGTTGCTGCACATTCGTGCTGGGCACGCATAATAGTTATTATGAGTGGAAGGATGCTCATGATTAATCTAATATTATATTGCCGGGCTTAAGATCCCCGAGATTCCTGGGTCCCAAGAGTTGTGACGTCAAAATTTAGATTGGTTATGGCGGGAAGGGGGTGCAGAATTTAGAAGGTTACGCGTCGTTTGCTGACGTCGCTTCCTAGGCCTATTATGTAGGTATAGGTTTAGTATCGGTTGATCGTGAAATGCTAGATCGATAGTTGTCTAGGTCTTCCTTAGTAGTAATAATAATTAATTATAAGAAGGAGACTTTGAAAAGCCCCGGGGGGGCGAAACCGTCATAAATCTCACGTAAGACAGTTTGAAAACCACCATAGACCTCATCCCTATCCCACTCGAAGGCCCCATCCCACCTCCCCTGTGCTCGGAGCTGGGGAGTCACCGAAATGGCTGATAGCTTACCTCGAACTGATTTAGGCCCCATCGCATCATGGTCACGCTGAGTACTAGCCTTAGAAAGCTGATTATGGCCGACGTTGTCTTGACGGCGACTTAATCCTTCTTTATGAGGATGGCTCCAAAAACTAAATATAATTCAGGCAAGCAAAATCGAGTGGGCTTTAATACACCCTTTAGCGGCCAGTGTTATTTCGACGTGTCCGATGTTATTGACAACGTAATATATCGAAACGTTCGCGTGGGTCGTTGTAGTTTAAAAGTATGCATCGTTCTATACGTGTAGCTGCGCCGCGGCCCAACCTGCTGTGACAATCTAAATTCTATACTCTAATGGCTTCCCACGCAGTTCTGGTTCTACATCACGACTTGCAGCCGAAGATATTCCACCGCACTTCGCCACCGATTTTCCAACTAGCCAACGCAGGCGCAGACATGTTGGTGGCGCCGGATGCACATGCAATAGTGAGGCTGGCAATCAAGGTAGGGTACCACGCCCCCCACTGGTACAGCTTCAAGAGCCCCACTCAGTATCTAGCCTAGAGACACCCGGGAAAGCTTCCCAAGGCTAGGTACCTCGTAACTCTGGGTTAATTACGCCATGGTGCCGGGGCTCCACCTGACTTATGCCCTCCTACGCGAGTCCGTCCCATATTCCAGATTTTGAATTCGAGTATTCTAGTGTCACACCGTAGTCGGTTCGAACTAGTAGTAAGGGTTTTAGAAGGGCACCAGCTGATCAGACTCAGTTTCATAGTTTGAGGTACCGGGTTCGAAGACGATATTTCCTCGATCTGGCACGGTTCTTTGCGTTGTCTAACTAGTCTGGGGCAACCAATACGGACCTAAGTGCCCATAAATGTAATTAATCTCAACTACACAAGAGGTAGCGAAAGAACCTTTAGCCGTCACAAGGAGTGGGCTCGAAAATCGACAGGATTCACTTCTTCCTTCGAAAAGCTGATTCTAGAGTTTCTAAAAATTTAAAGGCCTTTTAAGCCCCCACAGTCGAATATTCTAGATCTCGCGCTTACTAATTAATCTTGTTATTAGAATTCGACGAGATGCCGTGGTCTAAGGAAGCTGTGATAATAGTAGTGCTGTGGGCTAGATACATACTAGTTTGGTTTTCGGTCTTAGGTCTTAATGTGGATACTCTCAGGAATTCAAAAAGTTGTCAAGAACTTAAGTGGTTCTGTTGGTCACAGTATTGGTATTATCATTAAAATCCACGACACCAAGCAGTCCCATAGCGGCGACATGGGAGTATAATTCTTCGAAAACTCGTGTGGTTGATTTTGGTTTAATATATGCATCCCATTGTTCACTAGCTATGGTAGTGCTATAGTTGGCGAGTGCTTCTTCGCCACCATCCCCAATAGTGCTTCATCCTCGCCTGATTTTGAGGTTTGTTAACTAAGAATTAGTTTCTATGCACCTTTTTGATGGGTGACGAGTGAGTGCCGCACACTATCGCACTAGTGCGTGGCCGTGGATATTTGTTTCGCTTTCATCGGGTTACAATACAATTGAGAGGACTTAATAGACCGTCCGAAAGCCAACACTACATGAAGTGGGTTGACAGTTCGAATTGCAACGATGCTACCCTACTCGCGAACTTCACCTGACGGCCTTAGGCCTGGGCCCCTTCCCCAAATCCGAGTATACGATGGTATATAAATAGACTTAAGAAGTTCAATATTCTAGTGTCACTCTGATACACATAACGGTCTTGATATGTTTTGGGAGTATATTACAACAGTACTTGAAGGAGTCGTGTTAAGGTTGGTGTCACGACCTCGCCTCAAACGGGTCCGTATATTTAGGTTAGCCTCATGGACCTGGACCGCTCGTGGACCTCGAATCAAACGAATTCACCCGTATGTGCCTGGTCTTGTGTGACAGGCACGGCATATGTTATAAGGCTTGGTGGTTTTGGCGGCTTTAGCCCACGTAAGATGATGTAGGAACAAACATTTTCCCATACAAACGAAATGACCCCACACATAAAAGGTTTTTGTTAGTGTGGATCGTGGTCTCGAAGATATATACAGCTGGAAAGTTCTTAAATGCTTTTGCCGTGGGGTTTGCAATTAGCTAATATAATGGATTTCTGTGAAGCTTTGTGATACCTCTTAAGATTTCTAGTTTGCTTAAAAGGCTGAAAGCTTGCATATATTTGACCGCGGGGGGCCCGGGGATTAGTCGACCTATGCTAGACCCGTTGGGTTTGCGAGCAGGTATCCTGAAGAGTTTCGCACTGGGGATTCGGGCATCTCCTGGACTGCAGTAGTCTGGGTTATGTTTCTACGCCATTTTAAGAAGATCTATGAAGAAAATGTAGAGGTTAAGTCGCATTAATTGGCCGAGCTTTATCTCAGCGAGCAAGTTATACTAATTTCACAGCTATTGGTATTATTTCAAGAACCGTCTCAGCGTAGCTCAAAGCTCTCGCAGATATCATGTGCATAGAGTCTGTAACGGTCATCGAAAGAAACCAATTACATTTTTCGCAGGCTTTTCTCGCTGACTCCGCCCTCATTATCCATTTTTACTCTCAGTGGCTGACAGTACTAAATAACGATAAGATTCATGATTGATCCTCTCAAGGGGCACGGGTTTTACCCGGTCGCTTGGGAACACTCGAGGGCGTAAACTTATGTATGCCTTTCGAGAGGAAGCATGGAGTCTGCATGAATATAGTTATTAAACCCTCCAACTTGCACCAAACAGTGAATGGTAACAAACACCGGGGTCATGTGTCTAAACGCGGGCTCCTTTTATATAGGGCACGAAAGGTAACAAACTATGTATCCCTGCTTGTCTAACCACCATCCAGCAATACGCCGGCTGCTACCGTTCTCCTTGTTAACGACTTCGGCATCCGGGTTTGTACAAGGTTTGCAGGCATACCTTCTAGTTCTCTGGGTGCAGACCCACGCCTTTTCTGCCGGTACGAAGCGCTGATCTCACCAATAGAAAGGCGCCATCCGTCTCCATGCCAATTTATTTCCCGTCTTTTACCATATCGAACGGGCTGAGGCTGTGTGTTCTATTCCAACAGTATCTAGATATTATTTAGCTTTTCTTTCGTTGACTTTTTTCAATGTATATGCATTCGCACGCCAAGATAAACTACGTCAGAAAGCCTCTGGTTTCAGCCATCAAAATTAAAACAGGTACCTGCATGTTGGGGTAACCTTGCTTAAAATATATGCCTTAGGCATAGCGCGAGAGCGGAAATCAGGATACGATCGTTTTGCGTTTTTGACTATGACTAAGGAATTACCTCAGCATTACAATGATTTCATTTACAAATAGGTCTATCAATCTATCGCGGAGACAACATGCATATACATCCGCAATTGCGCAAGACTTCTAACCCCAATAACATAAGCTTTCACTATCCTCCAAGTCTGGAGTACGAATTTGCCTTACAGCGAGAATGAATGGGATTGTATGCGCGTTCCGAGCTGCAAAAATAATGGGGCATATACATACGCCGACTTGGTAGTACATCCTAGCTGCTCCCTCAGGCTCAACTGAATACCTTCTTACTATTAGTCGTGGGTGTGAAGACTCTTTGAAGTGTTAAATCTTATAAGAATTGTATCCAGCCGTACCAATGGAGCCAAAATGACAGAGGTGGCCGGTGGGTAATATATACCCCTCTGAGTCCTATATCAAGGCGAGTTGAGTCGCCCATTAATCCACTTTGCCACCTACTCAATCAAAATAACTTGGGACCATAAACCAATATTGACATGAGCACTCAATAATCATGGCTACCCCGAATATCTCCCTGAAATTATACTCTAATCCGGAGTGCGCTTTTGTCCATCGCGTCATCACCACTCTCCATGAGCTTTCCCTTCCTTTTACTTCAGTCGTCGTTGATCTCGACGTACCTCGTTCAACCTCCTATCTAGCGATAAACCCTCGCGGTACCGTCCCAACCCTCACATTCACCTCCCCGGACTATCATGATAATAAGGAGACAATTTTAACCGACAGCCTCATGATAATATACTTTCTGGGCAATCTTTTCCCAAATCATCTAGCTCCGACCCCAGAAAGAGGAGTGGCCGCTGCCATCAATCGGACGCGGATTTTCTGGTTTGTGAGTACTTGGGAGAATAAAATTACTCCTTTATTCGAAAAAGTATATATGGCTAGTTTCGGGGGTGAGAGGGAAGCGAAGGAAGTTGAGGATTTGGTTGTGGCAGCGATTAAAAAGGAGGTCGAGCCGCTATTAGAGAAGGAGGAAGACGACAACGGAGGGGTATTCCTTGGAGGAAAGGACAAGTTTACGGTGGCCGAGGTATGCCAGCCCTATATCTGGACCCCATCCGTTCACATAGTACCAGCACTATTGCCATAAAGTTTTGGTTTTCATTGGGAATATACGTACGCTGACTCACACGAATATTCAAATATAGATCGTAGCGGCGCCGGTTCTTCTTAGGCTTTTTGCCTTCGCAGATAGCGGATTGCTTCCGCAGTCGTTCAAGAAGAATTTGCTCGATCTACCCAATTTCGGGAAATGGGCACGGGAGCTGGTGAAGAATGAGAGTTTGTTGAAAGGGTGGGATGAAGCCAGGTTTGTGGAGGGGTCGAAAGCCAAGCTGCAACAGTTTCGCGAAGGAACGTTTAAGCCAAAGCTTTGCACATGATCACGGAAGAAGGTTTTATTCTAATTGAAGCGGAAATCTCTACAAGATGTCCTTAGTACAGGTTTCGCTAGCTCGTTTAATCGCTTATGAGAAGCTGAAAATGAGATAAGCCAAAATGAAAATGTTGATATCAGTTTATCTGAGTACCTTGTAAATATTCAGATTGAAGTATGGGTTTGTTGGGCTTTTAGCCTGGCGTCAGAACTATTGTGGGTTTTAGACCCGTTTAAGCTTATTGGTAACGACAACATATGCGAAGGGTCTCTCAGAACTTACTGCAACGTTCGGTAGTGTGTATGCATGTGCTGTGGAAATGGACACCCCCCCCCCCCGATCCCCGGGTATGACCGTAGGTCACGACGTCAATTACGTATTGTTAACACAATCCTGTTAGCCTCGGATATTGTAGTTTCAAAAATGTGCTCGAATAATTTGATCATTTGGGCAGATTGCGACATTTTCTCATAAAGATCGAGGACTCCAGCCTCCTTAAGCGTCTAGTCGTTGTTTACCCCCTTACGAACGTGCCAATATCTCTACCCTGGACGTCACTGCCATCTCCGGTTTGCGTTCTCTCCCAACGACAAGGACAATGGACCCCGTACTAATTCAAACCGCGTACCGTATAATTATATATAATAACAAATGTGCGATTGCAAAAAGATGAAAAGATGAAAAGTACAGCCACCTCGCTGTCACTTGACACCACACGATGCCACAAGTAACCGCCACTGGTCGTCGCCACCGCCACTTGTTACCAACCGTTTCCGAGCCGCCAACACGCAATAAACCAGCCCATGCTGTCTAACCAAATGCACATCAGGTGGTGGTTTCATAGTGTCGGAGAGTCGACAAGGGAACATACTGGTTTTTCGAAGTTGAAGAATTGATCCGATGTCAACAGAGTGCTCGAGTGGGCGGCGCTTTGGCTGGACAACTGGACCTCGCTAAGACTCGGTTTCGTTGTCCGTGTGTAAGTACCCACATACTCGCACAAAACCAAAAATCGAGGCTTTGAATGGGCACATATGCATGTCGCCATTCGCAAAGCAGCACTATAGTCTTCCGCCGGGATCGGATAAAATAATTCCTCTCTATAGATCTAATTGGCTTTGCGGCTCTATTTTTCATGACTACTAAACCCCACTGGGATGAAGTTCTTCAATACTATATCCTGGTACTGTAATTCTGCAGTCACTGGTATGGAGACCTGAGCCAATGATAGCTTCCAATGCGCGGAAAAGACAGCATCCAGAGCGTAATACGTCTAGCTCCGGGAATTAACCCGAAACCTTGATACTATACTCTAATATAGTGGTAAAGGCCAAGGAAGACGACTACGAAAACATTTTGTCGCCTTCTAAAACCAACCAACATTTCTCTAGATTTCTTGTTGTCGCAATAACGTTTTTGTAATCCCGCAATTGCGGTTTCTATTTCCGTTGGATTCGGTGGATAATGTGACTGGCTTTTGTTGGCCCAACATATGCGTGGATCCATCGTTGTATATACCAACTAGAACAATTTTGCGTCCACAATGTTGTAACAGGTTGGGTCGACATGGTCTCGAGGCTAGGGTCGACACGTGTTGTCTGGTTTACGAGACCAGTCGACACCGCATTTGCACGAGTTGCTCCGTTGGAGCTATTTCCCAACGTAAAAAATTGAACAATCACTGGAACCGGGTTCACGAGAATCACGTAATCGTCCCCTCGTTGAGGTTAAAGGTGCTCAGAATTGGAATGGGCTGAGCTCAGTTCCGCGCAACCGCGCAAAGGGACTAATAGATGTTACCACAATGGGGAGTAGCGCTTGTCTCGTCGCCAGACTCCTCAGCTTGCAAGTATGCCTACCGTTATCTTTATGGTTATACAGCTGTTTTCTGGGCTTCTGTAGTTAGTGAAGCTATGCTTTGCACTTCTTTTATCAATATTATGCAGCGTATTGCCAAACGGCAGGCTACAAATAATCAAAATCCAATAAATATTATATAGAATTTTACTATGTCAGTAAAGATAAAAAAACTTTATTATAACTATAAAAAAAACAAAGAATAGTAAGAAAAAATATAATATTCAACATATACTATATATTTAGTGTTACAAAACTAGTTATACCTACGTTTAACAAACTATCATAAGTCTAACCTCAATCAAAGTAAATAAAATAAAAAAATACTCCATATTAACCTTAATATAATAAACTCAAAATTATGCAGACCAGAAAAAAGGATAGATTTATTGATCTACAAAGATTCTATAATAAAAATCGCATGGTTGATTGATTAACCATAATTTCTATACGTAGCTTAGAAGTTAGTTAGATAATTAATCAACCATTTACCAAAAAATCACCGATCCTGGTAAAAGGGGGTACTTACACTAGTTCTTGTTCTAAAAGGTTACCTGGTACTTAAAAACGAGCCAGAATCTTTTCGCTGTGGCGGCGTTTTTCACCTGGCCCAGCTCTAATCTCCAGCTTGAGTCGAATGCAAAGGCTTCACGTTTCGTATTCGTGTCCACGGATATATATTTAAAAGTGTTTGGCTTCTTACCTTTGGACTCGGCGGGGTCGCGAGGTCCAAATGCAATGGACGTTTCCCCTTGATCCACACCGTACTTCAAGACAATACTGTCGCAATCGACGTCTGTATATACGTAAACTGAAGCCACGGTCATGGATATCGCGGATTGAGAATGGAAGGGAAGTTGCTGCTGAATGTTCTCAAGCGCGATTTTCCCGCTTGAGGGAGTGGTTGCAGACGAAGCTCGGATGCCTCGGTACCATTCGTTAGAGTAATCACTGGGTATATCAATAACACAGTGTAGCTGGAACACCGATGTACCGCTAAAGAGTGTTTCGAGATTATCCTCTGCTTTTTGCCTCATTATACCTCCACCATCCTTCGAAGTATACCGAACGTGGAGAACCACGTCGCTGATTGTATCATAGCTAAATTGTTTGTATTTCTTGGGCAACTCGACCCTCCACCTGCTGATTGCTCCAGCGCCCTCGAACGGGACGTATCTTTCATCTTGGAAGTTGAGCTCAAAGATTCCGGAGTCATTATTAGCTGAGCTGGTAGAGATACTCGTTACCGGAACCCTAATGCTTCGGAATCTATCATCCGGAGATGTAGTCGATTCCTGATAAGAGTCTAGTCGAGATGTGCTAGAGCGATATCTATGGTCCAGGAGCCTCAGAACACAGCTGATAGGCTGGTAAGGCCCAGCGATACATGGGATAGAAATTGAGACGGTCTTGATTCGTCGCTGGTAATGCCCTGGGAAATCCATATCGTACAGAATCTCAGGTATCTCAAACTCCGCCGTCCCTGTTTCACGGAGTTCGTGAAGTTGAATAGGATCGATCTGACGAAGGGAGACGTTTTTCCTAATCTCATAGTCGTGAGGCTTCCGTTCCATATATGCGAGTTCGAGCCGCTTGAGGGATAAGTACAATTCCTCTGCGGCTCCCAGCCCCTCTCGGGTCGAGTTCCAGTTCTTATTTAGGCTGATGAACTGAGCACTATCGTCACCTTTCTCAAATTTGTAGGCTCGCTCTGCGCTTCTTGCAATATCGAAGGCTAGGTTGTAGGTCTGAAAATAGGTCTGTCGGTAGGTGTTATCGAGCCAGGTGTAGAGTTCTTCGCTTGTAAATTTAGATCTCAAGAAGTCGTCATATTGTTTCATGTGTTCCCTCTGAAGAATAATTGTGTCAACATCTTTTTGGGCCGCCTTTATCCGAATTTCCTGCGCTCTAATCTGGGAGTCGATGCTATTGAGCTCGTACCCGCAAATATTGGCCTGAAGTCTCCGCTCTTGCACTTGACTGAGCAGGCCCCCTCGTCTTGCATGTCTAGATGATTCAAAAGACAGGTTGTCCGCGTCCACCCGCTTGAAACTAGCGACAGTACTTAAGAAAGCCGCAATGTTCTGTGCCCCGTAGTCGACTGCTGTTCCACACCCTAATGGAGATAAGTTCATAGCTATTGACGGGATGAGGTGCAATACGCTTGCTGCTAGTTCCATTTGCGCTGCTTCCTCGGATTTACTATGGGACTTGTCCGCGAACTCTAGCTCTCTGACTTCGCTGATATTCAACCGGAGGTCGTCGCTCGTCGGTTTGTCGATAGATTGCTCTATCTCCGTGAACATTGTGTTTTCGCCTGGAACTAAGGCAGCATCTTCACCGAGAAGACGAAGAAAGTACTTCATTCGTGACTCAGGACCTCTTCTGCTTTCTTTCAAAGATTCGATTGCTTTATTTGCTTCCCCAAGCGCTAGCTCCTTTAGATCTTGAGTAAGCGCACCTATTGCTAGGTCTTGTTTGCATCTGAGACTAGAAAGAGCTTCTGCGTCACACTTTTCCCTTACGGATAGGTAGGTGCTCTCGTACCCTTTGAGCTCCTGACAGATTTCGAGCGCTTTCTGGAGAACACGGTGGAACCTGTAGTTAGGCATCGGCTGGTCTACATAGAACAATGCAGCGCCTAAGCCCCCACCGTCTCCACTTGACGCAGCTTGCACCAACATTCCTGGGTCGATTGGCGCGTCGAAGAGTGGTAGGTGCTGGGGAACTCCGTTAATATCCAAACATGCCCTAATTTTACCGAGTCTGTCCTGGATAAGCGAGCCTATCTCCTTAATTCTAGGGTTCAGTGGAAGCCCAAAATATCTAGTGGCCCTTAAGCCCAAGATGCTCTTAGCTATCTCTGCTGCAACAGATTGGCTGGTGTTCCCTGGGATATTGTTGGCGCGAACTTTGCCCGCAAACGGGAACATGTACTCCATTTTGATGGAAGAATTTGAGAATGAATCCATATTGTTCTGGTCTATCAACGCTTGGTAAGTCGTCGTTTTCATGGTGCCCATTCTGGCCGGCTCGACCTCCGGATTACCGAAGATATGGGCAGCCTCAATATATAATTGAGTGGCTAGGGGGATGCTCTCCAACGAATTCTGTCGGAAGTAATAGTCTCCGTAGGCAACCAGAGTGTCCAGGTATTTCATAACCACCCATTTCATATATGCTATGGGTCTGTTCCGAGCAACAACGTAGGGTACGAATGGGGCCTTTCGCCACTCTTCGATAGTTTTTCTAGTATCTAAGGACTCAGGCGCCTGGGGATCGCCGAGTATTGAATTCATGGCTTGTCGACCAGAAAGGGTAGAAAAGGGTGGCCACGACCAACAAGCGTTCAAGTCCATAGAAAGATCTTGAGTGACAACAAAAGGGTTGAAGATATACCTACCAACCTCGAGGGCGAGATCGAACTGCTGAAAGCTCGCCAGACGATCCATGATCAACATGGGGACATGAACGGCAAGTTCCCAGTTATATAAAGCAGCCGGGGTTCGCAACTCATGCCAAGTTGTGGTATTTTGCAAGTTACCGAAAGCCTGTGTATCGATTGTACCGAACTTTTCAGCGAACGTGGTAAATAGACTCTCAACTGGGTTGAGGGACTGCTCGATAAGGGAAGGGGCCATTTCATTTGAAATTATTGCTTTATCATTCGTCCCGCTTCCGAGTACGGCGATTATCTCATTCATGTGCCGCTTTGCCTCAGGGTCTGAGTACGTCTGCACTTTCAGATTCGGAGTTATAAACGGGTGATTTTCCGTCCCATCCATTTCCGTAGTCTCGGCTCCCATTTGGTTAGAGAACAAAAGGTAGTCTGAGTCACGCTTGATACGGGAATACGAGTGCAAACTTTGTAGATCTAGTTGACACTTATCCGACTTCGCTTTAACAATCCCACTGGACATCTCGAATTGTCCAATGCGACTGTGATGACTTTCTGAATTCCGGGTTTGCCTGAAGATATTAACATAAAGATTTGTTGGACCAGTATTGCTCGTGAAATGGAATGCGGAGGTCGGAGGTCGAAGGTCCTGTAGAATCTCAGCAGTGGGCACATCTTGATCATCCAATTTGTTTCCTGGCGAGAATTCGAATTGCTCGTCTCGTATCTTGAAGCAATTGTACTCGACGATATAGTCTGATGATGTTTGTAGCGGTGCCCATTTGCCGTCGCGAAACTCTGTCCAGCCTAGATATATCTGGTGGTATGGTATAGTGAAGCGGGTGTCCACGCTAATCTTATTCAACGCCTCAAACTTTACACTCTCCCCATCGGCATCGGATACCTTTAGTTTGGCAACTGCAGTTTTGAATGTTGGCAAAAAGAGGAACAAACGCTGATTCCAGACTACCGGGACAAGAAAAGCACCAGGGCCATCGATTGTGAACCCTTGCGTATCAGTTTCGTGGGTAACAATATTGACATTAATTTCGCTCCATGGAGTCCAAGAGCCGTCGGCCTCCGTCCATTTGCGGTAATAGTACTTGTATGGGGCCCCGAGTGTTCTACCGAAGTAATGTATCGCGGCAGTTTGGCCTTTTAAGTTTCCCGTTTCAAATTTTTCGTTGTATATTGCTTGCATTGCAAGGGATCTCAGGTTGTATGAGGAATAAACATAATTCCTGATTGATTGGTCAATGGTCTCTTTTGTCAAATTCTTCTGCATTAAACTTGACTCAAATTCCTTGAAAGGGTCGGATTTTGTATCCCGCAAGGTCGGCTCCAGCCAATTCTCTGGGAAAAGAAAGGTTCGCCGGTTTGCCTCCCACAACGTGTACTTGGACATCCATGACCAAAGCTTCTGTCGGATGCAGCTCCGTGGAACATTAGGAGCCTCTAAATTTAGCAAACACCGCTGGATAAACAGCTGAATTGCAGATATCGCCTGTCGTAAGCGTGAAGTTTTCATACTAGAGCTCATTTGCACGTCTATCATAAAATATTCAAACAATGCATCAGCATCCAATATGTTAGATTTCCTCATTTCTGGCTGCTGCAAGATGAACGATTGTAGAGCTCGACGACGCCTCTCCCGTAGGCCGTCGTACACCCGCGGCCCAGCAGTTGCGAGCCACGTTTCTTTGGGCGTTTTTGAGTCGTAGATTTTCTCGAGCGTGCCTGCTATCTCGTAAGGGTCTCCTCCTGGTGAACACCATTCTTTCAGCTGTGAAACTTGGATGTCCCAAGGTTTGAGACTGTCCAGGACTCTGACGATATCCCGTATTTTGATGAGCTCGTTTATTTCCGTCACCTTCTTGACAAAACTTTCGAAGGACTTATCGTTCGATTTTTGATCATCCTTCTCTGATTCTCCTAGCGTCGTACCGGGCGAATCAGCTTGCGCGCCGGCAGTCTTAGTAGGGTCTACATCCGTCGAAGTCGTTTTTGTATCTCCTTCCGTTTGTTGAAGGGCTGCGCGTTTCAACTCCAGGTATCCCTTGATATGTTTTTCCGGCCAGCCGGTCGCCTTACTAAGAACGCCAGGGAGCGTTTTATCATCAATGGTAGGGTTATTATCAACGATATTAAAAAGAGGGAGCAGGCCTCCTGAAATTGTTTCTCCTGGACCAACATTATCCCTCAATTCCACATAGCGTTGAATAGCTGATAGCGTCTTTAAATCAATATTTCCAAAATTTATTTCTTGAAATCGTATTTGATCTTTTTCGATGGTCAGAATCTCCTGTAATGTAAGGCTAAAGCGTTCCATGACAAGCCCAAGCATGTCCAGCTTGAGAAGAACGTTGCATTCGATGGAGTTTTGCAAGGTCTGCTCGGTCCAACATGCAGCGGATATTTCAGTATCTGCTGACTTGACGCCTCGCCATCTTAAATTCCCGAATTCGAATGATTTATTCGGAACCTCAAGGAGGTAGAAGTGATTAGACATGAGTGCTAATGGGGGCGTTACCAAGGAGTTGCTGCCCGTATAGCCCTCTGAAAACACGTAAGATTTGCCGTCAATCTTGATAGAAAATTTTTGGTCACCATTTTTGGCTAGTATAAACCGAAAGACATCGGAGGTATCGGGCTTCAGGAAGGCATGCGTGGAAGTCGGTAAAGGAACACCCGCAATACTGTCAGATATGGGACCTCGTGATAGCGCTTTCAAGAAGCCTAGGTCCTCTCTAACTGAAGAATCAAGAGCTGAAGGGAGTGACATAGATGCTCGCAAAAGTAGTCCTCTGATTACGTCCTCGTTCATTCCAGAAACCTTGCAAGAGAGAAGAGTCTGAATAGCTTCTAGGTCGTATTCCTTGTTTTGTAAATTGTAGCTCAAGGCTTTGTAAAACACCTTCCTTTTCTCGGCTGCCAGAATCGACTTCTCCCCTTTACCGCTGCTGTCGGGTTTTAACAGTGTGGTCTTGATAGTCTCTTTGTCGTCAGCCTCGTTCTGTAAGAGCAGTTCTGCAATGTTATTGTCATAAAATTCCTCCATCCCGCTTGCAATAGGGTCTGATTTATGCTCAGAGTTTTGGGGAGCCTGGTTTCCAGAACTCATTGGGCCTGCATCTTCCGGGGCGTCAGGGCCAGCAGGGGGGTTGGCGTATGGCGGTTGACAATTTAAGAAGGCAAGTATCCTGATGACAGTCGCTCGATCAAATAGCGCAGACGCTAACCGTTCAACATCCTCTGAACTAACCTCCGCCGGATTCTTGTACTTCTCAGCTAAATTTCTTGCAGCTCTAGAGAGCCTATCGATAACAACGAGCGATCTATCAACACTGTCTCTTTCCTTACGCGACATCGAATCATAAGCGCTAGCGTCGGCCAAGCAGATGTCTCCGGCATTCCCATCAAGGAGTAGCAGTTCATCTGCGCTGAAGCCATGGGCTTTAAACGTATTCCATGCTCTCAGAAATTTGAGGGTTTGCCCAGGTCTCGCGAAGGGATTTTGGAAGTCCTTCATGAATGGGGACTCCAGGAACGTGCCAAGATCGGCTGGAGGAATACCTGTTATTTTACAAAGTAGAGACAGTCTGTAAATTTGCGAATAGTCTCTCAGATATCGATCAATATCACTGACATCAGGGTTGCCTGAACCGTGGTGATTTTTCAAGGTGGCCTTTAGAAAGCCATAGTCTTGTCGCTTGATCCCTAGGCCAGCTAATAGGCCTTCTATATTGTCTTGAATGGCTTCAGGGGCACCAAGATTCAGTTGAGATGCATCTTTACCTTCTGAGAGGGACTGAAAGACCGGATAATGAGTAGCGATTCGTGGGTCAAGGAATAAGGCGTTGTAGAGCTTTGATCCACTTTTAGGCCTGAAGTCGGTCCAGAATGCCAGCGCTTGGTGTAGCTCCAAACCGCACTCCTTGACAACGTCGAATATGGCCGCCACTTCGACCAGAGTATCGATGGTTAATTCGGGACGTTCTAATTTTTCAAGCCGTTCGCGGCCCCAGGCTGCCAAGAGTACTTGGTCCAGCTCCGATATGGAACAATTGACTTTCTTGTATAGTCGTATGAACTGTTGAAAACGATCCCAGTGTTTCGGATCGAATTTTGATTTGTCGAATTGAACCAACTTCGCTTGTTTCAAGTCCTCCTCTGGGATCTCAATAATAATTTTCTTGGATTGAGAGTCTTCGACGCGAATTTCGCCAGGTATACCAGACGGATCCCAATTAATAAAGTCCGACTTTAGTAATTCTATTAACTCCCTTAATATGATCCCGCTTCGGGCCAAGAACTGTTCTTTGATGAAAGCCAAACCGGTGCGAGTTTCCGATACGTCATTCATATCATCTGCACCAGTGTCTCCAGTATATCCCCAAAACTCGTGTACTCGAGATTGGGATTCTGATGGGGTTTTTGTGACATCAAACTTTTGACCAGTCAATGGTTCTAGATCCTCCGGAAATAACTCTAAGGATTCTATTGCTTGAGCAATCGCTCCCCATAGCCCTACCAACTTCTTCTGTTCATCAGAAGCGTTATCGGCAGAAAATGCATCATGGAGACGGATTATATCGAGACGAGACGTTCCCATTGCCTTGAGGATAGTGCGTGATCGATCAAACGCGTAGTTGTATGGAAATACATCGATCGGAAAGACTGTACTCCCGATTGAACCTTTATAGATGGTTTCGGAGACATAGGTAGGCTTTGCAGCAAGCTGCTCGGACGCTGCTCCATAACTATTGTTTCGAATTTCGACTCCGCTCGAATATAATTCCTTCGGTTTGGTACTATCAACTGTTGTGCCCGAGCCACTTGGATCAGATACGGACGCGCCATTTTTGTTCGGGTTAGCGGCAACATTGTAGTAAATCCAAGACTCCATAACCTCATTCACCAAATCAATATATGGGATAGTCAGTATATTGTTCTCACAGGAGAGTTCCAGATTCAGTATATCCGGTCGCCTTGCCGCAAAGTGCGTCAATAAACTGTATTTTTCATCTTTGACGAGAGGGTCTGACTCCCACTCAGCATTCGTCTTTGTTTGTCTAAGGAACTGGAGCAGGTCGACAAAGTAGGCGAGAGGGCTGAGAACAGAGTTGCAGCCATGGGGACAGAGATCTACAGCGTAGCTCCCAAACAGATTCTCATAGGTTGGTGGCACTATCTGTTGGCTGGTAGTTTTCTCCGTCTGTGCTTTAACAGCCAGCATAACGTCCAAGTCGATTTTAGGTCGCTTCTCGTCGAGAATTGGAATCCCAGTGCCCCTTTCATCATGTATGAGTTTGAAGCCATCAAAAGCGCTCTCGTTGGCCTTACGCTCTGCAGTGTCCCAATATTGTGCAGCATTCTCAGCTGTGAATCGGTTGTTACTGGTGAGTGATGTTTCATTTTTAAATTCGTCTTTAAACGCCTCCTTAGGCTTCCCAACAATATCAGCCGCGGAACAATATCCTTTGCTAAAGATCGAGACGGTAGCATAAGGATTCAGCTCAGTGATTCTATGAAGCACCGCCAAGCTTTCTAGGAGTCTCTTTATCTTTTGTTTGTAGATAGTAGGAACGCCCGCAATCGACGATTCCCCAGCATCTTCTACAAACATGTCGGTGACGGATTCACCCATACATTCCAGTTTGTCTCCGCGCTGCTCTAAGAGCGCTCCCAGAGCGCGTTCAAAGTCGTTTTGCACATACTGTGGAAGCCCAAAAGATTTGCATTGCCAAAAGGCAACTCTCAGCAGAGTACTCCAAGGAGCGATATTGCGCCAGAACCTGATCCATATATGAAAATTATCCTCCTTCTCTGGATCATATGCATCCTGTCGGTACAATTTCATTTGGGGCGCAAAGGGCGGATTCACTTTGATAGCTCCCTGTATATCTGTATACTTTGAGCAGGCTAGCTTGGCAAATATGGTGGGGCGCGGTATCTTGGCCGCAACGCTCACATCATCAACAACGCCAATTGCAAACCATTTTTCCAAGTTTGTGAGAACCTGGCTGAGGTTCTTCGCGATATCGATATCCCCATCCCAGACCTGCGAAGTAGCGGCAGTGAGTATTTTAGAGAAATCTTCTTTCGCTGCGATCCTACTCAAAATAAATCTTGCCAATGGCTCTTCGAATTCGGCGCCACTTTTATTTTGGTTTGCAGCCGCAATGAAAGCGAACTCGCGGTACTGCGCTAGATCTAGAGGCATCTCAGGCGTGAGTCGGGTACGTTAGAGGCAACAATTGCTATGATGGATTCAATTTATCAAAGAGATTGCGGAAATAAAATGATTATGATAGGTCGTCTAAGCTTTTTCAAAGACGATGTATACGTAGTTTATACGCTGGTAAAGCCCAGGAGAATCGAATATATATCCGGTATTAGCGTGCTGCGGAGCCAACAACCTTAAAAGGTTTGCGGCAGGAACGAGCCAATCAGGATAAATGCGAGGGCACCGCGGACCCACTCTGAGGTGCGACCCGACCCCTCACCGACCCGCCCCTTGTCGGATTAGTTTTTGCAAGTTAATATAGGTACCAGGTGCAAAGTAGCTACTCGCTTGGCTAGACCTCGAAGTCAATCATTTTCCAAAATACATACTTGTATTTTCTCCACTGGCTAGTATAATAAGGCCCGAAGTTAAACACAATCGCCAGAAAACCGATTCCCTCGGTTGCGGCCAAGCAACAGCACAATTCTACCTACTTTGATCTTTAATCGATATCCTTCAAATTCGTCCCAAGATATCGTTTAGTGATGGCGGGATCTTTTTATCTCGCCTACGCGCTGGCCAACAAACTTAAAGACTCCGGCCCCGGCTGGCCAACTATGCCTAAAGAGGACGTCATCAGAAGGGCCATTGACTCGTTGATGCAGGAAATGGGGCCTAGAGGCACTTATGTCAAGCTTGATGATGCGTCTGAAATCGAGAAAATCCAGCCTACCTCTGAGACCTGGAAATCCGGCAAAGCCGCGAGCGACTTCTCAAATTACGAAGAGAGCCTAAAACAGTGTAAGTCACTTCCCTGAAAAAGTCAAAACTGCGCGTATGAAAGTTAGTTAGAATAGTTTAGCTAAATTTTGTTCAGTGACGTCAGTTTATAATGAGACACAGGGGGTGATCCAGAAGATCAAAGGACGTTTGGGTCAGGGAGTTAATTCGGAGTCGCAACTTTTGGAGTTAGAGGCTCTGTTTGAGGAGCTCATCATATGCTATAACAGAATGGTATCTCATGTTGATGCTATGTTAGGATTGGTAAATATCGATTCGAACATTCTCTATTTGTTAACGCCGGATGATCGTGATCAGTTCGGACGTTCTCGCGAACCATAATAGATTGGCTAACGTGACAATATCATACAGACATCTCTAGTCCCAGAGACCTGGCATTCGCAAGAATCAAAACTCGAAGAAAAAGCTGTGGGATGGATTAAATCCGTAAAGTACACTCAAGTACAACATGATGAGGACATACGGGCCGTTTGTGCCGCGATATACCCGTTCTTAGCTTGCAGGGCTGAGGCGCTTGAACACTTAGAAATACTTCATGAGGGTGGGTCTCGAAGCGAATCGAACAACTGGGCAATGTCACCGATTGCTAATTTGTACCCGCATTTAACAGCCGTGAAAAACAGTCTCCTGCCGGTTGTTATTAATGCGCGATCGGTGGCAAGAGATTTATATGGCCGCCTTGATAGGCCTATCAATCAGATTGTAGGGGCTTTAGAGAATTCCATCGACCCAGTTAATACCGAAATAGCAAGTTTTCTGGTACCAGGATACTTCAAAGAAGATCAAAAAATAATTTCCGGAATCAAGGGTGACTTCACAGTGGCTATGGGGGAGGTTCCCAGTGCCCAAGGAAACGCCAGTATCGACACTATAAGCAAACAGCTCCCGTTGAAGGTGAAAGATGCCTTAAAGGATACGGTGCAGCTCGGGGCCCTAACGCTAATTGATTCATCAGTCCTGGATAAATTACGCGTATCAATCAGTATCGACGACGCAGGACTTTTTACGCTCTCACGATCTTCTGGAACGTATGCTGGAAAGGCTGCCAGCTCGTTTATGTTGCTCCAAAACACCAGTGGAGTTCTCCATGAATCTATTACAGGCAAGGTTACGGCCAAAAGCGTTTTTGTTCCTCTGAAGCAAACCTACAACTTGGACAACTATTCAACGTTGCTTTTCATTGTCAAATTGGTTCAGAATGAGATACATACTACTCCAACTAACCCAGAATCGCTCAATATCGACTTCCAGCTTACTTCAGAGAATGGAATAGCGGGCGTAAAAGTAGTGACTAAGAATACTATTTTAGAAGAATACACAGCGCAATATATACTAGTCCCGAATATTCCGCCAGCAGTTACAGGCGTGCCCCCAGGCACTCCACGATGTGGTGGCACCGTCAGCTTTGATTTTTATGAGGCGGAGAAAGCCAGGGGCCTATATATACGTTTCCAACCGGGCTTCGATAAGAATAGGAACAGGCCTCGGGTTATAGCAGGGTTCTCAAAAATTGATATATCTGGTGCTGCAAACCGCAGCATCAACTTGGTTGTTGGAAACGTTGACTGTGATGGCTTTGTTCTCTACGTATCCACTGAAGAAAATATCACGCTCGGCGTCGTTAGAGCATACTGGCTGGCTGTGGATACGCAAGTTATTTGATCGAAAGAGTTCACTAGGAGAGAATCGTATCGTTATTCTTCTGTACTCATGTCGATATATATATCTAGTCTCGTTCCCAATATATACCTAGAGGAGATCAAACGAAAGTATTCTCAAGTTTCAAACGAATTCGGCAACATTTATTGAAGCACTTTAATGGTAGTATCGGTGTATATATGGATAACATTTTGCTTCTGACAGACTCAGCATCATCGCACTTAATAAAACTACGGGGACCGCGCCAGTTAGATTTTTACTAACGTTAATAAGTTCTCATACGATTTTTGGGGACTTAAAGTACTTGAAAACAGGTACCTAAATCGCAGGGTCGCCGATGCCCCGCTTTACCCCGCTGGCAGTTTCAGCCCAAATGCATTGACATTGTGAAGTCGAGGTATTATAGGCCCAAATTTAACCGGCCCCGCCCAGATGCGGCCTCTCAAAAGCCACGGGCGGCTACCTGAGGATGAGTGACAGCACAGCTCGCATGTGTTGCCGGCTATAGCCAGTAACGGGCCGCTTCGAATACTAGACTTGAACCGGTCGAGAATGTACAAAACCTCAACACAGACTATTATTAAATCGAACGTCTAGCTCGGACTTCAACCTAAACAATACACTGGCCGGTGCGAGCGAATATTTGCGTCGAATCCACAAACAGTAATAAAACAAATCTCGAATTCGGAGGCTGAAAATAAAGTATTAAGCTCCAAGAATGGTGAACAGTAACGACGATAGACAATCTGCGCATGGGCAAGGCGGCTCGCATAAACCTTCAGAGTTTACGCAGCCTCAGTCGGATAATACGCCCCAAAGGAATTCCCCTGGAAGCAAGACATGGGAACCCCTATACCAAGGCCAGAAGATACCGGAGCTGGGTGTGTCGTTCAACACTTCAGGGAAAGGCGGAGGTGGTCTTCGAGCCATCGGAGAAACGTTTAAAGTTAACTCGTCAAATGGCACATTGGATCTAAGTATTCCTATTCACACTTCGCCAGGACGTTCTGGTTTTGGGCCCTCGTTATCGCTCTCTTATAGCTCTGGGAGCGGCAATGGTCCCTTCGGAATTGGCTGGAGCCTTTCCGCAGGCGAAATAAGCCGCAAAACATCCCACCGCATTCCGGTATATGACGATTCGGACACCTTTTTGATGAACGGAGGGGAAGATCTCGTTCCTTTAGAGGGTCCAGACGGTAGGCTAGATACCTATACAGCCGGTGGATTTGTAGTTCAATCATTTCGACCTCTCATAGAGACTGCTCCAACGCTTATCGAACAATGGACGAATCTTACTGATGCAGGAGATGTGCATTGGAGAACAGTATCCGAAGGCAATATCACAACAATATACGGGCTCACTGATGAGTCCCGTATCTTTGTTAGTAAAGGAAGTAAAAAGCAAGTATATTCATGGTTGGAGTGCCAAACTTATGATGGATGGGGTAATGCGATGGAGTTTAAGTATAAAGGAGAAAACAGAACGGGCGTCGACCTATTGTTACCTCACGAGCAGGAGCGGGGGGATGACATACGTCAAAGAGCGAGGTATTTGAAAACAATAAATTATGGAAACCGCAAGCCAGCCCGGGCAGTGGATAATGACGGCAAATGGGCAATTCTCCCGTTTGAAACAATGGAATGGCTATTCCGAGTCGTGCTAGATTATGGCGAGCACGACGAGACGAAACCTACGGCTCAGGAAGTTGCTGAATGGTCCGTCAGACGGGACTCATTTTCTAGATACAAGAGTGGTTTTGAAATAAGAGAGTACCGTCTCTGTAAACGAATATTGATGTTTCATCATATTAAGGAGCGGCTTCAGGTTGAAGATTGTCTTATTTCATCGACTAGTCTCACTTACAATGAGAATCCTGCAGCTTCCTTAATTTCTTCCGTCACTTATCAGGCATACAAAATTCACAGCGATGAATCCAATACTCAGCATACCATACAGACACTACCGCCATTGGAATTCTCATATTCGAAAGTCACTGCGCTGGAGAATGTCAGCGTTAAATCAATCACTACAGGTCTAGCAGATAGAGTTGATGTGTCGCAAGCAGTCAACAGTGTACAATGGATTGACTTAGACGGGGATGGTACCCCCGGGATGCTGTTGTGTTATGAAAATGGAGGTTGGTTTTACCAACGGAATCTAGTTCCAATCGACGAAGAAAAAAACGTTAGTAATGGCGCACTTGGTCCAACTCGCCTATTGAAATGTCAGCCAAATCTGCATGTAACTTCCTTTAACGACTTAGATGGAAGTGGATATCTTGACGCCGTCTGTATTGACGAGCAGACTGGTATCGCAGGCTATTTCCAGAGAACTGAAGATGACGGATGGTCGGATTTTAAACCTTTTCAATCGTGGCCAAATATCAACTCTAACGATCCGCAGTTGCGGGTTGATTTGACAGGGGATGGTCGTCCAGATATTTTGAAAACTGAAGATAATCCACACGCGTTTTTATGGTATCCGTCCCTAGCAAAATCGGGTTATGACGTTGGAAGACACGCTTGGAATTTGCATCAACTCCCACAATTAGTGTCTTCGGATCCAAGAATCGGGATATATCTGGCAGATATGTCTGGCAGCGGGTCTGAAGATATTGTGCACGTTCAGAACGGGTGTGTCTCCTACTGGCCAAATCTAGGATACGGAAGATTTGGTGCTGAGATTAAGATGTCAAATTCACCAAATTTCGATTACGAGGTAGATTTCTCTTCGAACCGAGTCTATTTCCTCGATATCGACGGAAGCGGCACCTCCGACATGATCCATATAGACCCTACCGGGGCAGCAACCGTGTACTACAACTATTGTGGGAACGAGTGGAGCAAAGGGGAAATGGTTTTTACACTCGACCCAGAAGCAACTCCCCTCACGCTGGATATACTTGGAAATGGCACAGCTGCACTGTGTTGGACGAACTTTCGAAGTGCTCACCCAAATAAAATATATTACATCGATTTCATGGGAGGGAGAAAGCCACATCTTCTTACCAACTACAAAAACGGCATGGGTTGTGAAACCTCAGTGAAGTATAAACCATCCTCGTACTACTTCTTAGCCGACGAGCTGGAGAAACAGCCATGGACAACCAAACTCCCATTTCCGGTACAATGCGTCTCTGAGGTATCTGTGGAAGACAAGATCGCTATGTCGCTATTTGTGAGCAGATATCGATACCACGATGGTTACTTCGACGCAAAAGAGCGTGAATTTCGAGGATTTGGGATGGTCGAGGAGATTAGTGAGGACACCTTTTTCACCAACTCTACGACGCCCTTTAAACCCCCACCGAAGAACAAGAAAGTTTGGTATCATACAGGCTCAATCGCCTTGAGTCAAAATCTTAAGTATGGCGAAGGAAGGCTCAGGCCATCAAAGATTCCGAAAGGGCTACCCTATGACGATGAATATTACGCCTGGAGAGCACTGAAAGGGATGGAACTACGACAAGAAGCCTACGGACAAGATGGCTCTACGAAATCCGCATCTCCATACAATGAGACCGAGACAAGGTATAACGTACGTATGTTACAGGCCAGTCGAGACCGGCCTCAAAAATCGGTCTCAACCCAAAGCGCCATTTGGGGGGATCGAGATCGTTTTCCGGCTACCTTCCGGGTCGAACCCCTCGAATCGATAGCCTGTCACCACGAACGGGCGTATGAAGATACTAGAATCTTGCACGAAATGACTCTCGATGTTGATCTATTCGGAAATCCTACAGCCACCTTGTCTATTGCATACGGACGGCAGCGAAGCGATCTCTCGGACGAAGTTGACAAAGAGGCCCAAGAAGAGGACACCGTCGAGCTCCACGAGGACAAATATGCATCCGCCACCAATGATAAAGCAGGGCTCCGTGCCTCCGCACACGTTAGCAGTCGAACTTCGCGAATTTTTGGGCTCTCTCGTGAGAAGGGCCAGTTACTTGATATTGAGAAAGTTGCTAAGGATCAGAATTCAATAATCCGTTTAGCGAAAGAAGAATCCCTAAACGGCCACAAAAATAATAAAGGTGCAACGGCAGTCGAGGTCTCAAAAGTCTTAATCGCGGAATCTAGGCTATATTTCAAGAATGGAGATATGACGGCTCAGCTCCCATTAGGGAGTATGGATCTATTCTCCGTGGTAGACCAAAGCTACATCTTGAGTATAGATGATGGGCTTATTAAACAAGCGTATGGACCTCAAGAGACTGTTTCCGATTATTCGCTTTCGGCTCTCTTGGAGACAGGGGGTTTCAAACATCTCGATGATGACAAGACATCCTGGTGGATTCCTTCAGAGAAGTTCATGTTCTCAGAGAATGATGATACCAAAAGTCAACTAGAGAGTGCCAGAACAAATTTTTACATCCCCGCCGTCGCCGTGAGCGCTCTCGGCTATAGGGAGAAAGTTGATTTAGATCCATTCCATCTCCTCCCGATCCAAAAATCCGACAATTTAGGAAACCTCGCCACAGCTAGCTACGACTACGCTCGACTTCAAGTGACGGAGCATACAGACCAAAACATGAACCGCCAGTCATTCTCAATAGATGCTTTTGGCTCCGTAGTTGGGATCGCTCGTCAAGGAAAGGTATCGGAACAAATCGGCGACTCGCTGGAAGGATTTAACGCGATCTTACCCAATGATGAGATTCTGGCGTTCATTAAAGACCCCACCACTGACATGGCCGCCACACTCCTAGGAAAATCTTCTTGGCGTATAATTCAATGTCCTAATGGCTACTATGCTTCTTCAAAAGATTCAGGCCTGAGCACTACGCCATCCTTCGAGGCATTGGTATCTAGATCATACCACTACGCGGATAAACAGACGGAAGATCGAGACGGTATATCAATAGTCATAACTTGCTTTGATGGAAGTGGGCATGAAATTGAAAAAGCCAGCTTAGTCACAGAAAAGAACGAAACCACTGCCAGGATGTGGCGTAAATATGCAAGGACAGCAAGGAACAGGGCAGGCACGCCCATTCGCATATATCATCCAAGCTTATCCCCATCGCACATGTTCGATTTTAAAATACCTGATACGGCCCTTTCATTCACATACGTTTTGGACGGCTTGGATCGCGTGGCGGCTGTAATGAATCCCGACAAAACGTGGACAAAGACTGTTTTTGCTGCATGGGCGACTTCAGAGTACTGTGCTGCCTCTACAATCAAGATCTCCGACCCGAGATCTGATCAAGACGTCGGACCAATTATCCAAACGCTCGATGAGCAATGTTATTTGCCGACCTGGAGCCAAATACAGGAAGCCAGCACGGAGAAATGGAAGCAGAACGCTGCGTCGAAAAGTGCCGCCTACGGGACTTCACCGACGATATCGTATTATGATCCAGACGGCCGAGAAATCTTGCATACCCGCCAGACAAAGGACGGAAACCTTTTAAAGACGAGGTTTCGATATGATACGATAGGCCTTCGAAGCGAGGTGGAAGACTGTAGGGGTCGACTGATCGAAACACGTCTTCACGATTACCAAGGTCACCTCCTCAAACATGGTCTGATGGATAAGGGCTACGATTGGACCCTCTACAACATCGCCGGTTTGCCAATCCTGACTCGGAATGGTACTGGCGTGTACACTAAGCACTCGTACGATGTTCTCGGGAGGCTAGTGAGCAAGGAGGTTAAGAAGAGCGGCGCACTGGCAATTCTTGCAGTGAAAATTGCATATGGCGATGAGCTCGAGCCTAGCCAGACGGACCCAGTGTCCAAAAACCTTCGGGGACAAATCGTTTCCGTTCGTGACCAGTCAGGGCTCAGTCGGAATTTAGCCTTCGATTTTAAGGGCAATTGCGTTCGAGAATCGAGAGCACTTGCTGTTGAATATCGTACTGACATCGATTGGAACAAAACACCAGACTTAGATATGGCCCTCGAAACAGTAGCGGAGTTTGACGCCCTAGATCGGCTAGCGGTAGTAACTAACAGCATTGGCAACTCTACCAAGAGGAGGTTCAACAAACAGGGTAATCTAGAATTCGTCGCGTGGCGTCAATCAGTAGACAAGCAATGGCGAACTATGGTGTCAAACATCGAGTATGCCGAGGATGGACAAGTCTTGAAAATCGACTACGGCAATGGAGCCCATACCGAAAATACTTACGATGAAGCATCAAGAATGTTGATTCACAGAAAAGTATGGCGGGAAAGGGGTACCATCTTGGAAGATGTATCGTACTTCTACGACTGCATCGGAAAAAAAACCTATGAGATTGATGCAGCGCAGGAAACCGCTTACTTCAACAACAACGTCGTGAAGGCGGAAAAAGATTTTACCTATGACGAACTTGGCAGGTTAATTCAAGCGAAAGGAAGAGAGCAAGTCTATACAGGTAATGGGAGTCAGAAGGGATTCAGGGCCCCGACTTCTGGCTTTCCGGGATCGAAAAATCAGATTCCTTCTTCTAACTGCGAGCTTGCTATGTACCAAGAGGCCTATGAGTATGACGAGACTGACAATCTGCTATCTCTCAAACACCAATCTGCAGAGAACTCTTCAATCTCTGGCTGGACCAGAGTTTATACATATCAGGAAGATAACATTCTCGACCAAGGCAAAACGAAAGGAAATCGCTTGAGCGAGACATCGTACCCTGGGAAGACAGAAAGGTTTACGTATGATGACCATGAGACCGATGAACGAATTGAGTCATTATCGACTATAGATACCGAAGTTCAGTCACAAGATAAGCCACAGAAATACAGCTATCAAGACTACGCCGGTGGAATAGGGTGTATTACGTCTTTCCCAGGATATCCAAGCCTCGGCTGGGACCACGAGAGCCAGCTCCGCTCTTCCGTAAGACAGATATACCGTGATGGTACGCCACAGACGACTTGGTACACCTACGACTACCGCGGAGTTAGGACTCGTAAGGTTACAGACAGGGCAGCCCAGAAGGGCGAGCCGTTAAGAAAACTGCAAGAGACAATATATAATGGCAGCCACATTATCCATCAAGTTTTCAACGGAAACGGGAGGGATGTCAAAACTCGCACAGATTCATCGGAAGTAGGGGGTACCATAGGGCATTTTGCAGTCATAGAACAACTGAGCAGCTCAGATCCCCTTATTCGATATCAAGCCAACAATAGCCTTGAACTGGATGATTCGGGGGCAATTGTGTCGTATCAGGAATATTCACCGTTCGGCGCACCGACGTACGCAGCGCGGAGAAGCGAGATAGAGGCACCCAGGCGGTACAGATTTGCTGCTTATGAGAGAGATAACGAAACAGGGTTGTACCACTGCGGCGCCAGGTATTATGCTGTTTGGCTCGGTCGTTGGATATCTCCGGATCCTGTTGGGTTAGAAGACGGTCCAAATCTATACGTTTATGTCGGCAATGACCCTGTCAATTACCAGGATCCAGAAGGTACCATGAAAGGAGGTGAGAAAGGCGCGAAACATCCGAGAGGCAACCGAGCTACAGAAAACGAGAATAAAACAGGAAATACTACAGAACACGAATCGGGTGGCCCAGAGAAGCAAGGGATCAAGCTAAAGAAAAAAAAGAAAAATAAGACAAATAACGCCATCAAACTTTATGAAAAAATAAAGCGGCTCCGGGGGCTATATGGCGAGCAGGTTAGTGATGGTGAACGCCAAAAACTTCGAGACAGGAAACGAAACGGGGGTCGCTGTAGGATCCCAGATAGCTCGTCGGAAGCTTATGGCGCGCTAAGCACGGAATTGTATCAGAAACACCAACTTGATGCGAGCAGATTGATGAACGATGTAAAAAATAATTATCAACTAGAAGGTGTGAGCTTCGAACAAGCTAAAATTGTCGCGAAGGGTTCAGCTGTTGCAGAGGATAAAATCTTACTTCAGCCAAAATTTGAACGCAAACAGGGGCAGGAAAACCTAAAGCAACAAATTGGTGGCTCTTTCGGGGAGTTAGCCAACAAAATAACAAATATAATAACGAAATTAAAGTAAGTTGAAATTCCTAAAGAACTCAAACCTACGTGCCCTATGTGTTGTTAACGCCTGTAAAGCGACGTTGTCAGTGGAAGAGAAAAAGTGGAACTAGCGATGCTGAGGGACAAAGAGGTGACGGGTTATGACTCCCGTCACGCTGAAGCCGCGACAAGCATCAGGAACAAAGTCATCCCAGCCTGGAGCTCGCTCCTCGAAAGAGTACAGACGCCGAGGCGATAACTACCGAGGTACATACCTAGCTTTCTATCTCCGGAAAAGCCAATAAAGGCGTCCTGATTTTGAAGTTTCTGATTTATACTGGTTTGTAGTCCATACGCCATCGTCCGAAAACAGCAACAATGAACTTGATTTAATATAAAATGTTTCTTAACCAAATTCAAAAGAATCTTTTAGTAAAAAATCCTATTTACTACTAGATTATACAACACATAAGTCTGGTTACGAGACTGAGCTTTATCCTTGAAAAGTGAGCTTTAGGTGACCTACTGGACAATGCGAAGTTTAGGGCGCGGATCCAAGAGTCAAATTTCGTTGTTGAAAGTATCGGGACGAGAGATTCCATCGCAGAGATCGGTGAACAGCTTGTGTAGCTGGGCGCCGCTCTCTCCTCCTCGCGGCACGAACTTGGGTCGCTTATTCTATAGCATCCCTCCACGCTAAAAATCTATTGAAACTGGAAGTGGAGACGGAGTTTTGGGACGACATGGTTTTTAATATCAACTAACTATAGCGTTGAAGAAAAGGGAGAAACGCTCCCAACTACTAATGGTCAATGCTGGCATGGCATGTTTAGGAACCCTGTTGTCGTCAAAGGGTACCCAGTATTACAGCGAGCTAGTAATAGGCCTAATATGGGACTTGAAGTCTCTATCAACATGATGGCTAGGCCTTTTCAAACCAAATACATTAGTACCTTTAGTCTGGGGAAGGGGTTTAGCAGCTAGTTGCGGTGGGAAAAGAGGACGATAGCCTCACGTGGCACTTTTTGCGTGACCATACTTAAAGGATTTACAAAAGCCTTTGGGTTTACTACACATTACTACAAATTGACTTAAATCCTCACCCTTTACATAAATTTAGTAACTATAGTAAAATATTATCTTCAACGCCCAAATACAAAATTTTCCAGCTCATAATAACTAACTCATAAATTTACTAATTCATTTGCAGGACTCGCAGGATGGCCATTTTGCAAGTTAGATAGGTTCCAGTTTAACTTTTCTGCACTGAAATTGTGTCCCAAACGTTTAACTAGACTTCGCGAATCCGGGGTGGTATATAGAAAGTATAAGGCACCATAATTGGAAAATACTTTTGAATATTGGCGTCATGTACGGCTACCTCCACGTCAAAAGCCAGTATACACCGATGGGATCGGCATTTATCAAACGGTGTCGACTCCTATTTTGACTAGGATGGGGTATTACGGCGTTAGACTAGGTGTTTTGAAAGCTTTGTAGGGCTGCAATATACCACTATGGTATATCAAATTGTTACATAGTTGTGGAACAGTATAACTAATTGATTATCTTCAAAATATCTCTCCATTTTTGGGCCAGAGTTCTTCTCTTTCTGTTTAGAACTAAGAACGCTTCTTATCCTAGCGTCGGCAGGGCTTACACCGCGCATCAACCAAGCTAAGTGAATGCACCACAAGATTTTATCATAACAGGGTCGATTTCCATCAAAGGTTAGGCGTCGCTAGCGCCTTTCTACGGGGCTAGTTGGCAAATTAGAAGTTCTTCCGGAAACGGCGGTGTACTCGCCTGGACACCTTCCACCAACACCAGCTGGCGTAATCCAACAGAAACACACGTCATAGTTACCGCTAGAATTCGGAGTTAACTAGTTTTGTGGGATTTTATTGCGACAACCTAGACACTAGCGCGTTGTCCAGGTACGCGGATATTAACCATCGGTAGAGGGGGTAATGAATTGGTATGTATCTGTACTCTATAAGAAATAATGAGGCTTGCCTATGGGTGTCGCGATATCGTATAAATCCCGGGAAAATCAAGAAAGGCTCCATTACATTCAAGGTAGAGCGTTGACTCCATCGGGAAGCCGATTGAATGAAACGAGAACAAAAAATTAGTAATTACAAAATTGGATGACTCAAATATTGTAGATGTAGGGTGAAAGGAGTTTCAAGAAGAATATTTCTCAAAGGACCGAGTGGGTAGTTTGTTCAGTACCAAGCGCCAAGAATTTCCGGCCAATGTTTTATATTTAGGACCGTTACTTTGCCAAGCCTGGACGACTTATTCCGTAGACCGTCTGATAGACCTGTTACAGTAGAACTTGGCGAGAGTATGCAGGGTGTGTTAAGGTACGCGCCTTGGCATAATGTTTATACGAAGCTTGGTACCTACCTTTTTACAGCGAAATAAAATCTATTTCCGGAAGGTAAGAGAAGATCTCGCGTCTTGATATCATCATCAGTGAGAAGAAGCCTCCCATAGCTGAGTATTAATCCGCGTGCCATTGGTAAGACAATGACTGTGCATTCGACCGCATTAGCGAGCTAGGATTAAATAATGTTTGAAAATTGTGGACAATCAGATATGATCACATATACATACTTCCAGCCATTCTGTAGCTCCTCAATTCCTCCTGCAAACTGTCAGGATTGTTGAGATTGAGATACAATATGTCGCTATAATCCATATTAATACCGCGAGGAAACGCCCAGTTCAGACGAAGAGTATTCCGCCCGCGGGTAGGACTTTCCGCTCGTGGCTTATAGATTCGGGGGCACCCGGGTCTACGCTTCAGATAGTAGAAGTAAAGTTGATCGCATAATATCAAAATCGTTACAACTAGTATTATTACAGCAATACCAATAATAAGCCAGCTATCTTCATATACTGAGCTTTTCTGCGACGCTAATTTGAAGTTCATGAGGGAGATCATTGTGCAGCGGGGTATAGGCGCTGATAGGGTGGTCTAGTTTTAGAGATGTGTTTAAATCTGTCAAAAAAAGCCGATACAGTAGCAGCTTTATATTGAAATCGCGTCGGTTTAAGGTTCAGCCGTCCAAAGTCGATGGCCTCTGAAGGTGAAGTTTACCCCCTCCTGGTGCACGACGTCAAACTTTCATGAATTACCTAATCAAACATGGGATAGCACCTTAACCGATTAGCGAGGGTTTCTAAACTTTAAACGCAAGCTCTGAGCAGATATGAGTGGATACGAACGGACATTGGTGACTGACTGAAAGACGACGGGTTATCTTGAATTAATATTCATTGGAATATTGCTAGTATCCCAAGATACATCAACCTAGGCTGAATCATTTCTCCGCAGCAAATTATCTAGTACGTGGCGTACTGGTGAGAAAAGTTCAGTGGCAACAATTTGGTTACCTTGGTTTCATTAGCGGTAACCTGACTTTTGATAATATAATGTGATGTTCTTGTCTCACTTTCAAAGCTGAGGCTCTTGACGCGTATGCAGTCTTGTAATCGAAACTGTGCTGGGTATATTTCGGATCTGACTAGCTATCCTAGGCCGCCAAGCCTAGATACAACGATACTATCTCACCGCCGCGCAATACTAGCGCCGGAGATTTTTCACGTTCTCGCCCTTATCTTATGCGGCGCGGGAGGGGTATGGACCTAGATCTACGATCCAGCTACTTCCGAGGAAGCGTCGTCCATAAGTGGCGATACATTGATTGATTCGAAAGCTTTCTGGGCTGTGGCGCCAAATATGCCAAGGCGGGGATTTCCAAGCATCCTTCCTCTTGATTGGCTCCTGCGCTATTTCCACCGCTGAAGCCATGCCTCCGTTCGGTTGTAAAAAGAACGCGGGACTGGCTGAGCATGAAACAGGCGAGTTTGACGTCCCCTCGATACCCAGAACGCCTGTTTTCTTCCGACGGGCATATGATTGCCTCCATCGATCTTGTTGGGGCTATTAAACCGTGAAATGCGGCTACGGGCAAGCTCCTGCACACTCTCAAAGGGCGCAGTGGCAACGCCATAAGTATTGCATTCTCTCCTATAGCCCAAACGACTGTTTCCGGTTCTATCGATAACATCATTAAGGTGTGGAATACGACTACAGGGAAGCTCCAGGAGACCCACAAAGGACATAATGGTTGGATTCAGGTCGTAGCATTTATCTCGTATTGCTTAAGCTATACGTTAATATCTTACGATCGATCACGATTCCACCTTTGTTCAGATATTCACATTCCAACTTGCTTGCCCCTAGAAATTGAGGAAGGCGTATATATATATAGAACGTCGTTTGCGGCCAGACGAAAGTTTAACATACCGCATTCAGTTCCATCACACGCCGAGGTATCTTCCTATGCCACGAGACCTGGTGCTGATTCACTTATAACTAGCACTATACTAACTCGTACATGCATAAGTATTTGTCGTGTAGGTTTTGTAAGTTGTTTTACACTTGTACGTAGCCTCGCGGAATTCACGTATACGTATCAAAAAAGGTACAAAACTGCATGTCCGTACTCCAGTCTCAGGATTAGTCATACGCCAAATAAGTTATTCGTTCTCAAAGACAAGTTTCGACGTTCATAAGTGTTGTACGATCACACTTTGTAACCTTTTAGCCATCGTAGACTAGTTATTTGTAAATACCTTCGCTACAACCTTCCAAAGAAAGAGCGGCAAGAATAAGGCCGGAAGGGTGCGTTTTATATTACAAAGCTAAGCGAATCCGGGAAAATATCTGAATTGAGGCATTATACTCAATTGATCAAAGAGCAGATACCAGACGGCACAAAAAAGCCCCCCCCCCTGGCCAACCTCTCTTTGTGACACCCTACTCGAGACTAAATCAGCGCACTATTTAAATATTAAGCAGATTATGGTATGGAATATACTTTGAACGGTACTAAATCAACAGTTTACTGTTATGAGCTCATGAGGCACATTATGATTTCCTAAACAATTTACAAATCGAATTAGGTTTCAAGAGCCTCATCGACGCTCTTTATCCAGAGAAATACCTTTTAACCATCGGAGGTTTTCTCGTAAACCAGATTAATGCTGCTGATCGCAGGCACGCTGGAAGAGCCCAGGGTAATGTTTAAGAGTTCAGAGACCATCCTACCGTGCGTCTGATGTGGCAAAAGCAGTTATGTAAGGAAAGCTGCCACCCTCAAAGATGCATGAGATCTGAGGAAACCGCGTTTAAAATTTTCTCGACGCCTTCACATGCACAGGACGGATTAGAAATGTTTCATTGGCTCGATCAATGACGGCTCATTCCGTTGTCGCTAATCTATTCTCCAGCTGAAACCCCCAATCCCAATATTTTTCACCCCCCGTTCTCTTTTTTCGTTTTTCCCTCTCTCTTTTCATTTCTCTTTCATCTCCCATTTGGTTGGGACCGTGGCTCTGTTTTTACTCTCAACTACCAAGCACTCGAGTACCTCACTCAACATGCAACTCACTCGCCAAGGTCGTTACTAACCATCCGAACTGGTGTGATCAAAGGGGAAGATTTACGTCAAAGATTATCACTCCCACTTGAAAATACGTATACTCATTATTAGCAAGCCTGAATAGGTAGTCTCGACGATTTTTGATCTAGCAAATCGTTCACGTTCAGCCTTTGGCTTATAGGCCGACGACATGGAATGTGTACTTAAAGATGGGTGTTTCCCCTTGTTTCTTTGCAGGCATCCACGTCCCTTCTTCTCTTCCTATTCTGGCTACACACTTGTCCTTTACCACCCGAAGATTCTTCCATTAGCTCTAATCCCATAATTTTATTTTTATCATCTCCTGCTCGAGCCTTACAATTATACAGATACAAAAATGGATTCCCACGATCCGGATGGACTTGTTAATCTGCGAAAGTTGGCAGACCACTTCGCTTTAAATTTACCTGAAGATAAGAAAGTCCCAATCGTACTCGGTTAGAAAACATTTTGGAATATCTCTTATTGTTCAGTTTTAACGGTCTAACAAGTTCCGGGATTTGCTGGTTGGGGCACGCCATTATTCGGTACTATCAACTATTGGGGCGGAATCGAGAATATGCCAAGATTGTTGATGGATAAGGGATACACTGTGATTATTACACCCGTTGGACCGATCTCTTCTAATTGGGAGCGTGCTTGTGAGCTGTATAGGCAGCTTACCTGCGGAAGGTATGACTTGGAGATGAATAGTATGCTTTGGGTATCTATCTGACACTTATAATTACAAGGTTCAATCGGTTCGTTCCTGAGACTCAAGATGTCGAAGAGCACCATGATCTCGACATTAGCTATGGTAAATACTTTGAGTCAGATCCAGAGAATGGCCCTCGTCAGTCGAGGACTAGCGGTCGTAAAAGAGCGATTCTATTTTCTCCATCCCCACAAGAGTATGCCGACTGGAAGTGGAGTGAAACATCTAAAGCTCATTTTATCTGTCATTCTCAAGGCGGGGTTACAGTCAGGTACTTAATTAGCCTGATGCTTCGCGGCGCCGGAGATATACACCCAGAATATTTTGACTCTGGAGGAAGGGACACCTGGGCTATTTCTGTGATAACATTAGGAACGCCTCATAAGGGTACGACGATTATCGATGTCGTTGAGAATTTTTTATTGGTAAGGTTCCGCACGTTTTGAACCGCCGTCGCCACGGTGGCGCTAAACTAACAACCTCCAGAACTCAGCTAGCCAGGCGATTAAATTGGTCGCAAGATTGTTCGCCACCGCGTCTTTTAGTCGCCCCGAGCAACGGGTTTATGATCTTCAACTTGACCATTGGGGTATATGTAGAGATGGGAATGAAACATTTCAGGAAATGCGCTCGCGATTCGAGTCAACTTCCGGGCCGGTGTCAAAATGGTACAATTCCAATATTAACGGTTTCTACGACAACAGCATTAAAGGTGTTGGTGACCTCAACAGAAAGGCAGCCCCTGCATCACCAAATATCTATTACTTCACCCTGTCTTTTCATAGCACAGTGCCATTCCCGTCCTACTGGCCTCCGTGGACAATTAACGCCATCAGATCTTTTCCGGTTCCACTGGTCAGCTTCATCCGCGAAGTGCTTTACTCGATCCCGCTCGTAAATATCGGCGTTTGGATCGTCGATAGCATTGTGAACGGGATCCTAAATACCGCCGGATGGGCAATTATTTCACGGCTCATTAGCATCCACGATCTCGTGCGTTGGGTGACCCAGGAAGTACTAAACCGGCTATTGTATGAGACCGATTACAAAGTTAGTTTGCCGCCGCCGGGTAGGTATCTGCCGCGGAATGATGTTATGCCATTGATACTGCCCGTTGTCTACGCAATGGGTGGTCAGGATCTTTCACCTGAACAAAAGCGTATCCTCGGGCCGAATCTGGGAGATTGGTACCAAAATGACGGCGTCGTGAACACCGAATCGATGTGTGGGCCACATGGTTCGGTCGTGAAAGATATCGCCGCCTTTCCCATTTCAGATATCAATAGTGATAGTGCCCGTGGAATATATTGGCATTTGGGCGTCAATGATCGCATGGATCATCTCGATGAGATAGGAATTATTATTCAAGAGGACACAGTAAGCTCTCCCGTTTTGTCAACATGGAAATTTGAAAATTTCGCACGCTAATTGAATAAGGCACATTCTATGAACGAAATGTACTTCAACCTCGCAACCATAGTCACACGATTACCGCCTAGAAGACGGCAACCATCCCACCTATAATTAATACGTAGATGCAGAGCGATAGTTGCGTTATGGTAAATTGAAATGTAACGCCGGACTGAAAAGAAGACATTCGAATAGTCCCCTTTCTAGCAAAAGCTGGGCGGTGGGACCTTTGATTTCCTCAAAAAGTTTTTTTTTTTTTTGGTATGCTTTCGTCATTTTTTGGTATTGTCAACCAGACGGTTTTTAAAGCCATCTAATCAGGAATTTTCTTATCCGCAGCAAACTTATTTAACTTTAAGGTCTTAGTTAGGCAAAAATAATAACATTATGATATATTTGACTTATCTGACGATTATTTTTGTCTCGCACCCAGCCCACCCGGGGTTGCACGACCTGGATCATGATCGCTCTGTATTTGGCATATTTGAAAATATTAACTTGATTTGATATTTCAATCAATTGGTCGAGCGTGACCGTAGGAAGTTGTCTCGTAAGCCAGAGCAGGCCGAAGGTAGGAAGCCTCAAGTGCCGCTCCTAGAGATTACTGAAATAAAATTGGACGCCGAGAAGTACTGGCGTTGTTATTCCAGTGATTGAATATTTTGTGTGAATTGAAAGCGTCGCCTCCAACAACCTCGGGAACAGTTCAGAGCTTCAGTATATTAGGTCGAGATTCTAAGCCGAGTTCAATACTAGTACTGTCTCGAGATCTCGTGTTGTATTCATTGCCATGTCACATCGCATCACTTAATCAGACGGCCTCGCTGCAAGCTGACCTTCCAGACTAGCTGCGGCTGGGTTCAATTAAACAACGGTGGGAATAGGGCCTGGGGCTAAGTATTTCCTAGTCTAGGAGATGCCCACCTCTGCCCTGGACTGATTATTTCCTAGTCTAGATTCTTTCCATGCCAGTTGTTGCACTGTATACAGTTAGCGTCAGAATCTTAAAAAAGTTGATACTCTTCTGATTGGCCGGTTGATGGCTATTGATCTTATATAGGCAGGTAACACCAAGCAAACAGGGTGCCGATTTCCCTTGGCCAGGCACGGTCCGTAGGTCGGCAGCACGGCGCGCAGCGTCGACATCCCACTCCCATGGCTCACGGGGAAGCATGGATCTCTCATTGAACGTGACGTGCACATAAGCGAGCTTTTCCAAGTTTCGAGAGACGAAAAATTTCATAATTTTCAGCCCTTTGTGGCAGACTTGCGTGTTTGCACTGTGAATCGGTACTATGTATGTTTCCATACCGCCCGTCCCAAACCTTTCCTTGGTATAAATTGCAATTGAGGACATGTCAACAAGCGTAGGACATCTCTATTATGGAACGTCCCGGATGAATGGCTCACAGAACGAATATCCGGCCTCAGAGGCAAGCCCCCAATCACATAATAATTTGGCTAGGCGTCATTTTGTGTTTATGGTTACGCATCTCATCCACATTCAGGAGTAGACACCGTATGACTCAACTTCGATATGTCATATATAGGGATTAAAGATGGGAAGGATGCGTTGTGGCTCTTGGGTGATAAGCCGGAACCCAAGAGTAATTCAGCCACGGTGAGAGGACTCTTGCATCGTGCACTGTTCGGGTCAGCTCTTACAGAGGAGACATTCTCAGCTGAGGTGGAAATATTGACTAGCAATATCAAAAAGCTAGAGATTGAAAAGAGCAAAGAAGGAAAAGACCAATCTTCATAGGTAGCTTGTGGGACTTTTCAAATTTGCATTCTTAAGCTATGTAAAGAAAGTTTGGAAAGCTGGCGGTTCATGTATGTCCTTGATCGAACAAATTGGGCGAGTGCGCAAACTGACCAACACAGCTCAGATGAATTTATCGTTCCAACCTAATACCAGTATGTTGCTCTTGCCTCCCAACATTTTACTTCAATCATTTTGTCGGAGTGTAGACTTAAATCGCTTAGGCACGGATTAGGGTTGTTATAGGCACATCAAGCAGAAGGTAGATACGTCAGCTTAATTAAGGAAGCATATTCGTAGCATTTGCTTGTATTTTTGCTATGAAACCTGGGAAATTCATTTTTTCGCAATCTTCCTACATGTATTCTTTCCCTGTTGAGGAGGACGTTAAGCTCGAAACCATTCGGCTTATAATTACATCTGTCCAAATTAGCCGCGGCTATAACTATATGTTAAATCAGCTCCCCATTCACTTCTTTATGTAACAACTACGCCCAATACGTCTTGTATCGAGCGATCAAGTTCTCGCGAGTATATAAAAAAAAGGAAAGCAAAACCCAAAAGAAAACAAGCATGCAAACTTATAAACAAAGGCCGAAAAACCTGGCCTCGCGGAAACCTCGGCCCCGAAACAAAATCTAAAAAGAATAATAAGAAAAGTAAGAGCTATATCGACTAGCCAAACCCATCAATCTCAATTCTGTCGAAGAGCCGCCCAGGAAGCAGGGATAACATATATCCGAACTCCTCGGCGGGCAGCCTCTTTGCCGAAATGCGCTGCAAATACCTGGTCTGCAGTAATGAAAGCGGATCCTTTGACGTGAGCTGCACATGCAAGTGCCAGATCCGTTTGACTTCGATCTATAACTATTGTCCGTTCTAGCCATTATTATATATATTAGTTAAACTCTATTTGTTGTGTAAATAGAATTAGGATAAAAAGATCATAGATGCCATACATTTACCCAGCGTTGGTGTGATATCCTTAGAGCAAATGCCCTTGCAGTTAGCCTTGCTAGTTGCAATATCTGCCTTAACTTTGGCATAGGCATCTTTCATGATTTCGCCTGCTGACGAAATGCTGTCCTCCTCTTCATTAGAGCTTCCAAGGACTTGAATACCCTTGCTCTGAAGGCCTTGGATGACGCTATTTGCGCTGGATTTGGATTTTAATATTGAGTGGTATAATATACCCACTTTTTGGTTATTGCGAACAATAACCGACATCCAGGGGCCCAAAGAAGTTGCTTTGACAAGAGCATCGATGAACTGGGTGTCCAGGATCACGTTTTCAGTTTTTCCGGATATCAGATCGCCGGCCTTGGTCGCCGGACCTAACGAATACGGTGTGGAGCGTTTTTTGGAGTTTGCGTCAGATGCTGAAAAGGCTCCAGTGTGGACTACACCGATCATGATAGAGCGGAAGATGAGTGGGAGAGGAAGAGAGGCCGGAGGAATGCTGTAATATATAGATAGAGATCAACAGGAGATCTCTAACAGGCTATAGAGAGTGCGATAGCGGGAAAATATCGACGCATGAACATTCCTTGGAACGACATCGTGGCCCGGTAATTCACAACATGTATATTCAACTTTTATCTATTAGCTCGAGACTAGGGACATAGGCGAAGGCCAAAACCTCTACCACGGAATTACACCCATAATCACTGACTTTCGAAAGCTCAATTGATCAAATTTATATTAGAGGGGCTGGCGCGGACTGGTAGTTTAGGGAATTGCTGAACTTGAGGCGCTTGAGGCGCCAAAACACATTTTGCACAATCTACAAGATAGACTATCCATAATCCAATTCTATTTGCACGCCAGACTTGTAGTTCATAGGAGGTAGGATGATCATACATGCACATGTTACCGCCATATATATATAACACCATGGTTGTTAGAGAGATACCATGCGATCGTTAGGTAGCCTCAAGGAGTAACATATACCCATACGGTTTTTACCGCACTAATGTAAATTCAGGTCTACACATATACCCAGGCACCTACTTAAGTATGTATCATATAATCAGATCATATTGATGAGGCCTTTCTTTATGGCTTTTGCATATATACGCGTATGAGACTAGACTTGTGGTGATGTTGCTATAGCACCAACTCATCTTAGTACGCCCCATAATATATTAAAATATAATACCATAGCCCCACCAGACTTGAATATTTTCGTGAGCTACAAGCTTTCAAGGGCCCAAAATGCTAAGCTGAGGTTTTATTAGGGGTTTAGTTCGGGCGTATTAAGCTCCCATCGAAACATCTTAGGGTACGCCGGGCTTTCCTCATGATATTGCGGGCCAGCCACACCGCACGAAGGCCTCGCCGACCCTCCGTAAGGCCATGGCGCTAGCTAGCCTACCGTAGGTATATACATATAACGCAAACCCCTTCACGAGTATAAACTTTTAATGCATATAGTAGCGTGGATGCTAAAGCCTAAGGGAAAAATTCTAACTATTTAGGGACGGACGGGTCTGAGCCTTAAGCTAAATGTATCGACTGCCTGGAAGACCCACCTAATTATTTCTGTTGATATCGTAGGTGCCAAAGCCATATGCAATCGATCGTGATCGTAGTTAAATCGTGGAGGGCACACGGTTTCGCTAGTACCTCTCCAGTTCTTCAGATTAGCTGCATACGCTAGCAGGGCGTCAAAGTAATAAGCATTTTACGATTATAAGAACGTTATAATTAGCACGGACAAAGTTAAGCGTTTTGCAGTACTATACTAGCGCCGGACTAGGTCTGGCCTTATAATGCTCGGCCCCATAACATCATCAATACTTAGTCTTGTGTTGCTGTATTGTTCGCCGCCCGAGCCTTTTAAAACCTCAGTCTCGACACTAAACCAGCTTAGCTCAGTTAAAACCTAAGGCTCGGTATGGCGCGAAATATCGCACCCCCCCGGCACCAAAAATAAAAAATTTCACAAAAACCACAATTTCAACATATCGTAACTTCACCAAACTTAATTAATACACTCAACAAAAATATTATAAACTTTATGACATATAAATTAAATATATTTATTTATATACACATATTTCAATCAAAACCTATTTAAAGAATTATAAAACTTCAATAACACTTAAAATATAAAAACAACCGCATCAATAAAGACCCCAAAAACTATCATACCAGTAAAAATTTACAACCAAATATAAGTGAACGGAATATTATCCACCATAACACCACCTAAATTATAGCCAATAATTTGAAAAATCTATTGAATTATAAATCTAGTAAAATCAAATAAATCTGCTCCATCACAATAAATATTAGGGATAATAAATAAGAAAAAATTATTAATCCAAGTAATAAGAAGGTTTTAAATATAATAGTCCAAAATATACATCTCATTCTTAAAAATGTTACTTTTTATAAATTTATTAATTAAAACATCTATATTCGTCTCATTATTAATTTACTTTATTATTTGACTTTTTAAGTCAATAACAAGGTTTACCATATGTTAACGAATTAATAAAGTTTAAACCAAAAGTTAAAAAACAAAAATAAAACAATCTTAATTATAACCAAATAAATGATAAAAAAGAATATTAATATTCAACTAGACCCAATATTTTTAAATAATTTAAATAGTATTATCTATACTAATAGCATAAATATTTTCGCCAATTTTTAAGATAAAAACCGCATTACCTTCGTTAACAATAAATTATATACCTCCTAAAATATTCTTCAATTACTAGTAGATAATTTTAAAAATACATTTAATAAATTTATGTTTGTTAAAACTTTTCTTAGTTTTAATTTAATTGTAATAAGTTGTTTTTTTTTTAATATTATAAACTCCTTCATAAAAAAAAATTATAATATTAAGATGAATTTTAACAACAATAAATTGTTAATTATTATTAAAAGACTATTATAAACAAAATTTGATAATATTAAAATTATAAATTTTGATAATAATTTAACCAAAAATATAGTTATTGTTTAGAATATAAATAGTATTATAAATAATTATTAAATTAAAAATAGTTTTATTATAACTAACTTTAAAATTAAAATTAGCTATAACAACATCGTAATAAATAACAGATAAATTAAAATAAACGTTGTAAATAGTATAAAAAAAATTTATTACAATCCAAGTAATAATATTTATTAAAAAAGAATTCATATTAAAACCAAAAAAGGATTTAGATATGTTAAAAAGTTTAAAGTTTAAATGAATATAAAGTTTAAAATATAAAAAAGAGAAATTTTATAAACAATATAAAACAAAAAAAAATATTATATAAATATTTAAAAAATTTTGTGGTATATTGGTATTACTATTATTTTTCATAACCTAGCCCATTATTTTATTTGATATATTTAAACTGTAGATATTATATAGAAATATGAATTTGTAATTTTATATATAAATATTTAGTTATGAAAGAAATATTTGTTTGATATAATATAACAGGGGTCCCTAATAATCAATCTTTTGCACCATGTAAGGGTGTTGAAAAATAAAACGTTCATATATTATTATAAAGTATTATAGACATATATGAATTAGTTATTCTAAAAAAAAAGGATACCTACAATTAAAAGTGGTAAGTAAATAGGGATATTTTAAGAATGGTATGTAAAATCTCCACCATCACATAGCTTACATTAACATTATAAATGCAATTTATAGAGTTTAATAGCTATGATAGGTTTGGAGCCCTCAAAATTAAGCTTCCCGAAGCCTTTCTTCCCTATAATGAAATTGTTAGCTGAATCCCCAAACTGGTAAATAAAGTATATAAGGTATTCTATGGTTGCTAGGTTTGTTATTTTAAGTAACCAGGATATAAAGCCGTCAACAATAAGTTTGTGATCCTAAAACATATATTTTCAAAACAAGGTATGTTCCTAATGATTGTGTTATTTTTGTTGCAAAATAAGCTATAAAAATTTAAAGAATTAGCTTTATAAGGTTTTATATCCATTAATTCATTTATATATTTTTTTTTTTATAGGGTCGAAAGCAAGATGTCAAGTTTATCTAAAATTAATAATACAGTACCAATTTGTTTTTTGTGTAGTTGCAAAAACCCAGCCTACCAACCTAATTATTAAAGAAAAATAACCATCAAAAATATTGGTTTCAAAACCAACAATGGTACAACTACTTCATTAATGGTTAACAAAAATCACTTATTTCCTACCAAAAAGATAAAATTTTTTTCGTTATTAAAGCAAAGTATAGATATTTTTGTAGAAATTGTAAATCCAAACTTTTTCAACAGTAATATTGAACATATAAAAAAAACAATTATTGAAGACTGCAAAGGCAAGGGCCGCAAAATTGCCAGTAAAAAATATTCGGATTTGTCTTACGGTGTTAATATGAATCACCCAACAAAACCTAAAAGAATCAGTTTTTTTCCTCCTAATTTAGTTCATTGGAAATAGATGTTTTGGATTTTTTTTGATGTCGAAGATGACTTGGTGCCCTTTAAAGCCACAAATTTCAACCCTTTAGGTCAAAACTTTATAATCCTATTTTGTTAAGGTTGTCTGATTGAATTGACAAAATACTAATTATGCACTAAGTTTACTAAAGTCAGTGTTTGGAGAAAGTAAAAAAGTTGGGTACTAAAGAATTCCTTTGAGAAAATTGATAATTAATGGGTTAAATATCCTATCTTATTTGGTGTGTTCAAAAAAGTGAATTCTATTCCCACTGATATTTAAGTTGTGAAGTATGAGACAACAGAAGAAGCTGTGGCAAAACAGTTACAATTGTATGAAAGCAAAAGTAGTATGTTCGCAATTATAGTGCTAGTTTTCTGATTGTGGTCTCAAAGATTTGTTAATATTAGCTACTTTGTTAGAAGTAGTATTTGGGTTGCTAAGTCCTTAGATACTTTCTAAAATGAAGGAATATCTTAAAATAATAGTTTAAAGGTACATACTGTAATACTTATTTTGAAGTTTCTATTTTCTGCAAAAAAGGCTTTCTTGATCAAGAAACCGATCGAATTTTTGTTAGCAATGGAAGTTATTGAGGTGGAGATGGATGAAGAATTAATTTTAGTTGCTTTCGTGGAAGTATTTAAAATTATGAAGCCCCGGGTCATGTTTGACGATTATTATGATGGTAATTTTTTGGTTGAAATGGAAAATCTCTTATAAGCTATAGATGCTTATCCTGTTAAAAAATGGAAAAAAATATTGGAATGTGTTGTTACTGAAGCTTGCGTTAGTATTCAAATTAATTTTGATGGTTAAGTTGTCTAGGAGAGTTTTTTGAAGAAAGAAGCTTTAAAAAAAAAGGAAAAATATCTTGAGAACCTGTGTTGAACTATTTGAACTTATAAATTGGTAAACCTTTAATATTTTTGAAAAATTGTTTAATAGAGTTTGCCTGGAATTTTGAACTTTATTATTTCTTTTGACAATAATTTTTTTTGAAATTTATTTGTTTTTAGTATATATTTGTTTATTTTTGTATTATATGGTTGTGTGTTTTGTAATTTGTTTGTAATATAATTCGTTTTTTTGCTTTTATTTTTTGTTGAAGGTTAGCTTTTTTTTGTTTTTTACGGGTAATTTATTTGTGTAAATTTTTAGGTGAATGAATATTTTTAAAAAAGTTATGTTTTTTTTTATATTTTTTTAGTTGTTTTTGTAGAAGAAGGTATGCTATTGTATGAGTATTATTTTGTGTACTTGTATTTTCGATAATTTTTGAAAAATTATTTTTAATAAGGGTATTATAATAAAATGTTTTAACTTTTTTTGTGAGATATCGTTTGTGGTCTTAATTTTGTATTTCTTTTTATAATTGCTGTAGAAGTTTTTTTTGGGGTATTTGTAAATAATTGGGGGTATTGGGGTTTTGTTAGAGGTATATTGGTTTTTTGGTGGGGAGATATGGTTGATTAGGTTGGTTTTTGATAGTATGGGTATTTTAGGTTTTTTGAGTTTCCCTGAATGTCTTTCGAACAATAGGTATATAGATGTATTGAAGTGTATGTATATTTTATTTGTTTTTTTTTCTAAATTAGTTTTTTTTATGATATTTTTTAAATAGGCTGATTTATTGTTTGGACTGTGTTTTTTTGAGAAAGTTTTACTATTTTTTGATTTTTATGTTATGAACGTTTGTTTTGTATATATGGTAATTATTAATATTTAGATTTTTGTTTTTGTTAGTTTTATGAAGTTGTTCTTGATATTCGATTATAAGGGGAGTTTTAACGTTTATATTGGTTCAAGTGAATTTGGGGTATTTGTGAAGAGTTATTGTTATTAGATAATATTTCTAAATTGTTATTGATGTGTGTATGTTGTGGTTAACGAATAATTGAATTATGAAGTGGGAATAGGTATTGATGATCTTGTAGATTTGTATATTAAAAGGTTGTAGTTTGTCGTAAGTATTGGTTGACTATATCTAGCCGGGTTTATGGGTATTGAGTTTCTTGCAAATTTTGGTTTGTTGGTGGCGTTGGAATTTAATTTTTTGAGGGTTGAGCTTTTGAATAGTTGTTTTGATAGCTGGTTTTGTTATGAAGCGATTTGTTTGGGCTTTTGTTTAGGTGATTGACATGTTGTTTTTGAAATCAGTGGTGATATTAGATTTGAGTTTTTTGGTTATAATAATGAAGGCTTTAGTAGCTATACTATTTTGATTGGTAGGTGGAGTTTTAAGCATTATACTGTGAGTTTGCTTGATAGACTTTAATTTAGTTTGAGTAAAATTGGGTTAATTTTTGTTTTGTAAAATGTTTAAAATTTTGATATTGTCGAGATTTTGCTGTATTAAAACTTTTATTTGAGCTATTAAAGCTTCATCGATAATAGGTTTTTTGTTATTAATTTGTTTTTGATGGTGAATGCGGGTTTTATAATTTCCGTGCTTTTTGGTATTCAAATTAATGTTTTATTTTTTGAGATGGGTACGGATAGTAGAATAGTTTGGTATTTTTGTAATACTGATGTTTTAGTGTTGATATAACAAGTATCAAATATTCTTAATTGAAATTTGTTTTTGTAGATATAATAATAATATATAATGTTGATTGTTATTTAAACGTAAATTTCGTGGTTGAGGCATATTAATTAAATTTGGTGAAACTATGATGTGTTGAAATTGTGGTTTTCGTGAAATTTTTTATTTTTGGTGCCGGGGGGGTGCGATATTTCGCGCCATACTCGGCCTCGTGAGTATTTGAGCGGAAAGGGTTGCATCGACACTCGCATACCTGGGTAATTACATATATCAAACCAGATCCCAAGCGTCTTTTCATGACAACGAGCAACACTGCCAAAGCGAAAGGTACATAGAGGCAGAGTACAATTGCAAGAGTTATTGATCAATTGACAGCATACAATAGCGCTCAAATCAATAACATGATTTCAATATGTTCCCGTGCCCTCGCCGCGCTCATTCGCGTTCCTACTTTCGGAACCCCGAAAACCCACCCTATCCTTGTCAAATATAAATACGTTGATCAAGTGCCCGGGATGATTCGACGGTTTACTCGATCCACCTCCCCGAAGCAATCCAAGGTCGCCTGGATACTTATATCCGAGTTTAAAAAGGCTAATATCGGCGTATCTGAAGCCGGTCGGAGGGTGATCGAGTCAGCCTATGCCTCGGCACCAGAAAATACTCTACAAGACTCGGAAGATCTGCTCGAGCACTGGACGAAAGATAAACAAGTTGGATTACCTCCCAGTGATAGCATTTGGTGCATCGATCATAATTGGAGATGCGGCGAGATTCGTTCAATGGTCCAGGACTATAAGACATTCAAAATCTGGGAAGCCATGTACGCTCGGTCGGAGGTATTCAAAAGGCTTATTGACGAAGATGAAGAAATACTAAAGATAGATGAGTGGGAAGACATAAGAAGAGACCGTATACAGCATCAATATCTATGGAATTTACTAGATGGCATGTTTTCCGATGGGATATTTGTCAGACAGGACGTAGATAGTCTACCCGAGCCCTATTTACTCCGCGATATATTTCGCGACGCTGAATTTGGAAAGTAGTACAATTCAACTGTCATTAGTTCGCCTCAGCAGATCCAAAGCGTACAAAATCTCGAGGTTGCGTCGTACCGGTTACGCCCCGCAGAATTGTAATGAAGGAACCAGCTATGCAATGGGACGACGCTGGACATACTTTTGCGCATAACGAGTCCCTGGAAGAGGACGACATTGTAGCAGAGGATGAAATACGTACGCCAGGATACCCATGGTCGTCAGCTCTAGACTACGATAGATTACTATCGGAATACCAACCTCCCAACCGATGGCCCGTGGTTGGATCGCTAATTTCTAGGATTCTTGAAGTACGGCATACGTATACACCTACTTATGTAAATAGGTATATACGAGCCCCGTCACTTTGAGAGGCCCAATACGTGGCGGAATTTTGCCGCACTAACAGTTTTTCTTTAAAGTTTTTCTAAGCTATCGTGTCAATTTCAAATTTCATAATATTAACGTGAATCATTTATCGATTTTTAGGCTTGTAGTATAAGATCCTAAACATTCTGAATAGCCGTAAGCTAGGCCCGTATATATGTAGATTGAAGCTGGTAGGTTGTCTCGTACCCAGCCCCACGCAAAAAAATCTCAGGGACTAGGTAAGAGAGCACCGCAGGTAAATCTGTGTAGGCTAGGCGTACTAGTAGCTACCTATTATAGCACGGCTTCAGCCACGAGACTGTAGGAAGCACACCATTGAGCCTCCATGGGCATGACGCTTGGGACTAGGAAAAAGACCAGGTTACTACCTAATAAAAGAACAGCGCGAGGGAGAACAAAAAAGAGCAGCACAAAAAATAACAGCACAAAAAATAACAGCACAAAAAATAACACTCAGACGGGGAATCACCCAGTTGTCCGCGGACATAAAACAGTGCGAACAGCGAAAAGTTGACAGGCGGAAATCTTGACCGTTGGACCATCTGAGATTTGATTGGTTCATTCCATCGAACCAGACGGTCATTCGCCGGATGAAGAATGAGTCATAATTACGCAATATAAATCTGCAGATCTGTTCGCTTCTCGAAGAATATGTTACTAGAAAATAAACCCGCTGGTCATCGCCTGAGCACAAGACTAGTTGTTCAGTGGCGAGACTGGTCATCGCTAACTCTTCGACCACGACAGTGCTCATCACAAGCCCTCCCGGCACAAGTATACAGGGCGCACCAAGATTTGACTTCGTCACGAGGTGAGAGACAGTGTATAATATCAGTTCCCGGGAACTCTCCCTTCCGGACTAAGAGCCTCTGCCGATACTGAGCTGACTGATATCCCTGCAAGCACTGCTAGCTGAAGCGTCCACACATGTGGACTGCCCAAGGACCAGAGACCTGATCTTAGGATCAGAAATAATTAAGGAGTCCGAAAATGTTCTCCCGGCTAAGCCCTCTAAGCCGAATACAGTTCCGACCTTTACCCGCAAACTTGACTAGACAAAGACTCCATCCAGCTACGGTATTTCGGCGATTTTTTACTGATTCGGCTATATCCAATCCGTCCGTGAAAGAATCTCATGCTGCAATTCTGATAATCATAGCCGAATTCAAGAAAGCCGGTATTGGAATGACGAAGAAAGGGGTCCATTTTCTGCAGACTACGTATGCTTCGAGACTATCCCTCGAAGATACTAAAGATTCATTTGTTCTATGGAGTGGCCTTCACACGCAGATATTTTACGGCTCTATTGAGCTTCCTGATAATCTATACAGGGCCCGACATGAGGGGACCGAGTCTAGAACCCCGGCTTGGAGATCTCAGCAAACATTTGACGCATGTATCGATTCTAATGTTTTTAAGATTTGGGAGGCTCTCTATTCTCAATCTGACTTATTCAAGAAAATAATCGAAGGGGATGAAAAAAAGAACGAGGCAATTATATATACAGATATATGGGAATCCCGTTTGCAAGACTATCCCCTGTGGAAGTGGCTTTCGCATATGCTCGCTGGCGGTATCATTGAAGCAGCAGACGTGGATAATTTGCCCGAACCCTATAAACTCAAGGGATATCCGGATCCCAAAGAAAAAGCGGCGGAACTGACAGGGTCGTAGGTGAGAAATCATCTGAGCAAAATTAATCTAATTTGAACATCCTGTAGGTCCGCGGGGCCACCAAAATAGTTCAATATGGGCAGAAAACCAATATGGTAGTATTGAGAACAAGTTCCTTCAGATAACTAAGTAGATACTTGAGGCTTCCTTCGGTCGCACTTAAACCCGACCAAAATAACAAACGTTAATTTTTCACACAATTTACCATAAATATCAAATAACCAGATTGTCAAAAAAACCTAATATCAATACAAAATTTAAAAATATCCAAAAAAAAATTAAATCACATTACCCGGATTAAACTTACTCAAATCTCAGCAAAAGTTTTTTTTTAGCACAATCTCGTTTCCAAACCCGTTAAAATCAAAACTACCAAGATAACAAGCACCGAAAGCGCGGATGTTACCAAAAAAAAACAACACATTTTTTTGTATAAGATTTTGGACCTCCCACCCAGCAAATTCCGCTAGGAAGGGCGGCAGAGCACGGATACAAGGAGGACTATAGAGACCCTTCCTTTCAGTCGGGCATTTCAGTCAACACAAATCGTGATGTAAGATGATATCCTATAACTAGAGCCCCCTGTGTTAGGATAGTGATGATATCCGTTCCTTGGCATCCGTTCCTTGGCATACAGATGTGTTGTTTCTTGTATATAGATTAGCTTGAGCCGATAGATAGATTCTTTCGATAATCAATCATCAACATCACTCACGTATGCTTACACCCTGTATCCATGGATATCCTTAGCAAGACCTTGTACTTATACTTAAAGCCCTCGGCCTCTTCTTCTATATACCTGTCAACACGTATCTATCGACTTTATATCCATCCTCGCATAAACTCTATGTTATGAATTCAGTCGCCGCGAAAGGAAGAGCCGTGAACTAAAACTCGAAAGGCACAAAATTGTATTATTTCATGATTTTGAAACCGTAGGAAAGCACGTAGACGTGTTCTCTGCAGCCATTGATCGGTGGCGTACCTGTATGGAGTCAATACCATAGACCATCTCGACCGAGGCAACTGGCCAGTACCGATCCCGGCACCCTTGCCAAGGTTCAAGATCATAGAATGTAAACCGTTAAGTTTAGATTTTGGAAAGGAAGCAATGTAGGTGCCGTATTGAATTGGCACCAAAAACCTATATTTTTCACCGTGGCTATAATTATATAACAATTACTAGATATATTTTTATACAAGCGCTACGCCTAGGGGGTCTTGGCCGGCTCTGTATTGGTAAGGGGTGATATTATGGCAGTGGTGCAGTATCAGCATGATTTGCGGTAAGGCCATCAGATTAATCGGGTATTTTAGCCCCTAATACGCATTAGAAACTGTAGAGTTGTATCGAGGACCATAATTCTGCTAGAATTGATATTGGGCCGTTTTGTTCCTCTGCTACCTGAAGAACACCCTTCGCGGCATAGTAGTTAGGCACTTATTTAGGTATGGAGGCTTCCACCTCAGTCGGGCAATCCTTCAGGTTGAGCTGGGACCGATCGAATGGAGCGAACACATGAGCTACTGTTTCGCTCGCACCGCATACGTACACGCATGTCTTATCTTAACACTACCTCCCTAGGGACGGTTTGCAGATATACTGAGCTAGAGGTCTCCGAGAGCGTTTAAAAATACCATAGCGCTGGCAATTACTAGTTTCAATTTAGAACCGCTATCAAAAATAACGTACAGCTTTCTAGTGAGATATGAAGAAACGGACCCCAAGAAAGCCATTTCGTGGAAATATAACAAAGTTGAAAATGAATATCGCATGGGAGTAGGCCTGGACGGGCAATCTCCAACACGACGTATTTGTTAATAGCAATTAATCTGATATATCGATATCGCTATTAATGTATTATCATGATGGTAAAATATAGAACGTAGTAGTAACAGTCCCGCTTCATTCGATTCTGCCGTAACTTCCCGACTTCCTTGCTATACATTCAAATTAGGGTCCCATAAAGCTGCCACGTTTTTCGTCATACTAGTGAGGAATTGTACGTTTATATCTTTACTTTGAATAATGGTAAAGACTGATTTAGTCAGATCAGCATATATAGTCTAGTCGGCGAATTCCCGAGCAGCGTTGTTAATATCGACTACACGACCCAGGTTGTGATATCGGGGTAGAAGGTAATCCCGTCAGCATATCGTACGATTGTGACACTGTGGCAGTAGACTAATTGGAAAGTCCGCATCGCTAACTCTTCAATCTGCGCTAGAGACATTAGTAGTATATAGAAATAGTATTACAAAAATGTTTACCGTCAATTTGAAGTACGCCATCACGGTAAATTTGGCGAGATCACTACCATGGGCACGTTTAAAAACTTCAGGTATATATCTGAATAAGGCGGCTTCTAAGCGCTACTCAAAGTCAGTGGCACCATCGCCCGAGCCTTACACGACGATTTCACTAGACGGTACTACCAAAGAAAATAGTCAATATAAGGTTACTGGTAATCCAGTCGAAAACGAGTTAGTCCGAGAAGGAAAACTCGGGGGGGCGTTTCTCGATACGAATATTCTCGGGTGCCTTGTAGAGCGTGAAACTCAGACCCAGTGGGTGAATAACCTCCTGGCGAATGCGACCAGGCTAGCTACATGCGAATCAGCTGTAGTAGAATACTTGGCTAGTCCAGTAATCGTTCTAGATTTAAGTTACGAAATCGTGATTGATCGACTCACAAAGAAGGGGGTGACGATTCTACCTGGAGCCTGCGCCAGTTCTGATAGCGCCGCATTTATGTGTCAAATTCTTAAGCAGTCGTATCAAAGGCTCCACGCGGCGGCAATGAAGTCACAAGATCTGGAAGTTCGTGCTCACAAGTTAAGGGAATCTGGAAAGAGTACGTATAAACACACTCTAAATTCATGTGCATCTAGTGAGCTAATATTAACTTGCAAATATTTAGTTTGGGGGCGTTCTCTGAAGAAGAGTTTGCACGACCTCATGCTGGCGTCTGAAGCCCACCGTCAAGGTCTCGCGTTCCTCTCTCGCGATGCCAATTTCGGAGGGCACTTCGGGATTACTTTGACCGAAATGGGAATTACAACTTACTTAATCCCAGAATCGTGGACTATGGAGGAACTTGAATCCCAGACTGGAAGATCTAAGAGTGAGAAGTAGCTCCTCGATCATTTTGTTCCCCAACCTCCTACCCCCGTTAGCACTTTCATCCCTTGCATGCTTTTCTTTGATTTTCCTTTTCTTTTGTTTGTTCTTGTGAAATTCTGTGACCATTGGCTTCTAAACACGAAGCTACCATGGCTATTGGAACTGCTTGGTCAACTGCATAATTGAACTTTCCGTATACTTGTGCTTTACTTTATGGCCATATGGCGTGACTTTGATGCTGATTCCAAAGCCAATCAGAAGACTGCGCTAATGCCTAGTTTTGACAGGGCATCCGCAAGGCCACGGCCAAAATAATGCTAACAATTGGCCGAGAAATATGTATTCACTTGTTTGATGGATGTAAGTTCATGTTTAAGCATGAACAGAAGGTGGAGAATGAAACTAAAACGAAGGTATGTCGAGTAGCTCAGCTGACTCTCTGAAAGTAATTTAATAAAGTATAACCGCGCATCAAAGACATCCAAGCTCCTGCAGAATACAATTAAATGACGCTACGGCAACAGCCAGTCATTCTCCCAAAGTCATTCCAAATTTGAGCTTCCCAAAAGTCACAGATTTGAGTTGTTAGCCTCCATAAATCGCTAATAGTGTAGTCAGCAGATATGTTTCATCTACTCAAACATTAGGACGGAAGCATATATTATATTCTTCACACACAATTATCCAAAATATGCATATCTAGTGAGCGCGCGTACAACAAATTGTCTCAGATATCAAATTCAGCGCAAAAGTGGGAACCAATAACACTATCAACTAAAATTTTAACTATCCCTCATCCTCTAAATACCCGGGCGAAGTACCCGACAAAAGGTGCGCGGCTTGTCGGATAAGTTCAGAACGGCGGAGGAACTCTAAGCGATTGCCACGAGATGCATGGGACATAGTCGTATTATCAAAATTGATTTTCCATCGGAGCAGTTGGGCTTGGAATGTTGAGTTTATAAGTTTGTATGGTATCTGAACTTATTAAAGTGCTAAAACGCTCCAAACTACTTCATCCCTTGCCCAGGTAAGACCACCTCAATAAGCCCGACTTGACTCCTAGTTTTCCAGAATTTATTAAGATGAAGTCCAGCCTGCTCAATTATACTCCGAAATTCCGTCGGCTTACGCTCAATTCCATTCATAAATGCCATGAGCTCTAAGTCTCGTGTGTGAGAGTACCTTGTAAAATACCCATAGTTCGCTGGCAGAAGAGACGGCGCCGAGGGCAGCTGTGGATCTCCGTATGTGGTGTTCATTACTTGCTCGCTATAGAAGGGAAGAATGTTAAAAGAAAGCTCAACCCCGTGGCTTTGGCCGAGAATAAAAATAACCACTTACCATATAAGAAGTTTACTTCGAGGACCCATGCCTGCTTTGATTCCCTTCAAGATTTTAACGCAGTAGTCATCAGCCCAGTCGTGAAGGATATATCGCAACCAGTATATATCAGCTCCTTTAACCGGATTCTCTGCGAAGAAGTCATGTTCAACAAACTTGACCCGGCCTTGTTGAAGTGCGGACGGGCTCTCTTTCGGCCATAATTCGGTCTCTCCCTTACGAATAACCTGACTTCTGTCTTGAATTATGAAATTCAAGTTAGGGTAGAGATGGGAAAGGCCAAGGCAGAAACCACCTAGGTTTTTATTTTGATTACAGTTAACTTAGCCATTGACAGTTGTGGGAATCGCAGGACCTCTGCATATGGAGGAAACAGGGAATTTGTTATAACATACCCATGCCCCCGCCGACATCTACGACGGTAGCCTTTCCAAGAGAAGACCACGGAAAGTCTAAAACCAGATATCAGGACATAAATCTAAATAGGTGTCGACAAGTGATCAATCAACGAACCGTATAAATGCGCCATCCCAGAGACCCTTCCGCCACCTATCATGGCAAGGCTGAATATGGCATGTTCCGGCCGAGGCACGCGTCTTTGATCATCTTGACCTTCGTCTGTTTCCTTTGTATACTGGTGTAATTCGTCCCCGAAAATGCCCGGATAAGCACTTTCTGCACCGTTGGGGCCATTACGACCCTTGAGAATATCTTGAACAGTTGTGGTCTCCTCCATCCAGTTCCACATCGAGGCCTTGGTCCCTACAGCATCCTGGAACGCTGCTAGATCGACGGAATAGGAAGGACCTTTGACAGGGTCGGTGAGAAGGCGGGGCAGGTAGTCCGAAGCAGTATAGCCGTATTGGCCACTATTATATCAAATTGATCCTTGAGTCAGACACTTGCCAGATCGTATAGGGCTGATAGGCGGTAAACCAAATCGCGGTATACTAACCATAATAAGGCATAGGCACGTAAAGGTTCATTTTTCACAAGTGCCGCCGAAACGGGGCCGTTGGTGAAAAGATCCTCGGCCACCTCGCGGAAAACGTGAATAGAACAAAGGCACCGCATTATGCGTGCTAGAGGGATTCAGTTAAATCTTGCCACTGAACTATTTGCCAGGAATAAGAGGTCGGTACATACATAATTTCCTCGGCTCGATACCCACACGGGCCGCAAGACTACTGATATCACAACCGGTGTCGCCATTCTCAGCTAGAATATCAGGTATCCGTAAAGATGCGACTATGTGCAGCGAACGACTTTCGTAATGTTGCAGTGAAACCTCTAGGATACGTCCGCTCGGATCGCTTACAAGCTCAGTTATCATACCAGCTGCGGACAATAATGTCCTCTGGGCCTCAAAGAGCGCGTGTGACGGCAATGACCCTTCAACATTTTCGACTTTCGAACTCTTTGCTGCCACATAATCGGAAACTGTGCTTTGGATCAGCTCACTCAGCTTGATTAATTGAAGTGCAGTTTGGTCGATTCCATTTGTGCCGTCCGTCATGTTGATATAGTGCCTGGTTTCCGGTTGGATTGATTAGTAGTATTCAGCTTCGTTGTCTGTTTATGGGGGTTTGGGCTTGTTAAATACGAATCCTACTTGTATCCATACAGAATTTAAATTTTTTCACTCTCGCTGCTTCCGCAAATGCCAGTTAAATATCCCTTATCATTAATTTAGAATTAAAATTAATTCGCTATAGTCCTTGAGAAATTGAATAAATGGGTGTACTCAGCTGTGCATGTAGGAGAACAGTGGCGCCTGATCAACTGAGCTGAGCGAATACCCTATTTCCGGGTGGAGCTTCTAGATTCATCTGATTCTATTCAGCCGCAGCTAAGCGAGCGGGCCGAAACTAGCTCCATTTGACCAGCCCAGTAGGGTCTAGTTGGCTACTTGACTAGCCTCGAGCCTAAGAAGGACATGTAAGGGGTTCGAGTTGAATTCCAGACCCGGTAAACTTGTATTTTTTATATATCTGTCAACCCGAATCACTGCGCACAGCCGGCAATTCCATAGGCTTAATGTATAAACGTCATAACTAGCGAATTCGCGAATTGATAAAATCTTAAGAGGGGTGTCGATGCTTGGCTGCAGTTTAATATAGCATACTAACAGCTATATGCATATATGAGAAATGTCAATGAATAACATCTATCACAACCCGGCAGCGCGCATGTATGTGTGCGTATCATAGGCTCTTAAGCAACCAACAGGCTTCCTTAGCTTTCTTTCTCGATCTCTAACCACCCGGGACGAGCCCCCATATTAGCTTATCTGAGACTAAATTAAGTTGAAAAAAGGAAAACCAAGTGTGTACATGTAAGCGAGGAATGGCAGCTATATTATGGAAGGAAGGATCAATAAAACGGGTGCAGGTACCACACTCGTGTCGCTAGTGCTAAGAAATTGAGCTCTTTGTTTTTTTTTCCCCGCGAATTAGTGATGTTTTTCTTTTGATTGTTGATGTTTTGCTGTTGGTGACAGTGAACTCATCGTTCTGATCGGGCATACACGCCAGATTTGGTGAGGTACTTGACCCCCTGTTTTTCTTTCGCCCGGTACCATAGTAAGCCTCTCATAAATCAGCAATAAAACCGCCCAGTTAATAAAACCTATCAAAAAAATAATTATAATCAAGTGGATCCCTACAATTCTGTCAAAACCCATTGTAGTTTAGGCGAAATAATACGCATAATGTAACTAATATTGTAAATACTGAAATATAAAGTTCGAAGTAGTTGCAAGGTATTGCAAACCTTAAGTTTTAAAAGAAACTCCGCTAGTCGAAATTAGACTGCTCATTGCCTTTACTAGCCTATTGTACTATCAAAGCGCATTGGCAGATACTTGAATTTCAGAGCTCCTTCGCATCTAGAACAGATAACAGATGCGAGGCTTAACTCGTCCCATTCTGACCTGTTGATACTGTGACTTTTTGAAAATGAAATTTACTTAGAATGCTAGAATAGCAGACTGATGGCCAATGGATATGAGAATAGCGGCGAGACAGAGAGCTTCTAGATCTATCAAAAGAATCGCAGCCACCGCCCGATATCAACGTAGCTACATGTACAGCTAATCGTTCCATCAATTTGTACAAGTATATATAAGCTAGCCGTTCTCCCTCGGCAAGTTTGGAAGTCAGTCAGTATACAATAGAGCGAACCAGGCTGTTAGTTTTGCGCCTTCAAGAGAAGATCAATATATTGCTCCTATAATTATACTGCTTCCCCCAGAATATCTCCTTTTTTTAATTTCTTTATCAAAACATAAAGAGATATCACTAGTGTTCCCCAAAACCGGGCCTCCAGAACGCAATATCAAAATGGTTTACTCCAATTATCCTATGTTGAACGGTCCTAGCGATAGACCAGTTTTTGCCATCATCGGTGGCGGTATTGCTGGTAGTGTTCAAGCGATTCATCTCGCAGAACGATACCCCTGGCTAGATATTTACATTTTCGACAAGAACAAGAAAATTCTAACAGGAACCAGCAATATGAACCCTGGCCGGCCAACGTTCGGGTTTCATTATCGCTGTTTAAACACCGCTACCTTCTGTCAGGATAATACTGTCAAATTCACCAATTTTCTCGACCGCATTGGATGCCCGAATATTTTCGCTAAGGCACCGCAAGGCGGAATATATGTGCTCATGAAGGGAGCTGCGCAGATCCTCAATGGCTCTATTAACCCGGTGTTTAGCCCGGATGAGATAGAGCCTGTCTTTGAACAAATAAAGGAGCACGCTATCAAGAACTACTCGAATGACAATAATTTTAAGAAGCATTTTGGTTCTCCAGACCAGATATGCCGAAAACTCGAAGAAACCGAATACAGAAGCTTCCTCGCCCAAGGGCTACTTGAAGGAGTAGGAGCCTGCTATGAAACCGCCGAGAAAACCTTCGATACTGTCGGTATATGTTCCTTCTTGCGTGAATACATCAAGGGGATCAAGAATATCAAGATTCAAACCGAAGCTAAGGTCACTTGCCTGGAGGAAATTCATCAGTCAAAGGCCGCTCGTTACCGCATCACTTGGAACGATGCCCGTACCAACAAGTCCCGATCTGAAGTTGCACAGTTTGTTACCTTAGCATGCTGGGAGCGTGTAGGGCTCTTTCGGAAGCAGCTCGGTAAACCGGAGTGCCACCCTACATATAACCGGCTCAAGATGCTGGCTATTCTTGAAACTGAAGTCGCAGCCGACTGTGTTAATACGATTCGTCCCATTTTTGCCGCATCCGGCCCTTTCAGCATGATATCACCACAGTCATGCATCGAAAAGCCTGACGGTAGCATTATCTGCAGACTCGCTTGCACATTGGCAATTAGAACCAATGTCATGAATGTTCCGGATGATAGAGTACTGCCTACAGACTATGACAACATGCTTGAGGGTACTATTGACGCTGAAGAGAAAATGAAGATGGCAGCACCGATCCTTGAAGGTGCAAAGCAATTCTTCTCCTGCCTAAGTAATGCCAGATTGGCGGAGGTTCGCTTTGGCACCGTCAGAGTCCCGTTCGGTGCAAGTGGGAATGTGGATTTGCACGATCCAGCAAGTGAGCATCACGCCAGGGACTACCCTGGGTGTAGCAATCTTGGCGATGGGTTATTTGTAAACGAGGCAATGAAGATGATTTACAGCGTGTATAATGCTGAGACGATGTTGGATTGGGCACACGCTGAACTCTATGGAATGAATCCTAAATTGACTCACGCCCCGGAGGCTAAGGCGGCTACAAAGGGGCCCTGGCTAGTATCAATAACTCTACTCATTCCTTAAAGTCTACTTGTCTTGCTATATAGAACAGGGGTAGAACTCAGGGCTAGCAATTGCGTAAATATTTCCTACTTCAAGTTAGCATACATTCTTTTTAACTCAGTTGTCCTTTTTAGAGCAAGGATCTTTTGACAGCATTATGTTTCTATGTAGAAAATTCGTCCTACAAGGGAGGGGTATATACATATAGGAAAATAACCCCCATGGCTAACAAACCACCGCTACAACGAATAAAAACAAAACAGCTTGACTATATAATTTATAGTAGTATTGAACAACCTTTAACCTTATCATTAAGTAGATAGAATAGAAACACCAGAAGAAAGTCGTCGGAATCATACAGTAGTGTAGTTATTTATGACAACGTTTTATTTATTTTGAAATTTCAAAATAAAACTGATTTGTAAATAAAAAGAATAAGAATTCCTGTTGAACTGATTTTGGAAGTTTAAACTTTTTGACGTTACTAGCTACCTAGGTACTGACCTATTCCTAACTTGGTTACTAACCCAACTATTAATCTAGTTACTAACCCAGTTAGTAACCCAGTAGGCAGGCGGAATAACAGTAGTTAGAATAGTAGTTCGAATGGTGGGTAGAATAATAAAACGTAGAATGTAGAATGTAGAACGTAGAATGTAGAATGGAGAATGAAGAATTTAGAACATAGAATGTAAAATGTAGGGTGTAGGACATAGAACGCAGAATGTAGAATATAGAATATAGAACGGGAACGTGTGTGATGTGATCGTGCTGCTCTGTGCCTGATTATCAAAATTAATATATATTATTTTTATTAAATTTAAAAATGAGAAGTTGATTTTATTTGGTGGTTTTAAATATAATCTTTTGTTTGGTATCGGTTATCCTAAAAGGTGTACTTACTTCCACCTGGTAAATCGTATACCATGATTTTGACCCGTATTGCTTGTGAGGTCTAGCGATGATCGTGTCCAATCACGTGATACGGTTCAGTTGGAGGATCAATAGGCAGGGGAAGAATAGAGCTCTTTGCAAGAGGGTCCTTCGGATCGCGCAAGCCCAACGGCTGATCAGCTGAGGCCATTCCTGCTCGCCCATCCACGCCGGGAATGACCTCGCCTGAAAGGAGGCTGACTTGAAGCTACAAAACTAGTTATATGTGTTGTGTTATCACTGTTATATAACGAAAATAATGCGAGATCAGCTGACGGAAAATGGGCCGCAACCAAAAATCCTCGTGGAGAGAAGTTAAATCCCTCCTTACAGCCGGGCATATGATCAGTAGGGTGGTTGAAGAGCAGTTTCGTAACCAAATTGTGTGTTGAAGAGTTAACGAAGGTGTTCTTTGCCCGGCTCAAAGCAGCCTCGTGGCTCAAAGGGCAACACAAACGAGACCAGCAACACACCTTTTTTTTGGTGGCTGACCCAGGCCCGGGGCCTGGCGTCTGGCTTCGAGGCTAGTCTCTAGATCTCTAGCTCCCGAACATCGCAAAGCTAAGAATCGAAAGGCGTGACGGTGAATATATATCGAAAACCTGTTGAATCAAAGGGCTGATATATAGGGAAAAATTATGTGCCAGTCATCAGCAAAATCAACAGGATAGGTGGATTCCCGACTGCTTTCAGCCCCACCAAATTGACTACCGGCTACCGTGGTGCTTCACACACTTCACCTATCCACACACCACCGCTCCGCGAGGTTTACTGCTGAAAGCTAAAGCTGCCGGCGAGTAAATTGATTATTTTCTTTTTTTTTAAAAAAAAAAAAAAAGAAGAAGAGAAAGAATAGAGCGTTGTGCAGTGCGTTACGGAGCCGGGGCGGTGCAGTACTCGCTGTCACCACAGCCCTCTGCAAGTATCCGAATTCAAGGCTATAAGATTTGCGCGAAGTACAAAATACAAGTAACTTGATCCCACATTGTATCAGCTGGAGAAAACATGCAGCCTTTCGAGACTCTATGTGATTATTTATATGAAGCTCCTTCCCCGCCAAATCCGTGGACCTTGTCCTCGCACCGACGTATTTTAGATTAGCACACCAGCGCGTGTACTTTAACGCTTAACACTCAGAAATAGCGGCGGATATAGACGCTATCAATACGGTACCAGGGGTATCAGTCGGAGCTAGCCCGAATTTAGAGGGGGAGAATCGACTTCAAAAAGCGCTTGAGACCTTCAAGCGGCTCCTTTTGCCTCGCGAACTTTCCCAAATTGCTACTACGCCATACCCTGATGCCGCCAGTGTCGCTTCCCTCACGCAGGACCTTAACAACATCAACTCAAAAAGGTTCCTGAAACTTGGGGAAAGTTGTAGGCCTTTTCTCCAGTTTGTGCAACACTTTTCTCCAGTATTGGATGTGTATCTACAGGGTGATACAGGTTCAATCGCGCCCTTGGTTTGGGGTAGCGTCAAGCTTGTGGTTCAAGTAAGAATATAATCCGTAACTCCCGTCCGTCCCAAAATTTATTAACTTTTGGCAGCTTGCCAGTGGTTTCTTCGATTATTTCGTAAAAATGTCTGAGATGTTCCAAAGAATTGGCCGTATCTGTCCCACAATGAAAGAAATCGGGGAGATATTTCCGGACGACGAAAAACTGAAAGATTCTATTCGCGTACTTTACGCTATATCCATTGAATTCTGCATTAAAGCGCTATGTTTCCTTCGCAAACCAGGTAAACTAGCTAGTCTCGGTTCAAACGTGATCCGCTCATGCTGAAATGGTTAATTATATATAGGAATGAAGCAGTTTGCGAAGAGCACCTGGAAGCCTTTCAAGTTTGAATTTCAAGACATCGAAAACGAGCTGGCCGACCGACGTGAAATAATCAATGACCAGATACGCGTTGCGTCAGAGAAGGCCGCAGCTTTTGCACGGCAGAAAGCTCTGATATACCAGACGGAAGGCTACCTGCATAGGGAATACGAGGTAACCCAGTGGGATCGCAGCCAAGAATGGAGAATTGAGCAGGACGTATACAAGAAAGGTGGGTATATTGCCTCAGCATTTGAATATTTAAGTCCTTGTATTGATGTAAAGCAGAGAAAGCAATGGATAAATTGCTCGCGAAATTATCAGCCCACAATCACACACGTCCTTTCTTAAACGCAAAAGATTTACGGCATCCGGATACAGGGAAGTTATTCTTCGAGTCCCCGCAATTTAAAAGTTGGTATAATTGCAGCGGCGGCTCCCTATTATGGTATCAAGGCATTCGTAAGTCGTACGTATAACTGCTGGATCAACGATTTATCATTACTAATGAATCTGATCAGCCGACGCTGGTAAAACTATTCTGGCGTCGGCTGTCATCGACCATTTGCTCGGTAATGTAGGAGGAGCCGGCCAGGCGATTATATATTTTTTCTGTGACTCTCAGGACACCAGGTCGTTAGAGAGGCGTACGCTGCTATCGAGCCTGCTAAAGCAGATAATTACTCTAAATCGTCCGCTGCTTCCGGCCTTGCGTTCGCAATTAGAGACAACATTCAAAAACCCCCAAAGTCAACCTCCACTACAGACTCTACAAAATCTTCTAATAACACATATTCAACAAAAGCATTTAACATATATTGTTGTCGATGGTGTTGATGAGTTGGACGTTAGAGATAGAAAGTACATTCTGGATCAATTCAACGAGATGCTCAAATTACCGGGATCTATACTCAAAGTTTTCATATTGAGCCGTCCCGAGATTGATCTCCCACGAACAAGCCGAAAGGCGATTTTTGCATCCCCTCAATCCGCACTGAGACCGGAGCTCGATGCCTATGTTCGGGATAGCTTGCAAAAGTTCGATAATCTGACATCCTTTCCACCGAAGTTTATGAGCGAGATTCAAACAGCTCTCATAAATGGTGCGGATGGAATGTAAGTTATTTCTGATACGCATTCAGAATTCTTTTCTCAAGGCTAACCTTGTCTAGGTTTCTCTGGGTCGAATTTCAGCTGAGAGAAATTGAAAACAAAGATAGGATGGTTGATATTCGAAAAGTGATACAGAATCTACCACGGGGCTTAAACGAGACGTACGCCAGAATATTAAGGAAGATCATGGAGCATAGAAACCCAGAGAAGGCCTTGAAGATCTTCAAATGGCTTTCCACATCCCGGCGACCCCTTATGTTAGAAGAACTCCAGGAAGCGATTGCAATTGACACTAGTGACACCTGTCACGCCCAAATCAAGAATCGAAAAACACTAGACAGTTTTTTTGAGCTCCAGGACTGTGCAAACCTGGCCGTGCTAAACGAACGAGATGACACTGTTCAGTTTGCGCATTCTACCGTACGCGATTTCCTACTCAAAGAGTCAACAATAACAGAGTTCCCAAGCCTTTACCTTGACTTAATTTCCGCCAAAGCGGAAATATGCAATGCGTGTCTCACATATCTATCCCTCAACGACTTTGAAAGCCAGATTGAAATTGCCCACAAGAGGCCACCACTACCGAAAGAATCAATCCTAGAAAATCCAGCTTCTTGGGTGCCAATGCTACTCAAGTCTAGATCAATTCCAGCGATAGTTGCAGGATTCTACCTAAATTGGCGTCGACCAAACAGTTCACCCAAGCCTGCAGCGTTATTCCGCCAAAAAATCAAACAGCCACCGACTCAACTTGAGTTGCTTCGTCAGTCGTTCACATTTCTCGACTACGCTCGTCAAAACTGGATACACCATTGCGATGATTTATTTAACGTTGCTAAGGAAACAAAAACTTGGCAAATATTCCGAACGCTCCTTGGAAAAACTTTGCCCTTTGATCATCTCCCCTGGAAGCATACGAAGTCGCACTCCGACCTTGTATATTTTGATGCGTTCTCTTGGGCGCTCCATAATAGCAATTTTTCAGTACTAACGTTGATTTTTGATGAAATAACGGCGACGGAGCGTCAAAGCTATCTTGATAGTACTGTGGGTGAAGCGGGGGAACCACCGCTGCATATCGCCGTGGGCCTATGGAGTGAAGGCATTGTTGCTTTACTTTTGCAGAACGGCGCTGATCCAAATTCTTGCTATGGTGGGATCACTGCATTGGTTAAAGCTTCTGTGAGTGGTCAATCGGAAATGTGAGAACGCTGTTAGCTGCTGGGGCCGATGTTAATGCCGCCGATGAATATGTGGACTAACAGTTCTTCAGGCTGCGGCCGAAGGTGGTCACCTTGATATCGTTGAAAAACTGCTAGCTGTTAAGGCTGATGTCAATGCTGCTGCTGGTAATGGAATATATGGTAGACGAACAGCTCTTCAGGCTGCGGCAGGGGGTGGCCATCTTAATATTATTGAGATATTGTTAGCTGCTAATGCTAATGTTAATGCTACTGCTACTAATAATTATGGACAAATAATTCTTTAAACTGCAACTGAAAGTGGCTATCTTAATATTATTGAGAGATTGTTAGCTACTAAAATTAATGTTAATATTGATGCTGATGTAGAAAAAGGACAAACAGTCCTTCAGGCTCCGGCCGAGGGTGGTCACCTCAACGTTATCGAAAGACTATTAGCTGCTAATGCCGACGTTAATGCCGATGCTGGTGCAGAAAAAGGACGAACAGCTCTTCAGGCCGCAGCCGGGGGTGGTCACCTCGACGTTATCGAAAGACTACTAGCTGCTAATGCCGATGTCAATGCCGCTGCTAGTTATCGCAATGGACGAATAGCTCTTTAGGCTGCGGTAGGGGGTGGCCATTTCAATATTGTTGAGATATTGTTAGCTGCTAATGCCGATGTTAATGCCGCTGCTATTAATAATTATGGACAAACAGCTCTTCAAATTACAGCTGAAAGTGGCCACCTTGATGTTGTCGAAAGATTTCTAGCTGCCAAAATTAATGTTAATATTGCTATTACTGATAATAATAGACTAACAGCTTTTCAGGCTGCGGCCAGAGGTGGTCATCTTGATGTTGTTGAGAGACTGTTAGCTGCTAAGGCTAATGTTAATGCCTCTACTAGACATCAAGGGCTAACAGCTCTTCGGGTTGCAGCAGAAAACGGTCAACTTGACGTCGTCGAGAAGCTACTAGCTGTCAACGCTGACCTCAATGCTATTGGTCGGGACGGACGAACTGCTCTTCAGGCTGCGCGTGGGCGTGGTCTCTTCGATGTCGTTAAGAGGTTGCGTGCGGCCGGAGCGAAATATTAGCTTTAATTTTCCATTTCTCCCAGCAATACTCGCAATTCTTTGTTCTATTCATCTCCCACGTGGAAAGAACGAATTAGATACACAAAAAAATGATACATGAAGCAATTGCATATTTTTATGGTACGAGGTTAACGTTTGGCTGTGTTACCATCCAAAACGTAGAGCAGCAGATTACCCATTGTCACAGAAGCCACCGATAAGAATTACATGGATCTTTAGTTTGTCAATTGCAATTGGGGCGTTTATGTAAGATTCGACGATCGACCAACATCAACCAAGGAATCTATCGTGAGACTTTCTCATGTGATTTCTTTTTTTTGTTGATAGTATACTATGATGAAGAATGTACTGTTCACAAATCTGTGCACGGATCCAAATGACCATCTGAGAATTTTCGCAGGTAGTTGCCAAGAGAATTTCATCAGAGAATGTTATAAACGGGTCACTATAATCGATACGGAGTATTTTGTCATTAAAATGACCGCCGGTTGTCCAACAAAAACGATGTAAGCTAGGCCAGGACGGAAGATCAGCAACTCATACAAGACTACAAAATCATTAGATTTAGTTGCCTGCTGGCATAGATTGCCAAGTACCTTGACCACTGGACCATTTGAAATGTGATTGGTTCGGTCCATTGAACCAGACAGCCATTTTTTCCTTGGAAACACGACTAACACTCACATAATAAATGTTAAGGCAAAGGTGAGATACATAGATATATACCTACTACTTAAGTACTAGGTATAAATCGTCCCCAGACAAGCTAAACTGCGGCACGCCAATTCATCGTCTTCAAACAAACTTAAAAGCTGATGAGCAGCAACCACCCTCCTGCCTGAAGCTGCCGCGCCATACTTGCTCTCACTCTTTCTCTGAAAGGGTGGCGCAACCACTCCTTGTATCACCCGAACGAAGAGAGTTAACAGCACTCGACTGGTCAAATATCAGTGTGGGCTGGCCCGAAATCACGCCGTTCATATCACCATCAATCGTCGATCAATAAAATGGCCTCAACTCGTCGTAATATGCCTTGCAACTATAAAAGTCGCATTGACTGCCATCAATAATTGGGTTTTCAATATACGATGTCTTGAGATCGTGTAAGTCTGCTTGGAGGCTATCGAAGTGGTATTTTTATCTGTTGTTTTAAATTTTGGACCGAACCGTTTTAGCTAATTTTTGGTCTTATCTAGCCGACCTCTTCTACTCGCTCCATAAATATACTTAGCCGATGAAGGGGGGGTGGATAGGGTCGGGCTTCTCGGGATTCCTTCAAATAATTCCATAAAAGAGATACAGCTGTAGAAGCCGTTGTTCATCCAAGAAAGGATTTATTGGCATGCTCTGAGTAAATCTGGGGTGGAATGGATAGTCAAACAAGCTTGTGGAAGCTGAAACTTATGAGGGCGTCTAGTTATCGTATCTCGGATTGTATCCGCTTAATACCCTTTGATCAAAGATGATTTTGATTAATGTCGCTGTATTTTATTATAACCTTATGATTATAATATATCTATAATAAGTAAGTCTTCGAACCACACGAATGAAAGGGTTTCTAGTGAGGTCACAGTGCTCTAGTGTAAATGATAATAAAACTCGCACAGATGAATCCCTTACCCTCCAGTGGATCTACCCACGGGAAATAGAAATAAAATATAAAAACAAGACCAATAAGGCGAGGAGAAAGTCCAGAGACCAAGAGCTCCTATCAAGCGTGCTCACCAACAGCTGTAAAGATAATGAGATTGGTGCGTTGTGATCAAGATCTATACCAATATTCATTGTTTAAATTTAAGAATTCCCACCGGGTGGCGTTCCAGGACTTCAAAACTCAACATCGGGAAAGATTATTGTCCCCCAAGGAGTGCCTTGACATGATATACCGTAACAATGCATTAGTATATCATAACTCGTTGAAGAGATAGAGTCATTAAGGTCTATCTGAGGCCGCTGCACAGACCACTCTTCTTCTTTTCAGACGCGGGGAGAATAGTCCCAATCGTCCGCACCAAAATTAGGGTGCTCCAGCACTTTTCGCAGGTTTTCACTGCCAACACGGAGCGCCACTTTTTGAGGCTCGTTGGAGGGATAGACAGCGGCGCACCAAAATGCTTCCCGCAGGATGCTTGGAGGCATATCGTCTTCATCGATTAAATATAACCGACCTGGACGGAGGAAACATAACGGCAGGAACCATACTACGACTATAGCGTGGAAATCAAAATGTTATGTTAATGTTTTTCTACTAGAGAAAAAATAAGGGTTTGTGAAAAACTCACTTCCCGCTAGCTCTCTACTTCGCAACTCATTGATAAGACTCCTAGGATCGTCAGGATCGAATTGAAGGATATCCCCCACTTTGTCAAAGCACAATCCGCTTCCCCAACCGGGGAGGAGCATATTTCTGATGGTTCTTGGTATTAAACCTCGAGTACGGAGACCTGAGAGAATTATCCAGGTTAACCCACGTTCGTGGTGATCTGGCTTTTGGGGTTGTAGGATCGAGCCACAGAGGTACTGGCCCATAGCTCTCGATATACACCTATCGATGTATATGTATAATATTGCGCAAGCTCGACTTATATCTCCGACTTCGCAAAAGCTCAGCTAGGGGGCGTTCGGACGCAGAGTCTAGTCAATTTAAGTAGTGAACTATTGATGGGCACTCACAGATAAGTATCGATGTTCAAAGTCTAGATTTAGCTAGCTTTTGAGGCGATATTGAGAAGGTCGAAACTCCCTCTTTAGTAGTCGTGAACCACGCTATTCCCGTTTGCGGGTGAGAGCTGCCATTCCAACATTCAACACATCAACATGCATAAGTCAGATGGGCAACACACATGCATGTACACAAGTCTGGTTACGAGACTGGGAAACACCCGCTCGACCTTACATTTTCGTAGTTCTCCGTTTTTGTGGTCTCTGTTTTATGGTTCAGATCCTCACGACTACTTGATATACTCTAGTACAGTGCGAGTGGTGATCGTGATCGCAGCGTTATTCGGTGGCAGCCAGTGCCAATGGAGTTCGCTAGCCGACAGCGATCACTAGAATTTGTTGCATTTTACGATCCAACACAAATGAGAATGGACTTTGATCAGTCTTGTAAATGGGCTTGGAATTGTCGAGCCTAGGCGGATTTGGCGTAAGTACGTAAGCCAGACAACTACGGCACTTATATTGTGACGATGAATACATCTTTGAATGAGAAACAAAGTGCCGATCACTTGTAGCTCTGGCCTAATTGTTGGTATATCCCATCTGTAGAAGAGGGAGGTTTTATCACCCGTGCAGCCCTGCCTGGACTCAAAGTACATCTACCCGAGAAGTCTTTATTAAAGTTTAAGCGATAAATTTTTTTATTGTATAATTATTGAATTCCTATGAGTATGGCTATTAAGACAGAGTACACGATAGTGAGATCCTTATTTGAACAACATAGGAACGGGGATTTAATATTTTCATTATTCGACCGTTAAAGCTTTAAAATATAAATGTACATGAGGGTATTCTGATACCAGCAGTCTTACGGCTGAAAGACTTCGATCTTATTATTTGGATGGCTTGGCGGGAGGGGCAAGTCCGCTGCCATTAGGCGAGGATGGGGTGCTGTTGCCAGGGTAGGCGGTATTAGGATAGGCGGTATTGGGATAGGCGGTATTGGGATAGGCGGTATTGGGGTTGGCGTTACTGGGGTTGGCGTTATTTGGATAGATATTGTTTGGGTAGGCACCGTTATTACTGGGGTACGCGTTGACACCGTTATAATAAGAACCGCTGGGCAATTGGCGCTTCTGCTTAGGGGGCTTAGCGGGAGGCGCGAGCCCGCTACTACCAGGGGTAGATGGAGAGCTGTTGCCAGGATAGCCGGCATTGGGGTAGGCGGCGTTTGGATAGGCGGTATTAGGGTTAGCACTATTCGGGTAAGCACTGTTGGGATAGGCACTGTTTGGAACCGGGTTCGAGACTATGCCCGGATATGCGCCGTTGGTGTTGGGATAGACATTGTTTGTGTAACTATACTGGCGTTTCTGCTTAGAGGGCTTAGCAGGAGGTGCGAGCCCACTGCTACCGGGAACGCTATTGCCGTTGGGATATCCGCTATTTGGATATGCAGCTTTGGGGTACGCGGCATTGCTGTTAAGATAAGCATTATCACCATTAGGGTAGGCGCTGTTTGGATAAGCACCATTTCCATTAGGGTATACGGTATTGGCGGGATTGGCGTTATTATAGTAGCCATTGGGCAATTGACGCTTCTGCTTAGATGGTTTAGCAGGAGGCGCGAGTCCGCTACTGCCAGGAACGCCGTTATTGTTAGGATAAGCCCCGTTGTTATTTGGATATGCGCTGTTCGGATTTTGGTTGTTCTGATAGGCGCCGTTATTGTTGGGATAGACGGCATTTGGGTAGGCACCATTACTGTTGGGATAGGCGCTATTTGGGTAAGCGGCGCCGCTATTGGGATAAGCGTTATTGGGATAAACGCCATTAGCGGGGTAAGCGCTATTGGGCAATTGGCGCTTTTCTTTGACCTGCTGGCTGCCCACATCGACAGGAAGAGCCGAAGCGGTAGCGGCGAGGATGAGAGCGGCGATAGTGGCGTCGAACTTCATTTAAATGTTTAAGTATAGAGTCAATGATGGTGTTCTGAGGGAAATTATATAAATAGATTAATAGGACCGGCCTAATATAATAATGTATTTCGATGATAATATAAATTTGTTTGCTGCCTGCCAGCGGCGCGAAGATGTTTTGATGTTTGGGAGTTGTGGAGTTGTTGTTGATGTGGGATAAAATAAGAGAGAGAAAGCACAATTATATAGCAGTTCCGCCGCCAGTAAAATTCAAATTTAAAATTTAAATTAATAAAGTCAGAATACATTAGTCTCGTAAACTACACTGACATATCGGGGAACCCTGCTGCATACCTGTTTGGGAACCAGTCTCACGCAGCTTGGTTACGAGACTGGTGCTGCCAGTCCCGTGTTGTGTTGCCAGACATTCCAACACAGGTGTTGTCTAGGTCTGTTACACAGTGGTTACACGGTGCCACCGTCGCCACAGTCTCGGCGCAACCTGGCGACGCCTCCTTGAGCTTAAATTCAGCCTAGACGATAGTGATGCATGATGTACTCTTGTATCAGATAAGCTTTTTCTAGATCAAATATTCAAATTCTGCTCATTATAATCGCCTAACGAACGGCCCGATTCTATGAGACTGTAGGGAACTTTCGAATTCCAGAATGTATAGGTCTGATACCGTGCTAGGGTCGTGCCGTTGAGAACAACACCTGGAACATATCCTATGAGAATTTAAAACAGCAATGTCTTTCTTCCAGGCTACACTCTAATTAGCCCCAGGACCCTGGAGCAGCTCTGGCTCCGAGACTACATCCACATGTACAAAAAAAAGACTTTAGGTCTGAATCTAAAACGTGTGAATGTGAAATGATAAGTACAATATACGACCTCATAACCCCCCCCCTTCCCCCACCAATCTTTTATCGTCTAATTCATTCCTTAATTTTCAATTCTATACCAAAGGTTCCTCCCCAAAAACATTCTAGGCGAAGTACATGATACTATCGCATTTATTATCCTGTCTTCTCTGCCCCGGCACAATATCTACTTTACTCAATATTAACAGCTCTTGAAAATTTCGAAAATACCTTGCTTGCTGTAATAAATCTGCCCGGGCCTCTCAAAATGAAGCTTGCGTCCTTATTGGCTCTACTTCTTTCCGCCGCAACAACAGCCTCAGCGCACGCTTATATTAAGGAATTTGTCATCGACGGTCAATCATACCCAGGGTTTGACCCGTTTGAGCCACCGCAACCAGGCATAGTCGACCAGTACTGGGATACCAATTTTAGAAATAAAAAGAATACCGATGCCTATGTACCACCCGGGAGCGGTGATGAGATCGTTTGCAGAAAAAACGCCCAACCTGTCCAGACCGTTGCTATGGCGCGAGCCGGTGCATACATCACATTTCGCTGGACCAGGTGGCAGACCAACCATATCGGCCCGATTCTGACTTACTTAGCCGATTGCAATGGTAATTGCGCAACCGCGATCGGTTCTCAATTATCCTGGTTTAAAATCGACGAGGCTGGATACAACGGCAGACTCTGGGCAACCGAAGTTCTGCAAAAGCAGGGGAAATCCTATACTATCCAGCTACCCAAGACCCTCAAAGACGGACAATATCTCCTCCGCCACGAAATGATTGGGTTCAAGAACAGTTTTAAAGATCAAGCCCTCCCGGTTACCCAGCTTTATCCGACTTGTGCAAATATACAGATAATTAATGGCAGCGGTCAGGTTACACCTCAGGCCGTCCCACTGCAGGGTTACTATCAAGAAGGTGCCCCCGGCCTCCCAGTCATCGATATACAACGTGGGATGAAGTACCCTTTCCCTGGACCACCTCTTACTCCAGGACTCGGTAACACGCCGAGTGAACAACTCAACCCGGGTGTCAACAAGAATCCAACTTATGATCCCTTTCAAGAAAAGCTCAATGAGCCAACCGACGATAATGGTACGGTTCCGAATTTCCACCTCGATTGGTTCGCAAGAAATGGTGTAGCACCTCCAACTGGCCAGCCGAGCCAGAAAAGGTCAATCGATCAACCTTCGGATCTTCAAAACTTAAGCAGCCGGGGGCTAACAAATAGCCGGCCAACACACAATCGGCGTGTACAAAATGAAGGAAGACTATTGTATGTAGGAGATCCCCACAGATTCCGACAAAATTATCGAGTTAGACGAAGGTGGAGTCAAGTGAGATGATGATATTCGGGTGGTGCTTTTTTCACAAAAATGTAATATTTGCTATCATTCCTCATTGAGTTTATTGGAGTATGGCGCTCATGTTTATCTCGTAGTTATGACAATTGATCCCAATAACAAATTATATTTTGTTCATACAATCTTTTCCTATTTTTCTATTACAATATTTCTCAAGTGAGAGTTAATAGACATAGCGAAAAGTTAAGCAGCTGTGGCTCCGAGACTAGCAAAAAAGTTAGTTTTCGCGCGGCATAGGACACCCTAGGCGTGTGTTGTGTGGTTTTTGTCATCAGATCTGCAGAGCCTGGCACGTTTTAAGAAGTATTGTCTCAGGGTGAAATTTTGGGCATGCCCGGGCATATATGCATATGAAAACCGAGACATGTAAGACAATCATCCTCAGATAGTCTTGGTTCTATTCTCACACCGGAGCAAGAAACCGTATATCGGAGAACTTTGAGACGGAAAAACTGGCCCCAAACAATACGACACCCGGCCGACCTCCACACACAACATTAGCTTAATACATTTGATGAAGCATCCTGATATCAATGACAATGCGTTCACTCCGTTGATGAATTATGAAGCCAAATCGTCAATATACAAACAAACTACATAAGCTGAATGTTAGCCTAGTTAAACCCCAGCTGCTTTCTTATTCTTTTCAACTCCCGTAACTTTTTATTATTACTTTGACGCAACTCCTGGCTCCTTTGCGCCGCTGGCTGGCTGCAATATCCATATCAAAATCAACCTCTTGGGGATTTTTTAAAAGCCAGAGCGGCTTCCCCCGAATAAAACACTTAACCTTTTCGAAGGCACACAACCTCTTTTTAAATTGGCCGGTCCATATATACCAACTGGCTATCATCAATGAAGATAAATCTTTACATCGTCTCCCTCATCCTAGCCACTACTTCCTCGGCTATCCCTCTGAAAATACTACACGAAGACCCTTCTGCACCAGTCTTCAGGCAAAAGATCGTTCGTAGGCAGAGTTATAGCAATGTAGATTTTATACTGGGCAAAGTTTCAGATATCGTTGGGATCTTTGCGGGTGGGCCGGATGCGGCAAATAGCAAGCCCATGCAAGCTTTCAATCAATTACTAAGCGTTATTGGCAGCTTTATACCTTCTAAAGATCCAAATGGGTCTAACGGACCAGTGGGCAGTCTTCCGAACGGGCCAGTTGGAAATCTTCCTAACGGCCCAGTGGGAAATCTTCCTAGTGGCCAATTTCCTAATGGACAAATTCCCAACGGGCCGGTTGGAAATTTTCCCAATGGCCAATTCCCTAATGGTCCGGTTGGCAACATCCCTAACGGACAAGTTCCTAACGGTCCGATAGGCAGTCTGCCTAATGGACCTGTTGGCAATGTTCCTACGGGACCGGGCGGTATTATTCCAGGTGGCCCAAATGGGCAAGTAATCTAAAAGGCTGACTGAACGAGTTCATCTCTAATACTTCGAGTGCTCGTGCCTTGTTGCCCAATACAGACCATGATGCAGAGTAAATAGGATACACAAATAATAATACCGGCATTTATTTATCCTCTTAAAATGTTTTATCAGAATTATACAGTGTATACAAGCGAATATATGTCAAAATAATATCCTTTTTGCGGTGTAGAAGTCTCAGTATCCCCTAATATTGACTCGATTGCTCCAACGAATTCACAAACGGGTGAACTAGGCGTCAAGTTTGCAGATCAACGAAGCATAAGTCTATAAGCACTTACAAGGAACCTGCTCTTCGTATACCTCATGCCTTCCCGCCGTTTCTTCATCCGATAAAGCATGCTACCAGCTCTCACCAGTTGAAGAATATCCGCCGCAATCTATGCGCTTGTTATAAAGTTGATCTTGTTGGAGTCGTGCTCGGCGTACTCTGCTATGGGCCCTTCACGCCGCACACCCGCCTTCTTTTGCTCCTCACTATGTTCGATGTCGCGGTGCACCTCTGCTGATGTCGAGGGATCCCCGCCTAACCCTCCGAACGTCCAGGATATGCTACTCTTGCGTTCTGAAGTTAGATTTAATCTTACGGGAATCCTAGGGAGCGGGCGGAATATGTCGGTTGCGTAAGTTGTGCTTGGTTGTGACGCGATGAGCGTTGTGTTGGTGGCGACCACAGAGGACTGCTGACGATGGGGCTTGGCTGTCGAGGACATCCTAGTTCCAGGTTCTGTTGCGTCTTCCATGACACTATTATTTCCGGAATCATATCCGTTAGTGGTGCGAGTTCCTTGGTGGTCTTTGTTGGTGATCGCGTGGAGGACGAGGGCGCTGAATAGGACTAGGCTATCGTGTTAATATAAAGCGAGATTGGAATATATGAGTAGTCAGAAAACTTACTGTCGCCGTTGCAAAGCAGCAAACAAATCCATCCGGGTTCGCCCTTCAATAGTATTAAAACCATCAGGTTTCTTGATTAAAGTCCTGTTAACTCTTATAGTTGAATGGGATAGATATATTTTTGTCCACATACGCGACACTAGATATCAAAGTTGCACAAGATCCGCAGAAAGTTTTAAAGGCCATAGTGCGTAGCGCTTGATGGGATTGCAGTGCTTTCTCTCGTGAGATTTCTGAAGAAAATTTCAATTAGAACATGAAAAGAAGTGGTCGCCTCGAGGACTCACTTATGACAGGTATCAAGAATAATGTCGTCAGATATACCTATAGGTGCTGTCAACTTCTGATCGGTAGAACCAAAGAGTGATCCGTTTTCCAAGATTACATTGACGACGACATCAAAGGTAACAAGAGGTATCAAGGCAAAAGCCTTGGCGCCAATACGGCAGACGCCATTCTCGAGGTACGAAAATCGGCTTAGGTACCGCGTTAACGTATATTGCTAAAATTTTTATGGACGAAAATGCCATACTAAGCCAATGTTAAGAAAAAGACGACGGCGTAGAGGACTAGTTGCACTAATTAGTTCAGTATTCGCAACCGAAATTCAATATTAGGGCTTCTCACTCAGCATCCCGAGGCTGTTGAAGAGATAGAGCTTATCCTTGCATCGTGGCAGCCATGCACCCTTGACCAGTCTCTGAAGCAGCAAAATTAGCTTCTATGAAACTCGCATCTGTTATCTGTTCCGAGAAACGCCCGCATACCGCTTTCTCGACGAGCAGCAAGTATATAAGCTACAAAATTTAGCTAATCAGCTCTGATGGGTCCTAAATCTCCCGAATTCTGAAATGCAACATACGACCTAGCATCGAATCTTATTAGCGGTAGCACAATGTCGCCTTGATTTAGAGTAGCTCACTTTGGTAGTTATGTAGAACACGATGCACATGATATTTGCAACTGCGCAATATGATAGACTTTTATTAACACCGAGTCCTAGGCTAATAAACCCCGTTGAGAAGATGAATAGTAACGAATCCAGATAAATAATGAGGAGATCTGTGGTTGATGTTAGTTGGTACCTTCAATAAAAATATACGAGCAAGACTTACACCACCGAACGGCCGTCAGTTTCCTCCAGGAACCAATAATCATCACACGTTGAGCTGTTCTCGCAAACATCCGTTAGAAAAACGGGCTGCAATACCAATAACAATTTCTATCTTTGCTCGTCGTAACTTACTCAAGCAGACTGAAAGTGCAGTGATCGTGATCATTATAAGCGCGGCAGTCACCGGTCTCCCGGCGGGAGGATAAGGTGCGCCAGCAACAATATGCGTAGCGTCGGAAGAGGACATGGTACCTCAAAATCTCCCCCGAAGGTGGTAGCCTTGGGGTAGGCACGGCTGTTGGTAGGACAAGATGACCCGAGCGAAGTCGTGGTTGGAGACTTGGTTTGGCAGGCGCATGGGGTAACAGGTGTTTGGTAACGGACGAGAGGGCAGAAAAGCTTCATGGCGGTCATAAGAGTGACTGAAAGAGGACAATTAGAAGGCGTCGCAACAGATGCAGTATTGTACATGCCATCGCTAGAACCAAAGGAATATTAGTGGTGTCTTCCCTTCAAACGCAACTTAGTTGTGGGGCAAAACCTTAACGGGATCTTCCGTACCTGAGGGCGGCTAGAACATATCCACGAACAGCCGGTCACATGATGAGCTTTTTGTCGATTTAGCAGTCAGAATCTAAGGCATAAACTAGAATGACAATTGTTAGACGCAACTTATCTCGATAAATTCTTCAAATTTGACTATGCCACAGTTTTACAAAATGTACTATCTGTTATTCGGCTTCACTGAAGAATTAGCTACGAACCTTTTTTCATTTTCCATCTTGTTCTCTTTTTAAACCCAATTGCGTCGGGGAAGCCGTCATGTCGCCGGGGGCTCTGTCTCAACTCCGCAGACCCGGAGCTTCCGTCTCAACGAAAGTCTCAATCCCTTTCATTTACCGCTTCATTCTCACAATAATTGAGCCCTCCGTCGCTGTAGTTGGCGCAGTTATCGCATCCTGCACAACTGATGGATATCGATATCTCTCGGCCATGACCCGCAATTTCACTTCCTTCACACCAACCACCACATCCCTGTATACCAAACTTAGTGATGCGTGGCTGTACTTCGCATTCAATGAAGCAGTGGTGCTCCGTATATTTGACGACCTCCATTTCTGGCAAATTTTATGCGTAGGAATGCTGCTTAGCGAGCGCGATGGAGCCTAGTGCCATAGTGTTGCGCAGGTCGTCGGAGGATGGGGCGCTTAGCCGAGGGTGCGAGATTGGACAGCAGAAAATTGGATGGTGTTTTGGGGAACTGCACCGGTGGTTTTGGTGAGGATTTTGATTGTCCTTGGAGTGGGCGTGAAGAGATCGCAAAAAGTAGAAGAATAGATAAAATCTTAAGGAAGAGCATTCCAACGTCATAATTCCCTTGTTCATGACGTTCGGACTCGCGAAATTATCGTCATCGAGAGCGAGCTTATATCTCGTATTTCTCGAGCTCATGACGTCAGTAACCTTTCATTCAATATTTAAATTTCACCACCAACATGCAACAGTCCCCACTAGTGACTCCCTTGATATATATATTGTTGATAGTTCACTTCTCATAATGGCTGAACCGTGCATTCCTATATCTCCCCACCCTATTCCCGATGAAAAGACCATCTCTACTATATGTAAAATTCCTGTACTTTCTTCCGATGGCGAAAGCTGCCGGTTTGGGGACTTAGTTGCTGCAAGGGACGGCGTTGACAACGTCGTAGTGATATTTAGTAAGTGGAACATCGCTGTCGTTTAATTAATATTGATAGGGTAATGAACGGTTAGTTATCCTATAGTTCGCCACTTCTTCTGCACCTGCGATCAAGATTACATCCGATCCCTAGCAGGGTGTCTTACACCAACTGTCCTTTCTACTCTGCCTGTCGGGCCCTCTCGACTCGTGATTGTCGGCTGCGGCGACTCCTCTCGCATCATTCCATACGCTGCAGAAACATCTTGCGACTTCAAAATATTCACGGACCCAACTCGCCGAATATATGAGAAGCTCGAGATGAACAAATCATTAGGTAGTTCCACAAGGCCGGCATATATGGAACACACTTTATTGAGTCTCATCATAAGGAGCATAGGACAAATGGTTAGAAGCGGATATGGTGCGTTCAAAGGGGGAGACTTCTGGCAAAATGGTGGGGAGTGTATTTTCCGAAAGGGGAGATGCGTGTGGGTACATAGGATGGAAACAACGTCCGATCATGTGACGGCGACCAAGCTGACAAATGTGCTGTCCGGAGATGCAAATTGGCGCAACAAAAATTGAGAGATTGGCGACAGGAGAATGTGACAAGGCACAGCCAAGCTGCCCATGTCTGTCCATCACGCCCATCCCGGCTGCTTTATTTTATTTTTCGATTTCGAAGGATGTCTTCCAGATTTTTTTTCTATCTAATTACTGCAGCCTACTACTGCCAATAGTCAAGACGCTAGAGTTTCCGCTTGCCATCTTATAATGTACACGCCAATAATCGGGGCACAATCCGTCTGACGGTTTATGATCTTTCTTTTTTAGCCGCCACAAGTTATAGAATTGATTGAATGGCTGACAACTTGTAGCAAGATATATATGTTGGTTCTCCGGCTTCATGTCGAATGCAATTTCCCTAAATTTACGATTCAACAATGTAGTAATAAAAATTTCATCACCACCGATCATATTACGTTACCGCGCAATTGCAATACTAGCTGGCGTTGAAATGAATAACAGTTGCAAATGAATAAACATGCCCCTCGAATTTCCTTTTTCCTTTTTAGTGTTTAGACTTTCAACTTTTCCCCCTCCTTTTGCTCCCCCGCCAAATATACATCTTATACATCTAGGTAGCATCGCTTGGAATATTTTGGCTAATAGTTACACAACCCATTTGGCTTTTATTGTTATCGACTTAGTATCTCTGTACAGTGTTGGTCACCCACAGGCCGATCCTGGGCGCGAATGGGGTGACTCGAAACGATCCCGTGATCCAGAGCTGGAACGTGACTTAGAACGGTGGGGCGACTCTGGGCGTAGCTTGGGCTTATAGTCTTTGGCTTGATATGGCTTGTACCCGTCTGGGGATCGAGAACGAGACCTAGATCCGTGACCTCGCGATTTAGAGCGGTGGGGTGATGGTTCGGGATTGTAGCCCTTGGATGTGTGTGCTTCTGATGGCTCATACAGGCCTGACGAGCGATGACTGAGTGATCGCCCGCGAGGTTGTCCTCTGCCACCACGTCCTCTGCCACCACGTCCTCTGCCACGTCCTCGACCGCTTCCTCGGCCGGGTGGGTCTCCGCAGTACGGTTTCGGCGGCGACTGCCAGTATGTTGGTTGCTGAGGGACTGGAGGGGCTGGAGTCGGATTGTACCCAGCGACTACCTTGGGCTGCGTAACCGGTGCAGGTTCGGGGCCAGCGACCGGGGCAGCAGCCGCACTAGTAATAGCACCCAGAGTGGCAGTAACGACGACGACTTTGCGCAACATAATATATAAATTGATATTTTCTAACTTGTAAAGCCGATTAGATATGTGCTACGAATATTAACGGTCAATTCGGGAATATGAAATGCTTTAATACAACAGTTTGAAAATACGCGATTGTAATTATTGATGGATGCTTTAAGCAAAGGAAAAATACACAGAACTCAATATTATTTATACTTTAAGTCGCAGAACTTTGCTATGACGTTATTCATAGGATACTTGAGCATATCAATACTTTTTTGTATAACACGAGTATTTTCACCATATAGTTTTCTCCCCCAAGGCACATCTATAGATGTAGAGTAGGATCCCACGAGTTGTTGAGGTAGTATCGAATTATAATGAAATCGGAGTATTCCGTGTATATAAATATCATTTATGTTTCAAAGGAATAAGCACCCCGACACCAACATCTATCACAATAAATTATATAATATTTAGTCAAATTCACTCAACAAAATAGATTGATCGATCTGCGCTTAAGTCTTCTGCCAATATATCTCACTATTGAAGCGAATTTAAATGTAGCCTTAAACGAGCTCTTCAATTCAACCAACCAATCTAGATTAGAGGTACGCATAAAACATAGAAATCCCCAGTTGCCTTCAACAATTCATTCCGGACCGTTGATTTGATGGGGCTAAACCTCCATTTGGGAGTGTTGGGGATGATAGTAAGGTATGGAGGAGTCCGGCTGTGCGCCATGATATAGTCAAAAACATTTTGTTGGGCAAATATGTATCCATGTATTGTTGGATGAAATAAATGTACATAAGTATTTAGTTGTGGCATGAAAACCCATCTGGGCTTGAAGCTTTCATGTCTGAGCCTTGAATCTAGGCACTCGAGGTGTATTCTCGTATTTACTACTGTTGAATTTCTGACAATATTTTATAATGTATTTAAGAGGGTTTAGTTTTGCACCAACCCGTTTTAAGTGTCTGGCTCGTCTTAAAAGGAGGTTTATTGACAGAAATCTTTTGCGAAAGCTGTACATCTCCGTTGTATTACCTGTATCAACATTTTTTCTACCTGAGATTGAGGCTAGCATTGATGATATTGTGGAATGAAATTATATCAACTATACTTTCAAATTCTTTATTTACTGGTTTCTTATCCTTAATGGTCAAAGTAAACCGAGCATGTAAATTACTATTAGAAGATCGAACAGATAGATGGCTAGAGGGTGGTCGATATTGTAAATAAGGAATAGCTAGCTCATTGATGGTGCCATGGCTCATTTGCTACAATGATATCATGTTGACAAACACTTAATAATATATATTCTGCTGTAACTAAAGGTTATACTACTTCGAGTTTCAATTGGGGAACATAATCTTTTGTTAGGTGAAACCCCGATATGGGCTGCTGCGCAGCAGCAATGAATTCTAGTTTGCGAGATAACGATATGGCATGCATAAAAGGGAGTTGGGGGAATTTGTTAGAAGGTGCTCCGTTGCTCGACCAAGGAGGAGAGGAGCCTTGCTCGTCTTTTTTTGAACCCCAGTAGGCCTCGTTGGTGGCATGTTCCGAATTTACGCTACCAGCAGCCCAAATGAGCCAGCGGAAATCCCCTGCAGTCTTCTCAAGAATTTCGGACTATACCTCTTTGACTAGCGCCGCTGGGCGTGCGGTTTCGAGACGCTATATGAATTATCTTTCCAAGTCTTCGACATGATTTGGCTGTTCTTCTGGTATTAACTGGATACCTTGTTGTGAAATTATTATGGGACAATGCCGACTGGAGTCACAAGGTTGAAGCTCGGCACCTGTCTTAGTATAGCTAAATATCTGCTAAGCCCTTAAGATCCTGGACTATGGTACTGACTTTTTCACATTCGTCAAGAACGTCGATGAAATAAGGAAACGACCGTTGATCGAGCGTAAAAACCGCATTCTTCAGAAGGCTTCTGAGGAGAGGTCACCATTTTGACCTTCTAGAACAAGAACTGGATCTTCGAGGATGGTTTGGAGATCGGGATGCCCTTCGAGGAGCTGAAGCTCCAATCCTCAACAGAAGCCGAAAGCTATAAGGCCGTTACAAGCCAAAGCGTCTGGATTTGAGGCGATAAGGCTGTACTCTGACAAGTTATTTTCTTAAAATGCATATTGAATTTTGCTTTACATGTTGATGGGGTGTGTACGACAGTAGAGGGATGCCTTTAGATATCGGTGTAGGGCGCGCATGCATAGCAAAGTAGTGCCGTTTGACCGGTGCTAAAATGTATGTACTAGCGCTGTTCGAATACGTATCGTTCGTAGATAGCAACGATACCATTGTAGTCTAGTGTCTACAGCTGCGGTCGCAGCGGCAAATCAGCTGGTACCATGATTTAGAGGCTCCTCTATCAAGCCTAGATTTTCCTGCTAGTTTTATCGGGGCAAAACTACTGAGGATAATTCAAATTATCTTAATTGTAGCTTTTTGGTGTTTTTCGCTGGGTATTCGAGATGGTTTGGTTTCAAACGTTTCTCGGGCCGAATAAAATAATAAAGAGTGTCAGAAATAGTGCATGCTTCGACTGATGGACAGCAAGGAACTAGTTGGTAGTGGTGCTTTTGTGTTTTTGGGTATGTATAAGAGTAGTACGTAGTCTCTAGCCTAGTGTTCTTAAGACGGAGGGTGATGATTGTGTAGTGCAACGCTGCGGGAGTAGGGACATCGAACAAAGCTACGTCAAATTAATCCACTTTATATTTAAGATACCACATTTGATCGTATTTTCTACATGTACACTTCTAACGGTATATTGTTTTCTTGAGTAGCTACTCTTTAAGCTAGAATTTTCATTTAACTCTTAGTATTATTACCTATACTAGTCTTTCGGTCTATTGATCAACATAATCTGTACCTCGATTTCGCAAAGGGGGACACCGCCTTTTCGAGCCTCAGTAGTCATATACTTGAGTTATCGTTACCTAAATAGCATACTCTTGAATTCATGAATCATTAAACACGAAGTTTACTTCACACTAAAAAAAAGACCATATCTCCTTTTTACTAGCTCGAGTACTGGTGGTTAGCAGAAAATATAAAGTGTTAGAGAAGGAAGTTAGAAGTTGGTCCTGATGGTCTCCTAGTTTACTCGCTTGTGACGACTAAGGATCTTCTTGTTACCTTGTTTCGCGCTATGTAAAATCTGAAAGCTGAAAGGAGTCTGCTTACCGGGGAATATATGATCAAGTATCGGATTTGGGCATTCAAGTATCGGAAGGTATATTTGAATCTTGGATTTCCTGACTTTAATGTTGAGCTCAAAATGAAGTGTCGATGTAATAGGCCCTTACGGCCCGGAGTTACAGACTTTCTATACGGAAAGCAGTCTTTGGAATAGGTCAACAAAGATTGTATACTTGAATATTCGTCAGTGGGGGGGCGGAGCCCTGTGCCACCCTTATATTACTCGACACCGCCAATGCATCAATGTTTTCGTGTTGGTGTAGTTTTAAAATTGGTCGCAGGTTGATACAACTTTTCTCAACTTGGATCCAGATCCACGAATCGCAGACGAGATATACTTATGTTCGGGGAGTTTTGACACTCCGATTGCTTTCGCACGCGTAGCTGTTAATTGTTAAAAGAGTTTGCAATAACGATAGAAAACTTTTGTCTGGCGGGCTTAGAGCATCATGTTGTCTATATCGATATATTGGAGCCGTTCTAGGTGCTCAGGAGGCTGACAACAAGGCAAATCCTCAGTCTCATTCTCGCAACTAACTTCATCCCCTGAACGCATGAGCTGGACCGAAACGGCCACATGGGAAGAGGTTTCATGGCAAGCCGTTGGGTTGGCCACGTTGGATTCGACGGTGAAGAAACTCATACATTTACAACGTTTTAATTTTACAACATATTACACAACGCATATTACAAGGTCAAAGAGGCTGAGGTAATCCTACACATACCTAGGTATATACTACTGAAGCGTGCACTTAGCTATAGATACTTAGATATCAACAGGATTTCTAACAGAAACCCATCTCTACATCAGGTATCAAGAAGATATTATGAATTTGGGAAAAAGTAAATGCGGTTCCAGAGCTACAGTGTGATATGCTCTAAAGTTCGGTTCCGCCTCCTATAACAATGTTTAGTTTCGAGACTACCAGAATCTTTCGATAGTGTAAATTTAGGCACACATACACCTTAACGTAACACGGAATACGTGGCGGTTTGGTGATGCTGACGAAAAGTTTATAAAAACCTAAGCCGTTATTTCGCGGTTCCCATGCCCGCCAACGACTAGATACCTCGCTCCCCCCTCAAGCACTGCTGATATTATTAAATATCGGTGCTAATATTTCGTTTGAAGTGGCTGAACTGGCCTGGGACAAAGAGATATTTATATTACCTCCTTGAATTTGATTCACTATTATCGTATTTTCGTATAACCATGTTGACTTCCAGCATGTTGAGGGTTAGGGAACCGAGATATGGGCACTTTGTTTTCCTGATCTTGCTATTCGCACACGGGGTCCCGGCTACATACATACCAACTACCGTACAAAACAGTACCAATAGTACTCCAGAGGCGACTGGGACGCAACCTAAAACTGATGTGCCAGTGGCAACAGCGCCTCCCTCCGACTTAGGACGAGCTGGTCTCGGCACTACCACCCCCCCTGATTCCGGCGCCCTGAATTTGACGGTGGCTATTGGTACCCCTAACTCACTTGACTCCCATGAGGGCCTCAAACTAAGCGATGAAGGTAATAAAAAGCGGGTACGCCCAGGCGAAATGTTGCAATCCCAGTTTAGGGTGGTTTGCAGCGCGGCGACCGAGGTATTTCGCATGAACCCGGATCCGGCTGCATATCCTCGTTTTCTGGAGACCAGGAGAGGCGAAAATTTACCAACTCTTGCATCCCGACCTAATTACCAGCAACAAGTAGCGAGCGGGACCCGATCCGAAGCTGCCGTACGACAGTATATACGCAGGGTTCTGCTTGGCCGGTGTTTGCGTTGCAATTGTGATCAGGCAACTGGCCAGCTGATAGCGAATCCAAGGCCAAGGGCACCCGGTAGCCGAGCGCCACCTACAGGTTGTCCGCCCGGTGATCAAATGCCGGAGATATGTATGAGCTGGTATAGTAAGTAATATTGCAAACTAGGGGGTTCTATTTCGTATCCTGTGATAGTACAAGCCATTCAATCAAGAGATAATTTCTAACTCGCACTATTTCAACATACAAATATAGATTGTCGCTGTCAAGCTATGGTTTCCGAATTTGGGACCCGAGTTGCAACTGCACCGAGACCAATGGATGGCCCAGAGTTAATTCAAAATCTAGTAAACCCTGTCCCCATGCCTAGTGCGGCAGGGCGTACGGTCCCATTCCAACACCTATTAGATGCAGTAAATATGGCTATTGCAGCGGATACCCTTGATGAGCTCGCAGATTCCCAGGACCCACCACTTTATGGCCCTGAAGACCTAGATTATAGGTATGGCGGCCCTTCAGGAGGCAAGGGCAAGGGCAAGGCCTGGTTCTTCGGCGGTGGTTATAATCCCTACGGCGATGGTTATAATCCCTACGGCAACGGAGGGGCTGGTTCTGGCTCTGGCATTGGGCTGAAAAAGAAAAGTGAGATAGAGCCACCGTTGAATGAAATCGAGGAAAGTTGATCTTGCAATAACAGCACAACTGGCTCTTATTAAACCTCGAGTGTCGAGCGTAAATCAGCTTTTGTCTACGCGATAAATAACCTTCTTGATTTACCGGCCTAATTTCTTAGCTGGGACAGGATCCAAGTATCTGGAAGCAGAGTATTATAATTTTACTTCAAGGTCTGGGTACGAGACAAGCTGTTTCGATAAAAGCTACATCTCACATGTGTAAACTTAAATATTTTGTTTGGGCCATTCTTTCCATCTACTCTGTGCGCCAATTTTATGAATCTGACTTAACTACAACAAACTCCTTCCTACTTACCACCTTGTACTTTGGTCTACCTAGCTTCCAGGTATAGGGCGTACTGATCCCCATCATTCGATACGCTAATATAGCAGCTATACTCGCATTAAACAAGTCTTAAAAGTTTTCAATTAGAGGCATTTGGGTACATATTTAAATATATTTGGATCTAAAAAAGTCCTGAATTAAACCGACTACCCCCTAAATATATGAGTTCTGTAGTTGGATAGCTATAGGTGACACAGGTTTTAAGTCTATTGACATCGACACGCTTCTGCTAGTACCTTGATGCCTGGCATCTAGATATCTAAAAGCCATATTGGAAAGCTCCACGCCTGTTGGCTTTCAGGGTTTGCTTACGAAGGCCCGGGAGATAAAACTCCGAAGTACACAAAGTGGCTATGATACTCTAGATATACAGATTCAAGAACCCTGCATATTGGGTACTCCGTTTGAACGGAGAGAAATATCGAGCGGTTTCGCGGGATTCGTGATCATGGATTTTGCATAAGCTTCTAGCTTAGCAAGTATACCTTTTGATATATAGGCTTGCCGTGAATACACTTGAGGCGTGTGAGCACGTGAGTAAAAATAAACCGAACCCATAAATCCAATGAGAGAGACACACCGATTGCTAACGTCGCGTCATAGCTGACGGTCGGGATGATGATGGCATGGGTTGAAGGACGCAAGCCTGAATGGAAGAAATGCGTACCCACATAAGCTAGCACGCAGAAAAGTGGGTAAAGGGCAATGCTTGTTATGCGGTATCCTCGAATCGAGGCGTTATGCGGAATGGAAGCCCTCGACCCCTATGAAACGCAACAGATCGATTTGGTTTCGGTGTTGTGTTGAGATCGGTGCACAGCCTGCTTCGCATCATTTTTAAATAACACTTAATATTGTTACTTTCAGTGTTGGATTTTGTCTTGTATCAAAGCGCTTCGGCACGCTGTTGATGTCGCAGAATGATACCATATGCAGTGCTAATTCCAGGCCCCATAATTGAGCTGATGATGTATAGGCACGAACATGCGGTTGTGCCCCAGCCGTCACAGGTTTCTTAGTGGAGGGGTATTGAAAGTCTCCCCAGATAATTGTTGGAGAAAGTGTGTTCTTGCCGTCGAGAACTTTGAGTTCGATAGGTCTAGTGGAGTTCGATTGATTCGACCACGAGTTCTGACAGTACTGACGTTCCTGAATTCGGTCTCCAAGCCGATACATCACAAATGCCTTCAGATTACCTCATTCAATAGCTCTTAGATACTATAATTTGAATCAGTCTCGAATGTATTGGAAGATGTTATACAACGCAAAATGGTCTTGCCGACATAACGTCACCAAGGATGAACCAATCAAAAGCAAGATTCGACCATAATTGGAAATACAACGTCACAACACTAGATCTTGCTTTCTCTACGCTACAAGAGCCCAACGCTTTGTCTTGACTCTCAGCTGCAGTTCCAGAGCCTCGACACTATTCCAAGGTGGGAATAACCCGTTTAAAGTGGGAAAAGAAGGAAAAATAGGAATTGCCATTGGAGCTACTTGAACAATATTAAAAGGGAAATCGACTCTAGCTGTACTGTTAATTATTAACTCGACCTCATGATAGGTTTTTTCAGCTGCAGATATCCTTCAATAGCAGTATACGGCCCATTTTCAAACCCCGGGGTAGCGTCCACCTTTGCAATCCCCAAGCTCATATATGCGGTTGGATCAAGGGCATCTCCACTATCTGAGCCTTTGCTTTTAGCGGATTGATTTTGAGCTTCAACTGCTGGATCGATATATGGCTGTAACCACGCCCAATCCGCTTGAGATATGGCGGGTATGCCAACAGAGGAACCAATGCTCTGCTGAGCCGTGGACCATGAATAGTCTGCAGCTAGCTTATACTGTGGATTATACACAGGGACGTCGCTTGTAACTAAAAGAGGCCCCATATGGAAGAACCCTGTCATATTCTTCATAGCCTCCTGCCAGGTCCATGGTGGAAGCGTCAGGGCTTGTATAGGGAGGATGCTACTGTAGGCGTGTATGGGAACAAATGGGTCGACCATGGCGCCAAAGACTGACATATGCAGCTGACGGGCAGCTTCGTAGGAGCTAGCGTCCTCTACGTATTGGTCTGGATCTACGTACTGGGCTTGGAATGAAGGATATGTAGTGGTATCGATACTCTTTCTCGGGTCCTTGGTTTTATCATATGTGGTATTTTCTTCGGGCACTTCTGTGAAGAAGGTTTTGATCGTGGCCATCTGAAGCAAGTTGTCCATATCGAGATTTTGATTTTGCTGATCCCCTTCAACACCGTCGAAGTACCCTATCAATCCATCATACATGCGATCCTTATCCCCGAACTTAATCTGAAAGTTATATACGTCCTCCGTGCTGGTCTGGGATGTTCCGCCCTGTTTTGTGTTGTCTCCGCTGCTCGGCTTAGCCTTCGTGCCCGAGTCGTCGCATAGCGTGATACCCGGAGTAAGAGTGTTTAGCTTCGATTGATTTTCATACGGAGCTGTTGCAAGTTCGAGCCACCATCCCATGTTGACTAAAGCGATTGGTCTCCCAATAACACTGTTTAAGAACTCAGCGTAGGCGCTGGGAGCTGGTGCGCTGATCTTAGATGCTCCGTCAAGCATCCAGACAACGGCTTGCAAATACGACTTATTAGTGAGCAGTTGGGCAAATGTCTCCAATAAAGTCTGCTGCCATGTGTTCGTCGTCGTCGACGAATCAGCAGGCGGAGGAAATGGCAACCATGCTGGCGAATCCTGCGTCCCCGATGGGCCCCCAAATCGGATTTCTCGATAGAATTCGCCATCGCTTGTGAATAGTTGAATGCCGCAATCCGCGTAATTGGTCACGAGCCATCCCCAGATAGGATTCGTCCAATCATCCACTGGCTGCCAGCTCAAGACATCGCTCTTCTTAGGGCTGGCGGTATTCAACGTCACAAATGTTGAGTTTAATCGTGCCATTTGGTTGATTCGTGGGGTGACTTGAGCAAACTCGCACTTTCCTGGGTCATCTTTTTCGATCCCATTGACAATGTTGTCTTCTGTAGCCGGTGGTTTAGGCACAATCTGCGGTTCATAGAATTCGCTTAGTATTGGGTATATGCGAGGCCGTTCGTGAATAGCTGGGGTTGGCTTCGCCGCGTGTATTGCTTGACCGAATTTATCAATGATGTTGACTTTTGTGAGCTTAAATTGACCGTGAGATACTGGGTGAAAGGGAGGCTCATTGTCGGATAACTGTACTTGGAAGCCGTACGGAGTTAGGTCTGATTGCGTACCTATCATTGTGAGCTCTGGGATTCCAAACCCAGCACCCTTGTCGAGAGCGTCTGATAGGGGTCTATTGGTTTCTCCTGGTGGTCTGGTATTTGGTTTTATGTGGCTTCCCTGGAGGAGGGTAACTAAGTGGTTATTAAACCCTGAAAGTGGGGCTGACAAGAATTGTAGACGGTACAATTGATTTTTGAGCGCGCTGAGCTTATCACCGTCTTTGTCATCTTTGAGTAACCCTTCCAATATTTTGGCGGGAGTTTGGGAAATCAACTGTTTGACTTTCGCTTGTAATGAGAAATTTGGCTGAGGTAGAATCAAAACCCGGCCAGACAGCTTTCTTGTGTTTGTGAGGATTGGAGCCGGAGGTGGATTTGGTTTCTTCTGCTTTGCACCATCGACTTTCTTATCCGAATCTTTTCCTTTGTTTGAGTCCACTGGCTGTGGCGCCAAATCGCAAAGTACAACATCGCTTTTGATACCATATCTTAACTTGGGATTGGCACGAGCATTTGTTGTAGTTCGTTCTTCAAGCGACCAATATTCGAATGGAACGTCCGTATACTCGACCTCCCATTCTAGGAACAGTGGTAACCATGGTTGAGTTTCCCCCCATCTATCCCTCCAAGGACATTCACTATCTTGCATATTACCATATGCTAAGTCTTGATCGTGATATAGAGGGAGGACTGCATTGTCTCCGACAACTACGTTTGCGATATTTTCCGGCTGTATGTAGTTAAACTCTTTCAGCAGAACGGTAGCAGCATCCTGGAGCTCTGCTGGTAACTTCTTCGCAGTTGCCAACAACGACTCGACATACGCACTTTTCTTTCCTGAGTTCGCTGAGTTCGCTGGGCTCGCTGGGCTCGCTGGGTCGACTACCTCGTTGACAATCTGTGCAGCAATGCGCACTCGCAACTTTTCAAGGAAGTCAAACGGCCAGCCAGATTGAATGCCTCCAATCATCATTGTGGGGTCTTTTTGCTGCGCGAAATGGCTATCAACTGCAGACATTACGCCAGGAATCTTGGATTTCAATGATTCAATCGTTTTGTTGAGCGATATAACAGACTTGACCAGTGCGTTTGCCTTCTTCATGTGCGCCTCGACTTCTGTCTTGGAATCAGACATGGTATCCTTGGTCTTCCCTTCTACGTTACTCATATACGTCCACCATAATGAGAAGAGCTTCCATTTCATATACTTTAGCTTTCTAAGTGAAGCGTCAAGTAGCTTCTGGGTTGAGTTCAGCGTTTGAAGATCCTGCCTTATCTTGTCTAATGGCGGGTCGAGTATCGGTTTCTGACCAGCGCCTTGGCTAGTACTCTCCGACAGATGAAACGCGAGGCCACCTTCGTTCAGAGAAAAATTTGTATTAACCAAAAGATCTTTTGCCTCACGTTGGGACTCGACGCCATCGTCCTGAGAGCGAAGGAGAGCGTGTAAGGAATGGAGACTAGTCTCGAGTTCCTGGACCATGCCCGCGTCTGTTTGCATATGGGCCCGGACGTACGCGAGAAGAGCATCTATAGGTGTTGCACCGATCGAAATTGGTAGATCCTGCGTAAGATGCTTACAGGCATCATTTGCCGGGACGTTCTTAGGGAGGTTTTTGGAGTCCCAGATAACATCGTACATGGCGCCATGGCACAAGATGCGTGCTGAATCTTTCTCGGCTTCCCAATTTACCATAGCGGTTGCGCTTTGTGGACCTAAATCTATTCCTAAGGGTGTCATCCGAGCACTTCGCGGGTCGGCTTTCGCGGAATCAGCTGTGGAAACATACATGGGATCTTGCGCGGGATCCATGTGCCACCCGATCACGTAGTAGGAAGCTTGGGCGTAATCGACTTTCGTCGGAACCGTATTCTTCCCGTCTTTGACACCATATGTGAAGGTGTCGACGATGCTCAGGACGTTACTATTGTGAGGCTGGAAGTCCGTGAAGAGTTGATTGGAGCTGTTTAACAGGCTGAGGACGACACGGGGCTTCTTTGGAGGGATTCCAGGCGTCTCGGGCTCAGTCCACGTGCTGGCTGACTCCTTGTAGCCAATGAAAACCTCGGCTTGGTCATCGATTTTGGCAGCTGCACCTTCTGCAGCAGCAATGAAAGGCGATACGTCTACTTGGAGATCAACACTATCGTTTAGTTGGTCGAGTGTGCTCTTACGGTCGCTTTCGACAATCCAGGCATCCACTTGTGGGACCACAGATTGCATTCCCACAGGCAAGATTGTTGTCATGTCCGGTATAAATCGCACAATGAGCCATCTATTCGGTAGTTCTTGGTATCTTGTTGATGACGGGTCAGCGACAGGAGCTTTCGTCCCATCCTTAGGGTCCTCCGGAATGTTCGGGGTTTGCGTCACCCGTGTCCCCGTTCTGTAAGGCCGAGGTACTGTCCAGTGTACATATACACCTTCTCTGTTGGTGTGCTTCTCCCCAGTTCCCAAGTCTGTAAAGCGAGAATTGCAGTCCGCCGGCGTAACATAGTGAAGATCGGTTTGGTTCAGAATATCGCTTTGAATATAGGAGTCCGTCAGCCGCAGAAACGTATAGTTTGGTTGAGTAATTGGTGCAATCTTCGCCCCCAATGTTTCGTCGCCGCTGCACACGGCGTCGTTAAGGACGAAAGCATCCACCTTCATAGGCAAGAGCAGCACATCGTCGATAGAGGGCATTGTTGTATTCTGCACTGATCTGTGTTGTGTGTCTTTTTTGTCGATAACTATGCTTTCGTTCTGATCTTTCTACGCCGAGAGACGAGATTGAATTGTATATTTTACGGGTATTTACAGCATAGGCCTCATAATATTTCAAGTAAAATATTTTGATGCTGGTTTCTCAAATTTCGTAGCTTTTCTACTCACGAGAGAAATGGTCAGAACCCTGTCAAGTTCGAAAGGTCTGCCAGCTGCATCGAGAGTATCAGCCAAAGTCCTCGAGTCCACACTACTCCAAGAGCCTAACCCCTTCAACAAGTGGATTTACATTAACTCTGCTCAAGTATCTAGATAATTCGCAGTTGTACCGGTACATGTACAGGTGCTTGTCGGGGCTGAAGCATAGTAAACTACGGGACGGTAGAGAGAATGTTCTAACCTCCACTCCGTCGGTTCCATTGCCTTCGTCCATAAGCCCAATTGACCCCGCACGGGAAATACAAAAGCCATATCCTATCAACATCGGCGTCTACAAAATTTCAAGCAAACATGAATGCATAGACATGATGCACCCTGCACGCTTCAATCACATATAATCTAATGGCTCAGAGAAGAGAAGAATCTAGGCCGCAACACGGAATCTGCAATTAACGCCCACATGGATGATCCAGCTAGCCATGGCCAGCCGCATCATTTATCTTAAACCGGCAAATCCCGGTGCACGAAGGGAACCTTAACATGTCGTTTTTTGGACCCAAGGCCGTCATTGGTCCCACGGTCGCCCGGCCGGTTACCGATCCAAATCCCGTGCAGCAAAATCCCTGCTAGCGGCCCCGCATTACGACCCCTGCGAAACTTTGTGCAATCCGATTTTGCAGACTTCATGGTGGCAATTCCACAAAAGTCCACTGCAGATCGAACTAGCACATCCCTCGAACACGGAGAATTTTGCCGAGTGACAAGACCTTCATGTCTCAGCTTTCATCTAAGCATTTGCTTAATTCTGACCTCGCTTTTCTTGTCAGACGTTGACAACCATCTTGGCACGCAACACCATCAAGACAACGGTGCGCAGACTTAATTTTACACCCACGTTCTCAAATCCTGACGACTTGGAGGGGGTTTTTAGTTCCCGAGATAACCCGTCTCACCACCAAAAAGTATTTTGAGGTTGTGAGTTTTGAGCTTTCTTAGGCAGCTATCGTAGCAGCCGGATCAACTGTTGATACACCTTGGGGCTTGTACAAAGTCTCGCGAGCCAGACCCCTTAGGTCACCTTTCGATCCGAGTGCACGACTAATCATATCTTGCCGCTCGCAATATTTCTATACTCTAGAATTTAGAAGAGGGCTGGTTTCGAAATATCCCTCAGAAGCTGCATATACTCGGTTTTGGAATAGTAGATTTAAAAACTCTTAGCTACAAAATAGAATGAAAGAAAACAACAACAAACTCATCCTGACGTCTGCTGACGCGGGTACGCGGCGAGGATACATAGGTTGCGGCATCATTGGGTCCGCTATTATTTCGATGGCCATGGATCTACAAAGCATCTCATAATTGGATTCGACCCGGCGGGAAGGGCGTAGGTGACATATGTATTCCTGTCAATTGGTGACGGACTGGCCGATAGTGAACTGTATTTCAATGGAGTATCTGAGTTCACCGATGTTGGCGCTGGGATGGAGGCAAAAGCCGTGCCTCCTGCCGCTACGTTCGCCACACCAATGATCAATTTCATGATGTTTTCTGATTTATCTAGATAGTAGACCCATATCGCATCCTCGACTAGACATGCTGCGATTGGCGAGTTTGGAAGGACATTCGTAGCTGACGTGATTATCCCATCTATATAGAGCGCAACACATAGTGTGGTTAGAGTTGATCTGATATATAATCGAAGCGATGAGAGGCGCTTGTCAAAGGATGGGGACTTACTGCTTCCTGTAATGGGATCAACCATCCCGATGTTTGAGTCTTTATCACCTGTGATTTGAAAGAACACACAGCGAGTTTTAGCGTCTATATAGACGGCGGCAAGCTTAGAGTACGGATCGGTTTCGACTGTACCGACGTACGGGGTCAATTGCTTGCCGCTGACGTCGTATTCTTTCAACTCTTGTCTGCCAACCGTGTTTGTTCTAGATAGAGAGGGAGGCCTGCATTAGTATGGCTGATTTTTTTTGATCATTCCATATAAAGTCGTTACATATATCTCTGAGATATCTCGTCAGGGTCTATCTCAGCTCCACGATGTATACTGACTTGAAATAGTAAAGCCAGGCGGCGTCGGCGCCGTCACTACAGCCGGCCAAACTTGGGGCATTCTTTTCGATATTGCAGTTCACAGAGTCTACTACCTGGAAGGTAGGGCTGACTCTGACAATCTCTTTCTTGGGAGAGATCCCATAGACGCACAACTAATATCAAAGAATTAAAGTTAATAAAAGCCTGAGCGTCCTTGAACCTACTGGATGGCCCCGGACCCGAACAAGGAATTTTGCACGCACCAATGCTTGGTATACGAAAGATGTGAGAGATGATGGATTCTCGAGGGGACCGGTGCCCTCGGTCGCTGTGTCTGAAAAAGTAGGTTCGTCCGCGGTGCTGTAGTTATTTCGGGCTTGAAGCACGACGTCAGAACCGCCATTGATCCAAAAGGTCAGAAGTTGGGGAACTCCTGTGCTGGTAATTTGGTAAAGTGGATTTATAATAGTTGTGAAGGGAGCTGTCATTGTGTTGACTTTTGGTTTGGGCTTAGGGTGCTGGTCAGAGTGCTGGTCAGAATGCTGGTGAGAGTGCTGGTCAGAGTGCTGGTCAGAATGTCCAGTCTCTGTATTGTCATCTGTTTTCTTGGTTGCTGGTGGCATTTTTCCGAGATGATCAAGAAGTTAAGCGAGAAATTACACAAGATAGTGTTATGGTATTCTTTCAAGTAAGAGGGGTGGATATTCTATGTGATGATAGCACGGAAGAATACCTTGTCCAGGAGAATATTATATCATTAAAATGAATATTAGCCAGCAGGCTTCGATCTTTTAAGTCTGGGTGTTATAGGATGTCAAGGCCTCCTTCCGCAGAACTTTCTGGAATGAACATTCATTTGACGTTAAGAGCTGGGCTAAGATGAAGGCAGGACCGAGACGAGCCTACGATCCGGATCCAATAGGTCCTATCCAGGCCAATCGGTAAGTTTGTCACCTCAATGGATAATCGTAACAGTCGTCTTTCGAGTCGTGAATTTCCCCCAACCTACCCATAGCTGGCGACTCGGATCCTTAGCAATTGTACTCGGTCTTTCGAAGATTTATTGGTGTTTGCTTCGATATGCGCTGTTCTAGCAAGCCTCCAAGCCATCGCCCCAACAGATTCCTCCGCTGTGCGGCTTCGTAGCCAATTAGCAAGTCGTGACTGCTTTCCGCTTGCGTGAAATCATTCATACCCTCGGCGGGGTAACTATATCGAGAAATGTGACGAGAAATGCATATTGTCAAAGTTCGACAGCTCCAGCTGAAGGTTGATTTCACTCAACGCCTGCCTTCAATTGAGATATACCGGAAAAGCTTAATTTAACAGCCAGGACCCCAATTTGGGCTTGCGAGGTCGTCTAGCTGGCGTCCAGCTGAGCTCTGTGCAACGTAGCCTAACTGCTTTGGTTTCGGCGTAAAAATTCAACTGATATCGAATATTCCTCTCACGAGGTTGGAACAAAGGCAAACATTGATGTTTTGTTAGCAGCCTGCAAATCTTGAGTGGGAGGCGTCACGCCCATTTTCAGCTGGGCTGCTCTATTTCGGCAGAACCTGCCCGCACTGGTCACTTGAGCTAGCTTCTTTTGGTCACCTGGGGCCAACCTATTCCGCAGCGCGATCCCTGCACCACGGTGGCGGCCCGAGTTTGTTCCAGGTGTGCCGCCCGCGTTCCTTCTGGCTAGCGAATGTGCGGCCGTGCGGCTGAAGCTCCACACACAGGAAAGAACATTCGGTGGCAATATTGTGTGAATCAATGCCGAATTAATTCGATTCTTAGTGGATACTCTTTGAAGCTTCTTTGCATCGCATTGTCACGGCTTAATTCACTCAAGCTGGACGCCTTTTTATGTATATGATCATACGGTACGTTCTCAATTTGGAATGCGCTTTCGAAAAATAATATTTTGATTTCCTATACGTATATGCTGATGTATATTGGAGCTTGGTAGTGTTCTTCGGGGTGAAGGCGACAGTGAAAATAGTAGTTGACCGATAATCCTCTGCTGCAGCCTATTCTAGATTCGGCACCCGCCCTCATATCACTTTGATCAATTGCGTTTTTACATCATTTGCTCTTGACTGTTGCTGGTGGCGCACTATTCATAGCAACTGGCAAATTTGTCCCATACCATGTATCCCCCTCTGAAGACCAGACGTTGATTCGGAAAGAGACGACGCAGGTCTTATCCGTATCATATGAATTGACGTTTACCAATCCCAAAATGAACGTGGCGTTGGCGACGTTTCCAAATGGAACACCGGTGGGGTCCATGCTTCTAGGCACCACTCTCAATACCATATCGCCTTGTGTTGTGTATTCAGCGAGCACGTTGAATCTTAGATTATTCAGCATGACTGGCCCCGGACCTTTGTAGTCTTTCGTTAGGTAGGTTCCTTTTGCGCTGTCAGAAACGTCTCCCTGCTGAATTATCACGCGGAACTCTTTGATCCTGTAATCGGCATGTAGATTCTTTGTGGCTAGCGTGACGCGGAATACTAAGTCATGGTAAAGGCCAGTGTTCATGGGCACGGTAGAAATTAAATCGCCCGCTTTGATCTTGTCCTTTTTTGTGGTCAAATCTGTGACAGTGTAGACATCGAAGAGGTATGAAGGCGGTTGAGAGATTGTCTGCCCGGCATCGGCGGGCGGCATCGGTTGAAAATTGTCGATGGAGTCATTTAGTGATTTTTGGTCTTTTTGTTTCAGAGGGATCAGTGGGTGGAAATTTGGCGGAGGTGGCATGCTTTTGTTTCTGACCGCTCCTCGATTTTCTGGGGTTGGAGTTGGAACGACTTGCGTGTTGGATTTGGGGTTCGCCGCGGGATTGCTCTCTTTAGGAGGGTCTTTCGCAGATTCAGATGTCGGCGGCATGAAAGTCATCAAGGTTCTATCTTGGATGGTAGTACTTGCGTCCCCCTTGGTGTCATAAGGTGTAGCCGCAACGACACCATAGCCGACGTTGAGGATATAAGTCGAACTATTCAAGTGAACGCCCATCATTGCAGATGTGGGCTTCGTTTCCGTGAATAATTCTGTTCCATCCTGGGATTTCATTTTCGCAACGAGGGCATCATAGACACTTTGAGCCAGCGAGCGAGGTATCAAAGTACGGATTTCGCCCGATTGGCCCCATACAAAAACAGGGTTGGGCGGGTCCCCAGGTGATGGAGGATTGTGCCAAATCGCTGGCGATTGGAGTTCTCCCAGCGGTTCATCTGCCTCGTATTCGCTATACATTTTGCGGTAAGATATCATTATTGATGTTTCGCCCAGGGTCGTGGAACTTGCGAAAGACTGTTGATGTGGCGGCTGTGTGAATTTAAGACTCTTGAGGCATCCTCTACTGTCATCCACGGGCGATCTGTCGAACAAGCATAGCATTACGCCATTATTGATATTCTCGTGGCGTAGTATGTTTACTCTGTTATCATCGGAATTTTCGAATTTTGCTGTTACCTTTAGATCAGGGAATTGACTAACGATATCGGATCGCATAAAAAATCCAAACGAAGGTATTTGCGGTGGTCTTCCCAAATCTTTTATGTCGTCAGTTATGTAGCTGTTAATTGCTGTTTTGATATATATCCTGATTACATCTTCATCTTCATTAAGCTGGTTCCCAGTGCTCAAAGCGCCGTCGATTAAAGCATCGATCCAATTAGCGTCGATGTGGAAAAACCTAAAACTTTCCGGGGGTAGATACGATGGATCCGCAATCAAGTATTGGGCGGGAATGTTGGACAGGAACATGCGGTCTAGAACCCACGAGAGAACTACCGCCCAGTCCGTTGAGTATGCCGTGTTCAGTTCATTATATACCTGGGAGTCGATGTCGCTCGAGCTTCCAGCGAGTTTGGCGACAAGAGATCCTGCGTGTTTCATAAAGCCTCTACGTATGCTAGGGTTGTTGAAAGAGAGGTCAATGGCATCCGTCTTTGGTGATGTAGACTTAAACCGGTCAACCATATTAAGAGGACCTCTAGGGTCAGCGCTCTTAGCAGGAGGCTGTGATAGATTATTCAACCCTTCAATTAAAGGCAACAGGGCCTCAATTGCCTTTTCTCGAGTCAAATACGCCTTGTACTTAATCAACTCATCCGCTTTCGCCTTGTCCAAAGCAATTTTCTCTACCGTGCTGCGCAATCTTGACAAGGCGCCGCAAAATGCTTGGTCTGCGAGAGCTAGTGTTTTGCCTAACTGCCAGGCTGCAGAATACGTTATATCAATGAGGCCTGTGCAACGGTCAAAGACCTGGAAGCTTGTCCCCGAGTTCGACTGTATTTGGTACGTTGGCGAACCTTTTCGTGGAACGACGGTGGGTGACAGGGCACCGCGCATGATTGCAGTTGTAACCTCTCCGGTTTGCACCCTATACCTACAAAGTGTGTAGCCGTCTCTCAATCGGGCAGCTACAGAAGATGCAGCGGCTGGAGCGGTCAACACTTCCATCGAAGCCAATAAGTTGTCAGGAGCTCTCAGCATCTGCATAGTGTCTCCAAGGTGTCTCATTGCTGTATACAAGTTAAAGCTATCCGCAGGCAGGCAGGAGTAGCTCCAGCTGTATAATGATGCCAGCGCTACAAATCTGGAGCTACTGGAGTCAGCAACTGGATATGGAATAGCCTCTACCCCCTCGATGGATACGAGATGGGCGTAGACAGGAACTGGCTGAGTATTAGTCAATGGCCCAGTTCGATGGCAAACAACAATACTATAGAGACCGCTGCTCTCGCCTTGACTGCTTGCTTCCGCCATTCCCTCAGTATTGATTAGCCGAACATGTGAAAGATATTTGTATCTTGAAACATCGCAAGTTGTTTGCTTCTCTGTCTCTGTGGCAGTACCAGTTTTATCATACTCCCTGAAGAGTTCATTGAAAAGCGCCGGCTTTAAGAAGATAACGTCCATAGCCTTCGTTTGGTCTTCTGTGTTGGTATCCTTCGGGTTGATGGGCGTAGTGACACTATTTTTCTCGATAGTCCCCATTGCTGGAAGTGGGAGGCTAACAGAAAGCGTAGGGCTTTGTTTCAGAGGTAATTTTACCCCTGGGGTTGTCGTAATGCCGTCAAATATCGAGCCCGACCCCCCAGCTAGGTCACTCGGATCCAGACGAAGCTCGTCGTCTGTGAATAATAATAAGGCCAACCATGGCACTCTATTTTTCTCAGACGAGTTTTTTGCGCTGGCCGCCCGCTCCCATGGCAGGTGAGGGTCTTTGAGAACAACATGAGGTAAGGTTTCGACTTCAGCGCCGTAGCCTTGTGGTGGAAATGTTGAACAGATAGCGTTACTTGGTATATGGTAACAAGGGCTAACGACCTCAAATGTCTGGGTATTCTGAATTTGGGGTATAGGATCGGTGGGTGGATTCACAGTCGCAGAAATATCCTGGGTTGCAAGAATCGTGTATACACCGGCTTGTAATCTTGGTTCAAAAAATGAATAGATTTGAACCTGTCCAGGATCGAGAGCGGGGAACTGGTAGCCTTCGGATATGATACCTGTTGCTGAAGATTCCGATTGTTGTTTCGCCGCAATGAGTCGGCGGGCGTGGTTCAAAACCAGATGCCTTGGAGAAGCGTTCGCGTTCGACATAGTCTAGATCCTCCGGACCGCAACCACGGCGAATTTAATTTTTTCTTAGAAAAAAATAGTTGAAGTTGCAATTTAATGCGATAACCTATAGCGGCCTAGAAATATATGCGGGGACAGAGTGGGGTTTTAACTTAGATATATATTTTCAGTTAATCAAGAAGGCCCCGTGTTTCGGGCTACCTCCTAAACCTATAGATCTATGAGGCTTAATGAAGAGGAGCGAAATTCGTGTCCGAGCTAAACAGCTACAATGAAGAGGTTTCGTCTGATCAACCAATTGCAAAATGATACGACTATCATTAGGGGGCAACGGTCGGACCAAAACTTGAAGCTATTTAGGCTAGATATAGTTTCGTCATTTATTCAGAAATGCATCAGTTTAATTGGAAACGCCGTAGTCAAATGCATTGAGACCACATGCCGGCGTTCACGTTCGCGTCGCCCTAATACTATAGTGCTGCGTGTTGCGTGCTGCGTGTTGCGTGCTGTAACAAAGCAGAATTAACAATGAAAAATCGGCGTAAAATAAGAAAATAACATTGTCGTAGCTTAGTGCGATAGATAATTCTAGCTGATACTCTCTTGCACAAATGATATCTTCTATCGTTGAGCCATACGCATATGAATGAATTCGCGCAACAGCTCGATGACGGCTGAAGAAGTTTCGGTGCATGGGCGCTGGGGCGTGCACTAGCGTCTAGTTCAACCAATCAGGTCGCTTGGGGCTGAAGCTGCAACTTGGAAGAACACACTCCTCCGGCGAGGTATCTTTTAAGGTGCACATGTACCGGTACAAAATTTGCGAAAGAGAAGATGGATGTATCGAGGACCGCTGTTATTGTCTAGAGCGCTTCTTTCTGCTGATGAACATGACTTCCCATTCCGCAGCGATTCGAATTCTCTCTGCAGTGTAGCAGATTGTCCGACTAACTCTTGTCGGTTCTTACCTGAATAATATTGGCCAGCCCCCTCAGAAGTGACCAGGTGATTGCTCCTACCCTGGTATCATCGCAGTTTCTAACCTGTCCAGTTAACTGGTTTGGCTCCTCTCAATTCATTTGGGGATTCAAAGCATGTTAATTAACACCAACTTAACTTTAAAACCACCTTCGAGATCTTTTTGCCGTCTAAATGCGGAACCACTTTATATGCCCACACTCTAAACCTTCCAACACCTAGCCCTAGGTACATACCAATATATTCGATATCTTGCGTTACTCCAACTTGCAACCGTTGGCTAACCTCGCTGTAAGTATTTCAATTATATACTTGGTCAGAGTGGAATTAATTCGAATTCTAAACATCGATATATAGCTATATAGATACGCTTGCGAATCCGGCACGCCATGGATCATTATCAATATGGCGTGGATTCATATCATATCAACGTCGGAGCCGGTGACTGTGCTATCCATCTCCTCACTCGTTTCACGTACCAGGGTGGGAATGAGACCATAGCAGGGATTGAAAGCGCCGTCTTAGTGGATTTCGGGTGGGAGCAGGGTCATCAATGGGGATCGGGGTATGAAGGGCTAAAGCAAACTCTGGGCGTTATTCGTCGCAAATACAATTTGAACTCTGAATCGGATATTAAATTTGACGCCGTTGTCATTACTCATTGGGACGGAGATCATTTCCATGGCCTTTGGCCCTTCATTCACCACGACATGACACAGCTATGGGATGCCGTGGATACTTTGAAAAATGACACTTCCAAAGCTGCAGATAATGCAGCGCCCTTCCTCTATGCCTCGCAGGATGAAGTACTGGCCGCCGCTATACGACAGAGGGTACTCGCTGTGTGCGGGAACTTTCAGACGATGAATGTGGTGGAACTAGGCACGGAAATATACACCGATATAGCCCGGCCATTGACTCTCACGACTCCTCAGCTTACCACTGTTCAAAAGACCGCCCTACAGAGCAGATTCCGCGCAGTCATGAACGTTCTTCTTGACCCAACTGGTACATTTTTAACTCCTACAGCCCTCTTAGCCGCGGAAGCCGTCAACTTGACATCGAACGAGTTCGTTCTAAAGTACGGCTTAGATTGGGCTGTCGGAGTTGGCTTGCACCCTGAGCCCAAGTTCCAGGATTGGATGCAGAACACATATCGTTGCCGTCACTTCAAGTTCGATCCGACCAACTCTGAGCCCCTAACGGTTCTCGTAGCTCCGACTTTACCGCCAAAAGCTTTTATGGAGACCCCGACCGGTTACTGTTATCTATTATGGCAGGACCCCCAATCGAACTCCGACACAAATCCCTGGGTTAAGCTCACGGATGGCAGCGACACACCCGGCTTCCAAGAAGACTTAGTATTCTACCTCCAACTCAGCCGTTTGTACAGAGATGAACCTTCGCTTCGATATGTCACAGCTCCGCAACTCCGATTTATATTTGGCCAGTCGCAGCTTCTGGGGATGAATCTTTTTAACCCAAAAAATCCAACGGCGCCAATGGCTTTGTCCCCTAATTTCACGGTGCTAAGTTTGATGAAAGCAAATTCTCCGGTTCCAGATAATACGGCACCGGGACTTTACATCGTTGGTGCGAACTGCGCTATGATGCCGAGCTTCAGCCAAAACGAGAATCCACACAACGATAAAAACGATACATCAATCGCTATGATTGTTAGTTGGTTGTGCAACAATGGCCAAAATACTTCAATCTCGCACTACTTTGCTGGAGATCTTAATGTAGATAATGAAGAGGAACTCATCGGGTGGCTGGTGCCGGAAGTTGCCTCTAGTACCATTCGGACTACCATAGCTAACCCGTCCCAGCGTCAAACGTATATAAAAACAATGAAGCTCAGCCACCATGGATCCTTGACATCAACGCCCGCTTTCTTCGTGGCCGCTGCAAATCCCATGAATTTGATTGTCTCGGCGGGGAGTAGAAATGGTCACCCCCGTAAGTCTCCATGTGCATGTACCCATTCCCTACATGCGCAAGCACAGATCTACGATGCTAATTTCAACTTTAAATTTTGCAGGGTGGGAATTAATGCTACTTTTGGAGAAAGTTTTGGGCCCAAACTCTCGGTTCTACGCCACCCGCTATCCGTATTATCTTACCAGATTAAACACAGCCCCGGTACCTCAATACCAGGATGAGGGGATCCACTACAACTATCTTATGAGCTATATCACCGGGAATCCATCCGCTCTTCAGGAAATGTACCAGGAGGAACTTGAGTGGTGGGGCTGTGCTGTTTGGACGGATTTCCGGAAACTGTTTCGACATCTCGTTAAGTACTATCAGCAACACACAGGGACCAAGTTTGACCCGGGTAACCCATGGCCAGCATTGGTACAGCATTTGGAGAACTGGATAATAGCGAGGTTTGAAGGAACTTGGAAAAACCGGTCGCCACAGAGTCCCGGTACTATGATTTCGGGGGAGGCACCGGATGAGGATAGTGGAAGCATGTTCAATTACATCCTCGTAAGCTCAAGGAACCCGGAAACGAATGTCAACGATGGACTTGTCAAGATCGCGACGCAAAACGGTACAGTGGAGGCAGCATTTCCCTGCCCCCAAAATGCTCCAGCCAATAGCCCAGCGCCTCAACTCGGTATATACGACCTCGCGCTCGTCCAAGAAGATTTCGGGCTCGTCGGGGGGGATGCCAGTTCCATGATACCTTCGAGCAATACTAGTGGAGCTGCAGCGACTGGCACGGCTCAATTACACGGCCGCAAAAACTTTGGCACCTCCTACTACAGTCTTTCACTCTACTCCCCCGGTTCTAGTCGAAGATTGCCCTGGGTGCCAGCCCTTGCAAACGCGGAAGGCTACTCACGACCTATCGATTTTGATCCGTGTGAAAACGATTTTCTCTTGCAGGATGTTGCGAGCAGCTTCAAAACGCCCTCTTCGGTCGATCCAGAAATTAGTGATTTTTCGCCTATCGCCCTAGATCCAGAAATTTACCCTGGCACCTCAAGCGGAGACTACTACGTATATTGCAACTCTCTTAAGCCACACACTACTACTGGTATTGATGACACCATTCAGGTCCTAGCCAGCTCTTCACCTTTAAATGAGTTCATAACGACTTTACACAAGGGAGTTCTAGGTCTTGCTTCGGCTCCAAAAGTGGGGTCCGCTGTTCCTGTAGTGACCAACGATGAGATGCTGTCGTGGTTTCAGCTGGTATTTGGGACTAGTCAAATTTCGGTCTCGGGGGACTCTAAAAATAACATAACTGGGTTTGAAATCTCGGTGCCTCGGGTTCCAGGAAGCACAGATATGAAAAATTACACCTACACGAATATCGCCAATATCTTTGGAACCCCTTCAGATGCAAGCGAAGCTATAAATCCATGCGGTTTACTCATACAAGAGAATGTTCTAGTTCTAGGGTTGGATCTCTCCGGTGCCACCACCCCAGCCGAATATACAACCAATCTGTATCAAGTGATGACGGCCTTTGGGCAAGGCCAAGCTTTATCAAATCCGATTATAGCTACTGCTGCCACCGCACTCGTTTTAGACATAGATGCGTCCGACGGATCCCGGAATGGACTTTGGTTCGCACCAGAAGATTCGTATAGAATCGTCGTGCGGACGCAATATACCTGCCCTAGTGCTGCCTCAACGAGCTTAGTAGGGTGGTTTGGCGATGAGCCGGATTTACTGACAATCAACAACCTCACGGTAGTAACAAAGGAGGGATGGCGCATGAAAGATGTTGACACTAGCTTCCCGTCTGATGCCCGTATTGCATATAACTCCGAACTGCGGATTAGCATCGCTGTTACTATGACTATCCCCCCTACATCTACGCAGGGTACTCCAGCAAACAATAGCGGGGGTATGATAGGCGCCAATGCAGAAGGTAACAATGGTGGCACTACGGATAATAATACAGGAAGTAATAGTGGTAGCAACACGGGTGCCAACATCAATACGACAACTAAAAAAGAGATTGCTCTTGTCGGGATACTTCAGCTCCAAGCGTCAAACGCCATGTTCCAGCTACAGATTGACAATACGATAACGCTGCCGGATATCATTGCTTGGGGTGCCGCGTTTCTGAAGATTGATTTTGGAGTAGCAGACTTATTCCAAACTGCAAATGGTACACAGACATTGGATAGTTCCACTCCGAAACTACGTCGAGTAACGGTGATTACGCAGCTGGCTCAACCAGCAGCACCGACACCAAACTCGCCAAAATCGGGCCTACCATCGGCTCAGAAAACGGTCTCGCCGGCTCCGGCCACAGGGAACGCTATTTGTGAGGTCAGTATGGACTTCGAGATACTGGCGAAAAGGGGCTCTCCAGATAAAAGTCAGCCTGTTTTGCTCTGGGTGACTTACACCTGGAGTCCAACATCTGGAGAGACCTTGCTTGCTAAATTATGGAATAGTAAGTGCACTTTGGAAACATTACCTAATATGCAATTCAAAAGTTAGTCACTGACAGATGAGCTACTAACTCCGCAATATAGAATTGACTGGGTATTTTGAGGTTCCGTACAATGCCTATCTTCCTGACTACGAAGATGGTTTCATCCTTATGCCAATATCAACGGGTTGTGTGCAGCCATCGTACTTCGATATTTTAAGTCTCATCCCTGGCGACAAAGCTGCGTCCAACGGAGTAGATCATGTTCCGGAAAACGTTCCTACACAAGTAACGCAAGCTAGTCTAAAGATCACTAATAAAAATATTTCTTTTTGTGGAACCATCATTGCGAATACCCCAAAACCTAGCGGAACGCCCCAAATATTTCTCAACGCTCTCTCCCTTGACGCCTCTTATTCATGGTCTGACCCAACAGCAACCACAGCATACTTAGATATCCGCACAGGCTTGATTCCAAGAATAGGGTCCGCATCTATGATGCCGGCGTTCTTGATTGGGAGCCTAGGTTATTCTGGTGGACTATGGTCCTTGCAAGCTAGCGTAAGCAACCTTAACGTCGGAAACTTATATCAAATGTTCGACTCCGACTGCCAGGACAGCGTCATGGACATCCTTGAAAGTGTGACTATAAAATCTTTAGCAGTATCGTACACTTATGGGAGTAACGGAGACGCATCAAATTTTAGCTGTATTGGCATACTCCTCCTCGGGTCCCTAGAGCTGGACTTGATTTTTACATATACCAGCGCTGTCGAGCCCTCTTCAAATGTAGGCTCAAGTGCAGAAGGTACCCAAAGTGGGGACAACGCCCAGGGTACGGGCAATCCCTCGGGGCCGGGCAATACTAAGATGATGGATGGTGCTCAGGGTGGAAACACCGCTCAACCTCAAACTAAAGGGACTACCCCAACCAAAGGAACCACACAAGAGCAGAAGAGTTGGTCATTCTCCGCAAAGCTTTCTAGCGCGAACCCCCCGCCTTCAAAGCCTGTTACAGTCCAGGACATCATCAATAGCGTGCTAGGTTCTGATGTAGACCTTCCGTATTTCCTTGGCGATATCAGCATTACAAAACCAACCGCTGGGGATGGAGTCATAGGGCTCTCCGTCGGGAAGATATCAAATACTACTCAAACCCAACCAGCCCCTAGCAAGGGCTTAAATCCAGTTCAAAACCAACAACCCGGCATTTGCTTCGTCACGTACGCATTGATGGATGGCCTTTCATTCACTTTTACACAGTACAAATCTATTGTTACTGCAGGCGGCGCGCCAGCATCGACAAAACGGCTAATCAAGGCCTCCGTGTCCGCACTGCCCCAAATCAGCGTACCGCTGCTGGGTGACCTTACCCAGCCCTTCGACGAAATGTATTTTCTCTGGGTGCAGGATAGCCCCCCTCCCGCTGCAAAATCTAGCAATAGCAATAGTAATGCCAATCCTGGTCCCAAACCCCAGTCTCCGGCACCTTCTGAAGGCGATACCGACCCGACGAACCAATCTCCAGGGGCCTCTAACGCTAGCGTTAGTGCTCAGCCAGGTATAACCAAGCACGAATTCGAACAGATTAATGCCTACTACGCCATGACGAATACAAATGATCAACTGACTGGGGAATATGCGCTTACTCCACTTAATTTTAAGCCTAAAACGGATATTTCCCTAATTAAGGACACCGATATCGTAATTGAGGCCGGGTGGCATTTTGTGTTGGTCACTAAAGACTCAAAGGGTGAACCGACAGTTATCATTGATTACGCATTTGGCGGCAACCCACCGCCACCACCCTCGTCGGAGGCTAAATCCGATGCGGCGCCGGGTACAGAGACGCCTAATAAACCGTCTGCAGACTCGGATGAAGATGAACCCGCGATTGCAAGTCCAGATTCGAAAACAGGTACAGGGGCACTTGTGAAACCAGCCATAGGCGGGACCAACAATGGCGCTTCGAAAAATGCTTCTGAATCCGCGTCGTCGCCTGTAACACCAGATACTCCTACAGCCCCGAGTAGCGAGCCTACCTCTAGCGGTGCAAGATTGGAACCGCTGAAGAAGAAACAGGGTCCTCTCTCTATCAATAACATTGGCTTCGAATATAAAAATAACACCATATACTTGCTCTTTGATGCAACGTTCAACCTTGGACCAATAGGATTTACTCTTGTCGGGATGAAGATAGGGATTACACTGAAAAAGGGTGCTGGGCTAGCAGATATAGACAAAGGTGATTTTCACTTAAGCCTTGAGGGCCTCGAAGTAGCATTTGACAAAGCTCCGATAACAGCCACTGGAGCTTTCATCCATGGGACAATGAATGGTATCGACTACTATTCTGGTGGTATCATCATTGGGTTCGAGCCGTGGCTATTCCAGGCTGCCGGTTTTTACGGACAGACGAAGAGTAGCTCCGTGAAAAATGTGTTCCTTTTCATGCAATTAAACGGGCCAATTGTTACGGTTGGGTTCGCTTCCATATCCGGGCTAACAGGGGGCTTTGGGTACAATATGGATCTTCGCTGGCCTACAGTGGCAGAAGTCCCACAGTTTCCATTCCTTATCGGCGACTCCTCGACACCGCCTAGCGATCCAATGACAGAACTAAACAGCTTGATCAACGTTACGTCATCTGATGCTTGGGTAACACCTAAGGCCGATTGTATGTGGTTCGCCGTTGGCCTATCAGCCAACGCATTCAAAGTTCTTTCGGTAGACGCGGTCGTGGTAGTCCAATTCGCTCCCGCAGTCAGACTGGGAATATATGGTGTCGCAACATGTGACATTCCAAGTACTGCTGCAAAGAAGAAACTTGCTCATGTCGAATTGGGGATCTCAGCGACCGTTGACCCCGAGACAGGAACCTTGAAAATAGATACGCAGTTATCACCGACATCTTATATATTAGATCCAAGCTGCCATCTCACTGGGGGATTCTCTCTATACTCCTGGTGGCAGCCTAAGGGTGGCCCTGTAAACCCCTATGCAGGTGATTGGGTGCTCACTATAGGTGGATACAATCCAGCTTTCCAAGTCCCCTCTCATTACCCCCAAGCTGCGAGGCTGGCTATTAGTTGGTCTCTGGGTAGCACTCTCTCTATTACCGGCGATTCATACTTCGCTATCACTCCAAAGTGTTGTATGGCAGGTGGCGGCCTCCATGCCGCTTTGAGTGTCGGGCCATTGAGCGCGTGGTTTGATACATCTGTCGATTTCCTCATCAATTACGAACCATTCCATTTTACCGGAGACGGTAGCCTCAGCGTTGGAGTTGCCTTTACATTAGATCTTTGGCTCGTAACCATTCATATTAACATCGAACTGAGCGCTACTCTCTACATCGAAGGTCCACCCATTCGGGGTCACGTCACTGTCGATTTCTGGGTACACAACTTTTCCATCGCGTTTGGCGAGGATGACGACGACTCTCAGAAACCGGTGTCGCTTCAGGATTTCTACAATTCTGTTCTGATGTCTGGTATAGGCCCTCAGGCCAGCAGTACACCTTCAAATCAGCAATCAGAACAAGCTGGGGCGCCAGATCAAGCACACCTCTTCACGTGCTCTAGCGGCCTGATACCCCCAACTGCGGATACGACGCCGACTTCCGGCGCGCAGTGGGAAGTTAAAGCCGGTAATTTACAGATTAGTGTGAATTGTCGGTTTGCCGTTAACCATATTACTATTAATGGACAAATAGGGGACTCTCTACTTGCTGGAAATAGTGTTATGTATGCAAAACCCATGCAGATGACGGGTCCTGACCTATCCTCTACTCTCTATGTACAGATTTTTGGTCCGGGCCAAACGGTTACAACAACCGATCCGACTAAAGCCCCGCCTGCTGAGGGTAATACTAATCCGTGGGCATTTGTTGCACAATCTAAAAGCCTTCCAAGTGGCCTATGGGGACAATGTAAGTTTCTTGCCTTCGGAGTACCTACGTCCCAACCTGCCCTAATTAGAAGAACGAAACCGCCTAACATACCCCTTTTGGATAGATGATGCCAGCGACGATCCATCAGCCGGCGGGAATGGAAATACGATGCTTGCAGCTGGTGGCGGAACATGCCAGCTTTGCGCAGAAGTTGTTCTCACCCCGCCTCCCGCCCAACCTTCTGATGATCTACTCGCCCAATTCAATTCCGCGAAAATGTCAATGCAGACAATCTACTTTCACGCTAGCGCAAAATCTAAAGGGAAAGTGACCACCCCGCCGCCAAATTCCAAGGCGCCACCGACGACCACCCCACCGACGACAAGTGCCGTGACTGTTAAAAGTGCCGCGCAGCCAATGGATCTCGCGCAGTCCACCGACAGCGGACAATCGACTGGACAGTCGACTGGCGTCACACCACCAGCTAACAACTCACAGTCAACCGATACCGAGCCAACGACAACCGGAGCCGATGCACCCCCTCCTGAATTCCCTGCTTTGGCTCTGTCAAACCCAAATTTCGATCCAGTTGCTTCTGTTAGTGGCGCAGCGCAATGGTCTGCCGTGTCAGAGAGTTGGGGAACTTTGAATTCAAACACCTCAGATATCGTTACGTATTGGGCTTCTCAGATGCTCTGGGGTAAAATCGACACTACTTACGCAAATAATGCGCTAACTCCAGCCATCCCCGAATTACTGTTGGCCCAATTTGACGATTTGTATATGGAGGCTCCCCAATTGGGCCCCGAGGCGACGGCGGCGAGTTCTTGAAGCAACAGAATGTTAGCTTCGAATTCGGTCGAAAGAGTCGTGCGATCGATCGCACTGTCAGATTGATATCATACATATTGCTTCCTTTAGTGAACAGAATCCACGATAGCTACCGATATATTATTATTTATATTCTCATTTTGGTGATAAGGTCGCCACGTGTCCAAGTGCTAGTGTAGATTTTGTAGTCAATCTAGAGACTGATGACATGTTCACCACGTGCACCGTGTGGTTAGGAGCGATATATATACTGTGACATGTCTGTACATGTCTACATGTCCGAACGTGACGCGGTATCGAGAGAGGACGCCGGCTGTGACAACACGCCATTGGCTAGTTTCCGATCCTCAACACATAAAATGAGAAGGAGTGTTGCACGTAAATGAAGCTAACCGCAACGGGAGTGACTAGGTTCACGAAAAGGGAAATATTTCCAAAAACGGTCAGCGTATTCAATAGAGCGGGAACCGACATGCGGAAGTGTGAGTATAATTTGGTAGCTTGGTTTTTGTATTTAAACTAGGTACGAAGCAGAGTTCAATCCTTATCTCTTCATTTAGATGAGGGATACTAGTTTTTACGGAAATTCAAACTTGGTTCCGGTCGACTATTGTTGTTCTCTAGTAAGCGATATTTCCTACTATAGTATCACACTGAGCATACTAACACATCGATGTTGGGTAGCCCTAGCCTAGGCGCCTCCGCTAATGGTGTACGCTAGGAGATCGGTAGCATCCTATCTCCAATACCGAATGGGGAATCTCTCCGCCAACAGCCGATAAATATTTTGGATCGACCATCCCTTGCAATTTGTAGATACTCTATTATCAAACATCTGTCAAATTCAAAGGTGGGGGCGGCAATATCCGATAGGTATATCATGCGAGGTTTACGCGTGCACGAAATAAAAGGTATCAATGGGCTGCACATGTGCAACCCAAAAGAGCTTAACGTTAGCTGTCGAGCTTTTGAGGACGAAAAAAATAGCCCTATTTACCACACCTAACTCTTCCAAGCCCGACACAGCGACGAGTACCGCCGAAAAATGTAAGTAGTTCCAGTGTGAAGTGGGTTGGCTGTTGTACATTTGGTGCCCTTCGCTGCACTACAATAGCTAACCGCGCTTCCGTATAGCAAACGTTAGCACTTCCGAGACTTAATTCTCACTCCCATCGCTGCTCCACCGGCCCGGATCTGCGTACGATTCAACTACAACGTCAACCTTTCCAAGACGTTTATTCTAAATGCAACGTGGATTCAATACGAAGTAACAATCGACGGCGACAGAGAGCAAATAGAAAATATTCGCGAGAAATATAAACTAGTAATACGAATTCTACTGCGGGAGGAGACAATACCCTACAGCCTGATAGCCTTGTCGTTGACATTTTGGGGGCGAAACTATCGTGTGGCTATTAGGGGAGAATGCTACATTCATAATACCAAGACACAATTACTTAGTCCCTGAAGCGTCAACAGACTTGATTTACTTAGACACTCTGTCTTCCACTTAACCTTCCATGTAGATATAACCTTTTTGACTTGATACAATGGTTGTATCAATTGTCCCACGATCACTCACGTCGATTTCTATCTACTGTACTAATTATACATCAAGATTAAAGTTCAGAAAGTTCAAATCAGAGCAAAGGTACAAAAAAGGGGGTCCTAGCAATATGGAAAATATCTTGGCGTTGAGTAAGGCTCACCGCAGCCTTAGAACTAGGCAGTGGACTAGAAATGCAACCCTGATGAAAGCAAACCTAGTCTAGAACAGAAGTATTCTACTAACCAAGCTGTTTATTACTTAGGGTAATACGGAATTCAAGGTGTTACTCATGAGGCCAGTGGTCGGTACGGGGAGAAGATATAGGCCGCTCCAATTAACGAAAGTCAGATATCAACCGTGTATTAGATGGCATTCTAAGTTAGCTCCAGGGAGGTCTATCAAGTCGAACCTTGACAACACTACTGATAATTTAAGCTCAGTGATTCTCTAGGTTGGGAACAAAAACCACTAGCCATTGGGCAACTTCTTTCACGAAGCTATTGACATTCTTTTGAAAAATTACCGCGCCCCTGTTCTGTTCCCCTGAAATACAGGTTTCTCTGAATAATCCGTCAGTGTAATCTCATTATTGATTAAAATTAGTTTGACGTTTCAAAGCTGTCAAGAAAACCACGGGCTAGCTAGTCGCTGCAGGCGGACTGCCGGGTTTTGAAATCTCAGCGGAGAGGGAGACACATCATTTACTTTTGCGGGAGCGTGGCCTTGACGGAACGGCGCTGCAGCCAAGAATCTTCAGCTATTGCTATTTGTGCTTCATGAATTCAATGAAAAGAAGCGGCGCTTCGGTAAAAATGTTCATGGGTTCAAACCCTTTGTAGAGGATCGCGAGATCGTCCAAAAGCGCCTGCTCCAAGTTTCCATCCCACCTCCTCAAATAACGGAATTGTAGGGATCAAGGGAGTGCTCAGCAAGTATATCGCTATCGAGGGCCACAACTAGTTATGTAGGAATCGCCATCTTATTGAGCTACTCATCCATCAGCGCACTTGGGACGTCAGGCCGATGTCAGACTCAACACAACGCAAATTACAATGGAAAGCCTTGTTGACGTTGGATTTTGTCTTCCAACTGATTACGTAAC